ACCCCCCCCCCCCCCCCCCCCCCCCCCCCCCCCCCCCCCCCCCCCCCGCCGCGCCCCCCCGGCCCCCCCCCCCCCCCCCCCCAAGGAAAACAGATTGCGGGCATAGGGCCGGGGAAGAGTATATAGCTTACGTCGCCATTTTCCAACTTGAAAACGAGGGTGACCTTTGAGCCATCTACCGTCTTCTTGATGACCTCGGACGCAACCCAGCCCTCGGTCTGGTCGACCTGCCACGCTCTCGTCCCCACATCATAGCTCTCCGACATTGGGGATGGTCGAGACCTGGTCTACTGCGAGTAGAGGGGAGATGACAGGTGGCGTTAGGAGGGGGAGTTGGTAGGAGTTAGGAGGCTCGAAATGGGTTGTCGTTAATGGAGAAAGGGTGTTTCTACCGCAAGTAATGAAGATGGGGAGTCTCGTCTGGCGAAAGAAAAGAAGACATTCATGGGGGGGAATTAAAACATAAAAGTGGGTTCTAAGGATGACAGCCAAAGAGAGGTACTCCAGTGACCTTGTCGACGGACGGAATCGACAAGACAGAAGATGGTGATGGTGGATGACGCGGGTTCTAGGGAAGCGTGTTGTTCTTCAACTTTTTGCAAGAGGTCGCGAATTGCGGACGCAGATGCAGATAGGGGGGATCACAAAAAAAAGGGTGCAAGGGCCCCCAGCATAGTGGTGACAGGTGATAGGTGAGCGAGAACTGCACGGTGTATCAGCACGCACCAGGGGGCCAAGTACCAAATATGGGAAGCACAGGACACCTTGTATAGTAATTGCTGTGGGTAGAAACAAATATCAGTGACGACTGAACCCGATGGACAGGAGTTGGCGATTCATGGCTTGAGATGCACCGTCACTCGGGTTATTATCTAGGTACGGAGGTGTCTAGTATCTACACGGGAACTAATTCCCTTATAGCCACAAAAAAACGTTCCCGCATAACCCAAACACTTTGCCTTCTTATTACCTCTCCCCATCTTTCCCCATCTTCCTGCCACCACCCCTTGGGCCCTCATGCCACTGTGAGGAGATGCAAGTCGTGACTCGCTAGTTATTCCTGCAGGGGGTGGCTACCAACATGGAGCGCTGCTGCAGTGCAGCAGAAGGCTGGAAACAACCTACTGCGTAGTAAACTCTCCGGGTGGAGTCCCTTTTCCCTTTCCAACGTTCTGCCGCCCGCCGCCCCATCATATGTGCGCCCCCCCCCCCCTATTAAGGGCGTTTGGAAACGTCCCCCCCAACCACGAATCTGAAAACTAGAAACGAAACAATGCACTGTTGAACCGGGTGGCTCCGATCTTCTTGTCTTCCCACGTCATCGCGTCGCAGGTCTTGTCTCCGTGTTCTGAGGAAAGGGAGCAAAAAGCAGTTGGTTTCCGTTACGCGTAGATGCTTTCTTCCTTGTCCTTTGTTCCGTCACGGCTATGTACCACGCGCCTACTATGTATATGCATACATATGATACTCCATAACACCATCTACGGGTATGCGCAGTTGCGCGGGTTGTACGGAATATTACACGTGTTGGATACGATCTCTGGGTGAAGATCGTCGCCCAGAAACGGGCGGCAGGGATGGCGATAACCCCTGCTGTCACAGGCCCCGTCTCTCCATTTCAAGTTCCTAGGCCAGCGCGACGCGTCTCAATTCTGGAATCCGGGCAAAACCAGCATTCCGATATTCATATATGACTATGGACGGACACTGCCAGTGGTGAGATGTCTTGTTGAAGCTCTTCCAGGGCAGCAGATTATATGAACCTATAGTCCTGTACCTCTGTACGGAGTATAATTGCCATCTATTATAAATGCATAAATGCCCATTTTCGCGAACCCCTGGCCTTGCTGGCCCAATTTTTTGTTGAACAATCCCATTTACGCGTTTTTATCTTTTAATCATACCCGGCCCCAGCCAAGCTCCGCTAGACGCATAAAAGACCAGGAACGGGATAGTTTACCTACGGAATCCTGCGTGCCCATGTTGAAGTCTTTAGGCGCAAGTTCATTCGCGGATCGAAACCTCCAAAGGTTCTCTCACACTCTCATATCCCTTAGTAGAGAACACGAGTCATGATACGTGCTGCTACATGTCAGTCGCCTGCACCAGCTCACAATATCCTCTCGGAAGGAACCAAAACAATTGGGATGCATGCAACTTACAGCTCAGGGCTTCCAGGCTGTCCGAGATCTCGGCGATGTCCTCGGTCTTGACGTCGCTGACGTCGGCCATCAGGTAGGCGACGTCGCCCTTGCTGTCCGAGATCTGCTTGTCGACGTTGTGGTTCGCCAGGATCTCGTTAACCTTGCGCAGCACGCCCGGCACGTTGCGGTGGATGTAGATGACGCGCGCGTGGTCCGGCTCGTCGAGCGTGAGTGACCGCAGCATGATCTCGGGCAGGTTGACGCTGCCCAGCGTGATGCCCTGGTTGATGTACCTCACCAGCGCCTCGCTGACCTCGACGCCGATCGCCCGCTGAGCCTCCTCGGTGCTGCCGCCGATGTGTGGCGTCAGGATGATATTGCTCAGCGTTTGCAGGTCCACGGCCCATTGGCTCAGGTTGGTCTTGAAGTAGTCGCCGTTCGCGCCGGGCTCGTTCGGGTACACGTCCAGTGCTGCTCCCGCGATCTTGCCGCTGCGCATGTAGTTGACCAACGCCGGAATGTCCACCACGGAGCCACGGCTGGCGTTGATGAGGTAGGAGCCCGTCTTCATCTGCTCGAGCTCCTTGGAGGAGATCATGTTCTTCGTCTCCGCCGTCTCCGGCACGTGGAGGCTGACGAAGTCGGCCTCCTGCAGCAGCGCCTGCAGGGTCGGCACCTGCTTCGCGCTCCCGATGGCCATCAGGGTGACGACATCGTAATAGATGACCGTCATGCCCATCGCCTCCGCCAGCACCGAGAGCTGCGAGCCGATGTGGCCGTAGCCGATGATGCCCAGCGTCTTGCCTCGGATCTCCCAGCACTTGGCGCTGACCTTGTTCCAGGTTCCGCGGTGCATCTCCAGGGAGCGGTCGCCCAGCTGGCGAGCCAGAGTGATTATCTCGGCGATGACCAGCTCGGCAACGCTGCGCGAGTTGGCAAACGGCGAGTTGAAGACGGCAATGCCATTCGTGGCCGCATAACCCAGGTCAACCTGGTTTGTCCCAATACAAAAACAGCCGATGACGAGAAGATTCTTGGCCTCCCGGAGGACCTTCTCTGTCAACTTTGTCTTTGACCGGATGCCGATGACGTGAACGTCCCTTGACGCCGTGTGTCAGAAGCAACATATAGTAATGGCAGTGATGGTGGTGGTCGTGGTGGTGGGGGAGGGGCAAGGAGTTTCGCGAGCTTCTGAAAATTCGCCTCCGAAAGACGGAGGATCGCGAGTGACGCACCTGATTTTCTCAATGAGCTCGTCTGCTGGCAATGAAGACTTCAAGGCCTCCACTTGATAGCCCTGCGCTTTGAGGATTTCTATGCCGCTTTGATTGACATTCTCTAACAGCAGGATCTTGATATCCCCGGTGTTGAAGGGCTTCAGCTGCTTGGTCTGGAGGGTACCCCCTGCTTGGAAGCTGTGGCTTGACAGAGGGGATTGGAAAGTGGCCGTTGGTGAGATGCTAAGACTGTGCGAGACAGTTTTGGCTGGCCGCTGGGCTATATCTCGTGCAGACGTCATGATATGCGAATCTCTGTCTATGAAGCTCCCCACGGACAAAGTTTTGCTCTTGGTCTTGAGTTCTGAAAGTGTGCTGCTTGAGAAGATCGCCAACCGGGAGAGGGATATCTTATAAGTCAATGGTAGTGGTAGTCGGTGGTGGGGGCTGACTCATATGCATTGCGACATGGCGAAAAAAAAAAGAAGAAAAAAAACGGGAGCGGGCTAAAAAGCACGGGATTAAGCACCTAATTCTCCCGGTCTTTGGTGACGGGGTTTGGTGACGTTTGCGGGTATATTCGTTCGGCCCCAGAACTCGTTAATCCACGTTAGTTGCGTTTGTCGCGATTGCGTGTCGCCAAAGAAGGCTGTCCAGGTTCATCCAACAATCAAGCAGTCTCGGGATTTGTATCGGGGAATATCCGTGCCATCGAGGAGCAGCAGATCTAGAACATCGAACCTCGCATCGGCACGGCCACTGACTCTGTGAATGTTTCCCATAATCCATATCCTATGCATACGACTTCGGGAGGATACTACTGGTCAATCACGGTAGGTTCAAAGTTCTCTGCAAGTGACTCGTCGTATTTTCTCCGCGATGCCGCGTTCCGCTTACTGCATGGTGAAGATACTTGATTGCGTTTGGTTGAGCCTCATCAGCGCACATATTATGGCTCTAGGTCTGAAGTTGTTGACTGGACGACACTTGTCTGCCCAACAAACCGGACACTGTTTTGGATCATCACTCTATGCCACAACTGAGAAGTAAGAGTAAGCCACTTCCGGGCGTGCCATATCCTCAAAGCTTACCCTGCAGTGAAAACCATCAAATGCAGCAGCCTAAACTAAATCGAAGCATCTTCAAAAGCCAAACTGTCACGAGACCTCGCAAACCCCCTTCCCCCCTTCCCCCTGCCCCCTCTGTCCCCGTGCAGTAGTATTATTTTTCTATCAACCATCCATGTACGCGATAAACAAGTCCCAGGAACCGCATCGTGTAGTGAGAGATTATTTGTGGCGAAGCCCGGGATTATGCGAAGGAGGGGAGCCAAGTATCATCGGCCGTTGCTCGAAGATATCGGTAGAACTCTCTCGGGCCTCCTTTAGCTCTGTTTGCACTCCGCAGCCTCCTGCTTGGGCTTTGAACCATCCTCCTGATTGGACATTAGCCAATGCCGCGAATATATCACGCGAATGGGGTCATCTTACATCATCTTCCTCAGACTCCTCGTCATCGTCGTGATCCTCGCTGAGATCATCATCATCCTCGTCATCTTCGTCCTCAAATTCGCCCTCAAAGTCGTCCTCGTCAATCTCCTCGTATGCAAGAGCCTCGCCGGTGAACCAGTCGATGGCACGGGGAATGAGCTTCTCCTTGATATCCTCGCCCAGCTGGTAGTCCAGTTCAAGGCGCTCCTCGATGTCCGAGGCAGCGTCGTCGTCGTCCTCAGTCGGAGCCTTGGGCGGGGAGAAGAAGTTGAAGAACGACTCGGTGGGGACGGTCTTCTTGACGATGCGGGTTTGCTTCGTGTCTATAGTCCATGTTAGCGACGAGTCCGCCCAATGGTAACCGGGCCGTTAAGTCACTCACTCTTGTTGCGCTGCTTCTTCTGCTCAACCCGGACGGTCAAGTCCTTGCCCGCTTTCCAGTCGATCTTGTCGCCCTCGGCATGGTCGTAGATGAAGTCGCCACCGTAGCCACTCTCGTTCCGGTAGAAGTATGTCTTGGTCATGGTCTTGTTGGTGAAGAAGTCGTTCTCGGCAAACTCGAAAATGAGACGGAAGCCGGGCTTGTCAAGGTACTCCATCCGGATATCAGTCAGACGTTTCAGGGCATCCTCGTCACGGTCGGTGATCATTTCGGCGAGCGAGATCTGGTTCTTCATAGCAGAAAGCCAGAACTCGGGGATGCCTGCGACGCCAGCCTTGTCCTCGGCTGTCTCGGCAGATTCGCCCGACTTCTCCTCGGCGTCCTCACCCTCCTCGGGCTCATCGTCTTCCTCGCCGGCCTTGATCTCATCCTCGGTGGGCTCGGCCCCGCCGTTCACGATGGTGGCACGTTTCTCGTACAAGGGGGTGAACTTGGCAAAATACTTCTTCTCCAGCTGCAGGACCTCCTCCTGGAACTCGGCCTCAAGCTTGGAGTGGTCCTTCTGGATCCCCTTCAAGCCGGCGACACGGCGCTTGATCTGGGGCGGGAGGGACTCGATGTAACCCGACGATCGGCCGACAAGGGTGCTGAGACGGCCCTGGATCAGAGAGACAAGCTTGGGGTTCTGGGCAAAGATCGAAGCAGCAGCGACACGGTCCAGGTCCTCTGGGTGGCGGGGTCAGCAGTCGGCACCGAGGGAAGAAAGAATGCAGCAGTCTTGGGCAGCAACCAGGTTTGAACTCACCTTCCTTGATGCTAGCGACTCCGGGCTGCTGGGCGTGCGATGAGATAGGAGCATTGCTTGCCGGGGTGTTTTGCGGGGTGCTGGACGCGCAAAGTCAGTTTCATCATCTTGGGAATGCAGATTCGCGTGGACAGCTTTGGCTGTAACAACTTACGGAGCGGTGGGGATGTCTGGCCGCTTGTTTCTGATAGGCTCCGCCATGGCTGATGAGATTTCGGTGAGAATAACCAGGTGATGGTAAAAACGATGGTAGGGGTTGAAGAGGTGCTGGCAGATGTTGACCAGGAAAGTACAGATGCGAAGACCTGTCTGTTGTTGTCAATGTGTGAAGGGAGGGGAGGTTTGCAAATTTGTGAGGGACGTGAAAGATTGAGATGGCCGCGGCGGTGGGAGGCGGGAGGTGGGGTTTTTGAGAGGCAAATGTTGAGGGTACCGCCGAAATTTTAATGGCCAATGGAGTTTGCGCTCTCAAAAGGTACCTTAAGGTTCCAAGGTTCCATACTAAGGCACCTAGTTTTCACACGGTAGCGTAAAGTACCTATCTAATTCTTCACCGCTTACGACTGCCATGAGGAGAGCAGCCGCAAAGAAGGGTCACCTTGCCCATCTCTGTCTAGTGGATTAATGATGAAAGAATCGCGCCTTGGCTGTCTGTCTATACCATCTATGTAAAGATTGCCTTGGCTGTCAAGCTGGATGATGATTACTCACATTCAAAGCCAAAAGTTGCACTCTCTACACCTAATACCCTGCCTGAAGAGTTTCTTACCGTAGGCTTGTTCAATGGATCCCTTGCATCATCACGTTTTAGGTTTTGACACTGTCTCCCTTTGGCTGTTGCCTACTGGCGAGAAAAAGCAGATTATGAAATACCATACACGCACTTTGGTCAGAGATCTTGAAGTCAACTTGATCTGTGAGATGCCATATGCTGTGCCTCGACATCTACCAATTATGCATCTAGGTAGGTAGGTGCCTTAGTAAGAGGAATCGAATGTTTGGGAATTCTCGCCAAGAAATTACAGTGCTTGTCTTAGCACCAGATATGCATATACCGCGGCCCAACGTCCTGAAACCCCGCCCCGTCCCTCAGCAATCTATGTAACAGACGTCATGGCTCGAGGGAGAGATATGCAGGTACCGCAGTCGCTACGATAAGCCGCAACCTCGAAATTATCAGTCTCTAGACGGCGGCTCATATCGCGAGACAGGCAGAGAAAGCCCCCCTTCTTTGCCACACCCTTCGTCCAACCTAAGATGCGCCTCCGGCACCTGTGCTAGGATCTGCCAATATGGACGGCGACGCGGATTCGGTGGCGGACGAGGGGCATCGGCACAGTAGCCGCCCTGGCCTCTATCTCCACGACTCGAACAGTCGGTCCACTGTCTTTGAGGATGTTGAGATGGCGCAGGATGAGGTGAGAGGACATCTTATAAACTGCCTGGCTGGAACGTGACTGACGAACCGGCTTATAGCTTTACTCAGGCCCAATGGCAGAGTCTCTCCCGACGAGTGTCTCTGCCTTCACCCACCGTCGAGCCCGTGCCGACTCTATGACAAGCTTCTCCTTTTACCAGGAAGAGCAAGAAGCGCAGGATGAGCAAGACGAGCAGGACGAGTCTGCTATTATGGATGACGAGGAAGCTCGGCTTAGCGATGTTGAAAGCATCCGGTTCGGCGAAGAGATGGGCGACGAGGACTGGTCAGACCTCGAGCGACAGGCTTCTGAAAACGACTATGTCTTGCACCGGAGGGCCTCGACGCTGTCCAGGGTCTCAGTGCGCAGCCGCTTACTTCGACGCGATAGTATGGTATCTACAGGAAGCGGCTTTGGTACGGGTACGGGTACGGGCCGAGTCAGCCAGAAGATCTATATGGTCAATGAGGATCTTTACATTGTGGTCGCTGGTTTTCGGACTAGTACCACAGGCCTCGTCACCTACATTCTGGCCTGTGTCTTCACGCTGGGCCTTGCATGGCTCCTTTTCCGGTGGATTCCTCGGTGGTATGTGAAACTGGTGGGCCAGCCGGCACCCCTCCGGGAGTGCCAATGGGTCGTCATCGAGGTAAGTGCTGTTACCAGCAGACCTTTGCGCCGAAACTTACCATCTTTCCAGAACCAATGGAATGAAATGGCCATACTCGACGTAGACGTAAAGCAGTACGAAAGGCCACTGTCAACCGTATTTGGATCTCCCGACAAATTGACCTCCTACATGCTTGGTGAGGATCAAGACCCAATCATTAAGGACTTGCGAATGCTCAACTACCGCTACGTTCGATTCTACCTGCATCCGCTGAAGGACAAGTTCCTTCTTTGCAACGGATGGAAAGACCCTCTTTGGACAGATGTTCGAGCAGTCCGCGCCGGGATTGACGGCGAGGAGCAGGTCTACCGCGACATTGTCTTCGGAAACAATCTTGTCGATATTGAACAGAAATCCATCTCTCGCCTTCTTGTGGACGAAGTACGCCCCTATATGTACCTGTGCGAGTAGTGCGAGTAGGCAAGTGCTAACATTGAACAGGTCTTCCATCCCTTCTACGTGTTCCAGATTGCGAGCTTGATCCTCTGGTCTATGGATAAATACTACTACTATGCTACGGCAATCCTGCTCATGTCAGTCGGCAGCATTGCCACCACCTTACTTGAGACTCGATCGGTGAGAAGCCCCGTCCTTACTATCCTTGGAGCCGCTCCTTATTAATCGTGACAGACTATGATCCGCCTCCGGGAAATATCCCGGTTTGAATGCGACGTGAGAGTGCTTCGAAACGGATTTTGTAAGTTGGCCAGAGCCCTTATAGAGATGCGGAACTAATAGGAGAATAGGGCGATACTTGTCTTCGGCTGATCTCGTACCTGGCGACATCTACGAAATCAGCGATCCGAACCTCGAGCAGTTTCCAGCAGACAGCCTGCTCCTCAGTGGCGACTGCATTGTTAACGAAAGCATGCTTACGGGCGAGTCAGTGCCTGTCTCCAAGACGCCTGCAACTGACGGCACCCTTCATCAGCTTGATCTGAGCGCCTCCACTGCGCTTCCTGAAGTCGCTAGACACTTCCTCTTCTGCGGCACCAAGATCGTCCGAGCTCGGAGACCTCAGGACGACAGAGACCAGGAGGCTGTCGCCCTGGCTATGGTCGTCCGGACTGGGTTCAACACCACGAAAGGCGCGCTTGTCCGATCCATGCTCTTCCCCAAGCCATCCGGCTTCAAGTTCTATCGCGACTCTTTCCGGTACATCTCCGTCATGGCTTGCGTGGCCATGTTGGGCTTTGTCACATCGTTCATCAACTTCATTCGCTTGGAACTAGAATGGCATTTGATTGTCGTGCGGGCCCTCGACCTGATAACCATCGTCGTCCCGCCCGCACTGCCGGCCACTCTGACCATCGGCACAAACTTTGCGCTTCGTCGCCTGAGATCGAAGGAAATCTTCTGCATCAGCCCACAGCGGGTCAATGTAGGGGGCAAGATTGACCTCATGTGTTTCGACAAGACGGGCACTCTCACTGAGGAGGGTCTTGATATTCTCGGAGTCCGAGTAGTCTCCAGATCGACAAACAGATTTGGCGACACACTGTCGGACCCAGACTCTCTCGTACCCAACCAAGACCACGACCGTGGAGTGGTCGATTCCAATGATACCCAGAAGGCTGCACTCTACACTATGGCAACGTGCCACTCCCTGCGTTCCGTGGATGGTGAGCTCGTCGGTGATCCACTTGACGTCAAGATGTTCGAGTTCACCAAATGGTCATTCGAAGAGGGGAGTCAAGGGGGTCACATTGATGATGAGGAGCAGGGGACTCTCCACCCGTCAATTGCCAGACCTCCGGCTGACGCGAAAAGCACATTGGAGGGCAACGGGGACAGAAATGGGCAGAATGTAGGTTCTAGGTTCTTGGCACATGGTTTTCCCATGAAAACGCCCGCTAACACCGACACCGACCCAGACACCGTTTGAGTTGGGCGTGCTGAAGTCGTTCGAATTTGTGTCCCATCTTCGCCGGGCAAGTGTCATTGTCAAGACCTTCGGCCAGAAGAGTGGAGATATATTCGTCAAGGGCGCCCCTGAATGCATGGGAGAAATATGTAGGCCAGAGAGCTGTAAGTGCCCCACGAGCCATCCCTGCCATGTCGAAATTCGGTTCTGACATTACTACCAGTTCCAACCGACTATGACGAGTTGCTTTCCTACTACACGCACAAGGGATACCGAGTCATCGGATGTGCCACAAAGCACGTCAAGAAACTGAGTTGGGTAAAGGCCCAGAAGATGACGCGCCAGGACGTCGAATCCGGCTTGGATTTTGTCGGGTTCATAATCTTCGAAAACAAGCTGAAGCCGACGACGACGGCAGTTCTTCAAGAACTGCTGGGTTCGAACATCGGCGCTGTGATGGTGACGGGGGACAACATCCTCACTGCCATCAGCGTCGCTCGAGAGTGCAACTTGATTAACAGGACAGCCCACTGCTTCATTCCGCGGTTCATCGCTGGAAACTCGAGGGATCCGAACGCCCGGCTGCAATGGGAGAGTATCGATAACAGCATCTACCAACTCGACGAGACGACGCTGCTACCCCTCCCCGCACCGACCGAGGGAGACGCGTCGCTTCCTTACGACATAACGAACCTGCGGAACTACTCCATCGCCGCCACCGGCGACGTGTTCCGGTGGGTGATAGACTACGCCCCGGCCGAGGTCATGAGGAGGATGCTCGTTACCGGAAAGGTCTTTGCCCGCATGTCGCCCGACGAGAAGCACGAGCTGGTCGAGAAGCTCCAGAGCATCGGCTACTGCTGCGGCTTCTGTGGCGACGGGGCGAACGACTGCGGCGCGCTGAAAGCCGCCGATGTCGGCATATCACTGTCGGAGGCGGAGGCCTCGGTTGCTGCCCCGTTCACATCCCGCGTCTTCGACATCCGATGCGTCCCGGAGGTCATCCGGTGAGTTGGACCCCCTTACCCTCCCTCTCGTGGCGAATGAACCGGCCGAGGTGCTAATGGATGGTCGCTTTACAGTGAGGGCCGGGCTGCGCTCGTGACCAGCTTCAGCTGCTTCAAGTACATGAGTCTGTACTCGTCGATACAGTTCACGTCCGTCAGCTTCTTGTATGCCTCGGCGTCCAATCTCGGCGACTTCCAGGTATGTGTGGCTACTCATTGCGTCGGTGAGTTCGAATTGTACTGACTATCCCCATCAAAGTTTCTCTTCATCGACCTCCTACTCATCCTGCCCATCGCCGTATTCAGTAAGTCGAGACGCTGCATTTCTCTTGGCTAATTAGGTACTGACATTGTGGCCGCAGTGAGCTGGGCGGGTCCGTACAAAGAGTTGTGCCGGAAGAGGCCAACGGCAGATCTAGTCTCTCGCAAGGTGTTGACGCCACTCATGGGTCAGATGTGTATCTGTATCCTCATACAGGCCGTGGCGTTCGTCACCGTACAGCAGCAGCCATGGTATGGATTTACAGTTCGGGTCCGGATCGCAGCAATAGGCAATGGATGCTAACGCTCTGTACCAGGTTTAAACCACCGAAAATCAACCCGGAGGAGTCGAACATCAAGAATTCGGAAAACACGGCGCTATTCCTGACATCGTGCTTCGAGTACGTACTTTCAGGCATAGTGCTGAACGCTGGCCGGCCGTTTAGGCAACCGGCGTCGCGAAACTGTAAGTCACTCGGTCGTCCCACCTGCCGGGCTGTCTCGTGTCTAACAGCTGGATAGGGCCTTTTGTCGCCACGATCTCTACCACCTTGCTCTGCACTATATACATGGTGCTTCGGCCCGCAAAGTGGCTGAAGCATTTGATGGAGCTGACATACGTCGGCTGGAGCTTCCGGCTCTTTATTGTTGCCCTAGGTGCGGCCTACCTTGCTTTGGCGTGGGTTGGCGAAAACTACGTATTCCAGCGCGTCGCCAGGGCCATTGGGCAGATAAAAGAAAAGGTCACCAAGAAGTCCAAGAAGAGGAAGGAGTACAAGGTCATACAGGAGGGCATGCTATTCTGATCAATTGGCTGTGGAAATGCTACGGATATGTCTATATGAAGCCTCGTGGCTTGGACCCGTCGGTGGAGACAAGCCCAAGTGATTGTTTGATGTCATAATAAATACTAATGTATCCATATCAAGGCCAATTCCAAATATTTATGAGAGTGAAGTTGAGACTTGAAAGCGCTTACTTTCAACCTCAGCCAAGGCGACTGAATCTGAATATTTAATATGATATATAGTGTTTTTCCCTTTTACTGAACTAAATCATGGCCTCGGTGTATTGAAGCCTTTTAGAATCAACTTTGTGGCTACGCTTGGATATTCGGGGTGGCGCTCGTCCTCTTTCGAAACGTTCCACGCATCATTGCCCCTCGTGGTAACCAACTACCTGACAACCCCCTCGATAGGTATTTAAGTAAGTACCTAGATCTCGATTGGCATGTAGTACAAACTTCGGTGAGTAAAAAAACTGTCTGAGATAAGAAGGTAGTTTATGAGGGAGCCTCATATAAACCAGCAATCAAGATCCATAACTAGATACTCTCTACCTTCTACCTTAACCATGAACTACGGTACAGAACGAGACTCAATCCCCACCACACCCCCCTCCCCTCTTCCCAAGAGCCCAACCAGCTAACATACCCCCGACAGACTGGCTCATCGACGGCGGCTACCTGCCGCAGGCGGTGATCCGGCTCGGGATACGGCGGCAGCTGGCGGAGCGGATCGCGTCCATCGGGACGGGCTCGCTGGCCGAGGGGTACGAGGGCAAGGCCGAGTTCGTGGGCCGCCTGCGGGCGCGGCCCATCGCCGTCGAGACGGCCGCCGCCAACAGGCAGCACTATGAGGTCGGCACGGGCGTCCTGGCCGCGTGCCTGGGCCCGCGCATGAAGTACTCGTGCTGCCTGTACCCGTCGGGCCGGGAGGCGCTGGCCGAGGCCGAGGTGGAGATGCTGCGGAGCTATGTCGACAAGGCCGGGTTGGAGGACGGGATGGAGATTCTGGATCTCGGGTGAGTGGTTGGCTGGTTGGCTGGGCTTGCTTGGCCTCCTCCCTTCGGCGGGTTGGCAGCTGTTCTAATCTTTGTCCTTTTTCTAAGCTGCGGATGGGGATCCGGGGCGCTCTACTTCGCCGAAGTGTTGCCTAATGCGAAGATCACGGCGTTCTCCAACTCTAGGACCCAGAAGGAGTATATCGACTCCAAGGCAGAGGAGAAGGGCCTCACGAACTTGAAGGTCATCACCGGAGATGTTGTTGACTACGAGTTCGAGAAGGAGAGCTTCGACAGGGTCGTGTCCATCGAGGTAAGTAACCAACATCCTTGCCCAGAGATACAGTCAAGAGATCGAGTTGGGGGGTTAAAAGCCAAGCGCCACAGTTGTTCGAGCACATGAAGAACTACGAGCTGCTCATGGCCAAGATCTCGCGAGCGCTCAAGCCTGGTGGGAAGCTGTTTGTCCACATCTTCGCCCACAAGACCACCCCTTACGACTATGAGGAGGGCTGGATGACCGAGTATTTCTTCACCGGAGGAACAATGCCGTCGGCCGATCTATTGCTGTATTTCCAGCGGGACTTGCAGATTCAGAAGCAGTGGTGGATAAACGGCAAACATTACTCCAAGACATGCGAGGTAGGTGAAGCAAGACCGCGAGGCCGGTCAGAAACCCGCTCCATTTCACCATGCTAAGAAGAAAGCAGCACTGGCTCTCCAAGATGACAGCACATAAAAAGGAGATCTGGCCGCATCTCATCGAGACGTATGGGGAGGAAAACGCAACCATGTGGTACTACCGATGGCAGGTGTTCTATATGGCCTGCTCGGAACTGTTCGCCTATGAGGGCGGTGACACGTGGGGAGTCGCCCACTATCTGTTTGAGAAACGAAATGGGCAGCCGTAGGGTCGTCGGGGTCGAAACAGTTGGACTCTTTATGATATTTGTGAATTCCTCGGAGTCCCATCGAGGGATCTAGTCGACCGTTTGTGACCAATTGATGCCCAATGCCACTCCCATATATGTACAAGTCCTCATCCTGACCAGCCCATCGAAGCTGAATGTCTCTAATGGTCCCACGGGTGTTTCCAGCCCATCAAAACGGGGCCTGAGAAGAAGGTTAGTGATCGAGGCCGGGTCGGGCAGGGGACCTAGGAATAAGTACCGTCTTTCTTTGCCCGGTAGAGCAACTGGTCCCACCAAGTCAGCTGTCTGGTCTCCATTTGCATATGCCTTGAGAGAGAGCTTACGAAGAACCACATGCTGGCACTCAGGCCAGTGGCAGCAACCCGGTAGAGTGCCGGGACGTGAGGTCTGAGTCCAGCCATTGCGCCCGTCTCCCTAGGAAACCCGGTTAGTTGAGGACTGGGCGTAGATCGGAAGAGGGAGGCTTACTTCTTTGCAGTTGAGCCGGGTCGAATCAAGGTTTAGGGAAGGGTGTGGATTGGTGGTTTGCGAATTCTTGCGATCGAAATGTCATGAAGCGATTTGCGGTTGCGGGTTGATTGGAAGCCGCAGGTAAAGATTTGTTGCCTTGCAATTGAGGCACCAAGCATGATGTATCTAGGTACCACCTCGTTAGAATGTGACCCGTGCGTTCCATGTCCCGCCATTGGCCTATACGTCCCTGGTACTTTTTGGACTGGGCATGTTAATGTTGATCGCGGGTTTGACCTCTTCACCTACCTTCTATTGTCGTACCAATCCTCGATACAAAGCATCTCCAATATCTCGCTATCCGGGCAATGTCGTCAACGCCCCGGCAACTGAGAGACGCCTCCTCTTTATCCACTCTCTAGCACCTCATCCATCGGCGACACTTTTAACCAAAGCTGGTTGCGATTTGCAACATCATAGCAGCCATGAGTGTCGTCGATTCCAGAGCGCCTGGCGGTGTCGGCTCCCCGCGTTCCTTCGCACTTGCTCACCAGCGACCGAAATCCAATTTCCTAGGATGCTCTAGAATTACCGATTACGACATCCTAGGCAAGCTCGGCGAAGGCACTTTTGGGTAGGTCGCCAGTGCAGATCTCCCTCCAATTCCCTTTGCTAACCTTCTGCCTTAGTGAGGTTCACCGCGCAAAGGCGAAAAAGACTGGCGCTGTAGTGGCACTAAAGAAGATTATCATGCATAACGAGAAGGATGGGGTTCGTGTTGCCATCTCCGGTTTCCCCAAAGAACCCCGCTGACCATGTCTCAGTTCCCGATCACTGCGCTCCGAGAAATCAAACTTCTGAAGCTCCTATCACACCGAAACGTATTGAAGCTGGAGGATATGGCTGTCGAACACCCCGTGCGGAGTGGTACGTCTTGAGCTGTCTGTCACCCGTAACAACTCGACTAACTATGGCCCTCACTAGCGGACAAGCGGAAGCGGCCTATCATGTACATGGTAACTCCATACATGGACCATGACCTGTCTGGCTTGCTCGACAATCCCTCAGTCCACTTCACCGAACCCCAAATCAAGTGCTACCTCTTACAGCTGCTTGAGGGGCTCAGGTACCTACACGAGAACCAGATCCTCCACCGAGACATGAAAGCTGCCAACCTACTCATCAACAACAAGGGAATCCTACAGATTGCGGATTTCGGCCTCGCGAGACATTACGATGGACCGACACCGAAGGCTGGATATGGCGGAGGCGACGGGAATCGAGATTACACGAGTTTGGTGGTCACGCGTTGGTACAGACCACCGGAGCTTCTGATGCACCTGAAGCGATACACCACTGCCATTGATATGTGGGGTGTCGGGTAAGTGGCGCCATTCCTGTCCTCGCGAAGGGCATATCCTAACATCAGTCAGCTGCGTCTTCGGTGAGATGCTCGTGGGGAAGCCCATCCTTGCTGGAGAAAGCGATGTCCACCAGCTAGAGATCATTTTCGATCTGTGTGGTACGCCAACAGAAGATACCATGCCTGGCTGGAAGTCGCTTCCAGGTGCAGAGAAGCTGAACCCCCGACCACGGCCCGGGAACCTCTCTCATCGTTTCCGAGAATTTGGATCTGGAGCGATATCGCTGCTGAAAGAGCTTCTTAAGCTCGACTGGAGATCGAGGGTCAATGCCATCGATGCATTGCAGCACCCTTATTTCCGAAACTCGCCTCTACCCGCGAACCCCGGCGATCTGCCCACCTTCGAAGAGAGCCACGAACTTGATCGTAGGAAGTTTCAAGATCGCAAGGCTGCCCTACCTCCCGCGCCCAAAGGAGGCACGGTGGGGAGAGGGCCAATGGACGGTGGGGCCGGGCCCAACTCAGGGTTCGCCAACGCCGATGGATACGGCGGCAGGAACGGTGTGAATGGGGGACGTTATACGCGCAATGCGCCGCCGCCCCCGGTCGACGAGAGGCGGCCTGCATGGCACAGGGAGAAGGGATTGCCGCCACGGCCCCCGCCGCCCCTCGATTACGGAAACGGATGGGATCCGGCGGGTGAGGGATATAGAGAGCGTGATCGGGATCGGCCGCCGCGCAGTCGGGCTGGGGCCACGCGGCCGGATGTTGACACGTACATCCCTGCCTATGATAGGGATGGCGGGGCCCGAAGAGAGCCGCGAGACGACCGGCGCCGTCGGGACGACCGGGACGATAGGCGGCATGATCGAGGGGACAGGAGGCGAGCTGATGAGACGAGTCGGACTAGCAGGACGAGAAGTCGGAGTCGGTCGCCCCTTCGTGACAGGGAGAGGGAGCGAGACCGGGATACCTACCGCAGATGAGGCGTGGGGGTTTTACTTGAGAATGATGGCGATTTTGGCGCATTCCAATCCGCTTTCCGGCATGAAACGGAGAGAACCCCGGGAGCCCACCCATGGAGTTTGGCGTTTTATTGGGGGCGGCAACGGGCGACCATTCCGCTAAGGAGGCAATGGTCTCAGGGCAAGGACGCGGTAAAGATGGTAAATAATCACGGCGTTGCTTGTGCGATAGTACGATAGGTTAAGACTATGAAACGATCATGAGTCGTCATCTTCCTCCAGAATCGTCTGGCCAGTCAGTCCAGGTGTCTTCCGTCTGCGTGTCTTGAGCTTGGGCTTCATCTCCGGCCACGCCCAGTCTGACGGGGAGCTCTCCTCCTCATCTTCCTCCTCCTTACCCTTCCACACCCCTACCCGCACTTTAGAAGCCGGCTTGGCGATCGTACCGCTGTCGTCATCCCATCCGAGAACCGAGACCAATATTCTGGAGGTGAACTGTAGCACCGTGCCGGCGAGGAGCCCCACGACGATAGCACAGCCAAACTGGGTTTCCTTTCTGGTTAGTGGCCTGGTCTTTCTGTAGGCCTAGAAATGCGGGACTTACGAAGATGTAGAGCGGCTACACGGGCGGGACCTTAGCACGGGGTCTTGCCACCTTCCCATTATAGGGATCATTGGGAGGGAGGGAGGGAGGCGTCTTACCTGCAGGGCCTGGAGGAAGCGGAGAACGAAATAGAAAGGGGCCAGCGAATACTGGACTATGTATATGACGGGCGACAGGATGAAGAGGAGCAGCCGGACCAGGGCGGACACGGGGATCAGAGTAAGTCTCAGCAGGAACAGGGCTGGGGTCGTCAAGACGGCCCATGTTGTCTGTAGCGGGGTGAGCGTGAGCCAAGACATTTTGAAAGCTGCTGTGAGTGCTTCTTGAGCGGTTGGTTTGGTCGCGAGACGCGAGATGAAGCTCCGAAGATGGGCATCCAGTTTACAGTCGTCTTGGATTATTGACGTCGTTGATGTTGTTGAGATGTTGTTGAGGTTCTTGTTATTGACATCATATAAGACAGGTATTCGTGTGGAATGAGGGCGGTTGGAGCGATATGCATCTATGCGGGGGGCTGCTCTTCACTCCTGATAAGGAGGGAAATATCAAGAGTTCGGGAAATATTCGCTGTTTTTCACCTTGAAAATCAACACAATGGTATTTTGAAGAAGAACTTCAACAACGGCGCTGAGCCAAATCAGACTCTCAGAGGTAAGGCTCATTTTTGGCATAAGCGGAAGGTTCGTGAACTGCATGGCCATCCACCTAGGTGTGAGTAGAGCATACCTATTTTCCTCAACCTAGATGCCTCTTATTGTTCCCCTGTTGCGTCTGTCGAGACATGGCGATGAGGACATATTCTAACAATTAAAGTTTAGGCGATTCCCCGGGCTCAAGATTGTAACATAATCAAGCCTTCGTCCTCACATTTTTATTTTTATTTTTATTTTCTTATTCAACTGGGCTCTCAACTGGGCTCTCATAACCCCCAGGTAACCACATCATGTCACAAAACCCGCAGAATGACACCTCAGTCGCCGCCAGCAGCCAGGGCAAGGCCCAGAAGTCACGAGAGCTGTTCACCTGCACCATCAAGTCCCCGCCCCATTCCTACGCGCGCCTAGAGATGGTGTCGGAGACCCTCGAGCCCGTCCAGCTGGACGCGCTGCAGGTGCGGTCCTACTGCACCGCGGCCCTGCGGCAGTTCCTCGGCGACACGGGAGCTGCCGTCGCCGTGGACATCCTCCGGGTCCGCGGCGCGGAATGCTGGCTGCGGGTCCCGCGCCAGGACCTGGCGGCCTTCGCCGCGGCCCTCACGGCTTTCCCGGGCATCTCGCAGGGCGGCGGGCAGGCGTCGGCCCTGCATCTACGAGCCTGCGGCAACTGGCTGGGTGCCCTACTCGGGAAGCGGGAGCAACAGAAACTCTGGAACTCGTGAGGAGAAGATGGATGGATGGAGAAGAATTATGGGCTTCGATTCAAGTTCCAAGCTATTATTCGCCCCCGCCGGATTTTGCTTTCGCTTTATGACAGTTGTACCACGACTCCCCACAAGGTATACCCGAGCAGATCGCCAAGTCCACGCTTATATGCTACCAAATGGCCGCTTAAACGCCGCGGCCCTGACTCCAAAAGATAATGCAACCGACTTCGGGACTCTACGAAAATTTGCCAGATCCCTCTCATTTTACATCAGGGACGACATGAGGGAGCTATGAGCATAGGCCTGGAACGCGTCAGTTTAGGGGGGGCGGTCAAACGGACTCGGGTGGGGGAAACAAGCATACCATTGGGCGGACGTTTGGATGTGGAACCGCGTCGAACTGGGCGAACTTGAGCTTGTAATCGGGGCCGATGTTGATATACGCCCCGCGGTTCTCAGTCATGTCACAGTATTTCGGAGCCGAGAAAACTGGGAGCAAAGTCAGTCGATGCTCCTCCCCGTTTGGGATTCCACAAAGGACACCTACCGGTAATGCACTTCCCGTCATGCTCCTCCTCGTAACCGTCCATCCGCACTTCGTGACTGCGGATAATGGCTTCCAGCCCGTTCCTCTCACAGAACCGCTTTGTGACATCCGGGCCGAACTGCATACCGACACCGCGCTTGCTCGGCCCTCGTCCAGGCTCGGTCTGGGGGTCCGTCCAGAGCATCTCCATCATCAGGCCCGACTGGCCCGGCTGCCTCTGCTTGTGGCGGTTCAGCTTCCGGATATCATCCAACGTCACGTTGTCGTCTGAGAAGAGTCCTCCATGGAGAACGAAGTACTTCTTCCCAACCAGTGTAGCCAATGGCAATGCCGAGAAGCTTTCCGAGAAGAGCTTGAAGATCCTGCTCGAGGTTAGTCGCCAATTTCTTCTGCGGCGGTCACCAACTCGTATCAGAATCTCCAGATACTTACCGTTCGTTGTACTTGGCTTTGCACTCCCCCTCGAATCCGTAAACCCGGTTCATGTCATCTGTCTCGTGGTTGCCACGGTTTATGAAGAAGGCCTTGGGACGTAACCATTTGTTCGCGTACAGGAGTAGGGCAATTTCCGTTGACCATGATCCCCTGTCAACAAAGTCGCCATTGAAAAGGTAATAGTGGCTGTCACTCGGCTTTCCGTTTAACCTGAAGAGCTCCATGAGGTCAAAGTATTGGCCTGCAAAAGTGTTATTAGTCCGCGGGATCGGCCTGAGGGTATTACTCGGGGGGGACAAACCATGGGTATCTCCACAGACTGTGAGCTCCACCCCTTCTGGGATCTCCATCTCAACCATGGTGGGCTCGTCGTATACAATCTGTTTCACGGCCATGATGATCTGGTAGGCGTATTTCTTGTGCAGCGTCTTGCCGTTCTTGAACCGCTCCGTCATGTCGTCGATAAACTCCTGCGTCATCTCGTCTCCCAGTCGTGCGCCGTCGTACGACGGCTCAACAGCAATCGACTCGACATCGAGACCTGCGGCCGCCGAGGGCTCCTCGCCCACATCGATTGCGGCAAAGAAGGCGTTCTGCCTGATGATCTTCTGGCACTCTGCTAGCTTGAGCTTCGCATCCTTGTTGGCCGGGTCTATCTTCAGTACTGTCTTGAAGTCCTTCGCTGCTTCGTCTGGCCTGAGGATGGCTGCGTGGCCGAGGGCGCGGCGGTAGTAAGCCTAGATTTAGAAGACCAATTAGCCTGACGACCCATATCTGGAGCCCACGAGGAGACTGCGCGCCTTCACGAAACTTGGATTTAGTTCGATAGCCTTTGTAGCATCCGCTACGGCATACCCATATGATTCGGTCTTCAAGTTGGCCTGTAAGTGGTAGAGAGAATAAGTCAGCTTCTTCGACTAAAAACAACCAAGTCAGGCGAGATCTGAGCAAGAACCAACCTGAGCCCTATTTGCATAGAACGTGGGCTCCTTGTCGTTCAATTCGATCGCTTTGGAGTAGAAATCTATGGCAGTGCGCCAGTCGTGGGCGGCAAAAGCCTTGTTGCCCTCGTTCTTGAAGGCAACTGCTTGCTCCTCTGAAGTGGCCATGGTTTGGGGTTCTAGCTTCGCTACCTCGCAGGATGGTACATGCGTCCTGTAAAATGGATGGAGCGTCTCTTGGTATGAGAAGTGGATCAGCAAAGTGCGGCTAGGAAGTTTCGAGAAGTATGCTTCTCAAATTTAGATCGGACTGCAGCCTGAAGCCGAAATTTTAATCTTGAGCTGCCCTTCTATGTCGTCGAAATCCGGGATCGCAGGTATACTAGCCGGGTTAAGTGCAGGGATCTTGTGACTGATAGGCTCATAAGGTCCACTAGCACCCCGCATGCGCCTACTGAAGTTCGCCTATCGCCACGCCTGCGGATTTAGACATTTGTTCCAACTTCAACCCGCCCTCTCGGATGACTGCCTACCTACCTCCTTGAGCTCGAGAAGCTGCCCACTTCCACCCTTCTCACCTCGAAACACGTCCACCGTTTGTCACCATGGCCTCGGAATCAGCGTCATCGAGCGCTCTCGTGCGCAAGAGGGTTGACACGGAGTTGATGCCCCCACCTCCACCCGCCAAACGCATCAAGCGGCCAAGGAAGGTCCTAGACGAAGACACATACACCGAGGCGTTATCACAGATCATTGCGCGGGACTTCTTCCCCGGGCTTCTTGAGAGCGAAATACAGCAGGAGTATTTGGATGCGCTGGAATCCAACGATAAAGTATGGATTTCGAGCGCCGGGCGGCGACTGCGGCATGTCATGACACCGGGGCGGCCGCGAATCAGGCGGGGCGCAAGCGTACAGCCGGCAGGACAGACCCCGACCGGATACGTTGGCGATACCCCGTTGTCTGTTGTGTCTACTGTGGTGGAGGAGAGGATCGAGGTCGATACGAGCATGGGCCTCGGAGCTTTCCAATCGAAATACACGAGCGAGGACAACGAGAGCTTCTACAAGCTGCTCGACAAACAAAACCAGAAGAGGGCTGAGAAGTACGCGTGGCTCTGGAGAGGCAACAAGTTGCCCTCGAAGATGCAGTTGAAGCAGAAGGAGATCGAGGCGAAGTTGAGCCAGACGAGAAGTTTGATCGATGACGGCTTCAAGAGGGACCGGCTCGCCATCAAAGACAAGGACGATCGGCCTGCCGCCCCGGATCATTGGAAGGCGAAGCCAAACAACCAACTGATGTTCGCCCCCGAGGGCATCGATGGCATATTGGAGACAGTCGCAGAGAGGGCGCAGGCGGAGTCCCGGGCGGAACCAAAGTCTATCGTCTATGAGAACACGCGGATGCCGGTACCAAATATAGCGCAGGATCAGTCGGTTCCGCCTTCTCCATCACTCTCAGCAGTTCGCGATGCGATCGCGGGCAAGCGTCGCCCGGGGGATCAGGAGTCGAGCACTGGGGGTGGGGAGACGCCTCGGGTCAACGGGTACGCTTTCGTTGACGACGAGGAATCGGATGCCACCCCCGCCCCCGCGCCGGTCATCGATTTGGGCCACGGAGACGCCACACCGAATCCGTTTCGACTCCAAGATCAGGGGAAGAGGGAGGCTCTTCATCACCGCATGGTCGAGCGGATATCTCAATCAAAGCGGTCATCCGCCAAGCTTGGGTTAACCGGAAAGGTGGAGAAGACGCCAGTTCCCAAGTTCCCCAGCAGCCCACGCGTGTCAGGAGACTTGACCCCCGCTGCCCAGAGATTATGGGGCAAAATTGACAGTGCAGGAAGGAAGCTGTCCGACTCGCCTTTCAATAGGATCAAGGCGACGCCGGTACGAGGGAAGGGGTCGGGACTGAAGAATGTGGCCTAGTGAAAGGAATCGTTGATTAGAGAGCTATACCAGGCAGGTCTCACGGATAGGGGCAGGCCATTGCATTAGATACCCATACAATTGATTTTTCGAATAGAGAGAGTTAGGAGACGCATTCGCTTGAATCTTTGGGATATCGCAAAAAGGATATCCCTGCACGTCGTCTATTGATGACGGGTACGGGGATTCGTAAGCTAACAAGTCGGGAGCGATGGGGTACCTAATTATGAGAATGCCACGGCGCAATTTCTCAACGTTGTCACCTGAGACGGCTGCTGCAACCCCCCTTCCTGAGGCCAGGAGTTCGATAGTACCGAGAGTCCTCCCCGGATCTGCTGTCGACGCAAGTTGAGTGACATTTCCGGGTACCTTATCAGTGCCCAGCTTGTGCGGTGGGAGTTATCGATAGGTACCTGGGCACCTACCTAGTTACATAGCACTCCTCTGCAGTCCCTTGATAAGTCGGGATTCAAGGATGCGACCTGACAACGTTCGCCTTGGGAGCTGCCCAGCGTTCCATCCAGCAACTCTGGCACAGGTGCTCTGTTGTGGCTCTCCGCTCTGGTTCGAACTGCAGCATCGACTTCAACATGCTCAGCAGCGCGGCTCTCTCGTGTTCGCCAATCTCGTCCAGGCCGTCTTCTCGCTGCGGCCGTTGTATACACAGCTCTAGGCGCTCGTTCCATCCCCGTCTCACGGTCCCCGGAGGTCTTTTTGGTGCCAACCTAATGCCTAGCTCTCCGTCTTCTGCGTAGAATGCTGAGCGGGCATCCCACCGGGTCCACCAATCGAAGGGGAGTTTTCCAAGTAGGTCAACTTGGTCGGCGAGCACCTCGTCATCCGTCGCCATCCACGACTCAAAGAGCGGGCGCTGCCCGAGAACTTCCCAGACGAGGTATACCAAACTCCAAATGTCGGCGGGGAAGCCCAACAGTGTAGGTGGGAAGCGAGTCTCTGGCGGACGAAAAGACGGCGGCGAGTTCGAATAGAGTCGGTCGGTAGACGACGGCATGAACGACTCGCCAAAGTCACCCAGAAGTACTTCCGCCTCCGGCATCTCGACATCTTCACTCGTTTTCCCCATCCATATAGGCACGACAAGGTGGCTTGGAACCCCCCCAGTCGAGAGACTTGCCGTCCGTGCGCGTGACTATTTCTAGTTCGGGCTCTCCGTACCTCTGGTAGATTTCATCCGGCGTCAGATCGTTGACACCGCGAGGCAGCCGGAAGAAGATGTTCCCCGGGTGGATATCTACGCGTAGTACGTGAGACTAACGGAGCTAGGCTAGATTATATGGGATGAGGACTGACCAGCATGGACGATGCCCTTTGAATGGACAAAGTCGACAGCTAACACCAACTGTGCGACGATAGATCTGGCAATCTCCGGCCGAAAGAACCTCGAGTGAGACGCTTCTTGGGCGTCACGGATGGTCATTATGGCCGGCGGCATAACAAGGCATTTGTGATAGCCATTTGGGCCCTATATGTCAAAATCGTCTATCAACGTTCGAACTAGGCGCTCCCCAGGGTGGGCAGTACCCTCCTGGTTTGAATGCGACAGCTGCTGCAGAATTCCTCCTTCTAGGGATTCCTCTCTAGAGTCTGCAGAGCATATCTTGACTGCCACGTATTGACGGCGCAGCGTGTCAAGCGCTAGCCAGGTTGTCGAGTAGCCGCCGAAACCGAGCTTGTGCACGACGCGGTATCGCCCCTCCATCATCTCGTCGCCGATGGAAACAGGATGAAATCCGCCAGCACGATACTTTGAAACGTTTTCGACATCTTCCATGAAGTTGTAAGCGGGAGCTAGCGACTTGGCTTGGGACGCCGTCCCGCAGTTGCGCGTTCCAGGACACCTATACCTCTGGTCTCGGGCAAGAATACTCGGGACAGTGGCGGAAGCAGTTGACAAACAAATGGAGAAAGATGAAAACGAAGAATTCAAGTAGCGCGCACGAATAACGTTGGGCCAGCCTCGCTGCATTGTGTCCCCGGGGCACGACTACATAGGTACCTGCATAACGTCACATGAAGAACGCAGATTACCTAGATCAAGAATCCAGTCGTTGGTAAAGATGAACCGCCCTCATGCGCTAGACGCTGACCTGCCCGATATCATGGCCCATACTTGTACCTTTTGAGCCTCATTATGCGCAGCCCATAATAAGAGGCACCGGTTAGGTATGTATCGGGATTGCAAGGGTTAGTCGTGTTGTGGCAGGGCGCCGGCAGGTGTCGCGCCAATAAGCAATAGGACTGGCTTCCAATAGACAAATTATTGTGGAGCTTCCTTGTGAGAGACATTTGCTCATCTCTTAGACCCAAAATATAAGGCAGTACAGGAGATGTAGTCGCCAGCTCAATAACCTCAAGCTGTTCTAATGGGAATTGGTGCCTTCCTCGTTGATTTGGCGGCGGTGCTTCATGCCTCCCGGTCAGTTGCCTCAAAGCATGTTGCCTTGAGAGCGCGCCAGCTTGGCCGGTACAGCCAAACTTTGAGCATCGCCGCAAGTCTCCGTGCGCAACAAAGGAGCTCGGTGCCGCCCTCGAAGGAGTTAATATCCCGCCAGGATGACCGAGTCAACCAAGCGCCCGTTCATCAGGATAGGGAACCTTCCCGGCCGGAGTTAGTCGAGGCGTCCATTGAGCAGCCAGTCACCTCACCATTATCGGAGAGGCTACGCGTGGAGAACTTGCAGCCTAGATCTAGTCCCCGAGCGACCCATTCTCCATCCCTGTCTGTGTCGAGCCCGGTTCTACAGCAGAAAACTGAGGAGCAAGCGCAACTTAAGGCAACGACAGATGGGTCAGCGCGATCGCAGTTTGTTTCTGCGCCATGGGCTACTATCAGTGGTGGCCCTGTTCACCAGACTTCTCCCGCCGCTCTGAAAGGGCGAGCGGGACTGAATGACAGCCAGAATGTGGGACAGGAGGGTGTGGAACCGGTTCCGGCTGACATCGATGTCAACATCTTCCGTACTACTCGGGGGTCGAAGATCCTCGGGTCGTTCAAAGTGCCCAAGCCAGGGCTTTCGCACAGCAACAGCAAGGGGGAACGTCAGACTCCTCCCGTAGCTGCATCTGGTTTGGGCCCTGAGAGGATACCTGCCGGAGAAGGAGGGCGCCCGAAACCACCTTCACAGCCAACCGAAGGTTCGTTGCATGTCAGCCAGCAAGATCAAGCCTCAGAGAGTCGCGCACAGAAAGATGCGTCGGTTGAAGGCGAGCCCGAGCCCACCCAGGTATCAACGGCAACTGGTGCCCCATTTATGGTCACAGAGGAGGATGCAGCTTCAACTGGTGCCAACTCTCCTCGACAGGCGGCAATCGAAAATCCGGCCAAAGCGGAAAAAGAACTGTCCCAGGAAGAAGCGGAAATTATAGGTGACCTCATAGGCCAAAGCCCAGCACCGGCCTACCAGCTTCGAGAGTCGAAGGTACCAGCAACGCGGTTAAGCAGGCTTTGGAACTACGGCGGTTTGGCCGCCGGCATGTTCGCCGGCGCGGTCGGCGAAGGTCTCAGCCGGGCGGTTGGCGGCGGTGGCCAGGGTTCCGTGATGCTCAGTGCCGGAAACATGGAGAGACTAGTCGCCAAGTTGTCCCGCATGCGCGGCGCGGCTCTCAAGATGGGCCAGATGATGAGTTTCCAGGACTCAAAGATGCTACCTGCTCCAATACAGGAAGTGCTGCAACGGGTACAGGATCGCGCGGACTACATGCCTTCGTGGCAGCGGGACCGGGTTCTGGTCCAGAACCTCGGGAGTGAATGGAGGGAGTTGTTCGCCACTTTTGAGGAGAAGCCCATGGCTGCTGCATCCATTGGTCAGGTTCATCGGGCAACTCTCCGGTCCAATGGCGCAGAAGTTGCTGTCAAGATCCAATTTCCAGGAGTTGCGGACTCGATCAACTCGGATCTCGATAACCTGGGCATTCTCCTGGCAGCCACCCGATTGTTGCCAAAGGGGCTGTATCTGAACAAGACCATTGACAATGCTCGCACCGAGCTCGCATGGGAATGCGACTACGAGAGAGAGGCCAAGTGTGCCCAACGATACCGTGAACTACTCTCTGACGAGAACGATGTGTTCCTGGTCCCAAAGATCTACCCCGAGGCCTGTGGGAAACATGTCCTGACTATGGAGTACATGGAAGGCACCGGGGTGACGCGAGTGAACTCATTCACCCAGGAACAGCGGGATTGGATCGGCGCCCAGATCCTGCGACTGTGTCTCCGGGAAATCACGGAGTTCAAGTTCATGCAGACGGATCCCAACTGGACAAACTTCCTCTACAATGCTGAGAAGAACAAGCTTGAGCTTCTCGACTTCGGCGCCTCGCGAGAGTATCCGGACCAGTTCATCTCCCTCTACGTCCGACTGCTCGAAGCGGCATCGAGGTCGGATAGAGAGGCTGTCAAAACTCTCTCCGAAGAACTGGGGTACTTGACTGGGCACGAGAGCAAAGCCATGGTCGATGCCCATACCACCTCTGTCCTCACCCTGGCCGAGCCGTTTTTGCAGTCTGCCCCCGAGGTCTACGATTTCAGAGACCAGACGATCACGGATAGGGTCAAAGCCCAGATCCCCATCATGATCCATGAGCGTCTAGCTCCGCCCCCTGAGGAGACATACAGCTTGCACCGAAAGCTCAGCGGTGCCTTCTTATTGTGTGCCAGGTTGGGCAGTAGGGTGAGGTGTCGAGATATGTTCGAACAAGCCCTCAAGAAGACTGATCTCATCTCCAAATGAGTAGACGATACCGTTGTATAATAGCTACTATGTAGTCAGTGTAGAATACTGGGAAAGGTTGAGGCCATGTACATATAGCAGAAGTAACCCCGGAAACACCGCTCAAGCAAGGGCATAGAGGATAGACGAAAAGCCGAGTTTCCTTTTTTGCAAGTTCAACACTAATAGCCCGGACTCCTCGGCAACTTATTGTGCCTCTGCACCTCGCCGGAATTCCGGTAGGTTCTTCTTCTCCTTGCCTGCCGCCTTCTTCCTCCTCCGCTCGATCAGCTTGTCGACCTGCTTCTTGTTCATGTTCGCATACTGATCCAGCAGCAACCGCTTCTTCTGTTCCGATTTCTTCAGATAGAACGGCTTCTTCCCCTGCTTGATCAGCTCCTTCTCCTGCTTCCTGTGCTCCTCGATGACGGCCCGCTCTCGGTCCTTGCGGTCCTGGGCTTTCTTCTTCGACTCCATGGACAACACCTGGCGCTGGAGATCCTCCTTGGCCGCCGCGTCCTTGGTCTTCTTGGCGACGACCTTCAGCTTCTTCAGCTCGTCGTCGCGGTACTCGTCCAGGAACGCATAGGCCTTCCTGGCCTTCACCTCGTCGACGGGAGCGCCAAGCGGACCAAATCGCGGGTCCCGCGGCTGCGCCTTGTTCACCTCGACGATGTCGCGCCTCCGCGAGACAGGCTTCTTGCTGGTCATCTCGGATGGCGCGTGTTTGCTTGACCGTTTGGCCTTCTCTCGCCGCGATGCCGGTTTAGACCACTTTGGATGTCTGTAACCCTCCTCTGGTGCTGGATCACTCGTCGAGGCGGAGTCCTTGGCACGCTTCCCCAGAGCTGGCAATGAGGCTTGCGCCCTCGCCAGGGCTCCGAAGGACACCTGAGCTGTGTCGATTGCTGGAGTCTCATCCACTCCGGACTCTCCTGATTCCTGGGTAATACAGTCAGTCCGACGTCCTAACCTGGAAACGAAGACTGGGTTTCCCTTACGCTCTCGCTGTCTTCTTCATCTGAACCTCGGGCTTCTCCAGCGCTGTCGCTCGCCGATTCATCTTGAGAATGAGATGCTTCGCTCGAAAGCTCCATATCTTCGAGATCAGATTCCTGCTCAATCCGGGGCCGAACCCTTCTATCAAGGCCCAGCCCGTGGTTCTTCCTTTTTAGAGACGCCATCACTCTCAAACAATGACTTCACCTGTATCGATTAACCCTCTATGATGCACCTTGATGGGCGTTGCAAACCTGAGCCCACCACACTTTTATGAGACCCCGACAATTTCTCACGGGCCATGTGGGTCAATGAAGTACCACTGCTGCATGAACTCACCAGGAGGTACCAAACTCTTATCGCTTATCGTTATCGTTATCTCCTCGCAAGGCTTCCAGCCCAGAATCGCTTCTTTTCGTCTTCAGTCGTTACAGGCGCATAAATATTCTCACATATTCATCAGCTTCCATGTCACTGTTCACCAGACCCTGGGGGGGTGATGAATAATCAGTTATCTGCCAGCCCAATGGTAGCTTGCTGCTTTCATCACACGCCGTGCTCTGCCGGGACATAGTATGAAAGAGGTTTACCTTCACTTCTGCCACTCAACGCGGTTATGGGTATTCCCTTTCACGTATTGTCTTAACCTTCGCCAGAAGGTATTTACCCATACCTCGACTTTGTGCGCCGGTTTGTCACATTCTCCCCGGGGCTTGCATATCACACCTGGGTCCCGCCGTGCCATCACGGCCTCTGCAAACAATCAAACATCTGGTTTCGAGGCCCGCATAAGAGCAGGTCCGCGACAGTCAGAGGGCGACGGACCCCGAAACCGGGCAGGCTTTACGAAGGCAAAGTCGGGATATCAAAACCGCTTGAACATGGGCCGAAATCGTCAACATCAACCAGCCGGGGCGAATCCTCCTCAAGCTGAGCGGGAGAAGTTCCCGGAAGAAAACCCAGCAATGAACAACCACCAACCGTTTGTGCAAAAGATGGAGTGGGCACCTGGCGCAGAACAGGGTCAGGTTCCTTCCATGGCGCCAGGCCCAAACCACTCAGCCGTATCCCATAGTTTCGCCCACTCCGCCCAGTGGGATTCCTTAATAGAGAGAGCTAGGGCCTCGGCAAAGAACTCTCAGGCCTCCCCGATGAATACCGGCATGCCTATCGTCGCCGAAGGAGCCCACCCTCCGCCCCCTAGAGCGACACTTCCGAAGGCCGCACCCGGATCCCTCCCGGCCCAACCTCCTGGCACCGTCACAGCTCCCGCACCACCACCTTCGGCGAAGCCTAAAGGCCCCCGCCAACAAGCCGAGCCAGCCGCGCGGGACCCAATCGTGCCCCCGAGCGCCGAGTCGGGCGGCATCCCAGAACCGACGGCGGCGTACCTCCTCCGCGCGAGCTTCCTGCCGCAGGCGCTTGTCCGGCCGCGGCCGATGCTAGTGGTGATGGACCTGAATGGCACGCTCCTGCACCGGCCCAACAAGCGCAACCCGTCGCGCTTCGTGGCGCGCCCGCACGCGCGCGCCTTCCTGACCTACTGCATCGACACCTTCCACGTCGTCATCTGGTCGTCGGCCCGCGAGGCCAACGTGGCCGCCATGTGCGCCGACCTCCTCTCGCCGGCCCAGCGGTCGCGCGTCCTCGCCGTCTGGGGCAGGTCGCGCTTCGGCCTCTGCCCCGCCGACTTCAACCGCCGCGTCCAGTGCTACAAGCGCCTGACCAGCGTCTGGGCCGACCCGGCCGTCGCGGCCGCGCACCCGACGGGCGGCGCCTGGGACCAGGGGAACACGGTCCTCGTCGACGACAGCGCCGAGAAGGCGCGCAGCGAGCCGTTCAACGCCGTGCAGATCCCCGAGTTCGTCGGTGGTGGTGGGGGCGACGGCGCAGCAGCAGCAGCAGCAGCAGGAGAGGCGGGGTCGGGCGACGCCGACGACGCCCTCATCCTACCACGCGTGCACGACTACCTCAACACGCTGGCCTGTCAGCAGGATATCAGCATGTATATCCGGGCTAACCCGTTCAGGGCGTAGGAGGGTGGGGGCGTCGTAAGGGTCTGCTCGAAAGCTAGATACCCATTCCCATTTTTCGTACTCTTCCTATTTCTTGGCCCCTTTTTTCATTTTTCCTTTTTGCCCCTGCTTAGGATGGAGTTGCAAGATGATGGTGGAATAAGAGTATCAAGAGGAAGGGTAGCCGACTATTTGTCGTAGCATTGTGACATACTGTACATTGATTATGCTCAAGCAGGCAGGCAGGATTCCTTCTCAAGTCATCTGGATACCAGAGACACACAAGGGCACCGACTACAAAAATCACCAAACACTGGATGAGGCATACGAACACACGAGAACATGAGAGACGTTAGCTGTCATACAGGCCCCTTTTTCTTTTCATCTATCGTAGGCTGGGTCCCAGATGTTTTCTTCCGAGACACGACGCCAAGCAGCAAAAGAACCAGCCGTCCCGAATTCCCATCATTTTCCACCCTTGGGCATAAGTCATCAGATGCATCATGGGCCAGGACCAAATCCCGACTATACCATCCGGGTTTCCCCCTTCATACCAAGTAGCTTACTTGAAGACCTTGCCATCGGCGTGGGGGTACTCCTTACCGTTGTAGGTAATGGGGCGATCCCACGACCAATGAAGTTCGACGAAGTCACGATCCTCAGGCTTGTTGGGGTCGAGCTTGGTGAACTCGTAGCTCTCATAGTCGGGAGCAACGTCGAAGGCCGGAACGTAATCCTGGCCCCGGATGACGAAAGCACCCTGGATAACCGAGTTGTTGTTCTCGCCAAACACCGACGCACATCCGAAGATGTGCTTGCGGGAACCCTCCAGACGGGCGTTGAAGCCGCCAATAAGGTTGTTGGACATGAAGACCAAGGTCAACTCGTCGTTGTACTTGAATTCCACCTTCCAGATAGAGTACTCTTCAAAATTGATGTTCTCCCAGAACCATTTAAGGGCGACAGGGGTATCATGATTGGAGTACTCGCGCTTCCACTCGTCCAAGGGCATTGATGCCTTGGGGAGGAGATCGAGGGGGTGCTTGGGCTTGGGGGGAGGCGCGGGCTCATCCTCATCCTCCTGGACCTTCGGCTTCGCAGCAGCCTTGGGGGCCTCCTGCTTGGCCTGCTTCGGCTGCTGAGCCTTCTTGGGGGGAGTGTTGGTCAACTTGGGGGTGTCAAGGAGAGCGAACTTGGAGGCAACGGCCGAGTAGATGGGCTGGTTGTAGACCGTCTCGTACCACCGGGAGACGTTGGGGTTCTCCTGGCGCCACTTGGTGTCGAAGAAGAACTCGAAACCACGGCTAATGATGGCAGTACAGAAGAGATCGGCAAGGGTGATGCGCTCTCCGACGAGGTAGGTGTTGTGGAGGAGGTGCTCCTCAACAACCGCGATGGCCTGCATGGCTGCCTTCGCAGAATCCTCGACTGCCTTCTTGTTGTACGGGTCGCGTCCGAGGAGCGGGCGGTACCAGCCTCCCATCTTAGGAAGGACCTCGGAGTTGAAGAACGACATCCACTTCAGGATCGAGGCATAGCTAAAGCATGTAAGCGTAGGTTCGTGAGCTTCGGGATCCTGGAGAAAATTCAACTTACTCCTGCTTGGTCTTGCCAAGGAGCGTCGTCTTCTCGTTCTGGGAGGTGACTGTTGACCCAAGTTAGTCACTGCGCCAAGTCGAAGACTGTGGATAGAGAATAAGGCATTGGAAAGGTTCAGAAGTTAGAGCAATATCAACATGAAAAATATTTTCAGATAGGGATAACTGTTAAATGGTCTAGGTCATCATGAAAGGAATGGTTGAAGGCCGGCATTGGTAGGTGCGGGGCAGATGTGCCTGTCGCCTGGTTGCTCACTTACTGTAGATGGCGATGGCAATGCATTCGTACAAGACATATCCGTCCTCGCCAACAAAGGTAGGGACCTTGGAAAGCTTGTTGTACTTGAGATACTCAGGACCAGGGTTGGTCGTATCAACCTCAACAGTCTTGATGTCGAGGTTGTTGGCCTTCGCAACTGCGAGGATGGCCGTCGACCGGGGGTTGGACTATTCGTCGAGCGCTGGTTAGCCTGAACGCCCTGCGATACGGAACGGGGTGACGGACAACAAAGCTTACCGGGTAGGTGTAGAGGGTTCCGAACGCCATGGCTGCTGTGATGTGCGCGCAGGATTTTTGGGTTTGGAGGTTGGGAGTTGATCGAACAAGTTTTGTTGTTCTTTCCCAGCGAAAATTTCTGGTCATAAAGAGATTGGCAAAAAGGTGGGGGCGTGGCTGGGGACCTCAAGGCTTCAATTTCCCGTGGCGGGGGTGGCTAATACAGACCAATAGGAAACGAAGACTGGACGCGAACACGGTGCTTGGGGTCCGTGCCGTGCGGAACTGGATCATCAAGCACTCCGACCAATTTTGGATTTTTGGACGTGATACCTAGAACCTGGGATCAGAATCTTGGAGCTCCGGCAACCGTTGTGATGGTTGTTGATAACCGAAATATACACATCACTACCTAGTGCGCGGAGCGACAACAATGAAATTGAGGCATTGGAGATGATGGCGTCCTTAACAAATGGCAGTACCGTCCTGAGGGCCTGCTGTCAGATCTCCAAGGCCCTGCGGCAGCCTCTCCATCCCCGAGCTCTCGTAACCAAAACCCCAACCGGCAGCGCCAGATACATGGCAAGTGTCTCTGGACAGCTGGATGCATCACCCCCTCCAGAGATTTCTGCGGAAGTCGTTGTTCCACACAAACAGCTCCACGCTCGCGCGGTCCCCGTATCTCCGTCATACTTCTCACGACAAGCGCGTTTCAACGACAGTTATCTCATGCTACAGAAACTTCTCCGAAGCTATGAGAATCTCCCACTCACGCCCCAGGGGAAGATCGAGCGCATCGCTTGGAAGACGCTGCAGGACTACCGGCAGACAATAGGGGAGCAAGTGAAGACGTCCGATTACGTCAAGTGCATGGAGGTCATCAAGCGGCTGCACCAGATCCACCCCAAACTAAAGCCAAAAGCTGTGACCGACGCCCTAGAAACTTTCAAGCGAGACATCCAGCCATTCTCCAACGTGGCCAAGCCAATCGCTATCGACCAGTTTGGAAGGGCTGTGGGTGTTGGCCGGAGGAAGACATCGGTAGCACGAGCATGGGTGGTTGAAGGGACGGGCGCAGTTCAGGTCAACGGCAAGTCTCTGGCCGACGCGTTTGGTCGAGTGCACGACCGGGAAAGCGCGGTATGGGCACTACGGGCAACTGGACGGATTGACAAATACAATGTGTGGGCGCTGGTTGAGGGGGGAGGGACTACCGGCCAAGCCGAAGCACTCACCCTCGCTGTTGCTAAAGCATTGATGGCTCACGAACCGGCTCTGAAGCCGGCATTAAGGAGAGGTAAGGAAATGCTACCCCCCTCCACCATTACAATGTTATCCGGAGAGGGCTAACGCGTGGTTTCTAGCTGGATGTGTCACTCGCGACCCCAGGACGGTGGAGAGGAAGAAGCATGGACGCGTGAAGGCTAGGAAGATGCCCGCCTGGGTAAAGAGATAGTATGTTTCTGGCGCAAACAAGTGGGGATAGCATTCCGACGTAGAAGATGTCAAGCAGCCGCGTCAGGGGTCGCCAAGGGGAGTGTACGTAGGTAGTAGGCTTGACTGGGCAAGGCTGGCTGCGTGTACTGTACTGTGGTATGATGTATGTATATGCTGATCTCATTTGAAACAACCCACCCTGGACCATGAACAACGGCGACGGCGACGGAGATGGTCGGTCGGGAGATGGCAAAGGCAACGATCGTGAAACCGTTGTAATGACAGGGACAGGGAGGGCAGGAATTGGATGGTCGACATCGGCCGCCCACCGCCAACCCTCAAAGGCGGGTTAAACAACGTAGCATGGTACCGAGGCTGTCCCTGTCTCGACATGGAACCTGCTAGTGAAGGTCTTTCCCATGCTAGGCTAGCAGCGAACATGGAGGTCCTGCACTAGACGGTTGGAAGTTTCCATAGAAGAAGCAATCGAAGCTCCATCTCTTGGGCATGCGGAACAGGCGGCTGGGTCAAGTTGGAACGGCTTGTTTCCACAGCAAACTTACCTCGACGGGATGTATACACTGTAAGCACTTGTCAAGGGTGTCAACCTAGAATGAAGGGCTAATTACCGAACACCGTCATCCAGCCCTCCAATCTTCAGCAAAAAGCACAGACCCTGTGGCTTGTCTCAGAAGGCTTCTAGAAGCGATTCGGGTCTTGGCACTATGATAATCATCCACTCGGGGGAGAAGCCTGGGAGAGTGAGGGTGTCGTTGTGCACCTATTAAGTACATGCGTAAGGAGGGATTCGTTAGCCATGATCGGTTTGCGGTTTACAGGAACATTACTGCCCCCGCAAATTGCACAGGTCACACAACACGAGTCACGGCTCTGCTCGGTGTTCCTAGCAGTACTAGGCCTATTCAGACTCCTTCCGTGCAAACCTAACCTAAGGCGGACGAGAAAGGTAAGGCTTGGGGATGGGTTCGGTGACAAGCCAATAGTTGGCAGAAAGTGGTTATTTAAGACAAGACCGAACATGGCCTAGTTCTGCGACAGCCCAAGTCCAAATAAATGATCGACAAATGGCGTCCTGCTGGGCAGGCAGATCCACCAGTGTTGGGGGTGGATATGAGGAATCAGTGCAGACAAAAGAAATATGATAGCTCACCTCCCTGGTGATGAGGCGCCTGCCAGGTCGATCCTGCGTGCAGCTCAGTGTAGTGTAGGCAGACCATACCTTACGTCGTATGCTAGGTGCATAAGCGGGCACCTATGGATGTAGGTATGCACCTAGGTGTAGCTACCTAGGTAGGTGCATACCTAGATAGCTTATTTTCTACTCCTACTATACACAAACCTAGAAGCCTCTAGCAGACGGTATGGACGAATTGTGCGTATTTGGTATTTACTGAATGGGTGACGGATTTGAACGCACTGCCGGGCCCCCAATGCTGAATCGTAACCTGACGTACCTACATAATGCAGGTACTTTAATTAAGAGGTTCAGAGTACCGGAGTTCTTAATCTGGTACGCCTGGTGTAACCTTAAGAAATACCAATCGTTTGTACCGGTTACTTGGGCTCCACTGATCCAAGACCCTAGGCGATTCCGCGCAGCGTCGGTCGCAGCACAGACAGGGATCGACATCGGAGCTCGCAGCCCTGAATTGCTGCTGGCTGACGCCATCCCTTTCTCTCCTGGCAGCTCTGCAAGGATTAGGACAAGAATGGCATCCTCCTTCATCAACCAACGGAAGAACAGATCGTACTAAAGGAAAGGGAAACCCTCACTGCTCCGCAGCTATCCCGACCGAGAAACTTGCCCCATCCGTTTCCGGATTGGTGATGGCTGGCCCTGAAACATCGGCCGAGGCCGAACAGCCACTCTCGTTGGTCCCCGACGAAACCTAACATGTTCGCCCCATGGGAAATGACGAAACTGCGCGCCCTTTTCTCTTGGAATTATACCTGTTTAACCTTGGGGCTTGGACTTGGGCATTGGCTATGGAAGGTACCTAAGCATTGCCCTACCAGGACTAACGAAACCTACCAAAGGGGAAAGTTTGCGGAGCCAGAAACACACGAGTCAGGACAAGGGGCACACCAGGAGCAGCGAGTGCGGCAGACGCACGCTGGAACTTGCGATCCAGCGGACGCATTGCAGCTGATGTCGCTGTTGCACGGCACCTTCTAGAACCCCAGACTCCATAGCGTAGGTACCGAGTGAGGGCAAAAGGCCGGTTTATCCAAGAGTCCATCCAACCATGGAAGCCATGCGGGCAGGCATCAATCCAATTGGGTCCGTCTTTTCCTCCTTAGCGGAATGCTTTACACCGTAGACGTCCCGTCGATGTTCTCTCTTCCTTTTTTCTCCTTTCCCGTCAGGTCGGCTCCATCGTGTGTCGCACACTCGGAGCTAATGGTATAGCAAATCCAGCCCCAAGTCAGCTTCCCGTCGCTGACATGGAAGGCATTATTACATATTGATAGCAACGGCATGCTGGCAGGGCTCTGGATCACGGCACAAAGGACCCGGAAACCGAGACTCCTGTCCTGTCTGTAGAGACAGCGGCTGACGAGAAAGCAGTTGCCTGGTGCTGGGTGATCGGGCCTATTATTATTTTGGGTTTATTTTCCATACATTTATTCGCACATGATTTTTTTTCTTCAGCTACCATAGTACGGGGTGCAGAGATGCTGGTGTGCTAGCGTACCTCTAGTTGCCCCTGAGATGCAGGAACATTAGGGCGAGAACTGGAGGGCTCAACCTGCAAGGTACCGGGTACCCAACCTGCGCGGCTTTTACATAGCATTCGTTTTCCCCGGCAGAGAGGCACTAGTGTAGCAGAGCATGGGGTCTTCACTTTCGCAGATACGTGGTAATCAATTACTTACACGCTACCGTCTTCCGGGGCTGCTTGACGAACTCGTCGCTACCTTAGCTATGAGATCTGGCTGTCTCATCGTAGTCAATCTTATTTTGTTTCACTTAAGTTCAGTCTACCTTTACCGCCTATCATGCTTTTTGGTTTTGTTTTCGTTTTTGGTTTAAAGGTTTAGGTATTTTATCTCACAAGTCTCTTTTTCCAGGCGGGGGACTCTTGCGAAGTGGACTTGAATGTATATATGTACATACATACATACTTGCCCCACCGGCCCACATCAGGCGCCACATGCCATCGACCTGGTACGTTGTAGACCTTCCTAGGTTCCAGCCCCTGTCGGCCAGAGCTCCGGCACTGGGGGTCACCGGGGGAGCTTGGGAGAAGGATGGGGGGCGTCCCTCACGTCAATGTGTCGAGAGTGGGTGTTCATGTGTAGACCCCCCTGCTCTTGCTTCCCTCATTGCCTGCCCCCTGCCCTGCTGCACATTCGCTGCAATTTCTGGGGAGAAGCAAGCAAGTATACACACACCCCATACCTGCCACCCGTCGTTCCCCTTGGAAAAACAGCTTAGCAGGACCCATGGATGTGTGTTTGGCTCCCAACGTAAGGTACTACTAGTCAGAAGTCAGAATGGTCACCTGGGTGGAGCCACCACCAAATACCTTGCCTAGGTATCTCCTCCGATCGATTAGAGGTACCTTCCCTACCATACCTTAATTAGGTTCTGTGTGCCCTCCTCACCCCTCCGGAAGCTTCGAACTTTCTTTTGCGACTTCCACTCAGTACGGCTTAAGACGCCCTCTTGCCCGCCTAGCTCCAGGACATCTGCCCTACTCACCTACCGATAGCATTATCCGTCCCTATCATTCCTGGCCGGCCCTGGGCATAGAGCTTGCCTGTGGCTGTCTCCCAACCAAGCTGTCTCTCTCCATCTCTTCCCCCTTCCCTCCCTCCTCTTCTTCTTTCTATACCCCCTCCTCGCGCCATCTTCGTGCTCTACATCCCCGCCGGCCCCCCCACTTAGCTCTCAGCAATACATACGACGGCATACCTCACACTGCCTCCCTCTTACCCCGTAGGTTGACTGCCTTGGCTTCCCCGGCCTTGCTGCCCCTACGGCCGACCAGTGTAAGGCCCGTTCCACTACTCGCAGCAGCAGCGAGATCGGTCCGTCCAGGTCCCCTTTGCCCATTATCACCATCTCCAAAGATATCGCCTACCAAGACGGCTCGCGCGGCGTTGGCCTGATTAGGTACTTAAGACGTAACTCCGACTACTTCGATCGCAAAGTGTCGTGCAAGGCGGATACCAGAACTAAGAAGACGAATCGGATGAGCTTATTAGTTAAGCACAAACTCTACGGCGTACAGACTCTTCAACTAGTCTCTGAGGCCCTAGATCATGGTGCGGCTTTTGCTACGCTGAGATAGGCTTGTCATGCAAGTCATTCAATGCGCCGGCATCCAGGATACTCCCGGTTCAGTTTGCGCCGCTTACCCACTCCTCCCGCCCTTTTTGTTTCCCTGCTCCGGCCCTTCGAGCTTGTTCGTGGCGACCCTTCGACCACACCAATAACCTCCTCATACTTTCTATCGAGGCATAATTCAAGCCTCTGGAGCGCTACTTCTATCCTTTGGCCGACAAGGCTGGCTCTCCTAACTTAGCTGAACCTTACCGGCTGTCCTTTCCTCTCCCTCCTGCGAGCTACAATAAAAAAGCAGAATTATTGTGCGGTGCGCCCAACCAGAGCCCACAGTCCTTGTCCCTCGACCCGCCACATTTGTGAGCTCGGAACGACCCAAAAAAAAAAAGGGCCTTTCTTCTCTGACCTGCCTCGGCATATCCATACTTGGAAATACTTAACGACCACCTCGAGCCAAGACGCGCAACGACGCCTGCGGAGATACGACCGCCCCCAGAGTCGCCAAGGCGCATTGTGTAACCCGTCGAGCTAGCTGAATATCACTTGGCCTGCCGAACGAAGGACACCGGTCGTGTGACGGTCCAAACTAGCCCTCGGTGGGCTTGCGGCTTAGGGCGTGAAGCGCCCAGCTCCCTCCTCGGGGTATGGACGACAACAGCCGGTCCGACAACAACAGGCGAAGGAGACTGAATGCGCCGCCTATGCCTCACGCTTCTGTTCGGTATGCCGAGGCGCTGCATGACCCGTCGCAGCAGCAGCGCCGGTCCTATGCCGGATCCTCAACGGATAGGTTCCGTCCCCCACCCCTTAACCCGCCGGTTTCGGCGACGGCGACGGGGCGGGGGATGAGCGGCTCGGCTGGCTACAGTACCGGCTACTATCAAGACCCGACAGCCAGCCAGTTCCCTCCAACCGCTATGCCCCCTGGCGCAATAGGTTACCATCAGTCGCCCGGTGAATACGGCCAGACAGATGCACGGCAAACACAGGGCTTTGGCGCCAGCTCATACAACCCTACGACGATGATGTATAACGTGCAAGGTGCCGCGGGAGCACAGAATCCGGCCGTGTACGATACGAACCAGCAGTTTTCCTCACGGCAGCCTGCAGCGATGCAGATGATGCCTTCGGACGTCGGCACCTCCTACTTCCAGAGCGAACCAACCAATACCGCGGCTGCGGCATCCGGCATGCAGCCGCAGGCGGCGTCGGCCTCACAGCCCGTATATCAAGCCTCGGGCATGTCAAGCTATTCCGGAGGTATCCCTTCGATGGGGGGTATCGCTGCGCAGCCCAGCACAGCCACAGAAGCCGCCATGGAGGACCAGGAAGGCTCTGAGCCAGCAGGACTCGAGCAAGCGTGGGCAACCTACCAGAACGAGCTTAGAGGGGTCTTTCGGAGCATACAGGACGGCGTGCTGGCCGCCGCCAGCGAGTCACTTCTTAACGTGTCGGACTGGCTCCTCTCCCATGTGTCCGACCTGGGTGCGTTTCCCCCTTCGCTTTGTGGCGCTTCGCTGCTGTCCCTTCCCTCGGGGAATTTGCGACGAGACTGACAACCTGCCTGATACAGGGCTCAATACAGACAACCAAAGCCTCCACAGCGACAGGATAAAGCTATGGGATGACTTCAATCACGCATGGCTAGCTATCCTTCAGCGCCAGAAAGATATGATGGAGTCGCCGGAACCGCAGCTCCAACGTACACAGACCCTCATCCCCCAGGAAGGCCTGGAAAAGATGGGCAAGGAGCTCGTGAGACTGTGCGATGGAATAGAGCGTCACGGCCTCGTCGATTACCAATATGGCGTCTGGGAAGAGCAGATCATTTCGAGTAAGTTGGGCTATCCAGACTTTTCAATCATCGTCCAGGAAGAGGACTTGGCTAACCTTGCCCACATCTAGTTCTTGAAGAATGCCTTGATCTATACGAATCGTCCGATAATGCTGGAGGCTAACGATGTACCCGTCCGCGAAGTCTGTAAACGGCCCGACCCGTACAGCCTGCTGGCCCTCCGGTTTTCGCCCTCCCATGTTGGCTCTCTCAACGCCGTTCTGCCTCAACGCACGATGCTTGCGCTGTACCAATATCGCGTCTGATTTCCTTTAGTTTTGCTTTAGACTCCAGCCTGGAGTTGGTAGGCTATGCTGTCTTCTCCCGCTTCATCGGGCTCGCAGGCTTTCTGTGGCAGCATGAAACATGAAGGAGGTACAAAGACCATCAGTTTTGGTCCATTCATCAGCCCCGCCCCCTTTTTTTTCTAACCTTGCAAGTCAACAATTTCTTTTTTTCCTCTTTTCTTTTTTCTTTTTTTTTTTTTTTTTTTTTTTTTTTTTTTTTGCATTTTCCCTTGCATTTTTTCTCTCGCCTCGGTTATCGGTTTGTGTATGGGGCTCTGGAATAGGAACCAGGGAAGCTGGGAATTGCTTTCCGCGGATGGATGGATGGGCAGACATGCTTGGCTGACCTGCCAGGAATGGTAATCTCCGCCCTGGAAAGGAGTTCGGCTGTGTCTCGGAGGATAAAGAGGAGATGGAGTTTCCTACGACAAACCCGGCGCAACGCGAAGAATCGAAGACAAAAAGAAAGATAACTTAGAAATCGTTTATTACCCCCTCGCGGGGGTTGTGGATGCGTTTGGTCAACACATTTCTGGTACATAAAATTGGGGAACGCAATGGCCGTGCTACTACTGTTTGCCTGGTGTACTTGGGTCATGGGGCTTAGAAAGGAGGGAGGGGGGAAGGGAAGGGAAGGCGCCTTGTATGTGTACATAAGTCATTCTTCCTACATACCACCTACTACCACCCGCCTTGGACGGGCAGCCAGGATTCACGGCTACATGGCACGGCTTGCGATGACACGGCACGGACCCTGGACCGGATTGATGCCCATGTCTTTCTTTGCTTTTCTTCACCGTGTGTCCAGCCTTCCGGGTGGGCGTTTCCCAGCAAACCATCTAGTCTCGGCAAGTAGCAGGCCCGGAAGAAGCAATTATTGTTGGCCGTGTCTGTGGCCGCCATCAAATCATAGACCTGTCTCGGTGATTGGACTCAGCTGTACCAGCCCAACGGGTCGTCAGGCGACATGGGGCCCGCGGAAGACGGGAGATACGGAGTGTTGGCAGTACCCGACACTTACACGCCAGTGTATGTATGTATGTATGTATGTGCTTCCACGTCCCTCCAAGGGATGTATACGCATACCTTGGCAGTAAGTTGATTAATCAAGGCAGCAGGCAGTTAGTTGAAAGTCAACACGCCACGGACGGGAACTAATGCAGCTGTGTGGCAACTCCCTTCAACCAAGATGTCTTCAACCATGGATGATGCAGGTTGCTTGTCAGTGCGAACGCGCAGAGTTACACACATACAGCTGAGAGTTTTTTAGGCCCAAAAAAAGGGTAGTTCCGGTACTAGCTCTTAGAAAGGGCCGTGTCACCGGTCGATCTATCACGCTGCAGCATCTGGGGGGCAGCAGGCTACTGCAGGAAAACAGATCACATCACATGCCGCCGAGCACTGCAAGTGCAGGTACGTTAGGTGGTCGTGCAGCTCAGGTTGCGGGTACCGTTCGCTGACAACTGGAACTGCGGTTCCCATCCGTTTGGCGCCCGGTCCCAGCTCGACTGAGAAGTGACATTTCCGCAGTGTACTCGGTACTGGTGGGCTTCCTTGGACTGCCTCTCTGTCAGCTGGGCTACCCTACCTATCTGTGGTGGCGGTGCCAGATCAGCGGGATTCAGATTACGCAGGTAGGTGTTTGGGCGGGGGCGACGAAGTGTAAGCACAAGCCACACCCATCCCTACCGCCAGACCCGAGACCCTCCCCAAAACCCAAACGACCTGGCAGGCTGCAGATCCAATCTCGGGGAACCGAAATCTGATCGCATGTACTACTGTACATGCATTTTCTGACCTGTCAATCCCCCTTGAGCCTCGTTACTTGCTTCAACTTCTCGGGCACTACTATTACGGCATCTTGGAATTACTAATTACGCGAATTACCTAGGTCAATCCCCGATTCTCACCGGAACCCAACCCGCCCTATACACAGCAATACCTACTATATGCACGCCTTGACAATCCGGTGGTACGTATCCGTCCTCCCTCATCCATCGCTAAGAGACATGATCTATCCTGCAATGCAGATCGATTGCAAATCACCCGCCGCCGACAAGGGTCAAAAGCTAAAACCAGGGTATCTGGGCACACACTAATCCACTAACCACCTTACCACAGAGCTGGGTGTCATCACATAGATGACTATATGACCTGTCACATCTGCCCACCAGCCCCGGCCTGACTATCGACTGCCGCGCAAGCTCGCTTAGCGGACGCGCTGGGTCAACGACACCCCCTTCCTCAAAAGGTGCCAACCCTAGCGACCAAAACAAGACACCGAGGATACCGAATCCGGAAACCGAGCAGCTAACTCAACATCATGGGGGACTGCCCCCCAAACAACCCCCCGCCCCCCCACCCCCCAACCCAACACGACAATATTGGGTGTTTTAATGGGACGAGCCATCATCCCCCGCCAGTTCGCACCGACAGGCCACACCGGTGGCACCGTCACCACCACCATCACCACCACCACGACGCCCCTCGGCGACCTTTCGGAGATTTACGAGCCAAACCCCAGTCAAAGGATGATCATAAGCAAGCGGTCCCGTTGAACGGGGGGGCTTGACATGCACGAGTTTCCGAGCTCCCGTGCCAGAAAGAAAGGGCATATTATCGCGGTTGGGATTGTGCCAACTAATGTCCCTCTCTCTCCTTGTACGCGGCCCGACTACTCCCACCCACACATGTCCACTAGTAACGGGACATGGAGATTTGGGGACGGGTGGAAGTACCAAGTACGTACAATGGAGCTGCTCGAGCCGAATTTGAAAGAGGCATTGGCTTGGTGTGGGTTCTGCACAGGCTGGAATCACCGACTCGCAAATGGCATTGTTTTAAGGGGGTTGGCATGTTGCTAAGCGCTTCTGGTGGCCTTTTACGACATATCTGAGAGAAATCCGCCCCCCGCGCGGCCACTCGGGCCCGACAAACAGAACCCTGGCTAACTAAACAGGAATCATCATGCGGCCGCATGTGGCATTCGCTCAAATCCCGAGTCGGCGGCAGATTGGCTCTTTCATGGTGCGGAGAGACGCAAACCTGCGTGTATTGTACAAGTGCAGGTAAGTCGCAGTCACGGGAGCGGACACAGAGGCCTGCATCGTGCGGAATCGATATTCATTTGCGGGAGCGCCAAGCTCGCACCCCAATTGGATTTCGTTTTGATCCGTTTGCATGTCTCATCATCAAACGCTGTCCTAAGGCTCTGCCGGAGGGGGGACGCATCGAGTAGAAGTCGACGCTTGCCCCTGAACCATGAAAGACTCGCTCATAGTAACAATAAATGAAGCTGCCCTATAACCCTTTTGTTGATTCCAGTGGTATCTTCCATTGATAACGCAACTCCCGCTCAGAACTGGTCTAGCACACGAAGGGGTAAAGAACCCGCTGGTTAGCAATGCAAAAACAAGACTCGCGCCTCATCGCCCAACTCCTGAGCGCCGGTTGATTCAAGCCCCTTATCGGGGAAACACGGGGGCAGAGGAACGGGCGACTTACCTAGCGTCATGCTCATGCTCACGTCGGTATTCTCAACCATCTTGGTGAACTCCTCGAAGCTGATCTTGCCGTCCTTATCGAGGTCGGCCTCCATGATCGTCTTGTCGACGATCTGCTGCAACTGCTGGTCCTTCAGGTTGTTGCCGACCATCATCTTGAGCACGATGAAGAGCTCCCCGTTGCTGATGTAGCCGTCGCGGTCAATGTCGTAGACCTTGAAGGCGAACCGCAGCTTCTGCTCCTTGTTGCCCTTGCTCGAGAAGGCCGACAGGCCCGAAACGAACTCCTGGAAGTCCACGTCGCCGCCTCCGTCCTCGTCGAAGATAGCGATCATCCTATTAACCCCGCCGAGGACGACGTTGTGTCAGCCAAATGCCGTTCGTTCGAAGCGTCCCCCTTGCTACTTTCTTCTTCGCCCTTTTTTGGTTCAGGGGTTGCGGGAGGGGGCTAATGTGATCGTGGGGAGGGATTGTGCTGCTGCGAACCTTGTAGCTAGCGGATTCGAGGATATTTGCGGCAGGCTGAGGAATTCATCCCGCTCGATAGTGCCCGAGTTATCCTGGCGGCAGGTATCGCTGTCAGTATTCGACTGTATTCAAACCCGCGGTCTTTATCTCCCCCCCCCCAAATCAGCCTCGGGACTCGTGTGAACGTGCCTTATCAAGTTTCATAAACCGTTTCCTTAAGCGGTCAACCTCATCTCGGTCGACTACATCAGCGCAGCATGCGTTAGCCGGTGCGAAAACGACACGCCAACCCGGGCGGCGGGATAGCCGACGACGGGGGCCAGGGAAAACGCACAGTTGGTGCCCTGGACGATGTTGTCCAGGACGGCGCTCGTGGTGTTGCCCATGGCCGGATATCGAGTGCCTCTCCCAAGACTAAAACACCCCCAAAAAAAAACTGCGGTCTCACAATAACCCCCCTAGGTATTGTCGTATCGATGTCGTTGAAAGAGGGTGCTGGAACGAACGATCTCGGCTCTGGGTATTCGACTTGCTTGCGGATTCAGGTTGGTAAGGCTGAGAGGTTCATCTAGGCGGCTGCGATGCGTGGGGCAAAATAAGGGTCATAGCACGGGCCAGAACACCCCTCATGGCTGCCAATCAGCGCAGGACAAAGAACAGTGGAAACCACGTGACCTGAATAAGTAAGTGGCTAGAAACGTGCCGTTCGTGCCTAATAAGTGAGGGGATAAGAATCAGAGGAAAATGGCGATTATGGACAGATGGAGCTATCGGCCTTTGAAGCAAACGTTGAAAGGATTTGGTGAATGCGCTTGGCCGTGGTTTGTTTTTCCGTTTGTCGTTCTGATATTGGACGCCCCTTTCTGTTTTGGGGGCAATTTCCAGGTTAATGACGCTCTTATCTCAAGAGTGGTCCGTCCTCGGTTCCTTTGGCCAATCGCCAGAAAGCACCATCCTAAACCCCCCATCTCCAAAGCAGAATTTTACGCGCAAACACAACGTCACCTCATCGAGCAAGCAGACTTTGGCCATCAAAATACCGAGAACCACAGCGGTTTTCCATCAAAAAAGTCGGACACTCTCTTTTTCATGGTGTGCTTTATGAATTAGGATTTTTTTCTGGCGGATTTTCCGCAGGCTTTATGCCGTACCTATCCCCGTTTTCCGCCATGGCGACCCGCAAAGTCCGATACAAGAAACTCAACATCAAAACACCCCTACCGGTCCTACGTGAGGATCAGATAGATCCGTCTGAGTATGAATCACTGGCTACCGAGACCCAGATCGCGACCGGAGTCGAGCAGGCTGAGGAAAATGTGAGTAAAAAGTCATCTCTGCCTGACGTGTTGGCATATCACGTGGCAATGCACGTGCCACTCTTGTCCTTTTGGGGCATCCAGACATATCTTGTGCTAACGACGTCGCAATAGGAATACCACTTGCAAGCCGCCTTAAATGGTGCCGGTGCGAGCGCAGCAAATGAGATTCCTGTGCCGCCACCGGTAGCAAGCACGCTTGACTATGGCGAGCTTTACCCCGTTAATTTCTCAAAGACATCCGCCTACATTCGGTTCTCGCAGACTGTCGAGGAATGTATCGGCTGTCCGTACGACATGACCGAGGACGATGATGTCTTCTTGAAGTCGTACAACCAGAAGCGAGCCGCTTCGGCTCAGCTCCCCGAGGATGACTTCGAAATGATCATGGACGTATTCGAGGACACGGCGTACATCAACGCGCCATTCGCATCGGTAGACCAGACAATAGTCCCCTATGACGAGATGGTCCAGGGGCTGCATGAGCTGGGGTCAACCAAGCTAATGTCCTACGTCAAAGACATTTATGAGTATTGGAAGTCGCGCCGTCAGGCCTTGGCAAATCGACCGCTGCATCCGACCTTGAAATTCGAGACTCATCAGGATAGTGATGATATGGACCCTTATGTTTGTTTTAGGCGGCGAGAAGTACGGCAGACTCGGAAAACACGAGCCCGAGACGTGCAAAGCGCCGAGAAGCTCAAACGTCTGCGCCGGGAACTGGAAGATGGTCGTCAGCTCATCGTATGCTCCCATGAGCGAGAGGTCCTGAAAAAGGATATGCTCGACACCGATCGCCTCATTTTCGAGCAGAGAGCTCAGCTCAAGGAGGCCAAGGTTCGTTTGGGTATCAAGACCGACGACGACGATTTGGTCAACCAGAAGGTAAATCAGCCCAAGTGCGATGAAGTCGTTGAAGTTGTTGCTGACAATGAGCAATCACAGAAGAGGAAGCCGGCAGACGCACATCCTGCTCGGCCGCCACCTTCCAAAGAGGCTCGTCTCAACTTGTTGGTCCCCAATGGTCGCTCTGTGGAGGCAGATCTGCCACAATTGGCCGACAGGATCAGTGAGAAGGAGAATGAGTTGCGTGCCGATATCGAGATGAAGGTCCTGAACCACAGCAAGTGGAACCAAAACCACGTGGATCTCACTCGAGACCCACTATCGCCGGTCAAGGGACAGATGCCAGATCTGAGCTTCAGGGCGGCGCAGACTCAGTACCTGATGACACCCCCGGCGTCGGCATCGTCCGAGCACGTGGAGGAGCCTACCCCAATGGAGTTGGATAGACCTGACAAGGCGCCGGTCTTCGCCTTCCGGGGACTCCCTCATGACGACCCGTCGTCGAGCGACGTGCCGGCGTTCCGTCGCCGTATCGGGCGTCTGAATCGATTATGGATCGACCGCCGCGGCCTGGCAAGCCCACCCCGAGAGCAGGGCGAGTCGTATTCGGACCGTTGGAAATATGACCAACCCTCAGACGAGGAGGACGAGCAGCCTGTGTACGAGGTTGATCCGTTCGACACGCGGGCGTTGAAATTCCGAGCCTCGATCCCGCTGTCGAATTATTTCATGAACCGCGGGAAGCCGGTACCGCCAGAATTGGTGACATCGGCCCGACAAGGGCTCCCGCCTCCACAGGCTCAACAATCTCAAGCATCGGCAAGATCTTGAGATACCCCGGAGTTGTGTGTGTTGCCCCGTTGGCAGCACTACTCTCGTGTATAACCGCCCTACTCCCAAGTCTATTAGCATTTTAGCGATTCGGCCGGTAAAGGAATATGGCCTGGCAGGGGCGTTTGGTTGTCGTTTAGTGTAGATATAAGAAGTGTGGCTCGTGTATAAGGTGACGGAGTTGGCGGCTCTCTCAAGGTTCATCGGAGGCAGATAATCTGCTCCTTCTCCTTTAAATGCGGCATCCCGTGGAGGGACTAGTCCTAGGACCTAGATGCTAAGATGCTCAGATTAGCAGCAGCACATCCATGAGCTTCAGGCTCTCGATGAGGCGGGGAGGAGACAAAAACAATAAAAGAAATAAGCCCCATTTTCACAATGTCTAACATGTGAACATCCCCAGAACTATGCAGCTGGGTGTAGCTCTGGTGGTTGTGGGATAAGGTAGCGGTAGTGTTGCAGAGGGAGAATGGCTTGCGAGAATTGGCGCCGAAAAGTGGCAACTGCGGGGAGTACTCACTTGCCGGTTCTGCGCGGTGATGTACAGAAGTGATCGAGTGGTGCTCTATGTGCAACATCGCGTGATATAAAAATGGCACTGCTTAGTTGTCAGCATTCTGGTCCTGGCCAGGAAGGCGATCTTACCACAGAGGAGCCCTGTGAGGCTGGCGGAGGCTCCATCCAATATATCTGCTGGGGAGAGAACGTACAGATATCAAGACGTAACAATCATGACTGTCGGGAAAAGGGACAGGTAGCAGGAATACGCCAGGGCGGAGAATAGACTCTAGTGGCTATAACAGGTAAATAACGGTGGTCCTTGGAAGTGTGCTTGAGAAGGCCTGGCTTACAATGGGTATTAAGATGGCATCGCCGGTGAGGTATAAGGGCGTAGGTGGCGCTTATGGCGAGTGAAATGGCTACCTGCATTCCATGACGACGAGGCTGCAGGTCTAGTGAAGCTGCCTGTGTGTGCCATTGTGTGTCGAGACAAAGGTTGGATATTCAGGATGGCGGGTTGAAGTGTGAGAGAGAAATTAAAGCGTGGGCGGCAGAATCCAGAATCCCGACCGGTATGACGGATCGGTGCAGTGGGGTGGAATTGCTTGGGTTATTTTAGCGCCAGGTGGATCACCAGCCACTTTTTTAAGGTACCCTTGCCCAGCCGGAGTTTAAGCGAGCCGCAATACTTCAGCCCTCCAGGACCATGGGATGCATTACCCCTCAACCCCACTATGAAGAACTGCCTTGGGACAGCAGTAACCTCCATAGCTTTTAAGGTACCAATACATCATATTATCTTGGTTGGACGCCCATTGAGATCTACACCAACTCTTTTACCACAAATCTTGCAGAGTTTGCCTAACTGCTCTCAACCTGAAGAGCAGTCCCTGTTTGTCTCTTCTTCTTATCTTAATATTTCCCCAAGGTGTCTGTCAACTCATCTCCCCACCATGGACAGAAAAAAGCGTCGCATCGCCCTGGGTTGCGAGGGCTCGGCCAACAAACTAGGAATCGGAGTGATCGCACATGACTCGGAATCGGGCGAACCAACAGTGCTCTCCAATGTACGGCACACCTTCGTATCCCCTCCCGGGACAGGGTTCCTACCCAAGGACACGGCCCAGCACCACCGAGCCTTCTTCGTGCAGGTAGCCCTGCAGGCGCTCCGGGACGCGGGAGTCTCCGCAGCCGAGGTCGACTGCATCTGCTACACCAAGGGGCCCGGGATGGGCGGGCCCCTGACCTCGGTGGCCGTGGCGGCGCGGACGCTGGCCCTGCTCTGGGGCAAGCCCATGGTGGGCGTCAACCACTGCGTCGGGCACATCGAGATGGGGCGTGCCATCACGGGGGCCGACAACCCGGTGGTGCTGTACGTCAGCGGCGGCAACACGCAGGTAATCGCCTACGCCGAGCAGCGGTACCGCATCTTCGGCGAGACCCTCGATATCGCCGTCGGCAACTGCCTGGACCGCTTCGCCCGGACCCTGCGCATCAGCAACGACCCGGCCCCGGGCTACAACATCGAGCAGCTGGCCAAGAAGGGCGGGAGGGTGCTGCTTGACCTGCCCTACGCCGTCAAGGGCATGGACTGCTCCTTCAGCGGCATCCTGGCCAGGGCCGACGAGCTCGCCTCCCAGATGTACGCCGGCCGGAAGACGGCGGACGGGGCGCCGTTCTCGCCGGCGGACCTGTGCTTCAGCCTGCAGGAGACGGTGTTCGCGATGCTGGTCGAGATCACCGAGAGGGCGATGGCGCACGTGGGGAGCAGCCAGGTGCTCATCGTCGGCGGGGTTGGTTCCAACGAGCGCCTACAGGAGATGATGGGCGCCATGGCGGCGGACAGGGGCGGTAGCGTTTACGCCACCGACGAGCGCTTCTGCATCGACAACGGCATCATGATTGCGCATGCTGGCCTGCTCGCCTACGAAACGGGATTCCGGACACCGCTGGAAGAGAGTACGTGCACGCAGAGATTCAGGACTGACGAGGTTTTCGTCAAGTGGAGAGATTGATATTAGTTTCAATCTATCTGGATACCGCCGCGATACGGTCATAATTCGGCGGCATGTCACTACTGCCATCCAACTCCGATGTTCTATGGCCATTCCATGTTGCTCCGTCATCGAGAAGCTTGGTCGGTGTTTCACCAGATGCAAGATCGAGCCTGGCCACTCCCAAAAAAAAAAAAAAACTCCTCGTCCCTTGGACAAGACCCAACCACTGCCCACTGACCATACTTCCCACCGAGCTTTGCAAGAGAGGAGAGGGGATAATTCAGCGTCGCCGTTCAGCTACTGTCGGCAGTAGTCGGTTTGTAGATGATCGTTGTGACGTACTGCGAGGTCAACGTTAGTCTCTCTCTTGGATTGACAGCCGGAATCCAACATTGGGCAAACAAACCTTGTTCTTATATCTTGTCGTTGCCGAGACTGCGAGTACGTTATTCTTGATGCTGCTGGTGGCCAGATGGTTCAGCACAGTGTGGTTTGGCATGTTGAGGACGCTGTTATCATCCTTAATCAGCGTGGCGGCATTCAAGATCGGCTTGCCCAGGAAGCCAGGGAGGCTTGGCGGGGTTGGGAGTTTGTCAGTCGCCGAGACCGCACTGTGATAGAGAGATGAGTCCTCTGGTTGATCGAAGTCGAGGAGGTATCTGGGTATCTTGGCTGAAAATTGGTCGACCGGAGACACGATCCTGTCCCGTTGCGGCTTCTCTTGACCGTCCACCGATGGTGACGATTTGGAGGATACCGGCTGGGCATTTTTGCCAGCGGCGGGTGCTCCGGACGCCTCCGGTAGCTGGGGCGGGATATCGTCGGGATTAACCTCGATATAGTTGACCAAGTTGTTACCAAAGTCAACCGTTGTCGGTAGATCTGGCGAGGTCTGCATCTGCCCATCGACCAGGAAACGTACGTGATGCGTTCCCGGCTGGATGTGGATAGTGGCTGCAAATACACCAGGTCGACCTTCGCTTGAATGATACTTCTGTCAGCGACCATGCACTCCTAAGGTTGAAATCCGAAGTTTTCACTTTTCCGAAGTTTTCACTTTGGGCTTCATCTTCACGTAACGTATTGGAAAATCCACATCCGTTCCCGGCGCGGAGACAAGGGTCGTAATAACTCACACTGGCAACAACCGGGTCTTGCGATTCCAGTGGAAGATTGTTCCCGTCACATAGACCTTCTCTCCTCCGCGGAGCCACTCCAATCTAGTCGGGACGGTTGGCCTTGTCTTGTCCACGCGGAGCTCCTCAGAATCGTCCTCATCGACAGTGGTCGAGCTCAGACCCGATGACCGGCTCGGCAGTCCCTCGTGATCCAGGCTGTCGAGCTCCTCAAGGGGCAGACCGGTGTCGGCTGGGGCGATGATGGGCGATCCCGGAGTGTGGATCTCCTCTTCGATGGGGAGGGGGAGGCGCGGAGGCCTGGGCGGGTACATGTCTTGTGTGCCGGTGTGCGACATGGCGGCGGCTTCGAGGGGGATGGAGAGTGGTGATCGGGGGGAAGATGGCGAGTTGCGCGAGTTGGGTACAGCTACGGGTTTGGTAGGCTCATCTCTGGGCGGCTGTGGGGTTACCTCGACTGGTTTGGCTGAAGTGACGGAGCTGGCCGGGGTCGAGGATGCAGAGGAGTTGTTGAGAGAGGCGACCGGGCGTGCCTGAAGAGGCTTTGAACGATTGTTCGTGGTAGTTCCCTGTGCTTGGGCGAGAGAGGGTTCGGGAGGAGCGGCGACCCGTTGGTTGTGCACAGGTATGGGGTGTTTAATATCGCGCTTCACGGGTTTAGGAGAGTCATGGTGGTTATGCGTTTGGGGCGCGGGAAGCTTTGAGGTTGAGGAGGGGTTATTCCCCATCTTTCGGTCGAAAGGAGGAGGTCTGGGAAAATGGGGACAATGGAATCAGAATACAGGATTTATCAGATCATGTTGTGGTTAATCGGACAGTTGTCGAGAGATACTCCAAAGTAGTATCTCATTGCAGAGAAAGGGGAGCTTCAAAAGGTTTGGGAATGTTAATCCAATGATTAATTAACATTTGAGAGAGAACGTTTGACATGCGGCTTGGTTGATAAGGAGGCAATGGCCCCCGCCTTCCAGTCAGCATCCAGTCCCCTACCTATCAAAATCGGATTATTGCATGACTGCCCGCCAAAGCTTTGACCTAGGCTCTTATTGGGTCGTGCCACCCCTCCAAGTCAAATCCCTGGTGCGGATCTCTCAGCCTCATCTTTTTGTTTCTTAGCCTCGCGCAACTTGCCTTCCTTCCCATCAAAGCTACTCCTTTCTAACAAGAGCAGCCATGTCCGAAAATTTCATCACGCCAGGGCAGCAGCGCCATCTACGCGCATGCATGGTCTGCTCCATCGTAATGACTCACACGGTTAGTTGAATCAGCCAACGTTGCTCTTGCTGCCGCTAATCTGTGGTGGACAGCGATTCCGACAGGAAGGATGTCCAAATTGTGAGGATTTCCTCCATCTACAAGGCTCGGCCGACCAGATCGACATCTGCACATCTCAAGTATTTGAGGGCGTCATCTCCTTGGCGAATCCGGCTAGGTCGTGGGTTGCGAAATGGCAGAGGCTTGATGGATATGTCAAGGGAGTCTACGCGATCAAAGTCTCGGGGCAGCTCCCAGACGACGTACGGACTACGCTCGAAGAAGAGTACAGGATTCAGTACATACCGTAAGTCCCCGGTTGTCATGGTGTGCAGGAAACTGAACAAGGCTAACTCGTTCCCAGGCGTGACGGAAGTGTAACTGAGGCGGACTGAGAACGGCCAGTTCTTACAGGGGCTATCGTTTACGGCGTTTTACGGCGCAGGAAAGGGCGCTTTCGGCGTGAGGGGGCCAAACAGCAGGAGAACAGCATATCCGAGAGGCGCATATATTTGCAGTTGTCATCTCGCACGTCGTCATTTTCGAAAATAAACCTGGATCCTTGAATTCTACCTGGTATCATGCGAGCAGTTACTGGTACCTCTAGATGACATAACCAACGCCAAACGCCTCATAATCGTAGCATCGCTCTCCCGTGGACAGATTCAGGTTCTCTGTTTCTTTTTCGGCGGTCCTCCAAAACCGCGTGCCTCCCTTCCTCGTTTCCTCTCAATCTCTTCCCTCATAATCCTCTCCGCCTCACTCATCTTCTTGGGCTGCTCGATCTTGGCCTTCTTGGTGCCTCCCGAGAACGCGTTCTTGAAGACATTCTTGGTCTGCGGTTTGACAGCCATCTTCAGAGACAGGGGCTTCGATGGCGCGGCCTTCTCGGTGTCCTTGGCGCTTTCTTTGGCCTTGGAATCGAGCCCGGCCGCCTCCCCCGCCGCTCCTTCGGGCGACAGGTCCTTCAAGGTACCCTTATCCGAATCTTGCTGGGCCGGATTTGTTGGCGCAGTCGCCGCCTTAGACCCAAAAGACAGTTTGATCTTCTCGCCTTCCTGGCGCACCAGCTCTCGCGCTTCCTGCTCCTCGTCATCTTGCGGAACGCCCCGTAGTTCTGCGTCCTTTTGCGCCCGGCGGATCTGCTCTTGCAGGAGCATCTGCTCTCGCTCCTCGTCGCCTCTGTCCTGGAGTTCCTTGCGCCGAAGAGCCTCCTTGCGCTTTAGAGCCTCGGGCGAGTCGTCGATCCAGGCAATGAAGATCCCGTCGTCCTTCTCTTCCACGTGACAAAGGCCCTCCCGACCCAGGTGCTTTGCGAATTCTGTGAGCGAGTTCCATCTCGTGGCGTTGAGGTGGATCGCCTCTTTGTTGGCGATATAGGTCTGGTAAAACTTGTTTATATGGATCGCCTTCTCTCGGTGCCCCGTCTTCAGCAGCTGGATGAAGTCGCGCACGAAGCCCTTCGAATAGTCCTCCTGGACGGCCTTAAAGTTCTCTCCCGCGGCTAGGGCTTTCCGGGTATGGCTTTCGCTCTGGCAGTGCATTTTGAAGCCGTTCTCATCGCGCATTTGGTTTTCTGGCAATACTTGTCAGCTCAGCTCGATCAAATGTTGCCTGAACGGGGAGGAAGGGGGACGGGGAGGAAAGGGGGGGGGGGTGTCTCCTGCTTACCACAGAGCTGACAGTACCATCGCAATCGCTGGAGCCCGCGGCTCTTCATGCGATTGCTGAGGTACTTTGTTGAACCAAATTCTGCTTTCCCCATTTTGACGGAGCCAGTTGAGGATATCGAGAGAGACTAAGTTGATAATGTGGATGCGGAAAGAGACTGTCTGGGGTCTGGATTCTTGGACTGATATCGCGATCCCGATAACATACATGGCCTAGTCACGTGGGGCCGTGGGGGTTCACCTTCTTTTGCCACTCAATTCGGTCAACCCGAAGACTTGAAATCAACCCCCCGTAAAACATGAACTGGTCTTCAACAGACGGGCTCTTAGAGTCGTTCCAAACCGTGGTATTGTCAGCTCGGCAGATACAGATCTCTTTCTAGCTTCTATCAACCTGTAGGTAGTTTAAAACCCTGCCCTTCACATGATGATCAACTGGTGTTATTATTCCATGTACCTATATATTTGTATGTATTCTTCTACGAATATATGTATAAAATCATACTGCAATACCCCGCTAGAATGCCCTGTCCCTAGAGGTATTGACACGAAGTAACCAAACCCAAACGATTTCCCTCGCAGACCGGCTCAGCCCTGCTGGGAGATGACAATCTCTATGTTCTTGGAAGCACTTTATGCTGATGCTGAACACCCAGTAACTCCCCCATCCTCTCACTCTAGAAATGTAAAGAGGTGTGTATGCAAGATATTCATTGCCCTCTCAGCGTCCCTCGCATCGATCACACAGGAGATATTTATCTCGCTTGCACCTTTTAAGGGGGTTATAATCAGCAAATCCGCCTTTGACGGTTCAAAGGAACAGCAGAGTTGCCATGTAGAGAGGCATGCTTACCTTGCGATATCATCTCGAGATTCACCCGATATTCTCCGAGGGTGGAGAACATCTTCCCCGCGATTCCGATCATGTTCCTCATCTCGGCGCCGACCAGGCTCAGGATGGCCATGTCGTGGAGGACGCTGACGTCGCCGCAGTCAGCCAGGTCCTTGACGGCGTTGTCAAAGTTGCCGAACTCGGAGTTGGGCGTGTGGACGGCCATCGAGACGTGGACCTCGCTGGTGGAAATCAGGTCGACCGAGACCTGGTGCTGGTTGAGGATGGAGAAGACACGGGCGAAGAAGCCGTGGGCTATCGAACGCTTGTTCGAGTGGATGTTGATGATGGAGATCTTGTCCTTGATCGTCACCGCAGTAGGTCGCTTTGGCTTCTTGCGTAGTGACGGATCTGAGGGTTGCCTCGACCGCTGGATCCGTTGGTCTGGTGCCTGGGCCGGGTCTGGCTTGACGATGGTCCCCTCGCCGCGGGGATTCTTCACGTTCTTGATCCGCGTCGGGATAGGGGGCACCGCCTTGATCACCTGGTCCATCGTCAGGTGGTGGATGACCTCTGAGCCGTAAAAGGTGAGCTCGGCTGCTTCAGAGGGGGTAATGGTCGGAATAAGCCTCGCGGTGGGCACTTTTGTCGGATCTGCGGTGAAGATGCCATCGACCTCCTTCCATATCTGGAGTTCCTCGGCTTTCAGGCCAACGGCAATCAGGGCTGCGCAAAGGTCGGTATAACCGCGGCCTATATCTCCGTCAATGAGGCTCCCCGGTACATTGCCGAAGAACCCGGTGACGACAGGTACGCGGTCCCCGCAGGCCAGCATCTTTTTCCTGAATATAGACGTGGCCTGTTTGTAGAACGCAGCATCCAAGCGTGCTGGTGTTTCGCTGTGGAGAATATCCGATAGGTCGACATATTCAGCATCAACGCCCTGGGACTGGTTAGTAGTCGAAGGAGCAACTCGGAAAGAGAACGGGCACTCACCCTATCCTTGAGCAGGCAGGCCATGAACCTGCAGCTGAGCTTCTCGCCATAGCTGACAACTCGATCCTTTGCCCTCGAATTGATTTCGAGGTTAAACCGTTTCGCAACTTCGAGGTACTCAATGAGTAATTGGCACTCGTTCTGGATCTCGGCCTTTATGGCTGTCTTGAGATCATCATCCCGCACAAAGGAATTGGCAGCAACAATGTGCTCATTACAGATGTCCTGCACGATCACCTTGGCACGCCCGATGAGCTCGTTCTGAGCGCTCTCGTTGCTGGCCGCGGCCGCAATATCTCGTAGCCTGTCGAACACCTCAAGTAACCTAGAGGAGTCGTCAGTCCTGTGATGAGAAATATCGGGCGAGCACCAACGGCTGTAGGTATAACTCAACCGACACGGTGAAGTTCGGACGGCGGGAAACAGGCAACAAAAAGAAGGAAGTGGTGAGTCCCACTTACCGGCTCGTGGTTCCGGTCACTTTCTTGCCCGTACTCCTGGCTGAACAGACGACAACGACCTTGTGCTGCGCAAGATATGGCCTGCGTACTCGTGTGAGTCAGGGGTTCTCCAAGGTTCAGCAACGAAGGGGGCCGTACCGAATAATACCATCCGCAATTTTGTCGGGGAACTTTCCAACGCTGGTACCGCCAAACTTCTGGATAATCCAGCCACTCGGGCTGGTGTTTTGTAACGGCTTCTCCGTCATGATGACTCAGAGCCTCACTCGAGGCAGAGTTTCCCCAAAAGAAAGAAATGTGAAGAGGGTAGAGTTAAATGCCCGGGTTTTGAGCTAGGAGAGACAACTGCGGTCAGAAAAAAAACCAAATAAGGCTCATATATAGGTAGGTAAATACAAGGCCTGGAAGCCCTCAAGGTATATCGTTGTTTCGTGAGTCAGGGAGGAGGTATGCTCGAAGTACTGGGGGTTGAGGGGCACTTAAGGACTTGTAGGATGGCAAGCCCCCAGACAGCAGAGCCGAAATTAAGAGGAATACATGCAAGGTCAGACAGGCAGCCCCATAGACTATTTTAAGGAACTTCAGCCTTGAATAGGTAAGTCGTGATACGCTCTTCACAAATTGGGGGGTGGGATACGTGGGCAGTATGCAGTTGTCCATTCATCCCACTTTTAAGGTACCCTGGGTCCCAATTCCCTCAATCGGATGAGGGGTTCAAAACTTTTCTTTTCTCTTTTTTTTTGCCGTTTTTCGGGCGAGCATGGTGGGGCATCATCCCGCATGCGGTCTAGTGGGGTCGGCTCCGTGGTGACTTTTGGCAATTTGGCGGCCCGTTGACAACATGGGGGGGCCAGACCGGCAGCCAATGACCGCTTCACCCTCACTCCGTCCATGGCCGGTCTGAATTCCCCCCGACTTTGCTCCCCACGCGGCTCCAACCTATGGCACGTAGGCATGTACGCATGTAAGGTCATAAGCTTGACATATCGCACAAGTCTTAGCTGGACGATGCTCCTTTGACGTAATACTTGATCTGCGGAGCGCCTTGGCGTTGGAGCTTTTTTTTTTGGTGGGGGGGAACACTTCAAAAGTGTACATAACCTGTATTACTAGGTATCTAACATTATAGATGTCTTCGCCGCCGTGGGCCCTCGATGGGGGCGTGTTGGTAAACCCGTCAAATGCGGTGACCGTCTGTCCTGTATAACTCCCTTCCTTTTCCTGTCACCCTGGTCGAGTGGAGTGTCCCTTTTTTGCCCCTGTTCTAATGTATAGGTAAATACACGGTGTTCGACTCTGACTCAACAAACACCACGAGCCTGCCTCCTTCGCGGGATGAGTCTCACCGGACTCTTTGTAGAGGGGAGGCGGGATAGCGCAGCAGTAGAAAACCGCCACTCCGAGTTCGAATGCAACCCAAGTTTGCACATGATAGGATCTGAGACCCAGAGGTGAGTTGCTCCCCTTACTCCTGGTTATTCTTCTTCTCCAGCTCCGGCCCCGGCTCCGACTCCAGCTCGTCACCGTCGTTATCCTCCTCCAGCTCCTCCTCGATCACCTCGGCTTCCGTGACATGGGGTCGAAGGTCACTTGGGATATCGCCGCCGCTCATCTGCCATTCCATGAGCTTGCTGAAGGCGCTGTCCTTGTTCGCGCTCAGTTCGGTGTAGCTCCCAATCTCGGCCACAGTGCCCCCGCTCGACAGGACGATGATCTTGTCCGAGCGCTTGATGGTCGACAGCCGATGGGCGATGGAGATGGTCGTTCTCCGCCCCTTCAGGAGCTCCGCCAATGCCGCGTTGACCAGCGTTTCCGACTCGGCGTCGAGGGCCGATGTGGCCTCGTCGAGGATGAGGATGTCCGGATCCATGAGAAGGGCTCGTGCGATAGCAATGCGTTGTTTCTGGCCGCCTGACAGCTGGGCGCCCCTTGCGCCGACCTGGGTCTCTAGCCCCTCGGGGAAGTCGCTGATGAATCCGCAGTTCGCTTTCTGAGCGGCCGTGATGATATCAAACCTACTCGCCTGGGGTCTGCCGTACGCGATGTTCTCGGCAATGGTACCCGAGAACAACACAGGCTCCTGAGCAACCATCCCGATCCGTCGCCTTAGAGACTTCACGTTCATCTTGGTAACGTCAACGCCGTTGATAGTGACAGTTCCTGAGGTCGGGTTGTAGAAGCGGAGCAGAAGCCCGGCAACAGTCGACTTCCCTCCGCCCGACGGACCAACTATGCAAACATTGCTGCCTGAAGGGATCTCGCAGTCGAGCCCGTTGAATATCGTGACTGCTGGGCGCGTCGGGTACGCGAAGGTGACATCCGAGAACTTGATCGGTCCCTTAGCAGACGTAACTTTCAATCCCACCGTTGACGGGATAACCGGTTGCCTGTCCTGAAGCTCGAAGAGCCGACTGGCAGCTCCGACACCTTTCATGAGCTCCGAATAGAAACCGCTGACGCCGAACAAGCTCGAGCCCGCGAAAACGGTATACATCATAAAGGATGTGAGATCGCCAAGGGTCATGACGCCTGATCGGACTTGTTGTCCGCCAACCATCAGCATGGCTAGGATCGTCATATTTCCAGCCCAGCTAGTGGACGCGAAGAAGGTCCCGGAGATGATAGACTCTCTGCGGCCCAGGGCAAAAATCTTCCGAACTTGGCGGTTATACCGGTGGATTTCCTGTATCTCACCGCAAAACGCCTGGCTCGTCTTGACATTGCCCAGACGCTCTTCCGCGATCTTCATCAGAGAGCCAACGTTCTTCTGGATTTGGCGACTCACGTTCCTGATGGTTCGGCCGTAGAAGACTGCGCCAAGTGCAATCGGAGGCACCATGATCAGGATGATGGACGTGAGCTTCGGGCTCAGCCATGCCATGGCTGCAAAGCCCGCAGCTCCGCTGACGAGCGACCGTAGGCCGTCCGAGACGTTCTGAGTGATGCTCTTGCCGACCACAACGGTATCCGAGTTCAATCGGGAGATCAGATCGCCAACCCGGTTGGCGTCAAAGAACTCGGCATCCTGCACATACGTTCGACGGTACAACTGCGTCCGCAATCTTGCCACGACTCTTTCGCCGACGATTCTTAGCAGGATGATCCTTCCGAAGTTGGCGCAGGCCGCCACAGACAAGAGGCAGCCCAGTCCGATGAAGAATTGATTCAGCGTCAGACCAAACAGCGTCGCCTCTTCGTCGGGTCCTTTCGTGGAGAGATCCAGGATTCGTCCCACCGAGAACGGGATCGACATGGTAACGCTAGACGAGATGAGCAGCAGGACGAAGGCGACTACGAGAGCCTTGACCTCGGGCCGGGCAATCTTGATGAGGCGCCACACCTCGCCGAAGCTCGCTTTGCTGTCCTGCCCTTTGCCTTCCTTCGAGAGCCGCGCTCTCATGTTGACGTGCGCGGCCCTGTCCGCCTTCTCGCTTCTTTGGAAGCCGAGCTGGCTGAGCTCGTCCGGCGCCTTTCCATCTTCTGCCTTGACCTCCTCAACGGCTGCATTGTCCTCCCTAGAAGCCACAGGCTTGTCGCTATCCTTTGCTTCCTGTCGAGCGTCGCGTGTCGTGGCGAATCGGCGCAAGATAGAGATGGGGGGGCTCCAGTTCGAGCCAGCTTGCGCTCCGAGTCCTCCTTCGCGGAACGTCGAGCGCAGGCCGGCAGACACCGGTCGTGAGGTCACAGGCTGGGTTGGGCCTCCGCGGATAGACGACGAGAATCGAAGGGATCCGACAGGATGTTGTGACCGGAATCCGAGAGCTGGCGGTGCTGTGGAGGCCCTGAGCGGTCGAACCGAAGCTTCATGAGAAGGTTTTGCTGAGCCGCAGAGTGCGCGCGACGGGAGCAGCAGCGCGCGATGGGCTGACCGCAAAACCATGCTGACTGGATGGTTCGGTCAGGGAGCTGTAGCGCTCATCTTTCGGGAGCTTGATGTTGCACGCGATGTTATCGGCTGTTCATTTCCGTGCTGAGGGAAGTTGGTTGATCGGAGAAGAAAGTGAAGAGGTCCGATCTGACCCCTGTCCAACAATTTTAGATCGCCGGGTAGCGGCATTTCGTCATCCACCCAGAGCCGAGCCGCCCTGCAAATGCATTACAAAATCCCTACCAACCTCTACCTAGCCACCTCAGGTTCTCTGTCTCGGCCTCGGCTCCGAGGTAGGTCTTACGGAGGTTACTCCTGTGAGTGAACTGTTACAGCTGGAGGATCGAGGCCATTATGTAGGAGCATTTTGCAGAATGACCGGTAACTACGGAGTAGGAGGACGGCCTGACAGGCGAGCAGGAGCGATATCGGCTTTACTCTCTAAAAAGCATTGGTACATCGGGGCACAATGTTGTCTCCAAGCATCTCGTGTCATTCCACTCTCGTACTCTTTCTTATATGCAAAAAGTTGTCGGTCTGCTTATGGACTGATTGGATTCCTACTACAATGGCCACTGGGTTCGAGGTACAGTACAATGAAGTAGCAAAAGGAACACACACGGAGGGACCACCGGTCGGCGTCTCACTAAAAAGGGTAAAACCAAATAGGGCATGAAAAAACAACCAAGTACGCATCGGCAAGTGAGCCGCTGGGTCTTAAGCAAGAAGTCAGAACCTAGTCCCTCTCTCCGAACTCAGGAGCCACTGCCATCCTTGCGAAGAATCTCGGCCACTTCGTCGTCTATCCCGTCATCACCACCAAGGTCCGGGAACTCCTCTCTAGAATCGACTCTTCGCCGCTTGTTCGACCCATTCAGCGCGACCGGGACGGCTTGATATTGAGACGCGAGGTTCGAAAGCATCTCGATCCCAGGAGCCGACGACGGGAAGGTGGGTTGCTGGTGGCGGTCCTGAGGAGTGTGCGAGTAAGGAGGCGGGGGAGGAGACTGATGCTGCCCGTTCTCCGAATGGGCAGGAGGATAATTATCATAGAAGTCATGATCATCCTGCGCAGGGGGTGGTGTCAGGGCCTCCACTTCGGGTCGGTCAATCTCGGCTCCTGGGCTCGCGGACGGGCCCTCGCCTGGAGATTGGGCCTCCTCGTTAGTGGACAAGTTGCGCATAATGGCCAGCTCGACTTCGTGTTTCTTATCCTCGATGATGGTCTTGCGGATCGCCAGGTCTTTCTGCTGCTTCTCGTCTGCTTCCATAGTCTGGCGATTCGTGTCTAGGATCTTCTCTAAAGCAGCGACTAGCGCTTTGCGGGCCTTGACAGACTCCGCTACGGCGCTCTCCGCGTTCGCAAGGTGCCTCAACAGCCCGTTCAGCCGGGCGGCGTAGACCGGGGCGGCCGGAAGCGGGGTGGTGGACTCCATGAGCTTCTCGTACTCGGTATTGGCGGTGCTCAAGGAGCTCTTTACTGGGAGAAGCTGCTTTGAGACAGCTTGCTGGGGAGCGACTAGGTCTTTAAGCTCGGGAGGGAAAGCTAGAGCCGACGACGACCCGAAGATTGAGCCTCCAAACCCAGTGCTCTTGGCGGTGCCACGCGCCTTGTCCAAATCTAAGCGGGGATGTCAGCGAGAAACGTCAGGGGTCGGGGAGACGAGCATCCTACCGTCCATTCGCGCTTCCACCGCGGCCTGAATTGGCTGTTCGAATATGTTGCGCTCTCTCCAGACATCGACCACTCGTCGAAGCTTATTCTGGACTTCCGCAGTCGCGCCCTTGTAAGCAGTGGCCGTAGCCTCGGCGATGACAGGTGAGAAGGCAACAAGAAACTCTTCTTTGTGACGGGCCTTGGATTGCTGGGTCACCTCTGTCAGGGAGCAACATATTAGCATCGATACTAGCAGCTCGAAGTCGAGCCGGCTGGCGAGATGAACTGCGGTGGACGCCATGTTTGGGGCAGTCCTAGTCCGTGGGCTCGAGTTTGCCAAAACTCACCATTTGCAAGGTAGATCAGATTGAGCCGCTTGGGGCTGGGGGAGTCTTTAAGTCTCTGTAGCCACAGCTGGACGGTGCTGTCTGCATGTCGGCTGCGCCAGGAAGGGTCAGGAAGGGTCAGCGCATGATGGGGTCAAACGGAGCTTGTTGCGTGTTTGTACTTACCGATGGAACATAATCCATTGAGCTGCAGTTGCAATGCTGTCGTGGCTTTCATTGAGTGCCGACAGCTTTGCCAGCACGGCGTCGGGACTGTAAGACATGGTGAGAGATCAATGCGCAATAATGGTCCTAAGAGCTGCTCTGGGTTGACGCCTTTATTGGCAACGGGAATTTTGGGGTGATAAAGCGAGAGAGGATGAGGTCCCTGGATGCTGGATGCTGGATACTGGCTGCTGGATACTGGCTGCTGGATGTGGGATGCTGGCCGCTGGCCGCTGGCTGCTTATAGGATGATGGATAAGATGGTGTTGTTCAAGCTCAGAGCTCCACTACGTGACAACGAGTTCTGGCTCTCGCCTTACTGAAGAGAACGGAATTGGCGTTGGCCTCCCAAGTGCAGTCTATCAATCTTGCATTCAGGTGCGCCAGTACGGATCCAGCTTGGAATAACACCTCATCTGAAACCCGAATTCCGCCTCTTGATGGAGTACCTTTGAAGAGCAGTTGTGATGGGAAATTGAGGAAGCGAGAGTTTAAGAAGCTCCGAAGTTTAACAGCATCTCAGTTGCCCATAGCGACTATGCAATAAAATAGAACACGCTAGACCCTTTATAGATTAGTCGAACCCGTTAGCTCAGCATCTCCGTCAATTCACCTCGATATTTGAATATCTGTCTGAGGCTGCAGCCGCAAGCTGGCAAGGTGTAGGTAATCAGAACAACTTCATCAGCCTTGTATCCTCCTTGATCCGCCGCCCGACTAACTCAACCGTACAAAACGCCGATTTTCGCCATCCTTTCCTTCGGCTCTTCCGCTGTCCCTGTCAGACCATATCCGTTCTGTCTGATCAACCCGACACGATGGCGGATAGATTCCCCTCGCTGGAGGAATTCGATTCCGGTGGTAAGCCAACTGCGACCCAAGTCGCTACGTTTAGGCTTCTAACATCACCCTCCAGCCCAGACCGATATCAAAGTCGCCTCGGACAATCCATCTGCGGGCGATTTCCTAGCGCGAGAGAAAGCCATACTCGGGGACGATGCCAATCAGTTCGCTGCATACGCTGAAGATGGAGAGGGCGACGACGATCTTCTTGGAGGTGGCGACGGCGCGAACGCCGGTAGCACCTTCGAGAACCAGTTCCCAGATATCATGAATCAGAATGAGGTATGATGATTCCCCGCCAGTCTTCCAATGATTCTCTAACCTTGGATCAGGCCGTTGCCCCCGGTGGTGCCATCACCGGCCCGTCAGTCAGCTACAACTCCGGCTATGGAGCCTACACCGAGGAGGAGGAGGAGCCCGAGGTGATCAAGAACTGGCGCGAGAAGCGGGACGCCCAGATCGCGAAGCGGGCTGAGCAGTTCGCGACCCAGCGACAAGAGACCGTGCAGGAGGCCCGACAGAACATCGACGACTTCTACGAGAACTACAACAACAAGAAGGAGAAAGGTATTGCCCAGACTCGCAAGGAGGCCGAGCAGTTCCTTGCCAGCCGTGAGGATGTCACCTCTGGAGGCACGAGCTGGGAGCGAATTGCCAAGTTGGTCGACGTGAGTGGGAAGGGAACCAAGGGTGGTGCGGCCGGTTCTGGAAAGGAGCGCTTCCGCGAGCTCCTCGTGAGCTTGCGGAAGGATGAGAAGGCGCCTGGCGCAGAGGGTTATTAAATTCGTCGAAGGGGCGATGCCGCGAATCCCGAACGAGAAGACCCAACCCTACCCCGTGCTGCCATATCGGCAATGGCAACTGCACTATCCTCTGTACTTTAGTAAATGCACCGTTGCTCCGGACGAACTGGCATGCGGTAACCAAGGCGTCAAAACTAATTCAATTCCCTTTTTTCCTTCAGCATCGCGTAGCGCCGTGTTTCAAAGTCGGGATAAAAGCTGGTGGATAGCTCTCAGGTTCACAGCGAAGGTTGAACAGCAGCAGCCTTTCACGCATCTATTGGCTTCACCTTATAAACATACAGCCTGCGTTCCTTGTCTACTCTTCTCAAATCCCAAATCCCAGTTGTCTCCAGATTCCCTTAGTCCTTGCCGAACCATGTGTTGTAGCCCAGGGTCTTGCGGCCCATGACGTACATGCAGCCTGTGGAAGAAGACCGTAAGTAATATGAATCAGGAGCTACGGGATTATTGAGACGTACTTCCGAAGGTTCCCCACATGACCACGAGGAAGGGAGTCAACAGGACGTTGCTTCGGGGGTTCTGCGATGTGTTGTCAGCCCAGCCATCCTGGAATTTGGGAACTTCCCCCAACTCACGATCCTCCAGATACGGGTGTGAGCCCGGTAAGCCGCCTGGTAGGCGCGCTGGTGCTCAGGCACCTTGTTGGGGGCGTTGATGAAGCCACTGCAAGAGACTCCGTTAGCCATGCTCGACATCATACGATCTGCTCTGTTTCCCATTGACGGCTATCGGGGTACGCGGTGTTGGAGAAATTGGTTTGCGGGTGCTGCAGAGGGGTTTCGGGCAAGACATACGACATCGTGATGAGCTTTGGAGTTGAGAGGCGTCGAGGTTGCGTGGTTCAAAGTCTGCGGTTCAATGGTTGACGGAGCTCACTTCAAACCTGTCGGCTCTTCGCTTAAGACTGACTGGTGGTGAGGTTGATTACACGGCGATGATTGGCCAATGGTGCAGGCTACTGACTAAGCGGGCGGGTGGAGCCAGTTACTTTTTAAGATGGACTTCGAATTGTTGTTCAAGATATCTCTTTCTCTTTCTCTGTGAGAACGCCGGTTCCCGACCACCACAGCATGCTATTCTCAGCAATGACCCTGGACTTCTGGCAAGATCCAATGCAATGAACGGGATATTGCAGCATCTAGCACGGCCGGCGGCCCATCCACAGCTATGCGACTGGTGTATCGAAATCTTCGACAGGTAAATCGGTACGCCCACCAAGGGTTTCGCACCTGCAGTCGCTTGCAACTCGTCAACTATTCTCTCCAGTCACCCAAATCGACGAATATCCCTGCCCGAAACCTTGTACACTTCCGGTCGATTGTATCATCCGCCGCTGTGGTGGTAGACCGCAACGAAACCCGAGAGCTCGACCACCTTGATCATCTGTTGGAGGAGTTCTTGGAAAGGTCCCCAGAAATCGAACCCCTCGACGACGAGGACACACGCGTATCGCCCTCGTTATATCTCGAAGATGGCACCAAGAGATCTATGTCCCTGCCAGGGGAGCCAAGTGCCAGACTTGGGGGGCTTGGAAAGTGGCATTCCCTGGCCCGCGATCACCAGCGGTTGCTGTTCGAGTCCGATGTCGCATCCGATAACACCAAGTCGTTCCGTCTCATTGACGACCCAGAAAACGAGAACGATGTTGAGCTGTGGAATTGCATCCTCGCCTTCCGCTATCGTCGCGATGGCCCCGGGGGCGTTGCCATGGTTTTTAGGGGCCTCCAAATGAGACGGACCCTCCGTGACGTCGAGGGAGATGGGTCGACGGATTTCTGGCAGACGATCCTGAACGTGGCTCTCCATGACGAGGTGCTGCTAGAGGGTGTATGGGAATATGCCGAGTGGCTGCACCAGGCGCATGGTGTTCGCTGGCCAAGGTTATACCAAACGGTGATCGCATCTTTTGTATCCCGTCGGCAGGAGAAAGAAGCCCTTCGCTGGCACCTTCGCTTGAGCCCGAATTTTGGTCTGGAGGCGCCCAGTTTTGCCAGGATGCTCCAGCGATTCATCAGGGACCCTGATCCCGTTATCCAAGATACTCTCAAGGGCCTCTACCGTCTCAGCATTCACCGTCGACTCTACGACAGCTTGGTGCCGTATCTTTACGCCCAGGGGACACAGTCTATTGCGCGTACATGGCGCAAGTTCCTGCTTTACCACAATGACGTCCCCTCTTCGTTGGCCGCAAGGCCTTTCTTGAGGTTCTTGGCAGGCTACTTTCCACGAGACCCTATGGTTCGAACGGAATTTCTTGCTGCCGGAATAAAGGAGCCCGCCGAGTATAACAGCGATATACCCGGAAATGATGTTGTTGCGGACAAATCCTTTAGCCACCTTGTAAACAAGGTGCGTGGCCGGAGGTTCGGCATTCAAGAAAAGACGTACAATGATGCGCTGGGGGCCAGGTGGTTCGCCAGCTCATGGATATCCCTTGACATGGCAGTTGAGGTTGTCCGGATCCTAGGGGTTGATCGGATCGGGCCGCTCTCTCTGCAGTCTATCGCTCTGCGAGAGCGGTCTTCGGATCGGATTCTCCACCGACTAGACCAGTTGGAGACGTTCAACATCAGCATCGGTACATCCAGCTATGCAAAGGCCATCAGACATTTTGCCGCTGTTGACGACTACGAGGCGCTAACGGACCTGCTACGATCCGACGTGCACCCTGACGTTTTCGACGACCTGAATATCCAGCAACTGATCCTCGGTTCCGCTGTCATGCTCGGCGACTGGAAGAAGTATCGGCTGATATTAGCAGTCAGGCTTGCTGTCTCTCTGGACTCGGTCGCCCTAGCGTCGAACGCCGTGCTCTCTGCATGCTTGGGGAGTGGTAACAAACAAATGACGCTAAGGGTTCTTGAAGACATGAACTCGAGAGGCGTGCAGGTCTTTCCGTCGACGAGTAACGCCATCTCGATGCACATCATCAGGGACGTATCACCTCACGCACAGATGGGTGATCGGCCCCCCCTGGATTTGCCGTTCTACGTGGCCATATGTCGCCGGATCATGGCCATGAGATTTCCTCTCGCAACACGGGCATTGCAGACCATTCTTTTCAGGCTCGCACGAGAAGGACACACAGACGACCTCGAGCGCCTGTCGTTAGAGATATTGCAACGATACCACTCTTTTCAAACCTCGGAGCGGGCGACACTGAACGTCCACAAGTTCGACGTGCCGGACATACTGAAGAAGGAGTCGCATTACCGGAGTTTCCAGATGATCCCTCGCGACCTAAGCCTGTTTCACGAGCTGCATCCAATCCAGCTCATCTTCAACAAGAAACTTCAGCACTGCATAATCCGCTGTGGCTTCGCGCGTTCGACCTTGTATCGCCACCGCTATGCCACGGCGAGCCTGACGGATCCGACGCAGCCCGTCGACTTCGCATTCGCGCGGGGGATCAGGCTCGTGGCTCTATGGAAGGAGAGGGGCGTCTCCGTCGACATCCGGGCGCTCCGCAAGGTCGTCCAGCTCCGCCTGGCCGATCTGTATGGGGCCGATTGGTCCGCGAACCAACGCCTGAGGTCCGCGGTCCGGGGAAACCGGCTGACTCTGGAGGAGGCAAAGTCTCTCTGCGACGAGGCCTGGGGCTCCGAGATCCTTCCGCCGATCCCCGAGTTGAGAGAGGCGGTTAGGAAGCTGGGCAGGGCGCGGACGGAGCAGTGGTCCGCATTCATCAATAAGAAGGCCCAGCAGTCACGAGACGAGAATAATGAATGTAGATAAAAATAATCATACCCGCCTCGATGACAGTTGCATATAGAGCCGCTACTCGAACATATATATGTATATATAATATGAGTCCTACGTCCATAGCCGGACAAGTTCGCTCCCAAAAAACAAATATCTGTACACGGATCCAGGATATGACATGCTCAGGCTTAAGATAACAAAGCCTTATAGTATCTAGCCTGGTTGCTGCCGAGACTGCACAGCACCTTATTCGATGTCGTCGCCGCCGCCGCCGCCGCCGCCTCCGCTGTTGCGGCTGCTCTTCTTCGGCTTGATGACCAGCAATATTATCATGCCGGCAATGATAAGTATGAGCAAGAGGATGATCTTCCTCTTGGTCGTCTTCTTCTGGTATCCGGACGCGATCACGAGCTCCTTCTCGGCCCCCTTGACGTCGGTCGCCATGCGCTCGACGTTGTAGTCTATCCTGTCCAGCATGGTCCCCTGGTCTATCACCATCGTCTGCAGGTCGCGGAACAGATCCGAGAGCTCGATGATGCTCTGGGCGATGTCCTCGATTTCCCGCTCGCGCTGCAGGATGGCGGCGTCGTTTGAGTGGAGGAGCTTCTGGTGGGAGGTGGCCTGCAAGGTGGACTGCGAGAACGACCGGTCCGCGTCGGATTCCAGCAACGAGGGGTCGGTATATCCCCCGACGGTGGGAGTGGGAGCCCGCTCGGCAGGGCTGGATATACCACCCATGCCCCTCAATTCTGGTGATTTGACAGTCAGCACTAACCCGTTGAGAAGCCAGAGAGGGTACCATTTGCATCAACTCACTCTTTAGATAGGCGCTCTGCTTCTTCCGGAACCCCGCGCTTGCCTCCTGCACCCTCGTGGCCAGGCTGATCTGGATATTCTTCGCCATGGTCTCCTCCCCCTTGCTCATCTCGCCCTGGCTCTTGCCGTCGCGCACCATCTGCTCGACCCGCTGGATGCACCGGTGGCAGTCGTGGAAGCCCTTTGTGATCTGCTGCGTCAGCAGCTCGATCTCGCCCTCCTCGGCCCTCTTGGTCTCCTCGTCGTCGAACCCGGGCAGCACGTGCTTCTGGTGCAGGCGCTCGAGCTTCTGGCCCTTGCTGGCGATGTCGGCGAGGATGTCGGTCACCTCGTCCGTGATGTCAGCCCACCGCGGCGGCAGCAGGTCCATCTCGATCACGGCGTCGCCGTCGTCGATGTCGTACGCCCCCTGCGACAGGAGGCCGCGCCGGTCTTCGTCGGCAGAGAAGAGCACGCCGCCTGGGTTGACTCCTCCTCCGCCGCCGCCGAAGCGGTCGCTGGTGGAACTCGACGGTCCATACCGGGTGCGCTGTGTCGGGTGGTGCGCGTACGACTGCCGGTATGAGATATAGCTGAGAGGCGGAGAGCTGTTAACAGAGGACAGGGGTCTTGGGGTTGAAGTTGGCCGGCTGGCATGTGATGGTGGTGTAAGTGTCCTTACAGATTCGTGCGGTCTCGCCACATGGCGGACGCAGGGAAAGGGGAGGAACTCTCCCTTCAGACAGGGCGCGAGTGGTCTGTTTTGTGTAGTCGGTGGTCCTGCCGTGGATCGATTGGTGAAGGTTCACATGGCATCGCATGAAGTCTCGCAAGGCCGGTTTTCGCAACTGTCGAACGAATGGACACAATTGCAGGAATGAGGCTGAGCGAGAGGTTGGAGCTACTGTGGAGGCTGTAGCTAGCCTCCCTGGCCTGTTCTGACAGGTGTTGCCAGGTGAGTGGAGTCAGCCACCAGCTCCTATGGGCAGTCGATGCCCTTTGTTACGGAGTACATCCCCCTGCAATTTCCACTCACAGTTTGCAGTAATACAGGGGCCGGCCCAGTGTACCTACCTTAACTAGGCGCCCTCCCCGAGTCTTGACCCTTATAAACTTAATTGGGAGCTTTTCTGTCTGACAGCATCCAACACTTTCCCCTCCATCCAAAAAAATACCGAGGACGCATCTCACCACTTCTTAACTCTCGGCTGGAAATTGTGCCCTCAGACAATAATTTGATCGCAACATCCCTCCCCACGCTTTTCTACTCCCCAAGAGTTTGCTTCGAGCTTAGCTCAACGTCGTCGCTGTCATCATGGTTTGTCCACCGCCCATCTTTCTCCTATCCTGGAGAATAACCCCGCGGCTGAGAGGGGCAGCAAAGTAAAACCAGGAGGATTAGGTTCACTGACAATGGGCTATGCAACAGGCCGATTCCCTCACCGAGGAGCAGGTTTCCGAGTTCAAGGAGGCATTCTCTCTGTTTGTAAGCTGCGCCCACCCAGCATGACTGCCCAGGCGGCCGCCAAATACAATACTAATAACACATGTGTTGGGCAGGATAAAGATGGCGATGGTTAGTTTCCAGCTGCTCCTTCCCGACTTTCGCAACCCCAAGCCCATCATAGCATCCTGAAGCTGCAATGCGACGCGACAAGAGTTTCGTCTAGCCAGTCCCAGCAGCAGATGCTCGCGCGCCACACCGCATCAACAACAACAAAAAAAATGCTAACTCGTGGTCAAGGACAAATCACCACCAAGGAGCTGGGCACGGTGATGCGATCCCTGGGGCAGAACCCGTCCGAGTCCGAGCTGCAGGACATGATCAACGAGGTCGACGCTGATAACAACGGCACTATTGACTTCCCAGGTGCGTCCACTTCCTATATGCCTGGCCTATTTCGAGTTCTAATACCCACCAGAGTTTCTCACGATGATGGCCCGGAAGATGAAGGACACGGACTCCGAGGAGGAGATCCGTGAAGCGTTCAAGGTCCGATATGCTGCCAGCCCGCCGAAGATCCCAGGATTGAACTAGATGGGCTTACATGCTTACAGGTCTTTGATCGTGATAACAATGGCTTCATATCCGCTGCCGAGCTGCGCCATGTCATGACTTCCATCGGCGAAAAGCTGACGGACGAAGAAGTCGACGAGATGATCCGAGAGGCGGACCAAGATGGCGACGGCCGGATTGACTGTTAGTTCTGCACTGCTGTTATCGGGTCGCATGATTCCAGTCTTAGCTAACCTGCCTGTGATAGACAACGAGTTCGTTCAGCTCATGATGCAGAAATAGATTAATGATCCTTAGCCCAACACTCTCACGCCGCTCATGCCACGGCAACTAACCGGCCCTTCCCCTCTCGGATTTTACTTGTTCTCCTGTTCTGGATGGATTCCAAACGTGTCCCCTAAAGGGACCCGGCGTCGACCCTAGGGGAGACGTCGAGCGATTCTCTTGAAGTTGGCCATGGATCATGGAGGATTGGGAAGGAGACTGGAGGTGACGGATCTGGCTGGCCGGGCTTTGCTTTGCATTTCTCGCCCAACAAGCGTGTCTATTGCTATCATTCTCCTCACTACCTCAACCGGCCGAGCTTTTGATAGTATTTTCTGTCGAGAATAGGTACAGCATGTTCTTCGACTCGCCACTAATTCGCATACGTGATTATTAAAGCGATCTCCTGGTAGATCCAGGAACGATGCAGGTCGATTGTGGCAGTGCTCTCTAGCTCCTTCCCTACAAAGCTTGGTCCGCCTCTCATCTCCAAGATTAGGTCTCCCCAACATTCATTGCTGCAGCCTTATAGGGAGGTTAGGGCAGACCCACGGATCTGGTTCGGGTAGATGCCATTCGTCCTGCTGGCAGCGTCCCGCCCGCCGGTTCATGTCCTAGACACGAGGGTATCGCGGTGAGGAGCCGGTGCCCAACATTGCGACCCCGCACTTAGTAGTTCTGCACCCAACAGCCAAAGCAACCCCACTCTTGCACGCAAGCTGAATCAGACGGCAAGTCCCGCTCTACCCGTAGTACATAGGTCATTGAGAGTTTGAGACCGCAACGAAACTAAAGCTTAGATACATATGGCGTTTTGGAACCTTCAATCCAAAAGTACCATTCCTGCTATACTTTTCGTTAAGAAGACGATAGACTCGGGTCTTCCCTTTTCCTCATATTTGTGCGGTGGCCTCAATTAGTGTCCAACACATGTGGGCGTCACTTGGTTTTGCAGCTCTCCCTTGATTGCGATGTGAGCCCCCTGCCGCTGAACTCGAGCTCCGTCACCACCTTCTTCCTCATCCGGCTTCCGCACCCCGGAAAGCCCCTCGCCGACCACCTACCTACCGCCTTGCGTTCCGGAAACCGGCGCCTCCGAAAGAAAACACAATGCCGCCCCTGAGACGATGGCGGCCCCTCATAGCCATCGTGGCTACCTGGCTCCTGTGCAGCTGGTTCTTCCTGTCCGCCAGCCGCCCCAGCCCGAGCCGGAACGACGTGCCGCCGCGTCGTGGCCCCCTCCGAGGCCCCGACGCCGACGCCGGCGCCGACGGCAAGAAGAATCCCAAGATCCGCTGGTCGAAGCTGCCCGACCACTACCCGGTCACCTCGCTTCGCGCCCTGCCCACCGGCACGGCCGCCTCCGCCGCCGCCCCCGGCCCGCGGATCCCGCGGATCCAGAAACACCCTGCGCCGACGTCCTCTGAGGACGCGGAGGCGCGACGGACCCGCGAGGAGCGGCTCGCGGCCGTGAGGGACAGCTTCCGGCACAGCTGGGAGGGGTACAGGACGCGGGCGTGGATGCGCGACGAGGTCGGGCCGCTGACGGGCGGGGGCAAGGACCCGTTTGGCGGGTGGGCGGCGACTCTGGTGGACGCGCTGGACACGCTGTGGATCATGGGTCTGAGGGAGGAGTTCGCCGAGGCGGCGGAGGCGTGCCGGGGGATCGACTTCGCGGCTGGGCCGGCGGGCGGCGGGGGCGGTAGCGTTAATGTGTTTGAGACGACGATCAGGTACCTCGGCGGGTTCCTGGCTGCGCATGAGCTGAGTGGGGGGAAGTTCCCTGTGCTGCTGGATAAGGCGGTCGAGGTTGGGGAGCTGCTGATGTGTGCTTTCGATACGCCGAATCGGATGCCGATTTCGCGGTGGTCGACTAATACGTGAGTCTTGGTTTGGGATCTGTGGCATTTTTTGGAGGATTGGCGACTGATGTAGCGTGAACTTTAGGTACATGCTTGGCAAGGCTCAGACGGCGCCTCGCTCGATGCTCGTGGCAGAGGTCGGGTCCCTGTCGCTCGAGTTTACGAAGCTCTCGCAGTTGACGGGGGACATGAAGTACTACGATGCCGTCCAGCGCATCGCGGACGAGTTCGAGAAGGGCCAGAGCACGACGAAGCTGCCGGGAATGTGGCCCATCGTCCTCGACGGCGCCGGGCCGACTTTCAACGGGGATAACGCCTTTACACTGGGTGGCATGTCGGATTCTTTGTATGAGTACGTTATGGCGTGTCCACAAGGGCGGTGACTCCAGGATATCTGTGCTAACGACGGTTTGCAGGTATCTGCCAAAACAATACTTGCTACTGGGCGGGCTCTTGGAGCAGCCTCGCAAGATGTACGAAGGGTTCATCGACGTGGCCAAGAAGCATCTCTTCCGCCGGGCACTGAACCCGCAGGATATCCCGCTGATTATATCGGGCGATGTTCGTGTGAGTGAGTCAAAGGAGCACGCCAAAATTGCGACCACTGCCAGAGGACAGCACCTCACCTGCTTCACGGGTGGTATGGTGGGCATTGCATCACGTATTTTCGAGCGCCAAGAGGATCTCGATGTCGCAATCCAGTTGACGGATGCCTGTGTCTGGATTTACAACTCCACCGCGTCGGGTATCGGTCCCGAGATCTTCAGCTTCGTCCCTTGCGGGTCTATAGAGGATAGCCAGACGGGCGAGAAATGCTCGTTTTCCGAAGAGAAGTGGCGCATGGCCGTCAGGGATTTCTGGAGCTCAGCGAAGCCGAACGTGGAGGAGACCGAGGCAGGACGTCGGGAGGCGGAGGAGCGAGTGGACAAAATCATCAAAGACCGCCGGTTATCGCCCGGGATGGTGGACGTGAACGACGCGAAATACATTCTGCGCCCGGAGGCCATCGAGTCCGTGTTCATCATGTACAGGATCACGGGCGATCCGGCGTGGATGGAGAAGGCATGGAACATGTTCCGCCACATCGAGATGCACACGCGGACGGATATCGCGGCGGCGAGCTTGAGAGACGTCAGGATGGATCAGCCGGTTCAAGTCGACAGCATGGAGAGCTTTTGGCTCGCCGAGACTCTCAAGTATTTCTACCTCATCTACTCGGACTGGGAGACAGTCAGCCTAGATGAGTGGGTCCTCAACACGGAGGCACATCCTTTAAGGAGGCCAGATGCATAGCATTAAAGGACCCCTGCGAGTCCTGCGGCATGCCTGCGCCCGTAAAAGCCAGCAATCATGAGCCAGACTTTAATCGGCAAGAGAGTGACAGCACTACCGACATAGGATCTATCTTATCTCGGAAAATGGTGCGACAAGGCTCTCGCCCTTATGAACGGAATACCGAGGGGAATTTAGTCCCTTCTAGAAGGATAAACGTGGTTGCACACCTTTGGCCTGGGCAGCGGTTGGTGGGTTTAATACGATTGTGGAGTTTTTCCTGCAATCCTATCCTGAGGTTGACCCTGACGAAAGGGACAATAAGGGTCGAACTCCACTGTCATTGGCAGCGCAGGAGGGACACGTCTATGTCGTTGCTACGCTGTTAAAAGTAGACAACCCTTCTGGACCAGCTCCGGCAGGTAGCACCGGGTCTTCCTCGTCTCCTCCACGCGCGGTGGACCTCGATGCGAAAGATGACGAAGACGAAACTCCGTTGACAAAAGCCGCTAAAAGGAACCACGAGGAGGTGATAAGGCTGCTTGTCGAGGAGGGAGTACCAAGATATTCGGGTATGACGGGACATCGATATCCTAGGGTGGTTTACTTGCTGCAGTAGTGCTCTCAGGCGCACTGTTTGTACTTTCTAGGCTCCTTTAGATCCGCCATGCCAGCTTCAAGATCCTTCTGCTTTTCCATCGGGACTCGCTCTGCCACCAACTTGTCCCCGCCCTTGATGTGTTGAACTTCCCCATCGCTCAGACCGAAGACGACTTCAGGCGTGAAGAGAAGAGGCAGCTTCGGTATCGCGCAGTTTTCGGCAGCCGTAGTGCCCCAACCAAGGCTCACCTAGCTGCTCAGGGTCTGCGACTAATACAGGGGTGTCGTTCGCTCTAACAATTTCGAGGTCACGGGCTTGGTCACCTGGCTTAGGTTGCGCGCCCCATATTTCAGGCGTCAACCACATTCATCCCACCAAAGACGGGAGCCCAGGCCACTCTCGACCCCGGACTGGCAGCCATCGAAAAGATATAGCTCCTATCCACGTCGCTCTCCACGAGGAACTGCTCCAAAACCCGCGTATCATCCTCCGCCACTCACTCAATCTGGTCAGGATACGTTCGACGGCCCCTTAGTGGGCCCTGTCATCTCACAATGAGTTCCTGTAAGTATACTGGGGGCGGACACCGTCTCCATCTCGACGGCAACCTCTGGCTGACAATTCGTACCCCTCGCAGTGAAGCAGTTCATCCGCAACGTCCGCGCGGCCAAGACAATTGCCGACGAAAGAGCCGTCATTCAGAAGGAGAGCGCATCCATCCGGGCGAGCTTCAGAGAAGAGAGCGCGGATCACAGCATTCGGTAGGCAGAGGCCGCCCTCCTTCATGTGCTCCCGACTAACGAGTCCCCCCTCCCTTCTTTCTACCAGGCGCAATAATGTGGCGAAGCTACTTTACCTCTTCACGCTCGGCGAACGAACGCACTTCGGGCAGATCGAGTGTCTCAAGCTGCTGGCATCGCCTCGCTTCGCCGATAAGCGGTTGGGCCACCTGGCCACCAGTCTTTTGCTCGACGAGAACCAAGAAGTCCTCACGCTGGTCACAAACTCGCTCAAAAAGTATGCAGGCCCATAAATATGCTCGGGACACCCCAGGCAGCTAACCGGAGTTGCCTAGTGATCTATCTCACTCGAACCAATACGTCGTCGGGCTTGCGCTCTGCACCCTTGGGAATATTGCCTCCGTCGAGATGTCGAGAGACCTGTTCTCCGAAGTAGAAACACTGGTGTCTACGGCCAACCCATACATCCGCCGGAAAGCCGCGCTGTGCGCGATGCGTATCTGCCGAAAGGTCCCGGATCTTCAAGAGCACTTCCTCGAGAAGGCTTCCGGCCTCCTATCCGACAGAAATCACGGAGTCCTGCTCTGCGGCTTGACGCTCGTGACCAGCCTCTGCGAGGCAGACGAGGCCGAGGGTGGAGAAGAGGGTATCATTGAGAAGTTTAGAGCATTCGTACCGGGACTTGTTAAGACCCTGAAAGGTCTGGCTTCTTCGGGCTATGCACCCGAGCACGATGTTACCGGGATTACGGACCCCTTCCTGCAGGTCAAGATCCTTCGACTCCTCCGAGTCCTCGCACGGGGGGATGCCCAGGTCACAGAGAAGATCAACGACATTTTGGCCCAAGTCGCAACCAATACTGACTCGTCAAAGAATGTCGGAAACTCGATCCTTTACGAGGCCGTGCTCACAATCCTAGATATCGAGGCAGATTCCGGTTTGCGAGTGATGGGAGTCAATATCCTCGGCAAGTTCCTGACGAACAGAGACAACAACATTCGATATGTTGCCCTGAATACCCTCGTCAAGGTAGTCGCCATCGATACCAACGCAGTGCAGAGACACCGGAACACGATCCTGGAATGTCTTAGGGATCCGGATATTAGCATCAGGAGGAGAGCGCTGGACCTCAGTTTCACACTAATCAACGAGAGCAACGTCCGTGTTTTGGTTCGAGAGTTGCTCGCTTTCCTGGAAGGCGCCGATAACGAGTTCAAGCCGACCATGACCAGCCAAATCGGTATTGCAGCCGACAGATATGCGCCGAATAAACGATGGCACATCGACACCATGCTGCGAGCCTTGACTCTGGCGGGTAACTACGTCAAGGAGCCCATCCTGTCCTCTTTCATCAGGCTCATTGCAACGACTCCTGAGCTGCAGACGTATGCCGTTCAGAAGCTGTACACGAACTTGAAGAAGGACATCACCCAAGAAAGCTTGACGCAGGCCGGCGCTTGGTGTATCGGCGAGTATGGCGATTCCCTGCTCCGGGGTGGGCAATACGAGGAAGAAGAGCTTGTGCAGGTAGTGAAGGAGCACGAGATCATCGACCTGTTCTCCAATATCCTGAACAGCAGCTACGCCACTCAAGTTTCGACCGAATACATCGTTACGGCTCTCATGAAACTAACGACGAGGCTCTCCGAGCCAGCTCAGATCGAGCGGATCCGACGCTTGTTGCAAGCTCACTCGACAAGCCTGGATGTTGAGGTCCAGCAGAGGGCAGTGGAATATGGGAATTTGTTCGCCCACGACCAAATACGCCGCGGTGTGCTGGAGAAGATGCCCCCTCCTCAGATTAAGGAGTCGTCCCGAGTCCTCGGAGAAGCCGCCAGGAAGACTGCCAAGCCTGGCAGGGGTAAAGCTAAAGTTGCGAAGCCCAAGGAGGAAGATCTTCTCTTCGACCTTATGGGTGATGGCGACGTCCCCGTGCCACCTGTCAACGGCGGTGGTCAGAATAACACCGATCTGCTAGCGGACATCCTCGGGGGCACGGCCTCACCGGGCCCCGCTTCGACGTCACCGCCTCCGGGGCAGTCAAACGTCGCCTCCATTATGGATCTGTTCTCCCCAGGCGCGGCTTCGAACCCCCCTGCCGCACCACCTTCGTCGTCGAATGTCGATCTCTTTTCTCCCGTCTCATCGCCCCCTCCCCAAGCACAACAGGCAGCCGCTGGGCACCCGTGCTATGATAACAACGGCCTGAATGTCACAATTCAAACCCAGCGGAACGCAGAGGGCATGATCCAGGCCGTGGCCCGCTTTAGGAACACGTCATCGTCGGCCAGCTTGTCAAACGTCGGCCTGCAGGCAGCAGTGCCGAAATCTCAGAAGCTGCAACTGATGAGTGTCTCGAGTTCTCAGCTGGGACCGGGGGCAGAAGCGTCACAGATCATGAGAGTGACAGGATGCAAAGGGGTAAGTTTCGCCACTTCATTAGATAGCGTCTCGCTAGTGCAGGCCTCTTGCTAACGAAGCGTCTTCTCCAGCCCTTGCGGCTAAGGTTGAGGATAGGGTATGCCCACCCTTCAGCGGGGCAGGTTATGGACCAAGTAAACTGGACGGAGCCTTAGGGGGTTGAGTTGAATGTGCCGCGGTCCTGTAAATGAAAATCAAAATACCTTGCATATCTAGCTGCAAAACAAGGGAATGGCACACATGAAAGTTTGCCTGCCGCTTACGCTGAAGCACACTCGCAATGCCAACAATTTCGAAACACCTTTGCGTCTAAGAGAGCGGGCCTGTTGGGGAATATTCCTGTCAGCCCTGGTTAGGGGTTAGAGATCGCCCCCTTTCTACCAAGTCTTGTTGTTCCTAGGAGATTAGTTCCCACTAACAATTCGTCATCCCGTTTCACAAAACAGCCAGGAACAGCCAAGGAAAAGGAAGAGGCGGTGGGGCTTGATTCAGGTATGAGCCAGTAACTCCTGTGGAGATTTCACCTATCTTGTCCACTTCACGATCCTTGGCGCTTATTAGCACTTGGAGGCTTGCCCTGCGGATGACGATGAACCCCATCCACACAGTAGGACGGCTCCCCCTTTCTTGCGTGGCAATGTCGTAATGTCATTACATGTGCTGCGTGGGATCCTAAAAACAGAGTCAACCGTCAACCACCCCCCTTACCCGACTAAGCACTGAGCAAAGAAAGTCCCACGCCTAGTGTTGAAGATAGCTTAGCATGACCAAACAACGTAGGCACGGCGACAGCAGCAGTAAACTGGATTCAGCGGTGGCTGGGAAACTTTCATAAGCATTACTATCTTTTTTTATCCATCATCGAGGATGATCCCTTTCTCTGTCCACCCCCCGTTGCATCTGGAAACCCAACTGCTCCTCCAGGGCTTGAATAATAGGGATGTGGAAATGGATATATATGCTGTCAACAGCCCTGTCTTCGCAGTGAACCAAACTGATGGCGCCATCAACGCCCATAACCGCATGCCATCCCGTGGTCGAATGGTGATGCATGCAATAAATGAAAAGAAAGGAAACGCGAGAGAAAAGCAAAAAGCCCCCCCTATATGATACAGTTCCTCGTCAAGTCATGCAACTACACGTCCTCTGTCTCGGGCTTCCCCTCGTAGAACCAGTATCTAAAGCGCACCATTAGTGACCATTCCTTTACGAAGTTTCTTTTCTGGGAGGGCAAACTCACTCGGCAGAATACTGGACCTCAAAGTTAGCAGGCATGCCCTCGCACGTGGCCGGGGCGCTCCCGCCCACGGTGCCGAGGCGGTAGACCTCCTGCAGCCCGCCGGTGGCGCCCTCGGCGGCGACGAGCTGCAGCCACGGCACGGCGGGCTCGCCCCTCTGGCCCCTGGCGGCGTCGGCGGGGGCCGGGCTGCTGGCGTTCTTGGTGCAGGGCAGGCGGCCCAGCTGCATGTCCGGGTCGGTGTCGAGGTCGAAGAAGGGCACGCCCGAGGCGTTGAAGAAGTGGTGCCCGCTGACGTTGAGGTTGCTGGGAAACAGGTGCTGCACCGAGCTGTCGCTCGGCAGGGTTAGGTTGAACAGCATCGACGCGCGCGGGAGCGTGCCGAAGAGGTCCCGGTGGGCGGAGGCGAGACACGAGGCGTTGAAGAGGGTGGCGACTGCGCCTGTGGCGACCGGGGCCGCGGTCGCGTTGGTGACGTCGCAGGTGTAGTTTTGGGTGCCGCGCCCGATGGCGATGTGCTTCAGGTGGAGACCCGCCGCCACTGGTGGGAGGGGTGGAGAGGCTGGGTTGTGTTCGTGTTAGTCCTCGAGGTGGGGAGGTTGAGAGAGTACAAGGTTGGTGGGTTTATGACATACCGGTTGGTTGCTGTATTTTGGACAAGTCGCAGGCCGGGGCTTCTTGGTTATGCCGGTTCTGTTGCACCTTGCTCGCCAACAGGTTGAAGTAGTCCGATAAGGCCTCTAGGCCTTCGGGTATGGCGGTGTTGGTGTTAAACACTGGAAACTTGGGAGCAGCCAGGACGGAGGCGCTGAGCGCTGAGACCAGCCATAGTGAGGCATGCATGGTTGCGTAAGTTGTGAGGTGTGGATCGGTTCGTGAAGCTCTGGAGACGGTGGCTGTGTGCCAGGTAGTCGAGATCCGTAGCAGAAGAAAAGATTATGCGTATATACCGGGCATCAAGCGTTAAATTAAAGGAAAAGCCTGAAAACCCAAGCACAGATACACAGAATACAAGGGAAAAATTGGAAAGGGAAGAGAGCCCCAGGGAAGATCTGGCGAGATGATATAAGAGGTGAGGTGTCGAGAGTTAATTTACATGATGATCGAGGGCGGAGGGTATCTATATAGGTAGGGACCGTCCATGACGAGCCATAGTATGCGGAGGGCGTCTATCTTTGGCTGCCGAATGGAACCCCTGCTCGGCTTCCAGCCCGTAAATTGCCCAGGCAAGCCAGGGCGCATCTTGAAGAATGGAGATGGCCAGGCGGACCAGTGGACAGGGATCTATTACCCCAGTCGAATCTGGATTTGGGATGCCGGGGTCTGACTGGTTTAGGCCTGGTTTGCCAAGCGATCGCCGTCCAGGATTATTCTCCACCCTGAACCATTGTAAGCGCTGGGCTCCTCTCTTGCCGCCGTACCCCATTTGGCGAAGCCACGACCAAGCAATCAATCCTTGCTTGATAGATTCAAAAGCGCACTTCTCCGAGGAGCTGAGAAGATGGCAACAGGAGCAACGTCATGGGAATTGGGCATTGTCATCTTGTTGTACCTATGCCGTTATCAGCGTTTCATTATCACTCTTGAGAGGCAGATATAGCTGACAACAGTAAGATTTCAGCGTGAGGAGTAGTGCACCTATCTAGCTTGGAGGTCGTGCAGTAGCTGGTCGGATTATTCACAACTTCCCTACAACTGTCCCACAACTGTCCCACAGTTCAAACTGCCCTTATAGCCCGGAATGCGAAAAAGGTCTAGCGGTCTCTTCGATCCGAGATGTACAGCATAGACATCCATGCAGATGCATATGTTGGTCCCTTCGATTCGGAAGCATTGGCAGCGAAATGAGGACGCCTGAAGAGGTGTGGTAATATGGATAAGCGACTTCCCATAGCAACTAACAAGCGCGGCAGCGCGATGGGCAAAAAGACGAAAATAGACTCGATCTAAGGCAACCAACCAACCAGATCTCTAGTTGAGCCTCAATAAAATTGGGCAAATTAGCAGCAGCTACCACCTTTACCAATGTATTTGCACGTGCGAGCCATCCTTCTAACCGCCCATAGTATTCAGGTACCCGTCGAAACGCTCGCGCCCGCTCTTGCCCGACATGCCCAGGTTGTTCAGGACCCATCGACTGGTCATCGACATCTCGCCTGCTAGCGCGATCGGAGACCTGCTGTGTTCAGGGACACGTGCAACCAGCCCAGAGACAAACGACTGGCCAACCCGAACAGACGCCGGCCGTTTTAAGTCGGCCCACACGTCGCATCCAGCGGTGCCACGAGGGATCGCGAGAAGGCAAAGTCTCTCTTCGAGGCTGGGGGACAAGGACCAGTCCAGCGGATCCCGGTATGACGGCGCCCTCGTGCGCTGCTGTTGGTTACCCGTCGCCGCGGTTCGTTGTTTGCTGCTTTGGTCCAGGAATAGCAACGATACATGCATCGATGGGACTGACCAGCCTCAGTGCGGGCCCATGGAAGCTCAAGTAGAAGCTCCCCCACCGGGAAAGGTAAGAAGCAGGAACGTAAAATTTGGAGGTGGGGAGCCGCGCGCACCCCCCGGTGGCGACAAGTCTCTGGAAGCAGAGGGTCCACATCCAATCAATGCCTGCTTCCAGTTCTCGCCGCACTGACTGGAGGGTGGGATTTGGCAGACTTCTTCTGATATCCGTCCTTTAATATAACATTGGGCGGGGTGTAGAGAAGAAACCAATAACAGCCTTGACCTCCACAACACCACTTCGCTGGCAAACGCCTGCATCGCTACATAACATGACAACGTCATACCAATCCCGCAGAAGAAGTAGAAATTCGGCGGGATTTGGTGTTAGAAAACTGGATATCTGATCCGTGACACGCACAATTAATCTCCTGTCAAAGGTCCAGCTGGCTGCGTGTCTTGCCGCCCACAGACAGGTCAGGCCAGGCCAGCCACTCCCAGCCCTCGCGTGCTGGTCCCTCTAATCGTCAAAGCAAGTCCGCTGCCCCTACTCCAGGCATGGTCACTTTCCCATGCTGATTTCCCATAATGTGATAAACTTTCCAAGCAGCTCTAGGCCGACCGACCATACAGTTGCAAGGAGTTTTATCCAAAATGAAACAAAATAAATAAAAGGGGCTTCACATCTGTACACCCTATTCCGGAAGCCACTTCACTGCCCACTGAACCCTTCCTCCTGCCAGTTCCCATGGGAGCCATCGCCGCCCCCGGCGTTTGAGCCAACGGCGGCGGCGATGGCGCTCTCGCCGAGCTTGCTGGCGTGCTGCTCGACGTCGGCGGTGCCGAGCCAGTACAGCGAGAAGAAGACGAGGACGTGCAGGGCCACGCAGTAGGCCGCGAACAGGTTCCTGCTGGTCCGGCTGGCCAGCACCATCCTCGTGACCGAGTAGACGACCCGCTCCGGCAGGCTCATGCGCCTGTATGCCCTCGCCGACTCGCGGCCCCTGAAGGCGGCGAACGGCGAGATGTTGGACTCGTACGCCTTCCTGTACCGGTCCAGCGCGATCCCCGGGCCGCCCATCGAGACGGTCGACGGGTTCGGGTTCGACGCGTACGCCGACGACGACGATGTCGACGTCGACGCCGGCCCGCCGCCGCCGGCCGCCCGGTTGTAGGTCGACACGTAGCGCGTTTTCTCGTACAGGTTCAGGTTGTCCTTCTGCAGGGCGGCGATTTCCTGGCGCAACTGCGACACCGTGCGGTGGCTCTCCGAGAGCCCCTGCTCGAGCTCAGCGTTCCTCTTCTTGAAGCGGTCTCGCTGGGCCGTGATCATCGGCAGGATTCCCGACCCGCCGCCCATTGGCTCTGCAGGCGAATCGCGTGGGTTGAAGCCGCTTATTATGGAAGATGTGGGTGATGTCCTTCCCTTCCGTCCCGGTGCGGCAGATGGTGGGTAACGGCTCACGTAGGTGCCGGCTACCGAAGCGCCAGATGGGAATGCGTTGGGTGCTTCTGCTTGCACGGTCGAGAGCTCGTTCTCAAGCTTCTCGTTGAGGTTCTGGGCCTTCTCCAGCTCGGCATTCGTCCTCGACAGCTCCTCCTGCAGGTCCTGCAACCTATTCTGGAGGTCTTGGTGCGACACGCGCAGGATGGTCAGCTCGTCGCTTAGCTTCTTGTTCCGGGCCAGGAGAAGCTGCTCGAGGCTGTCCCCCTTGCCCGTTGCGGCAATTCCGTCCTGCGGATCCGCGGCCTCGTCGTCGTCGCCGGTGGAGAACTCGATGCTCTTGAGAACCTCCAGTTCCTGCTTGACATCCTCGTAGTCGCTCCACTTCTGCACCTTGGCCTTCAGGGCGTCTCGCTCCTCCTTCAACAGGCCGACCTCTCGTTCGAGACCGCGGAGCTTGGTGTCTAGGTCCCGCTTGAAGCCCTCCTTCTCGACCCTCGCGGCGTCGAGTTTCCGGATGAGAGACGAATTCTCCGATCGCACTCGCATATAACCAGGGTCATCCTCGAGGTCCACCGCCGGCTGTGTCGGCACTTGCGATTTGGCCTGAGCGAGTTCCAACCGAAGTTGTTCGTTCCGCGCCTCCATTTCGGCCAGCCGCGAGCTCGTCCTCTCCAAGTCCGAGTTGACCATCTCGAGCTCGGCGCTCGTGACATGTCCCCCCTGGCTGCTCTCGGCGTCGTCCGAGCGCCCCAATCGCTGATTGACCTCGTAACTCGCCTTGATCTCCTCCAGCAGCCGGTCTTGGTTCTCGATCTTGTCTTCTAGTGCCTTCTCTTTCGCTTCCCAGTTATCCTTCTTCTCGTCCAAGACAGCCACCCAGGATGACTCGACATCCTTCACCTTGGTCTCCAGGTTGCCCTCCAGCTGCCTTCTTGCCGTCCGCTCCGTCTGTAATTTTGATTCCGTGTCCTCCAACTGGGATGTGAGCCTCGCAACCGTTCCTTGGAGATGCTGGTTCTCCTGGCTAAGCTTCGGCAAAGTGTCCTCAGACACCAGCATGGAGTCGACGGACGCCTCGAGTAGCGGGTACGGGTCGGGCGCCTCTGACAGGGAGGTGTAGGCCTGTAAGAACGCCGAGTTGATCGACTTGGAGTGGTTGGTCAAGAGGTCGATGAATGTTTGGTAAGCTAGCCACGCACTGTCAGCCCGCCTCGCTTTGCGGCGATCCCATGAAGAGTATTACCTTTTAGCAAGCCCTTGATCTCGGAGAGCTTCGTGGCATCGTCTAATTTCCTAAAGTCCTTGGTCTTCTGTGCGAGATCCTTCCTCTGGACTGTTGAATCCCTCTGGTATGTAACAATTTCGGAGGCTGTATTGTCGAGGTTTGAGACCAAAGTTGTGAAATCGAGGCCTAATGAAGAAGCTGGTTAGATCGTCCATTAGTTGTACACGGCGGTTTGGAGACGTACTTCTCCAGGCCGAAATGGCATGTTGGAACTTGTTTGACGTTTCTGCGCCGACATGATTTCTTGAGCTCTCCATGTCCTGTGCGGGAACTCCGGAGCCGTTTGCCTCTGCCATGTTTCCATGCAGTAAAAGGGTTTGGGAACGAATCCGTTTTCTGTAAGTGGTTTATGGAGGAGAGGGAAAAGAAAACTTTAGTGCATTGGTGACAAGGGAGGTTGTTGTTGTTGTTGTTGTTGTTGTTGTTGTTGTTGTTGTTGTTGTTGACCTCTGTGGCTTTGAATTGAAAGCGAAGTGTGAGGGGAGTTGTTGGCGATGTTGAACGTGTTCGTTGCCTGACTTGGAAGCTTGTCGGCTGTCGGCGCTAGAAGCTTCGGCACCCCGGTCTTTTGAGCACTGACTGGTCAGTTGGCCCGAGCTGGAGTGGACCTGCAGCGGTAGCCTGGCGCCGGGGGGCCCCAGCCTCGTGGACGCGCATCAGCTTCAACCTTCCAGGTTCCGCAACAATACCGATAGTTGGTCTAGCTCATGGTAATGCGCCGACGACGCATTTTGCATACAAGGTAGCTCTATAATGTTTGTTGGGAAACCATGGCCACGGATACCAACAGCGGCGAGCCATCCCCGACGGCGAAGGTGCACAGCTCTCTAGAGACGGGACCTTTTGTCTTGCGCCCATTGCTCGAGCATGTTCCCCTCTCTGCCGATGACGCGGAAGACGAGGTCAAGATCAATTGCGTGGAATACCTAGGTTTGCAAAGCTCGCCCCAGTTATTCTCTCCTCAGGGAAACAACTAACAAGCCCAGAACGCAACTTATATGTCGGTACTTCGGCCTCGGAGCTCCTCCATTTCTTCCAGATCCCCCCCGACCCAGCCGATCCACCCGATCAGAATGGAAAGCCCGTCTTTATCCTCGCCTCGAGGCTACGCCCTGCATACTCGGAAAGCTCTTCTGTGCCAAATGGCTCTCGTCCCGGCGTCCAACAAATCCTGCTTCTGCCCAGTGTCGGCAAGGCATGCGTCTTGTGCAATTGGACTGTGACCTTCTACTCCTTGCCCGAGTTGAGCCCTGTGTTCGGGACTACACAAGTGAAGAATTGCAATTGGATTGGGGGGCTAGACTTGAACGAAGGGCCCGCCAACAATGGGCCTTCCGGTGCCACCATTCTTCTGTCCCTGAATAGGAGGATTCAGGTCGTACGTATAGGAGAGGATGCCCGAGTCATCAAGGTACGGAGCCCCTATTGCTTCTCGCTGATGGTCTGAGCATGTTCTAAGATGTGAGCAGAAAATCGACTTTGCTGGGAGCACCCTATCGGTGCGGAGAGATTCCATCGCGTGTGTGGCCGATTCTAGAAGCTACGCGCTCTTAGATGTCGATCGGCAGCTGAAGATCCCTCTTATGAGCATATCGTCTCTGGATGACTCGCAGCCAGGTGGACCGCTTGGGCAGGCCCAAAATATTGCTGGCGGCCCTGATGGGGGGCTTCTCAGGAGCGCATCCTCAGCCGCCCATGCCCGACGGTCGCCCGCACCCGATGCCCATGGCCATACTAGAAGTACGAGCCTGGGATCTTTCATTACCGGTGGCATTCACAAGCAGGATAAGAAGGCCAGTGAGCCTGAAGATCCCGTCTTTCAGGAGTCTGATCCTCCCGCCCCCTCGAGGAGTCCAGCGTTGGCGGAGGGGGGCCCATCGAATCCTGCAGCAGATTCCGACAAGCCGTTACCTGTGCCTCCCTCCGGTTCCGGTGCCCTCATGGCTGCACAGGTAGGCGGTGGTGCTTCTGCGGAAAGGACGGCGTCGCCTGCTAGACCTGGACCAGTCTTCCTTAAACCCCACATCTTATCTCCCACGCCAGAAGAATTCCTTCTTGTCACTGGCGTTGGACCCCTAGACCCTGGCATTGGCATGTTTGTGAACTTGGATGGAGACCCTACCAGGCCTACCATTGAATTCGACAGGTATCCACGCGAGATAGCCGTGGACGGCGGATCCTCAGATCTCTCGTCGTCAAAACCGTCACTTGGGGAAGAGGAGGAAGGCTATGTTCTTGCCTCGATGGCCAGGAAATTTGACGATGGTCTCCATCATGGCCTGGAGATTCAGCGGTTCGACGTCAATGTCGGAGAAGGCGAGCCCGACAAGTTTTGGCTTGAGATCAAAACCGGCGCCCCCCGTGATCTAGACCCCTCTGCTCCGATTGGTGTCCGCTCTCTGCTTAGCAGCGATGAGATGCAGTTCCAAGAGGTGGCAGACAGACTGCGCCAGAAACGATTCTCGCCCTTCTCGAACGAGGCTCCCGAGACGTCGGCGACGTCATTGCGGCGTGCCGACTCTCGGACCGACTTATCCATAGAGAGATTGTCCAAGGAACGAGAACTTTTCGATCAGGCGCTTGATTCGGACGACGAGCCGCTAGTAGACGAGTGGGAGGCTGTTCGAAACAGGGAAGAGCGGGAATATGCTAGTCGACTTGCGAAGACGACGTCGCGCCTAGCTGTTTGGGTTGGGAATACGATCTGGTGGGCAATCAGAAACCCCCTCCTTCTGCAGCTTGAGGTTGGGCTAGAAGCCTACGATGGAGGAAATGGGAATTTCTCGCGCTCCCCGGAGGAGCGAGCCGAGCTGCTCGCAATCCTTGGCTCTATCAAGGGGCGGGATGCTAAAACGGAACTGGAGTTCATGACTTTCCGATACATCAGACAAAGAGCCGGAATCTTGCTGTTCGCCAGCTTCTTGCAGTCTCAAGAAGCGCCCTTCACAGAATCCGAGCTAAGAGCCATGGAGGAGGTCCTTCTAGAGGGGGGTCTCGATCCGCGGGTTGCATTGGCTCTCATTCCGCCTCTGCGCAACGAGATCGTTGAGAGTCGGAGAGGTATCTGGATCTATGGGGGTGTTAAGAACACCGTCGAGAGCTGCATCCGAGCCGATCAGTCGGGAGAATCCATCCAGCCTCTGAGCTCGCTGGGCACGGAGGTTCTACAGTTTCTCCGGCGTTTCCTCACGGCCTGGAGGGGAAACAAGGACTTCGGGAGCATATCAGACAAGAGCCAGGTATTCCGAACTGTTGACGCAGCGCTTCTACTGGTGCTCCTCGAACTCGATCAGAGCTCGCCAAAAGGACTCACTACTAAGTCGGGGTCTGTTCGATCGAGTCTATACGATCTCGTCGACAGCGGAGTAGACTGCTTCGACCGAGCAGTAGACCTCCTCGAAACCTACCACCGCCTCTATGTGCTCAGTCGACTGTACCTGAGCCGCAAGCTGTCAGCCGATGTTCTTGGGACTTGGAGGCGGATTATCGAAGGCGAACGGGACGACGGAGGCGAGCTTCAGGACGGCGAGCAGCGTCTCCGAAGGCATCTCTCCGAAGTCAGCAACCAGGCTCTTGTACAGGAGTACGGAGTGTGGCTTGCGGCTCGCAACCCACAACTCGGCGTCCAGGTGTTTGCGGACGACAAGGGGCGGGCTCCGAAGTTTGAACCAGCCCAGATCATCGCCCTTCTTCGGGACCAGGCCCCCGACGCGGTGAAATATTATCTGGAGTATTTGGTCTTCAGCAAAGGCGATACCGCAAACATCAACGAGCTCATAACATACTACCTGGACGTTGTCATCGATGACCTGCAGTCATCAGAAACTGCGCGGGAAACCGTGGCCGCTTCGTACCAGGCGTACCGAGCGCTGCGGCCTCCCAAGCCGACATACCGGCAGTTCCTCGCCGACAACGCCCCGCCCGATAACGAAGTCTGGCAGAGTCGGCTGCGGCTCCTGCAGCTCCTCAGCGGGCCGCACGAGTACGACTCCAAAGCCATCCGCAGCCGGATCACGACCGCCTTCCCGGGCGACTCGGACGACCACGCGGAGAGCCAGCTTCTCGTCCCCGAGGCCATCATCCTGGACGGGCGCGAGCGGCAGCACGAGGACGCGCTCCGCCTCCTGGTGCACCGGCTGGGAGACTACGACACGGCGGTGTCGTACTGCCTCCGCGGGGGCAGCAGCATCTACACGGCGGCGGGTCCCGGGCAGGGGCGGCGCGAGAGCACGCCGGGCCGGGAGACGCAGACGCAGCTCTTCGCGGCGCTCCTGAGGGAGTTCCTGGCGCTCGAGGACGTCAGTGACCGGGTGGAGCAGACGGGGGCGCTGCTGCAGCGGTTCGGCGGCTGGTTCGACGTGGCCGAGGTGCTGGGCCTGATCCCGGACGGCTGGTCGGTGGATGTGGCGGCCGGGTTCCTTGCGGCGGCCCTGAGGCGGCTGATGAGGGAGAGACACGAGAGCATGCTCGCGAGGTCGCTGAGCTCGGCGGAGAACCTGAGGGTCAACTACGACCGCGTCGTCAAGGTGGACGAGAAGGGGCCCGTCGTGGATGCGGGGAGCTGAGGGGGGGTGTATACATCCAAAGCTCAATTGCTGTTGGTTAGATGATAGTAACTGATTGGTCAGCTACTCTGAACAGAAGTGTCGGGTGCTCCTCATTTAAGTACCTACTGTACAATACATTGATACTACACGTCCGTGACGGCCATGCTTGCGACCTCCTGGGATCAGAACACCTAGAACAGGAAACCGCAGCCGTAACTAAGTTGTTCTTGCGAACCGAAAGCCTACAGTGGCTGATTTACTTGAATATAGAGACCTCATGTCCACTGTTTCTGTATCAACTGAAATTCCCGAACGGAACCGGAAGCCCACTTCCGGCACCCGGCCCCAGGTTCTTCCCCTGCGATTCCCATCCCATCACACGATCACATCCTCCTCCCCCAAACCTAATTTTTCCTTGTCAGCAAATCACCCAGAATCTTCCTCGCAACGGTAGACCTGCCTTCCATGACAGGACGCAACTCCCCGAACGCAGCGATGGCGTCGTCCGCCGCCCCACCGCGAGCCCTGACAGCCTCGGCCAGCTCCAGGTCCGGATCGCGAGTCCGACCACACGAGATCCGCGTAAGCGTCGCCGGACGCCTGGCTGTCCCGGGGCCGCCGTGCTCGCGCCCGTCGCTCGCGCCGCCGCCGCCGGCCCCCCGTGTCCCCGCGTCGGCCCTCGGAGCGGGGGGTTTGAGGTAGGACGGCGGGATGCTGGTATGCCCGTCCCGGCGGAAAACGCCGCCCAGGCTGTGGCCCTGGTGGTGGTGGTGGACCGCGGCGGCTCCCATCTCGTACTCCCTGCAGGTGTGCGCCAGCGCCGCCCCCGCCCGATCGGGACCCGGCAATCCCATCGCCGGCACCCCGGCCGCCAGCGCGGTGGGCATCCCATGCCAGGCGGCGGCCATGCCGGGACCCACCGCCACGGCGGACGTGGGCATGCGGCGCGCGGCAGCAGCAGCAGCGTCGGCGGCGAAGACCAGGCGGCGCATGTCGCTGAGGCGGCGCTCCGCGGCGGGGCCGGGGACGTGGACGGGGACGGGGACGATGTAGGTGGTGGGCTCGGGCTGCCACTCCATCTCCTCGATGGTGGAGCCCTCGCCGACGCCGACGTCGTCGGCCCACGCGTCCAGGAAGCGTCGGCCCCGGCTCAGCCCGGCCAGCAGGTCCCGGTAGAGCCGGCCGTTGGCGGCGCGGATGACGGCGCAGGCCGAGCAGGAGGACGCACCGCCGTCAGGCGGGGGATACGAGCAGCCGCGCCGGGAGGAGGGTGGGAGGGGACGGGTCGCAGGTTGGGGGACCCGGTGGGGCTGGTTGGCTGGGCCGAAGGGCTGGGTGTTGCGGGCCTGGGTGCCGGTCTCGTGGTGCGAGCGGCGGCTTGGCTCCGGTCTGGCCCTGGGGGGTAGGTTGTTGTCCCTCCCGGCTCCGGGGCTGCGGTGGCCATGTCGACGGGGGTTGCGATCCGGGATCAAGTCGTGCCCACCGTGGGGAGAAACCTGCGAGGGTGGCTCGTCACCGTTGGCAACGCTGCCTTCGGGGGACTCGTTCGCTGCCCGAGGACCCTTCCTCTCGAGCCGTTTACTTTTGCCCCTGCGTCTCGATCCTCTTGGCATACTATCGGCGGCTCAGCAGTATTTGGGGGCGGACGGGTGTGGATTCGTGAGACACTGGGTTGGCTTCTGCAGATTCAAGAAACGAGGTCACATCTACTCCGACTTCGATGCGGAAGGCCGCCGCCGGATGTTGATATAATATGGCCGACCGAACGGCCATTGTTAGGAAGGATGGCGGCGGCGCAAAATGAGCTTTCAATGGGCGTAGCCTGGAGTGGACGGTAATGGAAGACTCTGTGAAAGCAGGTCCCCCATCGTTCTGGATCAAGATACTTTGTGGGACCAAGGGCTGATCGAGACACAACACCGGAGACAAAGAGGCATGCTCGCAGGCACAGAAGACAATCTCACCAAGTTGGGGCGCTACTTTTGTTCGAAAGCTGCCTCCTGCATGGAGCTTTCTGTTCAATGTCTGGGACAAGGCAGGTGCCCATATCCTGCGTTTCATGCAGCCCAACAGCCAGGCTACTGGAACAGTCGGGAGGTTGGGCGAGACTGCCAGAGTATCAGAGACTCGCCGAGACTTGAGGGTGAGCATGGTAGCCTCAATCTTTTCTATTCCTCGACGGCTTCTCGAGCCAACGCGGCCACTGGCTCAGGCACTATTTTCTTGGCCAGCGAAGAACTAGAGTTACGAAGGAGAATGAGCGGCCGCCTCGCCGCCGCCTGCCTGAATCCCACAGCACTTCCATGCTGCTAACCTTTTTTACCCCAGTCCAACCAGCGGGTTTCGACTCCAAGCTATCGAGGGGGGCGAACTCTCGCATTGAGTTTGTTACCCCTCATCCTTCTTACCTCGAACGATAAATACGCAGTACGAATACACTAGACCGTTGCTTGGAGGTTAGACGGCCCAAGCATCCGATGGTAGCGTATCGCGGGATTCCGACCCTGCATATCTCTCCCGCCTTTCAAATCCCAATGCAGTAATCTGTACTCAATACGAATTCACTGCTGGCACGGGTTTGACAAGAAAGTCGAAGCGTGCATGCAGAGCGGGCTGTAGCGAGTGCTGTCCGCACATTCAGCCTCGTATGTACGGATGGGTCTGTTCGTGGGGTAGGAGAGACGATGGGCAGGATTACAGGGGACGCCCCACATGGATGCAACCCTCCCAGCACCACCTCCGAAACCAGGTTTTGCCTCTCGGATGTGTCCGTGCTATGGAATTGGGATCGTAGACCCAATTTATCCCTCCAGCCAAGAGTGGAGGGCTGGAAGTGTAAATATTCGGTATGCATGTACGGCGCACGCTGTACTCGTTGCCGTTAGTCATGTTGGAATATCAGCATGAAACTCAACAAGCATTCAATTGGACAGTAGAGGTACCTGTACACATACTTGTAGAACAAGCAATTCGAACATGCCGATGCCAACGCTAGCGAGTTGCTTCATCTTCCGGTTAAACTTGCGGAGAGCTCTAGTTAGGTTCCCAATTGGCCCGTGCTACCGATGGTGTGGTGTGAAGCTTAAAACCCTTCAACACCAAAAGTTATCACCAAGCCCCCTATTTTCAAATTTCGGGGTTAATGATTGTCTGACATACTATGCGCATATCCTCTGGAGGACGAGCGAGATTTTCTCCCCCTTACGGAGTGCAAGTTATGCAAAAGAAGAACAAGCTTTTTGGCCTGTGTCTCGACTCCGCAATGATCTCAGGACCTGCATCTACATATTTCTAAGCGCATACCCAATCGATGATAATGGGGTCAGATTACATTTTTCTGATGAGGCCCCTGGTCTCCTAGCCTACGTACGTACCGAATTGCCCTTACAAGTTATCTCTTCGTTCCATGTTTGCAAGAATGATATTATTTGAAGCTTTGCTCGTTGAAACTGGAAAGTCCACTACGAAATAGGTCCCGCCAAATCGGGATCATTGCCAATTCTGGCGGCTGGGGAATGACACGACTGAATTCCTACCCTCGTTAGCACTCGCACTTGCACTTTTCACCTTGGAATGGCGTCGGTTACAGCCGAAAATGACATAACTACCGTAGGTACCGGCCCATGCAGGGAGGTCCACCACCTAGGTAATTTATCCAGGCATCCTGCATGCTCATCGTTTCTAGGCCACACATTTCAGGCATTTTCATGTGGCACAGCATGCCGAATACCATCATGCAAGGGCAGCAACGGTTTGGATTGCGCAAACACGCATCCAACTAAATTGCCAGTTCAGTGGGTTTGTCAACAAGTACTTGGTTGGCGTCCCAGAGGTTCTGTCAAGCAAGATGTGGCGGAAATATACGAGTACGATTCGACAAACATGGACTGTCGGCCCGAGCGAGGCGGCTGAATGCTTACGGCATGGGCCGGTCTCTTCAAACAGCTCCGGCACGAAACCGCAAACTGCACCGGTATCATGTGGAAATACAGCAGATAATCAAGCGCTCGGAAGGTGAACGGTCCACGGCCTGCCTCGTCGTTGCCGGTGTAGTGGTTGCGATAGTGGTTTGCAGGAGGTGTCCGTTCACCTGGTTTTTCTAAGACCGACGGTCTATGCCCGTCATATTGGCTAGTTTCTCGGCAGCTTCTCTAACTCTTCGACAGGCAAAATTGAAGGAAGTCAAGCCAGCTAACCCCGCGGATGCGTCCGGCTGACCAGCTTGTCCGGCCAGCCTCTCGTCGGCTATCATCCATCCGTACCTACCTTTGACTACTCGAGACCTCCTCCCTCGAATGGATCGTGTTGGTGAGAGCTTCACAATGGGTGCGTAGGTACGGATCCAATATTATGTATGCCCGCCTACCTACCTAGGTACCTACCACTTGCGCGGCTCGACCCAGGGTTTCAAGTCTTGGTCGGGTGGGTGGATCCCTTCCATCTTGTCCGAAGTGGAACCCCTGTCCGGAGTACCATAGTAGAGATACATGTCCGGGCCTTCGTCTAACCCCGCGCCAAGTGGCTTACGCGGATGTAGAATAGAGTATTCGTACCTACCCCAGGAGGCACGTATCCGCAAAGCAAAGTGCTGCAAAGCACATGGTCTTCCCGTCCCAGGCGCACCTTGCAGTCACGGGTCGTTCCTTTCTGGACTTGGGAGACAGCTATTGTTGGACGCCATGGCGAATGCAGCCAATCCACTGTCCGGGTATGCCATACAGGCTCTTTGCGTTTATGGTCTTGCACCCCCCTCGGCTACCCTTGCATTTTCCCGTTTGGATCATGGATTTTACCGTTCAAGTCTTCTGCAGGATCCCACCCGCCAGCTCCCTACCGCACACCCTCTTACACCCTCTTACACACACTCACACTGGGCTCATCTCGCGGTCTGAGAGTTTCCTTCTCGCCCTTCTCGCGTCCTCTGCACCACCCTGGCCCACCAGCAGAACCCCGTCCCTGGATGGAACATCCTGGTCGGAACCTGCATATCATCCTCCCCATGCTTGCCCCTCTGGCAAGGGTAGATTAGAGCCTGGAACGCGCTTCTTCTGCCTCGAGAGGAACCGATGATACTGCCAGCCAACTTGGCCAACCACTCTCGGACCATCCCTTTCCCCTTTAGTCAACTTTGCCGTTTGCGCTTGAGTACCGTGGACGTCAGTTAGTAACCGGCTTGGTTAGGATCGCCAATGCTATAAGTCCATCGGCACAAGATCTTACGCTGCTCTCCCTCATCCGACGTCCCATTAAGCTTCACCTACCCATCCATCCCCCTGGGTTATTATGCCGGTCGCCTTTCCAGCAGCCCTTGATTCGCCCTCTACCACACCTTCGACTGGCTGTCGCTCATCTATATCACTTACCTAACGCTCAGCGTTCCTATCTATTACTTCCCCTCTTCCCACCCTGTCTCTCATCAAGGTCTCCACTCTCCGACCGTTCCTATGATACTTCAAGAGTTCGTCCCGACTTAGCTTGCGCCTTTCCCCGTTGTCGTCGCTGCTTCCTTTGCTGGAAGCCCGTCAATCGAAAATGGACCTCACCACTATGTCTTCGAAGAGGCTGGACACTTTTAGTGCCATCGAGCGGGCTGGCTCGATCCTCTCCATCCTAGGATCCGTCTTCATTATTACCACATTCTGCTCATCCAGGGCCTTCCATAAGCCCATCCACCGGCTCATCTTCTATGCGACCTTCGGCAACTTGATGACCAATGTTGCTACGCTCATGGCGAGAACATACGTTGGTGACACCATTTCTGCTGGGTGCCAACTCCAAGCGTTCCTGATCCAAATGTAAGCATCTTAGGGACACCTGCCTCGAGCTTGCAAACTAACAGGATTGCCTAGGTTCATGCCTGCAGATACTTTTTGGGCTCTTGCCATGGCCACAAACGTCTACCTCACCTTCTATCACAAATTCGACGCTCAAAAGCTGCGGAGGATGGAGATCCCATATCTCATCTTATGCTACGGCATCCCATTTATTGTTGCCATAACTCTTGTCTTCATCTCCTCCCCACAGAAGGGCAGGATGTACGGCGATGCGACCTTGTGGTGCTGGATCTCCGCACCGTGGGATATTTTCCGCATCGCAGCCTTCTATGCCCCCGTCTGGTAAATGATTCTTCCGACGACCTGTTCGTATGCTGCGACTAACGCAGTCCTAGGATCGTCATCCTCCTCACCTTCTTCATCTACATCCGCGCTGGCGGACAGATCTATAAGAAACACAGGCAACTCCGTAACTTGGATCTCAGTAGCAGCCACTACGAACCCGAACCCCAGCCCCCGTCGTTGCCTCCCTTCAGCTCGAGCAAGACGACCGAAGTCTTCGTAACCTCTGAGGCCGTCGACACGAATGCCATCGATCTTGCACCTCTGGGTCGTCGAGACGCGGAGGCTGCCCCTGGACCTCGTGTGCCGAATGCGGCGTATTCAGTCACCATCTCCTCGAACAGGCGGACCGCCGATGCCGACTCGTACAACGACATAGTCCTGCCGACTCAGAGCAACACTTCTGGCCAATCCGCGCCGGTGGTGCAGCGTCCTCCCCCCGCAAACCGCGCCCGTCGACGAGCAGCGTACGATGCCAACAGCGCGGCTTGGTCATACGCCAAGTGCGCCATCCTATTCTTCACCGCCATGCTGGTGACGTGGATTCCCTCATCTGCCAACCGAGTTTACAGCGTCGTGCACAAGGGCGAAGTATCAGTGCCCCTCCAGTACATGAGCGCCTTGGTGCTCCCTCTCCAAGGTTTCTGGAACGGGCTCATTTATATCGTGACGGCGTGGAAGGCGTGCCAGATGCTGTGGCGGGATACCTGGCACCGCTCAGGGTCCAAGCGGGCCCCCAAGGAGCTCGCCGGTGGCATCCAGGGCAGGAACAACAGCTTCGCCAAGATGGGCTCGGGCCGAAACAGGAGCAAATCCAGCGACAAGTCCGCCTACGAGAGTGAGAGCATGACGGAGCTGGCTGTGCAGAGCCGGCCGAGTTCTCAGGAGAACAGCAAGGGACGCCAATGAGGGGCTTTACCCTGCTTTTTTGCACAATGCTCAATCCTGTATCGATACCTGTGTTGCAACGACTACGGGAAGCTTCATTGGACACCGTTACCGGATTTTTAATCGATGCTTGCTCGGGTGGCCAAAAAGAGCAAACAATCATGTTTGATTATTTTGTTCGATTACTAACTAGCTCTTTCGGGTCATCTCAATGGACGGCTGAGGGCCTAAAGAAAAGCAATATTTCTCCCCGACGACCTCAAAGATTTGTCCCGTGTTGTACATACACCTTTTCCATTGATGTTCTTGCGATCATTTTACTCCCTGGCGGACTGTTGGAAAACGGAGGAGTTGTCTTGGATGGCAGACCCTGGCTGTTTGCTTTTTATCCCCCTGTTTTATTTTCTTTTGTTTCTTAGGGGGCAAAGGTGGTGTTGGGGCAGAGAAGGTTAGCAAGGCGTTGGATTGAGGGTCGCGGGCCTATGCTATGGATGGCGAAAATACGCAAGAGCCGAGGCCAGTTTGATGGACAGGCGCCAGAGATCACAGGTCAGGAATTGACGATGGTCTTCTTCTAGGACGCTACAAAATGTATCGATTGCAGATCAACTATCTGGTGTCCAAATACCTTTTTTTTACCAAATTTCTGAGCCGATATGACTTGCGCGGGTTCCAGGCAAACTTTTGACCTTATCCATTTCACTCAAACAGATCGAGACGTCAACGATCGCGAAGGTCCATTTGTCTCGGGAATCCGAACAGGAGCGGTCCACGGTCTTGGTGTTTTCGGGCATTTTTCATCTAAAGTCATTGCGCATCACGGAATTCAACCATTGTTTTTTTAATTAACCCCCCCGGCAGGACCTGCAGGAGTTTCCCCAGATCTGCCAGACTGCCGTCCCTTCAACACCCCCTGTGTCACAGGGGCTGTCGCAAAGCCACGGGGCAGCTCTCGGTTCTGTTTCTTCTTCTCTCTTCAGCCTTATCACCCTGCGAAAGATGCAAATTTTTTATTTTTTTTTTAAAAAAAAAAAAAAGTACATAGAAAAAACCACTGGTAAGGGTAAAAGAAAAAGGGGCGCACACTTCGGCCAGACTCCCGGCGCCAGAGATTTCTGGGTGGTCGACGCCCAAACAACGCCCCCCTGCAGAGGGAAGGGATCTACACGGAAATAACCCGATGTAGAAAAGAAAAGCCTCGACCTGCTTGCCGTATCCGCGCGTCAGAGCAAAGCAGATAGGTTCTCGCCAGCTTCCGAGAACAAAGAGCCGCGCCCTGCTCACAATTCGTTACTGTGGGGCTTGGCGCTTTTTGCGGCGTCGGCGCAAAACAATAGACGTAGGCACAAAAGCTATGGTTCCTCATTGTAGCCAAGGCGACCCGACCCCCTCGATGAGATTGAGGGTTGCGAAAAAGTTGATAACTGACTGCCCGCCCGCCTTACCTGTTCTTGGCCGCCCCTTGGGACTCACTTCTTTCTAGGTTGATCTTGCAAATGTGATTGCGGTTGATTTAACCGACAAGCGCTCCACATTGCGTGGTATAGGCTTGGCTGGAACAGCAAAACGTGGAAAGGTGTGGAGTTGACATGCGCCATGAATGCGGGGAAGACGGGTTTTCCCATACATAGGTAGTGTTACATACATACTGCGTACACTAGTGCACAGTACTAAGCAGTAAACATAACGAGTCTTTCTCATTAAATTGTTTTAGTCTTGCTTTCTCCCCTGTTACAGTGGACGGGATGCCTCGCGCCATCCCAAGAAATCCACCCAAGTGTTGGTGCCCCCCTTTTTCGAGCCTTTTCTTTTTGGTTACTCATGTCCAACGGCATAAGGATACACCAAGCGCGAACCAACAGGACTAACAAACAGATTGGACGTAACCCTACATGCGTAGGTGCCTAGACGGGGTTCCAATGGGACCGACAGAGTGGCTAGCCCGCTCCTAGTCCACTCGACTGCTCCACCGCCCCTGTCCTTCACCCCCCCGGTTCCTTGCTGCAATTCGTCCAGAGCGCAAGAGCCCTAAATGTCACTACTAAGTATTTCATTTTGCTTCGCCAGACCTTGCAGCGACAAGCTTCAGCAGGTGGGGTCTGCAATGGGACGGTGCCATGGGTCCCTGGCAACCAAGCCGTCCACAAAAGAGAAGGAAATAACATTAACGCCGCCCGCTTGTGATGGCCACAATGAGATAGATGTGGTCGGCGCCGAATCCGGATTCAGGAAACGGGGAGAAATTTCGCGATATTGGTTTAAAGCCTCATCCTCCTCACCCGGATTTCCAGGCGCTGCCTGGGCAACTATAACAAGTCGAGCTCACAAGCCATTCGTCAAGTCGGCGTCGTCTGGACGACGACCCCGTCGTGCTGTGGACCGGGTTTCCTGGACCCCTGCATTATTGGAAAATGCCTGCGTACGTTATGTGATCCGGTGAGCGATGGGGGTTGGTTGACGCTAGCCGATCATGTAACTCAGGTTCGTCCAAATCGGCTGATCTGCGTGACGATTACAATCATATCGATGGCTTTCTTCACGACCTAGTGCCATTCTTCTTCACCTGCCCTTGCATGTGTACACGTGTATGGCTAAGCCATGCAGTCGCATATCCACAATAGGGCCAGAACAGATCCATCGTTCTGGAGGAGGCTTGAGAGGAAATTGTCGCAAGATTGCCGACAAGTGGACCTTCAGCGTTGCACTCAACTGCAAGCGGCCAGCAAAGATAAGCATGGCGGGGCGAAGCAATACCCAGAGGGCAAACGAGGACAAACCAGTCTGCCAGTCAAACAGAGTTGCGGTGTGGTGTGGTGATTGCTTGGCACTACTTGCAGTATTCGTATGCAGAAACCCCTTTACCCCACATCGAAGGCATGGTTTGCTTACCGCTCACCTTGAGCTCGACGCCGCGCAACCTGATGGAATCTCCGAATATGGGTGTTCTTGCAGGTTTGAGACTGTTGCCTGTTGGGCTATCTGAACGTGAAGCATCCAGATCACAAACCCACCACGATGTACTGTGTACTATGGTACACTACATACTTTCCTACAGGGGCCCTTTGACTATCAAGAGGACAGCTCTGGCGGAAGCGTCCGACGATAGAACTTGCTGTGAGGTGAGCAACTCGCAACAAGAGTTCCCTTCCCGGGCGAGTTCGATATCGAGGAGTGTGGCTCGTTTCCAGCAAATCCGACGCAACCCGTATTTTGCGCAATCATGGTTCCTGGTGCATCTCAATATTCCTGGTTCTGCATCCTCACCGACCGACCAAGTATCACATCACAGCGTTACACTGTCGTCTCTGTTAGGAAAGATTGGAGTTCTGGAAGACTTCCCACGACTCCGCTCCGCTCAGACCGCTTCCCGTCCGTGCGTATGGACTTAACGTCTCAGATATGTGTGCCAAAAGTGGTGACGCCAACCCGTCTCTCTTGCCCTTTTGGGAATCTGAGGGACAAAAGTGAAGAGATAAAGATGAAACCCGCCTGGTTAACCCATGGCTCATAGAGATTCCAAACTTCAGACTCGAGAATTGTTGTGACAGCATCTAAGTGCAAAGTCATGACAGCTGCCGGTTATGTGCCAAGCATGGACAAAGGTATATGTAAATCCAACCACGAGGAAACATTTGACAGGAATTCGATTCGTGGCAATAGCCAATCGCAGAGCTCTCATAAGTTCTTATTTGTTTGGATCCATCAAATGTACCTCTACTTTGGACAGGGTATCCATTTCTGGACAAGGGTTGCTGTGGCTCCCGAACTGATCCAATGAACGGGCCAAGCCACGCCGCAGGGGTAGGCCGATGTTGCTTTGAAACATCCTGGTCCGTTGAAGAATCAGCTGACTCAGATGTTTATTGGTTTCAAATCGTCCCACTTCGCAACCTCTTCACATTCAAGCTTTCACATTCAAGCTTTCACATTCAAGCTTTCACATTCAAGCTTTCTCCTTCATTGCGGGGGTTACAACTGACACATCGACCTGTGGGCAACTCGACTGCAAATAACTGACAGGGTCATCGAGTCCTCTGGGTCCCCAAGCCTCGAGTGCCGGTCCGATTTGAAGGCGGTAGTCTCCTTGAACTTAGGTATCTAACCAATATTATTCTATATGGCGGCTCGAGATGATAGGTTCCCGTCCCAAGCGTCGGTCCGAATTGTCCAGTGCTCGAAACAGGTTCTTTAGGCCGAAGGATAGATTCGTTCGCCGGCACTAATAAGGCACCAGGGCCGGGATGTTATTATATAGGTACATTGTATTAACACAACAGGTTTGAAGAGCCCCTTACCGACTCTAATTAATGGAACTCGAGCTAGTCTTCCACTCAGACACGTAAACAAGAGAATCCGGGACTTTCCCCTCAAGCCGAATTCCAACAGCCGAATACTGTCGAGTTATTATTCTCCTCTCTGCCAGACTTTGTCTCAGGTGTAGAAATATTTCTCCTTCCCTCCAATCTTGGGGTACTCACTCAAGACTGTCAAGAAGGAGTAGCAAATGCATACCTGCCATTGCTTTCTCCAGCAATGAGGTAAACAAGACCAGCAAGCACCTGACCAGCACTCCTCAATCGTAAACTCTTCCACCAGGGCGTGGGTGCAACATGAAAGAGACCAGACAAAAATGAAGACCCACTTCGGATATCGAATCTTTGAGGATCTGTGAAGCCAAACACCGGTAGCCACCGACTGATGTCCGTAGATAGAGAGGGCCCCATAGGGGCTTCGATACTGGTACATGAAAAATGGGGGGGGAAAACCTAGATTCGCATGCATGAAACCCGAGGAAGATCAAAACCCCCCAGGCTCAGTCAGGCCTCCTTCACGGCCTCGATGATGCTATACTCCCAGTAAGTGCCAAGGCGGAGGCACTCATCGACGATGTCCGGGTCCTCCCACCACCAGCAATCCCCATTCACATAGGTCCCCCACACCTCCCGCCACAGCATCCTCCCAGCGGTGCTGCGGAGCTCGAGCCTGACGCGCCTCCCCTCATCATCGTCATCGTCATCGTCGTCGCCGGCATCCGCGCCCGCGACGGCCGCGAACCTCCTCACGACGGCAGCAGCGGTGGTGACGCCCAGGCGCGCGTCCGCCAGCCACGCCGGGAGCAGCCTTGTGGGGCCGACGCAGCGGAAGCGGCGCTCGACGTTGAGCAGCAGGCGGCTGTCGTCGAGCCAGCGGCGCAAGCGGGGGCCCGCGGACCCGGGTGCCGGGGACGGGTCGACGAGGGTCAGGTGCAGGGCGCCTCCCGGGGCGAGGGCGCGGGACACGGCGCGGAGGAGCGGGGGGATAGCCTGGCTCGGGAGGGCGGAGGGGAGGGAGAGGCTGTAGGCGGCTGCGAAGGAGGCGGGCGCTAGGGGGAGGGAGGGCCGGGGGGAGGGGGTTGATGGGAGGGGGGAGAAGATTGGTCGGATGTTGGGGAAGAGGTTGTGTGATAGGGGGGTGGGGGAGAGGTGGGTGATGATGGAGTTGTGGTGGACGGCGGCTAGATAGGAGGCGGTTGCTGTCGAAGGGGGGGACGGTTAGTGGAGATTCTTTGAGTGTGCCGACGAGATGATGACCTACCTTTTGATTCAAACAAAGCCAATATCTTCTTCTGGCTCTGGGGCCGCCCAACAGCCGAGGTTCGGGCTGGAAATGCGCTGTTGCGTGGCTTGTCCAGGTTGTGCAGCGCCGAGAGCATCCACCGCTTCTGCTCCATCTCGAGCTCCCTGTAGAAAGCCGGGTCCCGCGCGCTGCCCCATTCCTCCCTGAGGCGGGCCAGGATGACCTGAGGGCTTGCGGACGACATTCTTTTCACCTCCCTCTGCATGCTGGCCATGTCCATGGACATGCAGTCCTCGTCCTGAACGGGCACTTGGGCGCGGCCGCAGACCTGGAGAGGCGGTGCCTCGCAATATGGGTTGATGTCCCACTCAGCGGGCGGTTTCCATGCTTCGGGATCATGGGCTCCGAATATCACGGCCCGGCTCGGGGGAGAGATGAAAACATCTCTGTCTTGTTCTGGGCTCGGGGGCGTCTTTGGGGACTTGAAAGCCGGGAAGGGCGGCTGAGTGATCGGACTGGCTCCGTCGGTCCTACCGTCGTGGATTATTGGATGTGGACTGCCAGATTGGGTAGTAGGCGCCGAACGTTTCTGGGGGATAAAGGGGGCTGCTGTATGTCGCTCCGGAGAGGCGGGTGGCGTCGGAGTGCGGAGGTTCGGTCGATCGACGATGATTGTCACCTCCGACCGAGCACAGCCCTTGTGCGCATCAGACCGGGGCTCGAATGTAGTTTCCGTTGTCTTTGCAATCCACGAATCCGGGCCCAATGCCTGGACTATCTCGGTCTTGGAGGAGGAGGAAGACTCGGCTCTAGAGCTCCCCGTAGGTGACGTGGTAATTGGTGTCGTTGGCTCAGTCGAATTCGAAAACCTGGAATCTATCCCTCGGATGTTAGCCCCCGGAATCCAACTCGAATGGCAACAAACTGCATAAATACCTCCTGGGGAACGAGCTGGCGCGTTCTTCCGCGGCAGCCACAAATGCTCAAGGCGATGACGTCCATCGGGAGGCGCGGGGGTCGTCGGCGACTTATCATCCGACGAGGCCGAAGAAACTGTCGCAGAGATAGTAGAGGGTGTCGAGGGCGACGGAATGAATATCTTTCTGTCGGGACTAGGGATGTCGAGTTCGGGCGACGCCGAGGGTTTTTTCTTGGAGAAGATGAAGCTCTTCTTGAGGCGAATACTTCCTAAGAATCTGGAGTGTTCCTCGCCTGAGGGTGACTTTCCTCCAGATGACAAGGACGACCTCGTGGGAATCGAGGTGCATCCTGAAATTTCGCTGCTAAGGAGATCGTCTTCTTGAGCCCTGTCCGTCTTTCCCAGTTCTTTCCGAGCCCTCCTCTCCCCAACCAGTTCGCGGTTATGGTCAGTCCAGATAACTTCAAACATCTTGAAGGCAGAGCTGGCTGAGTATGAGGATTGTTTTTTCCGCGACAGAACAGGGTATCGGCGGTTGGGTTAAAGGAGAGCTGAAAGTAAGGCGTCGATGGATCTCTGATGAGGCTGAACTTGATACATACAGTGGTCGCAGAGCCCCTCGCCGCGGACGATATCGAATATCTATTGGCGCAAAAGGGCAAGCTGAGATGGCCGCTGCAGCCCTCGTGTAACAAGCAGATCTGATATCTTGGACAGGTTGTGGCCGCAGGTTCGGCTTCACTACCAGCCGTAGAATTAGGGGGGCTTCGGGCCTAGCTGTAGTCAAGGTAAAGAGCTAACACCCTCCTGTTCCCGTTATATTGGGAAGCAAACTCTGGATAAGTGATGGTAAGTGTTGGAATGAGCGGAGGCGTCAGCTCTGGGCCGAGGTGACCTGATTATGGACTCTGGATGGAGATGAGATAAGCAGCAAAGCATCAACCGGAGATGACACTATCGCTGAAGGTGAGACAGGTGAGGGCATCTCTGTTCGGTAGCTGAGGCACCTTGCAGGGCGTTGGAATCAAGCTGCGGCAGCCCGAGATGGGTGACAGAAATGGAGCGAGATGGAAGTTTGGAGCTTGGTGGATTTGGGAACCAAGTTTTGAAGTTCGATTTATTTCCTGCCCTGGTTGGAAAGTGAGAGAATGTTCACCGAGGGAACGGCCTTTCGAGCATCCCACTTCGACAGACAGGAAAAGGCTCGCCGTGGTATTTAGCTGCACTTGTTGGAGCAGTTACTCGAGCTTCCATGATGGCACACAAATGGCTACCAAGACATTTCGGTGACAGCTGACGATCTCCACTTACGGGCTCGGTTTCAGGGTTCTGGACAGCCCTCGGTCTAGACGGGTAACTACCCTTTGGCTCCCTTTCCCTCGGAGTCCCAATGAAGCAGGATCGTGACCCCAACAAACAACTCTGACAAACAAACCCTCGGCACCGACACACTAAAACAGTATGCTTCCGGCCCAGATGTGAGAGACAGTCCATCACCGATGCCGTAATTCAGTGCTACATGGCCATGCTTGCCTTAGGGGTGGGATAAAGGGGTCTCGTTATTTTGTGACCAAGAAGCAAGAAATGCTGCATCAGAAGCCCTCGTTTCCAAATGTATGCACTCTTGTTTTACCACCCTAAACGTTGGCAATGGGTTTCCCGGTAACAGCTTGATGCCATGTTGCAGCGTGGCAATGCTGTCTCTAACTAGACTGCCCGTGCCTCCCCAATTCAGCAAGTCACACGCCTGTACTTAAGACATGCTCTCCTAGGTTACGTAGGTAGGTAGGTGGGTAGGTAGGTGGCTCACTACCGCAGAAGGGGCCGTGGTCGATGGTCGATCCAGGAATCTGACACGTGCGGTCGGGCATGCGTTGATATCGTTCCATTTGCCTGGTTCTAGATCGATTACCATCAGACAACCACGGCCTTGTCCTGACTACTTTCCAAGGACGGAACGGGAGGGGGGATAATGTTCCCACGCGAGCTACTTGCAAAAACAAGTAACCACTTCAATCCAGATAGATGGATGGGATACGAAGGGGGGAGGACCAGGCATGCCACCGCTTTGCCCCAGGCAGAGCTCACAGCCAAGAGACAATCATTTGAGCCAAGAGACGGAGATAACAATCCCGTCAGGAAAATATCCATGGTGTTGCACTTGCATATTGTTTCCATCGCCTGGTAGCGGGATGAGGTGAGGTTGCGATTTAGCTCCGGCCGTTGCCAATGCCGGCCCGGCACCCGGCCTTTACTGGCTAGCCGAGTGGGAACACTTGCCGAGCCGCCATGCAGCTCGCTCTTCACCACAGCTCAACTTCACCAATTGGACGACTGGTGAAGCCATCCCAGCTCGAAAATCGATTTCCATTATTCTATCGGACCTGGTACAGTACAGCCAGCTCCCAGCCGAGTTCATAGACGCTGCATCAACTAGATGCCCCTCAAAGTCGGTGGTTCGCCTTTGATAGAAATGAACCGCCAATTGTTTCAGTCTGTATCAACCAACGAGGATGGGACATTCTTAAAGACCAGCAAGAGAGTGACAGGAAGTTTACTACTTGAAAACGACCAAGACTGAGCCGGTGAACCCCGAACAGTACGGTGTGGTTACACTAGATTTGGACGACAACGTATAAGATTGAGTTCTGACTTACACAGCAGATCTGGGGTGCCATGGTGTCAGGCTGGCCGTTGTGCATGTCTCACCTAACCATCCTAGAGTTTATGCTCACACCATCCCTGCGAGGAACCTTGGCAGGTGTCTCGCTTGTGAGTGGGCGTTTATCGTGTTCAACAGCATGAGGGAGCCTGCACCCAACACCCAACCGCGATGTTTGTTACCCCTGTGGTCGTCGTCGACTCGAGGCAAAACAAGCGAAGGGACTTAAAATGGCCGAGGATCGATCCTGGAAGAGGAGCTCAGGTCCAGCCTGACGTATTCTAAGACAAGATGCCACTAGGTGCTGCTGTGGTGAGCCTTGTGCGAAGGCACAGAGTAAACCAGGAGGATACGACGTGTTTGTGATGATTGTGCCTGAATACACAGGAAATTTTAACAATTCCACGTGTTAGATGCCTACGAAAGTTCCGTACGTGGACTCGAATGCCAGGGCGAACGTGAGAGCCACGCCATCCTATGCCACGCAGCTGACACCAGCAGCTTGCAGGTCACTCGGGGCAAAGGGAAGGTCTGTTTATTAGAGAGGGAACCGATTTCACAACCCCCAGCCTGATTAGGGAGGGCTCCATCTTGACGGCGGTTGTCAGTAATACGAGTCCCCTGGTCAGATGTTAAAGAGATTGATTGGTCTAACTCCTTGCTCGTGAAGTGAGTGTCTGTTGCGGCGACAAGTGGACAGTGTCTGATATTCACGGTTAGCCACCGGTCCACTTCCTCAGCATTACCGCAGAAAACAAGTCCTCTACCAAATTTCCAGATTTCCTGACGATTCAGAGATACGTCCACCTGACCGGCCCATCTTATGTCGCAGTTGGCATCATAGACAGGTAAGTTACTGCTGCTTCCGTCTCCCATCCAATCTATCCCATCCTCGCCCCATCCTCCCCGCCTCCCTGGGGCGTTTCTGCGATCGACCGCGTATCCCGGCCTCACATCAGCGAGAACCCATATTAAATCAAACCCTTCACTTGCGCGCTCACCTTGGGGGTTGTAAAATCAAACCTGTCCTAAAATCGGGCTGCCCCTTATTATTTATCCCCCTTCCCCTCTATCCCCTACATCTCGTCTCTCCGACAACCACTTCATCTCATATCAAACTTTTTCAGAGCCCCTTTTCCAACCACGCCATCTTCGTGTCTAACCGTACCAGCAACAAAATCAAGATGGATATGGAGAGCGAGCCTCCGGGAAAGATGAGCCGCGCTGCGGCCATCAAGCGACGCTGCAACCAGGCCATCAGTTTTGTCTGGGGCCTGAATGTGACGATCAACCGGTCTACCTTTGGTCGCATGTTTCGGCTCAAAGGAAGCGGTCACGTAAGTTCCAACATCTCCCAGATTCCATGCCGTCGAGCCGCATGGGAAATGAGAGTAGCTAAATTTGTGCCGACCTCAAACTGACCCTATCTCGATACCAGCCCAACGAGATTCAAGATGCCAACTTCTCCACCGAGATTCGCGCTGGGCTAACCACCTTCGCCACCATGGCATACATTATTGCTGTCAATGTGAGCTTCCACAACTCCTCGATATCATCTCGCGCCACTCTGCTGATCCTTCCCAGGCGTCCATTCTGTCTGACACTGGCGGCACTTGTGTGTGCGAGCTACCCTACGACGACGCAGGAAACTGCGCCAACAACATGGAGTGGACAATGTGCAAGAACGGTTCGTGTCCATTCCCTTTTAGGATTGCCTATCCATGCTAGCACATCGACTGACAGTATCCAGAGGTCAAACTGGATCTCATCACCGCCACCGCCGCCCTTGCTGGCTTTTCTAGCATCCTCTTTGGACTCCTGACCAACCTGCCGGTCGCCTTAGCGTGAGTACTAGAAGACGGATGTCCAGAGCATGTCGAGTCCTCTCCAGCTAACATACGAGTAGCCCGGGGATGGGACTCAACGCGTACTTCACCTACCAGGTGGTCGGCGTCCGAGGCCAAGGCCCCGTACCATACGGGCTGGCCCTCACTGCCGTCTTTGTGGAAGGCTTCATATTCGTTTTTCTGGCCCTGACGGGCATGCGGCACTGGCTCGTGAAGATCATTCCCGGAACAATCAAGACAGCTAGTGGTGTAGGCATCGGCTTGTTCCTCACCCTAATCGGCTTGTCGTACGGTTCCGGCATTGGACTGGTTACAGGGGCCGTCGCGACTCCGTTGGCCATTGGTGGCTGCCCTACAGAGAACCTCTCGCCAAACGGCGAGTGCGCTACCGGGCTCATGACAAATCCCAAGGTAGGCAGTGACTTGATTGTCTCCCCTTTCCCTCTTCATCCACGTATCGCGGCTAAGATGGCATAGATGTGGATCGGAATTGTGTTTGGTGGTCTGCTAACCGCATCGTTGATGGCATATCGAGTCAAATCGGCTATCATGATCGGAATCATCTTCGTCTCGATCCTCTCCTGGCCGTAAGTATCCCTACCCTCCTCGCTGTGAAGTATCGGTCCCTAACCAGGTCTGCCCCACAGCCGGGACACCCCAATCACATACTTCCCCCACACCGACGACGGCGACTCTCGATTCGCTTTCTTCAAGAAGGTAGCCACGTTCCACCCCATCCAGCACACATTTGTCGCGCAGCAATGGGACCTGAGCGGCGCCAACGGCGCCCAATTCGCCCTGGCCCTGTTCACCTTCCTCTATGTCGACATCATCGACTGCACCGCCACGCTCTACTCGATGGCCCGCTTCTGCAACAAGACGACGAACAAGGGCGGCGACTTCCCCCGGTCGACGGTCGCATACTGCACCGACGCCTTCTGCATCTCCATGGGCTCGCTCGTCGGCTGCTCGCCGGTCACGGTCTTCGTCGAGAGCGGCGCCGGCATCGCCGAAGGGGGGCGCACCGGGCTGACCGCCGTCGTGACGGGGCTCTGCTTCCTGCTGTCCATCTTCTTCGCCCCGATCTTTGCGTCGATCCCCCCCTGGGCCACGGGCTGCACGCTGATCCTGGTAAGATCCTCGACTGGCCGGTCTCGTGCTTGCTGGATAACCTGCTAATTTCGCCTAGGTCGGTTGCCTGATGGTTCGACAAGTAACGAGCATCAACTGGGCATACATCGGCGACGCCCTCCCGTCCTTCGTCACCCTGGCCGTCATCCCCTTCAGCTACAGCGTAGCCTACGGCCTCATCGCGTAAGCGTCCCCTCCCACCCCCCCTCTCCCTCAAACTTTCATGTTCCATACTAACCTCCCCCCTACCCCTCCCCAGCGGCCTCTTCACCTACGCAGGCCTAAACGCCCTAATCCACCTCGTGACCATCGTCTCCCGCGGCGCCCTCCGGCCCCGCGACCACGACCTGAAGGAGTACTGGACGTGGAAGCCCGCCGGCGAGAAGCCGTGGGTCGTCCGCGCCTTGTTCTCGTCGGGCGGTGGCGGCAGTCGCTTCTGGGGTGACGAGGAGGCGACGAGAAAGAAGAAGGAAGAGGAGAATAAGAGCGCCGGCGCCGCAGCCGCAGCCGCGGTTGGCGGCCTCGAGGAGGAGGAGGAGAAGGAACCCGCCGGCAGCTCCGGCTCGAGCTACGGATCCAGCCTGGATGCCGCGCGCGTCGCCCCGCCGGAGCACGCCGATGGCGGTGCGGTGCCGGTGCCGGTGGTGGTGGTGGGGGTGGGCCCGCGTGCCGAGACCCCGTCGCCTCGGCCGTTCCGCGCGGTGCATTGATGGCCTGGTTGGCGTCAGGTTCTTGGGAGGGGCGCTGGAAATGCGCGCCTTTGGTCCTCGCATGCTGTGATTCTACTTTACCGGGCCTTGCTTGGTTTGGGGCTCGATCTTGATCTCTGTTGCTCTGGGGATGGCTGTGTTCTTCTAACGCATCGTGTGTGCAAGGTGGGGAGTTCTGATCTGAGAAGAGTACCCGAAGGGAGGGTTGTACATGCTTCTCAAAATTGTCTTTTGCGAGGATTCCATGTTCATATGGTTGACTGGAATGGTTCTGGACCCCTGATGGTAAGGGGTATACATACTTTGATACAGGGGGATGGGTATTCACCTCATGTTTACTTCCAAGTTTGTAGGTCGGATGAATCAAACGAAAACCATCACATCAGATGAACACGGCGGTAGCACTGCAATCGTCTTCGGAGACTGTAGAGCACAGTTATTCCCAATGTACTTGATTTGGAAGAAACATGCAAAAGAACCGCCCCGCCTTGTGACGTTCTTCGACCAGCCTTCGCTGGTGTTTTTCCCGCCCGGTTTGTAACCCAGCACCCTCATGCTAGGAAAAATAAACCAACTCTCATGTACAGAGAATCGAAACTCCTCCCCGAAGCTGGCGCTTCCACAATGGGTCTTGGACGAGAGAATAAGTAAAAAGGGGGAAAGAGAAGTACTAAAATCGGGTAATACAGACTTCCACATGTCTGGGCATGACAAGCTTCGAATGCCGTCGCTGCCTTTTCCCTATCCAACAAACCACATCCACCCACCGGTATGCTGGTATCAAAGACGGCATGTCGCTATCTGCTTATCGGCTTTCCCCTCACCCAGTAACTGACAGCCATCAGGGTCAACCCCTAGACCACCAACTGCTCCCCAGTCTCACCTCCACCCTGCTGGATCCCACCGCCATCGGCCATCGCATCAGGCGCCGCATCCGGAGCCTCAGCCGCAGCCTCAACCGCAGCCGCAGCTTCGGCCTCACTCTCAGCAGCCTCCCTCGCGGCCGTCGCGGCCGCCTCCTCTTCGGCCTCCCTCCGCTCCCTCTCGGCGCGCTCCTGCGCCTCGAGGTGGGCGATGTGGCGCTCCGCGACGCCGGGCGCGATACTCGCCAGGAATAGCAGGCCCGCCCGCTCGAGGCGCCGCACCCGGTCCAGGAGCCGGTTGGCGTTGGCATTCTGGCGCTCCGCCACGAGGCGCGCCGCCGTTGCGGCCGGGTCGGGACGCTCGAGTAAGGGGGCCCCTTCCCCCGGTTCGGTCGCGGTCGCGGTCGCGGTCGCGGTCGCAGTCGGAGTCTCTGTCTCGTGCGCGGGCTGGGGCGCGGGTGTGGGTTCGGGGTCGTCCCGCGCTGCGGCCGGGTCGGCAAATGGAATCAGGCCCTCCAGGTGCCGCCGGAGTGGCTCCCATGCCCGGTTGGCGACGCCGTTCATCAGGCCCGTGTTGACGGCGAAGACGGCGATCGCGATCGCGACGACAGCCCACCAGCGCGACCAGCTCGTATCGGAAGCCGTGAACCACCACACAAAGGCTGTCAACCTAATAACGAGCCAGATGTGCGGCCAGGCGACCACCATAAGAGCGCCAATGCCGGGGTTGTGAGCATGCGGTTGGATGGGGACAACGACGGGAATACGTTGCGCCACGGGATCGCGGCCTGGATTTCCATTCTGGCCTTGGGGCTGCGGCTGTTGGGCTTGGACCACCTGGCCATGCTGCCCCTGGGGCTGGGCCTGGTTACGGGAGACGTGGATTTGCGGTATGAAGGTCACGTTTTGCACGCCCGGCTGGCGGATGGAAATGTTGGCCCGAAGCGTCCGGGGAGCCGACGGGCGTAGGGCTGGTGTATAGTACGCCTCCGAGGCGCTATTGATGAGGAGTGCTCGTGGGCCGGAGGGGGATGATAGAATGTACACCTCGGGCTGGGCTGGGGATGGTTGAGTCTCTAGATTATTCTGTGACGCAGATGGGGCGGAGGTGCTCCCGTGACTCGGAGTCCGAATAAATGGATCCGGAGTCGCCGTCCTACTGCCATGCCTCGAGCCGTTCGGGAACATTGGCACGGTAACCCCGGGCGCTATGGGCTGTATCGGGGCATTGATGTTGGCCATGTTGGCCAATGACGCACCTGATGCGCTTCGGTGCATAGCATTGGTCATTGCCCGGGTAGCCTGATTAGCATCGGCATTGCGGATGATGTGGTGTACTTCGGCAGGCACAAGGGGACCTCGGCCGGCGGGGAGCGGACCAGGCTGGGGAGAGTTCGTGCGTGAGCCAACTGCCGTATCGCCCATCGTCATTCTCCAGTATTGGCCGTTCGGGCCGATCACCTCCCTTGTGACGTGCACTGGCTGCCCGATGGCTGGGCTATTCCTGCCGCTCAAGTTGTCCCCCGAGCCTGGTCCCTGTGGGTTGGCGTCCTGGACGCCATGCATCCCCATCGCTGCCCGCTCCCTCTGATGCTGGTTTAGGAGCTGCCGATAACCTGCTTCTCGTTGGATCTGGTTCATCCACTGGACCGTAGTCTGATGGACCATGGCCTCATGCTGATGTTGCATCATCTGCATTTGCGAAGCTAGGCTTGGGCGCGCAAACTCCGGGATCGGCACTTGGGCATTCGGAAAGGTCTGAACGGGCGTCGCGAGACCTAAGCGAGCGTGGGCAGTTTGGGGGTGGGGAGGCAGTTGGGTCTCTGCAGGCCGGTTCGGCAAGGTGCCTGGTGCTGGACTGTGGCCGCGGATCGGCGTGGGCTGTTGGCTTGAAGCACGAGGCTCGGAGAGATCTCTGAGTACGAGATGGAGAGTCTGCTGGTCCCCAGATCGGAGCTATGCGTGTCTCGTCAGTCCAACTGCCAGACTCGTTCTGGGAACATGGTTAAGCCTTACTGCTTCCGTCCCAAAGACATCCTGCAACGCCTCGCTGTCTCGTGCCAGAAGCCTTCCACGGTGTATCAGTCGCTGCTGGTCATCCGCAGGTTTGGTTGGAAGCGTGTCCCGAATCTTCTCCTTTAGCTGGCGGACAGTGGTTACAGCTGGGATGCCGGGAAAGGTCAAAGGCCTGTTGACGCCGACAGACGGAGACAGGACTTGGAGATTGACAGTTTGGGAAGCAGCATCCTGCAGAGGACCCTGCGAGGATGATGCCTCTGTTGTTTCCGCCATGGTTGTTCCGGTGTATCTCAACTCGCCCAGCTCGGAATGCTGTCAGATCAAGCTTGGGCAGGATTAACCACTGCTGGGATTATGATAGATGGGCGGGCGACATTCGGGTCGATAAATGGTTGCTCTGGTGTGCATCACAGAGCATCCGGTTACGAGACTAGAGGATAGCGAACCACATGCCAGGCAGGGCTCAATTTAAGAGATCTTGGAAGAAACATCTAGACAAAGAATGCTGATGGCGTCGTTGGTGCTTTTAGTCAGCCAGCTTCCGTCTCGAAGCCAAATTCCACGTTGGCCTAATCGCATGGCCCGAGCGCCCAGGACCTGGTTGGTTGGCGGAATTTGCCGCTGCAGGGTTGGCAGTGATTCCGTCATTCGCCCATTTTTAGTGCCTATCGCATGCGGGAAGACGTAATTACCTAATCAATACCCATCTGGACTCCTGAAGGCGTTGCAGCTTCCAATGTCTTATCCAGATCGTGGTCTTGCTCCACAAATGGTCTGAAAATATGGCCTACCTTGCAGCGCGATCGAAGCTTCCGGGATTGGTCGGCATTGACCCAGTCCTGGGCCATTGCTCTTCGAACCTTGCTCGACGAGGCGTTGGCTTTGCGACTCGCCGCGTACAGCCGAAACACCAGCCCGCAAGCTGCCGAACCTTCTCCCACCAGCAGTCCCAACAGCGGCCGCGATTCTCGTCCCGTCTCCGAACAGCTCTCGGAACAAAGATCCAATGGTATCAAATACCAGTTGGCTTGGGTATCGGCTTCCTGGGGCTGGTACAGTTCTACAAAGTTAGCACGCGGGAGCGGGAAAAGCAAGAAGCGGAAGCTCAGGATGGAACCGGCGAGGCACGGCCGACCAAGCGGCCAAAGGTCAGGCCAGACGGACCATGGTAGGCGTTCAATTCATCCACGACTGTGTCGCGATTAAATGCTCAATCCTCGTTAGGCAGGTTCAAGTCATGTCCACTCTGCCCCTGAAAGCATTGTCTCGGTTATGGGGCAAGTTCAACGAATTGGATATCCCATATTATCTTCGCGTACCAGGCTTCAGGCTGTACTCGTTTGTCTTCGGCGTCAAGTTGGTTAACCCTCATTGTTTCCCAACACCGATAGGCACTGATACTAAGACAGCTTGGATGAAGTATCCGACCCGGATCTTCATAACTACCCTAACCTGGCTGCGTTCTTCTACCGCACTCTGAAGCCAGGAGTGCGACCCATGGACCCGAACAACAACGCGCTCGTCTCTCCGGCCGATGGCCGCGTGTTGCAAATTGGACAGATAGAGGGCGGTGACATCGAGCAAGTCAAGGGCATGACGTACACCATCGATGCCTTGTTGGGCCAGCGGTCGCGGACCCCGAGCGTATCAAGCATGGCCCTTTCGGAGGACAAGAGCAGCTCCGCGGAAGGACCAAAGTCTCCGAGGAACGAGGAGCACATCAAAAAGGATGAGGACTTTGCACGTGTAAACGGCATCACCTACACACTACCGGACCTCCTATCCGGCGGCAAGGAGGCGGCAAAGCACAACGAGCCGGAGGACCAGTCAGTCACCCCTTCGCCTGTATCGGTCTCCGAGGTGCGCGCAGATCTGGCCCTGGGTGAGAAACCGTGGTATGAACTTCTATCCGCGGACAAGCCACATTCACTCTACTACGCGGTCATCTATCTGGCGCCCGGTGATTACCATCGCTTCCACTCGCCGACGAATTGGGTCGTCGAGGGACGCCGACACTTTGCCGGAGAGTTGTATAGCGTGTCTCCTTATCTGCAGAGGACCCTGCCCGGCCTTTTCACGCTGAACGAGCGTGTCGTTCTTCTCGGGCGATGGCGATGGGGCTTCTTCAGCTACGTACCCGTCGGCGCAACCAATGTGGGGTCGATCAAGATCAACTTTGATCGCGAGCTTCGAACCAACAGCCTGACGACGGACACGGCAGCGGACAGGGCCGCCGACGAAGCTGCGCGGCGGGGAGAGCCGTATCACGGCTTTACCGAGGCCACGTACGAGAAAGCCAGCCCGGTCCTCCACGGGCATGCGCTGCGCAGGGGGGAGGAGATGGGAGGCTTCCAGCTGGGAAGTACTATTGTGCTGATATTTGAGGCGCCCGTGGCCAAGAAGGGCACCTCGGAAGAAGCCCAACGGGGCTGGACTTGGGCTGTCGAGAAGGGGCAGAAAATCAAAGTCGGACAAGCCCTTGGTTACGTTGATGCGTGAGCATTTACTGGACTCTGGCTTAACAACGGCAATGCCTATATAAGAAGGTGGAAGAGTGGAGCAAATATTTTCAGGCCAAGGCCAAACCTTGGATACACTATTCCTATATGTATACGCATATCTTGATCAATATATACAATAACCCCTGCTTCATTGACTGCCCGAGCTGTATACTGAGCGGCAGGGCCCACTGGACTTTCCCTGCTTACTTCTTGCACGATACTGGGCAACGAATGTTATCAACAATGTCTCTTCGAGAAACGAACGATTCCCCAACATTTGAGACAGAGACTCCGCCTCCGAAATCTCACATGAGGAATCTTAAGAGATACCTGGTTCTAGAAACAAGGAGAAGGGGTCTCGAGTTGGTCTGTGCCCAGTTTGTGATCATGTAGGTGCGCACACAGGACCACCACGGAGTCCGGACAAGTGGTCCTCTATATTCTTGCAAGATCTGTTACAAGAACCCTAGATAGCATCCCGTGGTTTGCATAGCGTATTATATCATCGTATTTTCCCATTTTCTCTGATCTGTAAGTTCTCAGCGTGCCAGGCCCAAGATCGAGCTCGACATTGGGGCCCTAACACGGAAAGCCAACAGCCCAGGAGGATTCTTGCCAAAGGTTCTTGGACGCAACTGCGGCCACTCCCGACCCCGACGGCCGACTTTACGGGGAAGACGGTCATCGTGACGGGCGCGAACACGTGGTTCGGGAAGAACATATGACCCGGGTCAATAGAAAGGTACACATGGGAGTTAACTCGGTACCCAGTCTAGACGTTTCCAGGTCAAAAATAACCGCTGCAGCTACCCCGCATTTGCACCCTGGAAGTTGGAGCCGGAGCTCCGGCCCCGGCCCTGAGCCTCGGTTCTCCAACACGGTTGTGGGGCCACCCCACCACCCGTCCCGGACGGGTATCCAATTCCGTCACGAAACTTCAACGTCCACGACAGCCCAAGGTCCTTGAAAGCTCCCTTCTCGAGAATGTCTTGGACTCCTGTCATCACACGAGCAGGGCTGAACTGGGCGCTCGACATCACCGTTCGCGCCATTGGAAGTTTACCATCTTGAGCAGGACATACACACAATGGCCGGCCAGCCACCCCTGACGGGCCTCAAGGTCATCGAGTTCGCCGGACTAGCACCAGGTACGTAACTTGCGCACCCCAACCCCCACCGCTTAGTCAAACCCATCATCTAACCACCACCACCTCCTTGCCCCAGGCCCCTTCGCCGGCCTCCTACTCTCCGATGCCGGCGCCTCAGTCCTGCGCATCGACCGCGCCGTCCCGGGGCACAGCCACACGCCCGGCGCGCCGCCCCCGCCAGCGACAGAGGACATGCTGACGCGGCACAAGGCGTCGATAGCAGTCGACCTCAAGTCCGCCGGCGGCGTGGCCCTAGTGCGCTCCCTAGCCCGGCACGCCGACGTGCTGATCGACCCCTTCCGGCCCGGCGTCCTCGAGCGCCTCGGCCTGGGCCCCGAGGTCCTCGGCGCTGACAACCCGCGCCTCATCTACGGGCGCATGACGGGGTTCCGGCGCGACGGGCGGTACCGCGACATGGCGGGCCACGACATCAACTACCTCGCCGTGTCGGGTGTCCTGGGCCTGCTGGGCCGCGACGGCGCCAAGCCCACGCCGCCCTGGAACATCCTCGCCGACTTCGCCGGCGGCGGCGCGACGCTGTTCCAGGGCGTCCTCCTCGCCGTCGTGGCGCGCCAGCGCACGGGGCGCGGCCAGGTCGTTGAGGCCAACATGGTGGACGGCGCCTCGTACCTGGCCACGTTCCCGCGCATGGCCCTCAAGACAGACCTGGGCGCGCACCCGCGCGGCCGGAACCTGCTCGACACGGGGTGCCCGTACTACGACACGTACGAGACCGCCGACGGCGGCTACATGGCCGTCGGGGCCATCGAGCCCAAGTTCTTCGCCTTGCTCGTCGAGGGGCTCGGGCTCGGCGGCCAGGGCTGGGAGCAGGGCAGGCGGCACGACCGCGCGCAGTGGCCCGAGCTGAGGAGGCGGCTCGAGGGCGCGTTCAAGAGCCGCACGCGCGCCGAGTGGGAGGCCGTCTTCGACGGCACCGACGCCTGCTGCACGCCTGTGTACGAGTACCCCGAGCTGGAGCGCGGCGGGGAGGGCGACGGCGGCCGTGCTGAGGGAGACCAGCGGCCCGCCGTCACGCTGAGGGACACGCCGTGCCTGGCGGTCCGGCCCGACGCCTCCGACCCCAGCCACGGGCAGGGCCCTGGCGTCGAGGGCGGGGGCTATGTCGGGGTTCCTCTCGCGCCGGGGCAGGGCGGCGAGGAGGTCCTCCAGCAGTGGCTTGGGTGGTCCAAGGGGAGGGATTTCGACGTGCAAGACGGTGGGTTGGTCCTGGCTGGGAAGGCGAAGCTCTGAGGGGGCACTGATCTCAATGGTGTTTACTTGTACATTTAGAATGGGAGATCAAGAGGTGCAGCAGGAAGAGAATATATATTCACTGTCACATAAAGTCCAAGTGCATGTAAATGGCCGATAACGCTATTACAAACTACATATCTTACTCGCCTTGCCCAATTCTAGCCCTATTGACTCGCCGGGAGGACCTTATTATCAACACACACGAGCAACCCCCCTACCCCCTTGGGCCCGTCGACCGATCTCTACCTCTCTTTCCCCGCACAGATCGCCCCTCCGCTTTGGGCTCCCAGGATGTGTTACACCATCCAGAAAAAAGGAGGGCTCGTTGGCGTTGGAGTTTCGATTTTAGGTGGCCGATATGTTGGCGAGGGCACAGTCTCAGGCAACCACGCAAAGAGTCGAGAAAGTGACCCGGTATGGATATTATTAGGATAAGACGTGGTATCGAAAAAAGAGAGAGCAGGAATTCCATTCTAAGGAAGTAACAGGCATGGGAAGATCGAAAATTCGACTCTGACGCCCCACCAATGATACCAGGCCTGCCTCCTTCCCCGTGCGCGCTCGCCCGCCAACTGTGCGTTCGACACATGATACTCTGGACAAAACAATCAAGGGCCTGTCTGGGAGGCAGACCGCTACTGGACTTGGCTGACAATCTCGCTGGCTTTGGACAGGGATTCGACCATTTGCTGGCACTCTTTCCTCCGGCGGATGGTGTAGTCGCTCTCCTTGAGGAGGTCGTCGAGCTCGTTCGTCCGGTACATGTTCTCCAGGAGTTCCCTCTGCATCTCGTCCTTTGTGAACCTGAGCAAGTATCGCGTTAGCGGCCATCTCTCGAGAGGGGAGACCAGGAGATTACATACTGGACAAGGGTAAGCATGATCGCCTTTGGCACCATGTCGATCATGGTTCTCTTGACGATGTTGTAGTATGATTGGATGAGCAGCTCTGTTCGGCATGGTTAGCTCAGTTTGGTCTTCCACTCTTTTAAGATTCCGTTGCGTCCTTACTGATAACCTCGACCTCAACCCCTTCGCGCTCGGAGAGAGTTCCGGAAGCTTTGAGGGTGGGCGGTGGCGCATCCATAGCGGCTGCCTTCTTCTTGTTCTTTGCAGCGAAGAAGCTGCCGAAGAAGCCGCCGTTAGGCTCTCCGAGATTGCCCTCGGCGGTCAGCGTGGGGCTGACTGCTCGCACAGGCGACGCAAGGGGCTTGCCCGTCTTGGGGTCGACCTGGATCGGCTTTGGCGGGTTATGTTTCTCGTTGACTATGGCCATGGCCTTGAGACGAAGATTAGTCACAGTGTCAACGCATCGGTCCTAGGGGGGTAGATACTTACACGATGCCCGTTGAGGAAATCGGGGTGGCCAGTGTTAATATAGCAGGCCTCCATGGCAACAAGATCTCGAACGAGCTTGTTGGTGGGCTCCATGGCCTTCTTGAAGAAGGAAATCACTACCCCGTGGATCTTCTCCTTGAGCTGTGGGTACCGGCGGTACAGGTGCTTGCCAAGGAGCTGGGTGAGGATACGGACCAACTCGTCGTAGACGAGCGAGACACACTTCAAGCTGGGCTCTTCGAGCCGCTTGATTTGTTGCTTGACGATGAGTTCGAAAGCGGTGGTGCCAACGAAGAGGGCGGGAGAGGAACCAGACGAGTTGTAGAGTATGGTTCGGATATCGACATCCTTGACCTGATCGAAAGGATCTACCGCCTTGACGCCATTCGAGTACAGCTCGTGGAACACAAAGCTGATTCTGGCGCCTCCTGACAGCTCCGTACTCGACAATTCGGTGTTGTTGCCGTCCAAGACCGTCCGCCACTCGTTAGTGAACTCGGTAATGATGTTCAAGACTATGTTGGCACTGTTGCCGAGCAGCGACGGCCCTAGGCTATCCAACTCGACGGAATACTTCTGGAGGGAGCTGGAGATACGGCCCTTGATATCTGGCAATGTTTGCTTGATATGCATCATCAGGATCAAGTTGAGCTTCCGTGCCAGATAGGGAGTGCCGCAGTATGAGCTCTTGTTCCGGTAGGCTTTATGGTTCTCAAAGAAGTTCTTCTCCCCCTCGAGCGCCAGGTTGATCGGCTTCCTGTTGTCGATATCGCGCTGGCCACGGTTCACGACCGGCACGTATCCCAGCCTCAGGGGGATGATGCGCCCCGCGAGAATATCGACCACATCAGTGCCGTCGTCCATGAGATCAACCTTTGTCAGGACACCGATCGTCCGCTGGCCCTCAGGGTCAACCTCTCGCGCCAACTTCAGACCGTCCGAGTTCGCCAAGTCAATGTTCGCGGCGGTGACGGCTAGGATGATAGCGTTCGATTTTTGAATGTACTTCAACACCATATCCTTGATTTGCCTTTCGATATCCCGCGGCTGGTCACCAACTGGCACCTTCGTCAGGCCGGGAAGATCGACGAGAGTCAAGGTCAGGACGTTCGGCGAGTAAATTCGGAGGTTGATGGGGGCGGGAGAGATGCCCATATTGCGGCCAACCTTCGCCTCTGTCTCCCTGCTAATCTCATCTCGAATCTTGTGGAAGTCGAAGAACTTCTGGCCCGGGATGTGCAGGAACTCGCCCCATTCATCGGCGTTCGCGCCCTTGTCGGTGCTGCTCGTGCCTTTATCGGTGCTGTTCGCAAAATCCTTGTCGACGCCGTTGGGCTCGGATGTCGCAGGCCGGTTGATGAGCTGGAGTACGAGCGGCCGCCTTGTTACGATGCCCGATCCTCGTGGCAAACTTAAGAGAGGGGCGGGCCGGTTAGTTTTAATTCTCCACGACACTGGGTACGTTCATTTCAAGGACTCAAGAGGGGGGGGGGGAGGGGATACACACAAGTCTCTACCGACGATGTTCTCTAGCACGGAGCTCTTGCCGCTCGACTGACTGCCGACGACGGCGATCTGGGGGAGATCAATAGGGTTGTTGACTCCAACGGTTGCGAAGACGTCTTGGAGCTTGTTGACGAGCCTATAAGCGACGTGTCAGTGCCCAATATCCAAACGTCGCAAGTCCTAGATGCTACCTACTTGATGAGTGCGGGATCCGAGATGCCTCCCGGGGTGACCAGCGACCCCGATGCTGGATTGTCGGCCGTCATAGTGCCGGTTTTCTGCCGCCACTCGCGGTTCTGTTGCTGTTCGATGGGTTGTGCTGGGACTGGACGGGCCGCTGCGACAGAAACAGCCTCCTTGGCCTAGCCACTCTGGAATCAGGGGAGGGCGGGGGGAGATTGCGAGATTCGTTTCGTTGGGCAGATTCTTCTGGTTTTGTATGGAGGCGTTCTCTAGAGTCTCCGTGTGCGCCTTGTTTTGGGGAGATGTCCTGTGTTGCAGCTGGCGATTTGAGATGAGAGTTTGGGTCTATGCAGGTCCGTAGATGCTGAAGACCGGGAATATTTGAACTCGCAAGCCGGGCGTGATCGACTTACGTAGGCAGTTGTATTGGGGCGGATCCAAAACCATTTTGCTAAGCCACACCTATGGCTGAAACTCCTTCACTAGTCTAGACTCCACAAGGGCACGAAGGGGCACCATTTGCACGTGATTGACAGCAAGATCATGCAGCCAACCAACAGCCAGCTTACTTCGATGCCTGGAGCACTTATGGAGTGCTTGCCTACGTCGACAGTTTCGCCCACATACGTCAGCCAACGTGCGCGGCTCAGGTAGGCGATTGCAGGTTGACACAAGTAGATTATTTGCTAAGAAATTTGTTCCCACCCGGATGGTACCTCAACTCGGGATAGGCTGTTCTAAGCTTGGCATTTGTGCTTCTGTTAAAAAGGGGGCCGCTACTAAGCCAAGCGCTTTCTACCTAGATACAAGCTCTCAAGGTTTACTCGCTCTCCTCCTCTTCGCGCTGTGCCCACTGTCAGCAGTGAAGCACGTCACCGCGATGCTGCTCCGCGAGGGGGGCCATGAAACCACAAGCTCCGTCCTGTAATGGTGTACAATTACCCAAATGATATCCGTCTATCATGGACAGGGGTTGATTGATAGCAGAATACAACCTTCAGCCCTCAGTCGTCAGTCAAAGCTGCATGCCAGTGGCGGACCTGTCCTTGCCAGCGAGTCCTGTCGCGTGGGCGGTGGCCTCTGGAAGCACTCCCCGCCGTGCTATGCCGGGCCATCACTGAAGGCCATGATAACAGCTCTCGACTTCCGCGCGCTGTAATGGTGAGGTGAGAAATGCAATCCCGATGCAGACCAATGTTCTCCAAGTTCGCCAAACCATGCCGCGTGGTATACTCCAAAGGAAAAAGTTCAGAAGCTGCGTTTAAGGGTCTCGCCCAATATATTTCGCCCGGTTGGCGTCCTCCGCCCCCAGGGAGAGTCGTTTGAACCATGACCGGCATCATCTCACTGTAGACCTCTGAAGGCGAGGCTGCGAGCCCGCTCCTTATTTGACCAACTATAGAATTCCGAGTCAGTAAAAGACGGGTTGGATTTAGACGAACGGCGACTTACATCTTTATCTTGCCGTCGTCTCCGCAAGATGCGATCATGCAAGGGTCGGTGGGATTCCAGCATACGGCATTACACCTGGGAAGGTGTGCAGCGAGCATCTGCACCGGGATCCCCGTAGATTTGTGCCACACAGAAAGGTGACCATCTGTGGTTGTTGTCAGTTCAGTCAAGCGTCCTTCTCACTGCCAGATTGCTGTTCATACCTTCGCTGCCACTGATTACAAAACTTTCGTTTGCGCCACCGAAGGCGCTGCGGATGAGATACTCGCCCCCCGTGTGCCCGGTGTATTTCTGTACGGGGTCCCGGCTTGCAATCTCGATCAGCTGTGCCTCTCCATCAACTTGGTTAACGAGGAGGAATCTGGAATCCTGGCTAATGCTGACGGATGTCGGCCGGGCCTTGAGCTCCATTTCGTATTCGAGATCGCGCGTAACGAAATTGTAGACGTGGACGCGGCACTGCTCATCCATCGCAACTAGCCATTGGCCGTCAGGGGAGACGGCCAAATCTTCTGTCCTGTGTTTTTTGGTCCAGGTAAAGAGCTTCTGCCCCTCGAGATTCCATTGACAGATAGCCCTGTCCTTGTCGAAGGAACCGGTGATGAAGGAACGGCAGTCGGCAGCCCAGACACAGCTGCTTACTGGCTCGTCGAATCGCTCCGACGATCTGATAAAGGTTCCGTCCTGAGAGCATCATGTTAGCGCGCCAAGGGGTTGCCAGGGCGGTTTGGGCATTGCGGGCTTGCCTGGGTGTTCCAGATCTTTGCGTAGCGGTCACGACCGCAGGACACGATCATGGTGTCGTCGGGACTCCATGCAATATTACCCACGCCGCCATCGTGCCCATCCAGCCGGTGAAGGACCTCGAACGACGGCACATCCCAGATAATGACAAAACGGTCCGTGCCACAACTTGCCATTCGGGTGCCATCATGAGAAAACAATACCTGCCACACCTCGCCCGAATGCTTGTCCAGCTCGACAATAGCTTCTGATGGAAAGTGACTTCGGTCACAGCTGTGGTCGGAATACAGCGACGGCGGTTCCGCACTGGTGTGGTATAAACAGTTACTAATTTGACCTTCCTTGACCTGCTGGAGCAGAACTGCAAGCCGATGCTCCGGAAGCATAACCGATGGCGAGATGCATCCTATAGACCATGTCAGCGAACGCCAGGAATCATATTGGGGCTTGGTCAGACTCCTGGCGTACTCGAGAGTTCTGACAACAGCGTCTGCCGCGACCGGCCGTATGCTCCGTCCCATTCAGCCTTGGTCTTAAGGTCCTCGGTAGACTGACACATGAGGAGGCTGGAGAGGAAATGGAGCTTCTGATGTTCCTGGCAGAGCGGCGTCAACTCATTGCGCAGCACCAAGAGCGCCCGCGCCGTCTCCCGCTGCTCGAGCAGCTCCAGAAACTTCTGCTGCCTCAACCAGAACCGCATGAGGTTGCGATCGGCGCCCGGGGAAAGCAGCAGGCCGTCGCCGGTTTGCTGCCGCTCTCCGACCGGGTCCGCGCTTGCCAGCAGCTCCTCGGCTCGCGCCCAGGATCCCTCGAGAACCGCCTTTCGGAACGCTGCCACCGTGTGGCTCTCCAGCTTGAAGCCACTATCGAGGCTCACACTTTCTGCCGCTGAGTGATAGCCCATATCGGCCAGGGCCTGTATCAATAGCCGAGTAACCTCTCCCCTGTCATGGCCCAGATACGTTGTAGGCCGCGGCCTCTCCGGTTCCTTCCCGTTCTGCGAAGAGCCGTTCAGCGAGTCGGAAATGGTCTTGTGCGTGCCATTCGAGGCCGTGGCCGGGGCTTGTGGGTCCAGGGAACCGTTTGATACCACCGGGGCGGCCCCGTTCGAGGACTCCTGGCCATCGGTGTCTGCTAGCATTCTCGTGGCGCGTCTGCGTTTGGGGCGGTGCTCAGAGGTGGAAGGATTCGCGGCGGCGGAGCTCGTAGAAGCTCCAGCCTCCACTCCTGCTTCGTCGTCAAAGGCCGCTCGCTGTCTTCTTCCCAGGAGCTGACGGGGTTGTCGAAGGGAGGGATCTGGAAGACCGGAGTGGCTTGGGGGCTGGTTGCTCGAGGGCGACGTCTGAATCTCTGGGTTCTGCGGGGAAGTGGTGGGGGGAACGATGTTTGCTGCTGAGAGGTCGGTGTTGGGAGAAGGTTCGGGGGGTTGCGGAGTGGCTGGAGTGGATGGAGTGGATGGGTTGTCGGAGGTGGATGGGGTATATAGCTGACGTCGGGGATTTTGGTCTGCCACCGCGACGACTAGACTAGCTTGCGGGACTGGTTTCCCCTTCCCGCACGCAGTTTTAGACAGAATGTGGTATCAATAGTCGTTGGAAACAAGGGAGAGGCCAGGGAAATACCACTGCAGGCAGGACAGACTCGATGATTCAAAGACAGGTTTTGAGGTGCGAGCTGTGACTGGTGCGGGCAGGTAAGGGAAGGTGAAGGCAGGCAGGCGGGTTAGGTTCCAGCTTCCAAGTAGGTTCTCCAGGTAGGTGGGTTTAGATAGGTAGGTGGGTTGTCTTTAATGACAGTTCAACAGAATGCCATCACCCACATGTCGCCGAATCTGAAATGAACAAGCTTCGGCGTAGCTACCTCAACAAAGACGGAGCTTGTTCTCAAGTCGCGGGGTGTGCTGTTCAATAGATTAGGTCCTCTTGAGCGTTTCTTTGCCTGGATCAGATGGCCCGCACTCGGGCCTCATCTAGGTACCTGGGTACTAATCCGTCCTGCTGTAGAGGGGCTCCACTTTGTGGATTACACGCCCGAAACAGGCTCTAATTCGCTGTAGCTGTTGTTCATGATTACTAGGTAGGTGACTTGCTGGACCTACTACGATACAGCACCAATACCAGAGGCCCTTATGCGTAGGTTATCTTGACAACAACATGGATCCTATTGGTCTTACCTCTGCCAACCTAGCAATTGTCTCTTTGCGAGGTGCCCTGAGTTGTGCCAGATAGAGCCCTCGGAAGGTCTGCGCCACACTGTCAAGCTTGGGCGGTACTAAATGCATGAACGTCAGTGCTGATGCATGCATGGAGGTGGCACATGAGAGCCTCAGACAATGCCTTCCCTACCTGCTCATGTTCCTGATGTCTTGTGATACGATGCCTGTGGCTGCTTACACCATCTTCCATCATCACTATCTCATCTTTGGGGAGCTACTCGAGACGCTACTAATGCCGAGTCCTTCCTCAAAGTAGAAAGAAGCTGAAGTAGCTCGTTTGTATGACCTTGTGACCTCGGACAGAATGAGCCTGCCCGAATTCGCTGCCGCTCCTCCCGTGCGTTTTCTAGAGTCGTATGGCCCCAACGCGGCCTTCAACCAGAAGAAGTGCGAGCAGCTAGCGGCCGATTTTTTCAGAGACTCGGTCAGGCGAGTGCGGGAGTGCAACGAACGGTGGGTGCTGGCCCCAGAGTGTCTGTGGTGGTGATGGGTTCTCGTCGACTTCTGCTAAACGGCATCGCCCGACCAGACAGTTGGAAACAGGTCTTCGCCTCCAGGACCCAGCTTTCTTTGCCCGGCGCGAGCAGATATGGGCTCAATCAGGGAGGCTCGAGGCCAGATATCTGCGCTTTCTCCGGACTAAGGAGGAGCTGAGCAATTACATCACCATCCAGACCGTCGGCAAAGGCGCGTATGGCGAGGTTAAACTCGTGCGGAAGAAGCAGGACGGGAAGGTATACGCCCTCAAGCGCCTTGTCAAAACCGAGATGATATCCAAGGAGCAACTCCCCTATGTCCGGGCTGAGCGGGATCTCCTAGCCGAATCGGACAGCGAGTGGATCGTGAGGCTCTGCACGACCTTCCAGGATGCGACGTCCCTCTACATGCTGATGGAGTTCCTTCCTGGCGGCGACCTGATGACCATCTTGATCAAGTACGAGATCTTCTCTGAGGATATCACTAGGTTCTACATGGCTGAGATTATCATGGCCATCGAAGTCGTCCACAAACTTGGCTTCATCCACCGAGACATCAAGCCTGACAACATCCTGCTTGACCGAGGGGGTCACGTCAAGCTCACAGATTTCGGTCTCTCCACGGGCTTCCGCAAGATGCACGACAGCAGCTACTACCAGGAGCTCCTCGGGGGCCACGCCCCTCACCAGCCAGGCGCCCAGCTGCCGCCGAGCCGCAACTCAGTCAACATTGACGAGATCAACTTGACGGTCAGCAACCGAGCGCAGATCAACGAGTGGCGCCGGTCGCGGCGCATGATGGCCTATTCCGCCGTCGGCACCCCTGATTACATTGCACCCGAGCTGTTCCTCCGCAGTGGTTACTCGTTCGACATCGACTGGTGGTCGATGGGCACCATCATGTACGAGTGCCTGGTGGGCTGGCCCCCCTTCTGCGCCGAGCACAGGCAGGACACGTACCAGAAGATCATAAACTGGAGGCATACCTTGGTTTTCCCGGATGATATCCAACTCAGCCCCATGGCTCAGCACCTAATCAGGAGGTGTGTCTGCGCTGGGAAGAGATACCCCCTCCTTTCCACCTCCCTCTCTCTCTTCCTCAAAACGGAAGAAGAAAAATAGACAGAACTAAACTAACATACCCGGGGTCAATCCAGCCTTGTTCGCGAATCAGAGAACCGTCTCGGGAGCAGCGGCGCAGCCGAGATCAAGAACCACCCCTTCTTCGCAGGCGTCGACTGGGGCAGCCTGCGCCGCATACGGGCCCCCTTCGAGCCCCGCCTGATGTCCGACGTCGACACCTCGTACTTCCCCGTCGACGAGCTCCCCCAGGGCGACGGCTTTGAGAACCGGGATGCGGGCGCCGCGGGCGGCGTCGCGCAGCCGGATCTGGGTGCGGACGTGGTGACTCCCGAGATGAGCTTACCGTTTATTGGGTACACGTTCAAACGGTTTGAGAAGTCGTACAGTTGAGGCGTGGCTGGGCTTGGAAGTGTTTTTTTTTTTTTGCCAGTTTAATGGAGATCCAAGGTCATACATTGATGAGGGTTCTGCCTATGTTCATCCGTGTCTCGAATGTATCGAATCGTCTTCGCAAGGGATGGAGTGAGTGGGTTTTTAAGGTTCCTGAATCCCCACAGCTTCGTGTGACTGTGAGTCGATACTTCCCGCATCTTCGATGAAGGGTGGGGAACAATCAACGAAGAATCGACATGTCTTAACCGCCGTCTGTCATAAATAGCATATTGTCGATCTAGTCTCAACTCTCAAGGGGCGTTGAAGAGATCATTCTGATGGCGTACTGCAGGAGCCAAGTAGCGAAGGAGCTGACGGTCAACCACTGCTCTTGCTCTGCCGCCTCCTTGGCGCATATTGGCTGCCTGGTGTGTTGAGTCCAGGAACATTGTGTCTCCCTTCAGCATGGCTGCAATATTCGAGCAAGTCAGTCGGCACCCTTGAGCCAGCATTACCAGCTTGACAGGACAGGGTGGGACCAAGATCAACCTCAACTTGCCCAGCCGTAGTCCCCTTCAATATTGGCAGTCGACAGGCCAGTTCTCGCAGGGTCAGGTAACAGGCCTTGGAATGGCCCCTGACGGACTGGAGAGCGGCAGATGCTGGAGCTGTAGGTCGTGATCTACCAAACAGCACAACAACAAAAGCCAAACCCCACCCCCAGAATAAATTCGGAGAAGTGTGCTACTCAGGACGGATTTGGCAGAAGGAGTGGGCATTATGAGCGAGATCTTTGCAAACCGACTTGGACCCTGGTGTCTCAGGTATCTTCGCCAACCCTTTCCACGTCTCCAGTGAGTCGCCGAGACACGATCAAGCTAGCTTCTTCGGCACGGACACAAACCTGATGAGAGGCAGGGAACACCATGTTATGTTTGATAGCAGGCGAAGTGATCGGCAAGAGCATGAAGTCAAGTCACGAAGATCACGCATACCAAGGAATCGTGCGGGATATGCAGAGCCAAGGCCGCCTCCGAGATCTCGCGATCAAGTGCGGGAGGGAGATGCCGAGATCGCTGGTTAAGTATGGGGGGGATCCACCTTGCTGGACGGACTTGCTGAAGCGAGATGGGGGGCTTGTTGTTGCTCGCTTCGCTGCTCATTGCCTGCATTTGCGGCCGAGCCCAATGATCAGCTCGTTCGTCTTGTTTCGGGAGGAGCGGAAGCTAAGGCAAGGACCCCGATAGCAGACGCGGAATATTAACAACTGCTTTCAGATAAGGACATAGTGGTGGTGGGTTTTCCACGCCATAAGGTCTCAACAAGCCAGATCGGCAGTCGTATGGCTTTCGCTGGCATAGCTGGTCCAAGTCGTACCTGCATACACTACGCTATGTTCCAAAATGCGTGCTCTTTCGATGGTCAGAATGCGTGCCCCTCTGCAATGTCTGCACCCTGCAGAGACCTGGCGCCGTTCCCTCCGGTCCTGGACGGAATGGGAAGCGGCAGGCAGTGTGCCAAGGGAAAACCATGCGCATGTACTATGTATGCATGCAGGTGACCAGGGAAAGAAAGGAAGGGGGGCACCATCAGGACCTCACGTGGACCACACTTGTTGTCACCCTAGCAGTCGTTCTGCAATCTGCATCCAGCCGGGTAGGGTGTGTTCTCGTTGCTTTTCTCAAAAAGGTTACACTTGCAGACTGCACTCAGGGGTAATGTGGGGTTCAGGAGCAGTAGTGCCAAAAAAAAAAAGGGTGACGAAGACGGCTTGGAAGAGAATGTGCCATGTCGTCCCGTTAAATTGGAGATATAGGCATGCATATACCGCTATACGGTGCACCCTTTCCAGGTTGCAACGACTCTGGAAGGAAGCAGAGAGACGGAATCCTTGCCATTTTCTGTCCCCCCGTCCCCCCACGAGTGACACCGTGCGCAATAATCCATACCATTAGTTGCTTCCTGGTATTCCGTATTGACATCGTCATTGCAACCGCAATCGCCATTGCGAAGGCGTCAACATCGCAGCCCTCTCCGTCCTCTCGACAGTGGCCAACCCAGGCAATTTCCAGTATCCGAGGTCGTTTCTCTTACCACAGTAAACCTACCTACCCACTTCACACGTACTACTGTGATAGTGTAGCCATCATCGTACTTCTATTCCTAGCTTGGGATGCTGCGGCAACATGGACACAACGATGCGAGGCGGAGCCGCATTTTATTACGTCCGTAAAAGAAGGAGACTCCCTTGTCTGCGCGCTGCTCAATCAAGTCTAGCATGCAGCAGTAGTGTAGATTCTGAGGCCCTGGCGAATCGTAAAGCTGTCAATTCAGGGTGGTTTCATTGCAGACTTACGGCATCCGGTTCTGCCGAGACATTTCTCTCTGCCAACCTGATGTTAGCGGGGTTACCCCCTTGCAGAGTGGACGTGTAAATTGCTCCAGAGCAAGGAAGTTGCTGGGAGCTCGGATGGGCTTCTACTTATACCATGGTACTGCGCAGGTATTATCCTTGCGACCGGGTAGTGTGCTCGGTAAAAAAGAAGCTAAGAAGCACGGGTATGGATGAACGATACCCGTGGTGCGGCACTACAAGAGCTTTCTGGGGCAAGAATGTGTTCACTAGTGCGGTGTACACTAAAGGGGAAGAAAAAAGCAATGCCAGAAACATGGGGTTACAGGGGGAAGGGACTTGATTTGATTGAGCAGGGCTGCTGTGGCTGTTTGAGTCCGGCAAGTTCCACGGAGAATGCATGTCTGACATGGATGGGATGGGGATTGCCACTCATCAACGAAACAACCGAAGGTGTAAAAGCACGCATCGTTTCGCGCAGAGGTCGATTGACAGCGATGGCGAATTTCTGTCAAAGGTATTTTGCCGTAATGTATCCGGTGTTTGTTCGATAGATAAAACGGACCGCTTGGCTAGCGTCGTCCGAGGTAACAACTCAGCTGAGCTTGGGTCGGTCGATCCTCGGCTTACTACACTACGTAGTATGTATAGGACGTCAAGAGGGGCGGAAGATTCACCTGGAGGCTTATCATTCGTAATCCTTGATCCCTGGACAACTGAGCCGCTGAGGACCTTCCTCCCGTCATTCCTGGTGCACGAGACATTGAAACGGGTAACTATCAGGAATCTCGAGGTGATGATAATACACGCACTTTATGCTCTGAGAAGGCAAGGTATGTACATACATACATACATGCAATACCTCCGGCTTCCAATATCATCGATACAATTCTCTCAGCAGGACCGTCTATTAGGCAGGCACCTCAGGTATCATCCATTGGATGTGAATAGGAGGTACCTTACCTGACTGTACAATACTTTAGTATGAGTACATCTGAGTCGCAGGAATTCCCAAGAACGCCTTACATTACTAGCTCTTGTGCAAGTAGGGAATACCCGACGCTTTTAGCATTTGCTAGTCGTTCCGGTCCAGACGTCTCCACGGCGTCTCCGATCTGACATTCCTCCCGTGGAGACCCGGAACAAGCTCCGGCTAGATGATCTGCCATTATCGGCCATCTCGAGACCGCTCAAAGTCTAACATTATTGATTGTAAAGGGTCTGAATCGGACGACTGGCTCATCGACGTAGTTCGTATCGACTGTTTCGAGCGTTCGATGGGGAGACCAGCGTTGCGGCTGACAGCCGGAAACCCGCCAATTAGCTTCCAGGTTCGTGCACTGATGCTTCTTGCTGCATCCCGTCTGCAAGCGCAGCAAGTCTCTCTTGCGTGCGCGCACACACAGTTCCATGCAGGGCCACACATGGTACTGGAATTTAGGACCACGCAGGAACGCAGGCACAGACCGTTTATAGCCCCAACCAACGTTGGACTCGGGGGATGAACATTCGCTCTGCAGTAAAGACATGCCTACATACGCATGTAGATAAGGATCCCATGATACTTGTACGTGCAATATTCAAACGCCATACCTACATTAGCATCCATGCTATGCGCCACCTTGGTGGCCTTTGGTAAATCAATACCGCACTGAGAAAAACGGGTACACTTCTGATTCATGTTCACCGTGAGAAGGCGGAGAGGTAAGACAACACCAAAACCAGGGGAAAACAGACTAGGTCATGCATGACCAGGCAATGAAATCGCTGGTTGAGAGAACCCTTGACAAATGCATCGACTGGGGGGTCAAAAACCGCCGCCACACACACCAAGGAGTCTATCGGGCAAACGTCGCAATGGCAAGCATTCAGTCCAGGCCTCGGTTTTGCGGTCGTCAAGGCAAACAGAACCCCTGAGCGAATGCGAAAAGGAAAGATGGATGGATGTTGGAGGGGCGTGGTTGAGCCTGGAGTGGAGAACTTGGTTAGCATCACTGCAAGTCCCACTCCCACGTTTAGTGCAGACTAGTGTGGTACAAACGGCGGAATTGGCAAGGGGCTGCGATGCCAAGAGGGGGGGAAAAGGGGGTACTGGTACTCAAACGAATATGGAGACATGTAACTCATGTGCACCCTGCACCCTGTACTTTGTGAAAAGGAGGATTAGGTACACAATTTCAGGGGAGGCGTGGGAAAATATAAGTATTAGTACTGCGACCCATGACCTTCACCTGATTACAGCGTATTTTCCTTCGTACCTGAGTACAGTTAATCTCGCTCCAGGATCTGCCCTCGTCGCCCTTTCTGCTCATATTATTAGCGAGGGCTGCCCTCTGGTGATTTGGTCCCGTTCACCTCTTGGATCCCTTTCAACGACAGGAAGTATCGGCAACAGCCGTGTAGGGTTTGATTCTTTTTGGGGAGACGCCTTGCTTCTCCAAACGTAGGGGGACTGAAGTCCTATTGGAACTCGCCCCAGTCTCTTCATCATGTTGGTTTAGGTCCTTGGTTTTCACTGCCACCCATCCAATCCCCTCGTCCTCTCCCGCTCTTCCATTCTTGTCCTTCCCCCTTCTCTATCACTTCGAGAAAGCCGCCAGCCATGGAGGGAACTCTGCTTGTCCCCCCGGAACGGGGAGCTATAATTGGGCGGGCGCTGTGGAAGGTGAGTTTGCCTGTCATACCGCTTGCTACGGCCCTCCTAATCACCCCGAAGCCTCGATTTGTCGTCATCGGGAGTTCTCAGAGACGCCAGCAGACAAATAATCGCCCATCACATAATACACCAGCCAGTCGCATACCTGGCAGTCGGAACTCCAGCTCCAGGACTCTGCCGAACAGTTCTTCCGAAACCAATTATATCTCTATTTACAAGTCCAAGGTATGGCCCTTTCCACAATCTGTCTCGGTGTCTCGTGGTCGTCTGCCCAGGCTAACCCCTTGGGCCTACAGGATGATTACGAATCCATACAGCAGCACGCTGTTAGTTCCATTACAGACTGTCAAGTTCAGATGCTTGCACACCGGAAACAAGGCCCGGTATTACCAACTTTGGTCGTAAACGTCTCCCCGGATCCAGCAACGGACAAGCTGCGGAAACGGCGCTCCAGTCGAACGGTCGGCTTGACGAGCACCAAAGATACTTCCCCCACTACTCTCTGGTTCCGGCTGGTCTCCGGGGACAAGGAGTCGTCGCTGCAGGACTGGGCGCGCTTCATACGGGCGCTCATCCAACCCAACGTGCCCGATAGGCCGCCCATGAGCCCACTAACCCCTGCGTCTCCGACATTCATTAACCCCTTCTCCAGCCGAGGCCGAGAAACCATTGAGCCTTACCCAAGGCCCTCCAGCGGGAACGCCAATCTCCGGGCGGCCCTGCAGCACAAGGGTTCAACTCATACGACTTCAAGCCGCGATCGCCCCCTGACGTTTTCCGAGTCTACAAGCTTGCGCTCTAAACGAAGCGACATATCATCTCATACGAGCTCGATGAACCCGCCATACGCGGGATTCCAGAATTACACGACGATGCACCCCACCGACCTCCCCTCTCCGGCTACAACAATAGGGGAGTACCAAGGCGAGTTTATTGAGGGATGGACGTCGGCGCAAGGTCGGTCATCGACGCTCAGCTCGCCGGTGCGGGGCCGGGACAGCATTGGATCGCAACCGGCATTGTCAGCCCAAGTGGTCGCGGATGCCAGCTCACCTCCTGGACCTCGCGAGACGATCCTGGACCGGGCATTTCAGATGCGGTGCATCCCAGGCTCGGAGCGTGAAGTCCCTGGTGAGGAAAAGCTGAGTTCGCTGGCCCGTTTCGATGCCTTGATGCGGGAAGCGGACGAGAAACGGAAGATGCGGGAGGCAGAGGCGGCAAAGTTGAGAGAGGCCAACAATGGAATGAAGAGCGCCTGGGACCTCGACGATGAGGACTCGGAGTCCGACAATCCGGAAGAGGACGACGACAACGAAGACAGCGATGAGGATGATGATGCCGCCAGCGAGCAAGTGCGGGACCCCGACGATCATTACATGATGCCCCCGACCGCACGACGGGCGTTGGACTACATCACCGGGCGCCGGGAGCCCAGGACCCAAGACGACCAGGCGCCATTGAGATATAATCCCGAAACTCTCATGACTTTGAACAGTGGGTCTTCTCACCTACGACCGCAGACAGGTTATTCCAGAAACAGGCCAGGAATTGCTCAAAGAACACACAGTCAACCCCATTTAGTGGGCATCACCTCGGCGGTGGCCCCAAGTATCTTGGACGTGTCTTCGCGGTCTCCTTGGAGGCCGTCGGAAGACGAAAGTGCAATGACGACGGCGAAGACTTTGGAACGGAACACGGCTGAAAACCGTGGATCCACATCAAGCGTCAAGCGCCTCAGTTTCAACGAGTTCGCCAAACGTCTGAGCAGCACGAGCAGCCTGCTCCTCATGCAGACCAACGCTAGTAGCACCAGTGCCAACAGCAGTCGCAACAGCGAGGCCGAACCGCAACAGCACGCAGCCAGAGGAACATTGAGTCCCCGAGGAGCGCCCCCGACCCCGGTCGCCGAACGCGATAGCCCGGATAAACGATGCGCCTGGCGAGGGAGCGTTGGCGTGTTTGGTGGTGAAGGTGGCTTTGTCTGAATGGCGCTCCCGGATCCTGGGCCCATCCACAGCACTACATTCTGTTCAAGGTTCAAACCCACATGGTCGCACGCTGCGAAGCACATGCCGGCGGCGCACCCGAACGGGCACTTCCCACCTTCCATCTCCGTACCTTTTTTAATACATGAGTCTACTGTCATCTCAATCGACAAGGAGTGTTAGCGTCACGACCATCATGATCGCGAGTTGGATTTGGGCAACGAAGGGGCATCTGGCGTTTTAGAATCACTTAGCAGGGAAGAGGAGCGGCGCCTTTATGACGGTGGTTGTTCTGCTTTTTTTTGTACAGTAGGATTGGATAGGTATACCTTCATCTGTTAATGCCTGAATGGGGAAGGGATCATATGGTACCCACCCCTTTTCGTTCTCAAGCCGAATTGCTGCTTCCTCAACCATTCCATGGTTCTCCTGAAATGTGATCTCATGCAGGAGTGGGGGTACCTCGGTACCAAATGAGTAATGACCAGGCACGTGGACCCCGGCACCTAGGTATCTCCTGGTTGCATACCGCATGTATAAGCAGGAGGAAAGGAGTTGGGACGGTCAGTGCACCAGACACAAGAACAGGAAAGCTCCTGTCTCCTTCAACGCTCAACACACATCACAAGAATCCCAACATGTCATTGATTAATAGATAGGTAGTTATGAGCCCACTTCGCGCCGAAACAACGACTATCGATTGAAGATATACTCGGACCTTCTACACCCCAAGACCCTGTCAAATTGGCGAGTCCAGCTAATCTAAGCCTCATCAGGATGCTCCACTCGAGAGACCAGAAGACAACCCCAAAGTTGGACAAGGTGGAGGAGTGCATGGAGGTTTTTCCGGGGGAGGGAGCTGTGTCGAGCATTGGGAAGTGGAAAATGAGACCCCAGCTCTCGAACCTTCACCTTCCGGACGAACAGCAGGAGATCATTGCGCAATTCGGAACGCCCAGGCAGGGAAACCAGGTAGGTAGCTACTAGATTGCAGAGTCCCAGACAGTCGAGGAAAGTCGGCTGCTGAATGAGCTGTCTGGGGTATGAAAGCGCATAATCTACTTGGCTTGTTGGGCTGTATTTGAGGGCAAGAGGCGCGTGGGGCTCTAGGATCAAGAAGGTGCAACGGCACTGGGGAAGAGGGGATACGGTTGGCCAGTGGCAGGATCGATGGATGGAAGCAGAAAGGCCGGGAATCTGGTACGGGGTACCCCAGATGGACGAGACTTTCTGGCTTCGGGACCTGGAAAAGGTGGCTGGGCGAATCAATGAGGCATTGCATCTGGTTGCCAGAGCAGGTGCCTCCTAGGCTGAAGCCGCGCTTCGGGAGATCAGGATGAGGATCAGCAGGAGAGCGAGCGGATTCACTCCCAGGCAGAACTTCCCCGTGGAGTGAAAGGGAGTGAAAGGTTTCCTGCGAGGTAGAAAAGTGGCCAGCAGCTGCACCGCAAGGGCGACAGCCCGCGATGAATCTGAGTGTGCCCAGCACGTGGAGTGAAAGGGCACAATCTACCTCATTGACTGATGGGCCGAAAAAGATGAGCGGCTGGAACTACTGCTGGAGCAGGGGGTTCTCATGCAAGAGCTTCACACACTTCGGAGGATTAGGATCAGCAGGAGATCAAAGCGGATTCACTCCCTGGCAGAAGGGGCCAGCGGCTAGATTGCAAGGGCGATAATCCTGCGAAGATGCCGAAACTGAGCTCATCCCAGGGAGTGAAAGGGCACGATCGGCATCCTTGAACTGATGGGGCGAAGAGGCTAGAAGCTAAGTCAACACCAGGGTTTTGGACCTTTGAGTGGAAAATTTGGCTGGTGACAACCTCGATTTATGGTGGCCTTGTGGTCCAGAGGGCCGAAGGCTAAATAAAAGGGGTGTGTCGGAGCCACATGACCTTCCAACCATTGATTGAACACAGCACCTTGCACGCATAGTGTCTTTTATATCCCATGAATCCTATCTCTTCTGCCTTACGTACCACCTGCGAACCCTTAAAAAACTGCCACGTTTCTACTCCGTGATGGGGTGTAAAATTGGCCGGTGAGGTTGAGCAACAAACACTCCCCCCCTTTTTCACCCCCACTTGCTATCCCCTCACGACGCCGGACTAACAACAACCCTCCCAACAACAACCGCGCTCCCATCCACCAGCGCAGCAATTTGCCCATCGGAGCACCTCTTCCCCAGCGGCGCCGCGTCGACATAGCACTCGGCGGGTCCTTGAGGCGGCGTGGCGCGCCCGCTCGCCAAGCCCCTCACGTCGGCCGGCCCGCTGGTCGAGTACTCATTTACCGCGACGGCGTGGTTTCCGGTCGCGACGTCGCGGCCCAGGACCGTGCGCGCGAAGACGGACTGCGCCGCCGAGGGGCGGTAGTAGGGGACCTCGTGCCCGGCCTGGAAGACGCGGCTGAAGGAGAGGAGGCCGTGCTGCCGGACGACGCCGGCGACGCCGCTGCTGCCGGGCACGACCATGTTGGCGTAGCCGGCGGACGCGAAGGCGGCGGAGTGGGAGTGCGGGATCGAGAGGGAGACTGCTTCGCCGCCGAACCCTGTTTTGAGACGGCGGGGTTTACCCCTTTTTGTTAGTCGAGGGAACTTTTGGTATTTGGGGGGGGGAGGGGAGGAGTTTAGGGATTAAAACCTACAGTTGCATCGGAAGTCGCGGTCGCCGTGTATCAAGGCCACCTTCACGCCGGCGTCGAGCAGCTTGCCCAGGTCGGCTTTGTACGCGCGGACGTAGTCGCCTGTCACGACGAAGGCTGCGGGGATGTTCATCAGCCTCATGGTTATCTTCTTCGAGGGAGTAGGCAAACTTACTGTTCCCGACGGCGTTCTGGGGCTCGGTGTAGTTGATCTTTGCGCCCAGCGCCTTCTGAACCCACTCGTTGTTCAAGAAGCCGACCGCGTACGGATGGGGGAAAGAATCAGGCACCAGGTGGCCGATGTCGAAGGGGTTCCGCTAGCACGACAGTCGTCAGTCAGGCCCCCTCGGCTACGGGGAAGGGTTGGATATCTTGGTAGGCACTCACCCCCGAAAAGGCCTCGTACGGCCCGTACACGTTCTCCCAACACCCGGCGAACGCCACTAGACAGACGCCGTTGACGGTCTCGTTGTTGCCGTGGTTGTCCGGGTCGGAGGCCGCCTGCAGCTGCAGGCAGTACTGGGCCTGGTCTCTGCAGCCGCCGGGCTGGGCGAACTCCTCGGCGATCTGCGCGGCCACGCTGTCGTCGTACGCCTTGATGCCGTACGTGTTGTTGACCGCGAAGTTGGGGAAGGAGCCAATCTGGTTGAGGGGATCAATAAGGCCGTTGATGATACCGACCGAGTCGACCTTGATAGTAAAAGGAGGAGGGGGAGGAGGACCGTTGTGACTCCCGCCAGGTGAAGGGCACCTCTTCTTCTTGCCGGCGAGGGCCGTGGCGATAGCCGGTGCGAAATGGCCGCCACTGATTATTTCGTATTGTAAGTACTGTTGTGTCACAGGCAAACGGGCATGTTTAGACGTTAACTTACTATGACTGCGACCAGATATTGATGCTGTTTCGCTTATACTGGGTAAACCTGCGATGCTGGTCAGACAAGACACTTCAAGTAGGCCCGGCAACTAAGGCCTGTTGTTTCTCTCCCGGGAAATACTACTCACTCCTGGAACCACGCCTCCAAGAAGTGCGAGACCGCTGTCGCGGCAAGAGCCGTGGTGTTCGCGCTCCGGCCCGGATCCTGGCTGCCGAACTTCCCGGACCGCACCGTCCAGCTGGCCGGGGGCACCGGGGACTGGGAGACGTCGACGTCGCCCGTCAGCATGTCCATGAAACCGTGGTGGATGCTGTCGTACGAGAAGCCCGTCTGCACGGGCTGGTCGATGTACAGCATGTTGGAGACGCCGTTCCAGCTCCACGGGTTCGGCACCGTACTGTTGGAGTCCGGCTGCACGATGCACGGCCCGTTGTGGCCCGACACGGCCTGCACCGTGCTGCCCAGGCCCGGCCCGCCCTGCAGCCAGAGGGTCAGGGGTGCCGTGTGGGGGTTGCTGCGGGCCTCGAAGAACCAGAAGAAGAGGTTGGCTTCGTAGGGCTGGGAGACGGGGTCCAGGGAAGCTGGCAGGGTGATGTACCCGGCATAGGAGCGGACGAAGGGGGTCGTTTCGCAAATGTGTGTCTAAGTGAGAGGTTAGTGAGGTGCGCTATGCTGTGGACGAGACGCCAGCCCAGCGTCCCTGGCACACTGGTAACGAGACTGTATGCATTACCTGCTTGTACGTGACTTTGACGCCAGGGTGATGTTGCGACCGTATCACCGTTGGCGTCGCAAGTGAGCCCGATGCGATAAGGATCAACAGTGCTAGGAGGCTGTAGACGCCGGGGAGTCCGGTGATCGTCATCTTAGAAAAGGTGATAGGGGTACCTGAGCTGCGTCACGGTGTGGTTGCAATGCGAGAGAAGGCTTGAGAGTACACCAGCGGTTGGGCAGGCCGCGGCTTTAGAACCCTTCTAGAAGCTATCAAATAGATGATGGGTGACCAATATGAGACATGCGGCGCCTTATTCAGACCCGAATCGGGAAGATTGTACACCAACTGCAGATCACGGGCAGCTCCATGAAAGCATTGTGGCTTGCATTCAGACATGCCCCGGCCTGCCACGACCTGCCATGTGTCTATTGATCTTACTCCTTCTAGGTCTGAATAGGCTCTCAATAGGATGTCCATGGTGTCCAGTGTCAGGTGAGGCACGCAAGAAGAAATAGTCGCAAGTGTATCGACGGTTTCAGACAGCTACAGGGACGGATATTGAGGTTATTGCATCTGACTCATCGAATCAGAGCTGGGCCTTGTTTGTTGGCTAGATGACTTCACTTGGCAGGTTGGGAGAAGGAAAAAGGAGGCGGTTTGTTCAGACTTTTGCTCTTGGCCGATTTTGTTCCTCCACCAGAGACACCACGTACACGTTCCTCGGTCTACAATGTCGGCTATTCTTGATAAATACTCTATGCCGTTACCCTTAAATGCCTAGTCTATTTTCCTTTTATTTATTTCCAGTTTGGCTGCAGTAGCTTTTCACGCAGTTAGGGAGGAGGGTCTTTGCGACTTCGTTTAAGACCTGGGCAAACCGCTCTCGGGAAGCTGAGGAATGACTGGAAATTGTGCGTACTCCCATGCTCGGCAGCAGGCGACTATATACAGCAAATAGCTTTAAGGAATACTACAGCTTGCAGCGCCCCAGTACTGCCAAGTATTCCACCCTCGTGCGAAACCCACAGGATGTGGCCTGCCGGCCGTCGCTCCGGCCGGTAGACGGTAGGCTCCCCGGAGATGTGAATGGGGGATGATTGAGAGAAACTCAATTACTCGAGCAGGCCGACGAGGCGCTGTTTGCGCTCGTCATTCTCGAACAGCCTTCCGTAGTCGGCGCGGGTGAGGGAGAAGATGCGCAGGAACTCCTCGGGCAAGAAGCCAGCAAACTCCCAATCGAGGAGCCACTTGACCTCAAGGGTGGCGGGGTCGACGCGCATGTTGTGATAGGACAGATCGCCGTGGCAGAGGACGAAGAGGCGAGCCGCGCCGGCGACCTCGTCGGACGTCTTGACGGGCCAGCGCTCGCGCCAGTCGTCTTCGCTGATTCACGGCGGCGGGATCACGATGCCGTTCAGCCCGGTCTGGCGGCTCGACAGCCCCTCCAGCGCCGGGTACACCACCTCGCGCACGAACAGGTCTGCGTTTGCCATCGCCACGGCGCGACACTGCTCGCACCGGCCCGAACTCGCGTGCCCGTCCTGCCCAGGCGTCATCAGGCAAGCCGCCCCGACATCTCTCCCATCAACGATATTGCCCAGGTCAATGCCGTCCGCCCACTCCAGCTTCAGGCAGTGGCCAAACTCGCCATCGAAGCCCCTCTCGAGGGCCCTGGGTACCGGGATGTTTGTTTTCTCTCTTACGAGGTCGAGCGCCGTGTGCTCGTTCTCGATCCGCTCTGCGGGCCACTGCGCCGGATATATCAAATCTACGCGGCCGACTGGCAGAATGCCCTTGATGAAGTAATCGCCCTCCACCTCACAGTAACGCCTCTGGCCGGCCTGTGACAAATAGACCTTAGCTTGGTCGCCCGCGCCGATGAGTGTCCGCTGTCGCCCACCTCAGTCACCTTCGCCATGGCTTCTTCAGACCTTCCCCTGGACTGTGTGATCCCCAGCTGGAGGAACAACTAGCGGTAGCAGGACTTTACCGTGGTGTGCTGGCAGACAAGAAGGGGATTGAGTTGTTGTTAGCGGCGCACCTTTTGCTAAGTATGTAGTTGTATGCCACGTGCCGCTGGTGGAGCTAATTTTGAGACACATTTTGCAGTACCTTTCTTTGTCTTTCCTGTGTACTCTGGTTTCTGTTTCCCACATCTGTAGCACAGCGACACACGCCCTATTCGTGGAATGTCAAGAGGGGAAGGCATTGCAACACTTTTCGGAGGCAGAGAGGATCAGTCACTTGCATACGACACAGGTGCAACCAACCTGGTTCTAACCAGGGTTACGTATCACCATAAACTACCGCGCTGTATTTGATGCTGCTAATCAGACTGCTTTGTGGTCTGTCAGAGTTTCACATGGGAGGTGTTGATTCCCTCTAAAAAACATATTTGTAACAAAGCTTTGATTGACTCAATGGACGATGATGCCCTTTTGTGTGAATGCTTCCCAACACCGTTAACGGACGGTAGCTTTTTTTCCACTTTCAGTCGGGCTGTCAATTGGCCTGGTAAAACCACTACCAGGGCCGCCAATGTTGCGAGCCCTCCCCGAGACTTCGGGCTGGGTATCGACGCAGTTGCATGGCACGCATTGCACGTATTACATCTTGCTCTTTCCCTAGACCCTCCTACTGTAGGTAGGTAGCAAGTACCTGCTTCGCCTCCGGGCTTAGACGCTCGTCCGCGAACTTGACGATGGCGCCGCTGTGTCGCTGGTCCGCAGCCTTCATATATCCGCTAACCCAGGTTTCCACGTTCGTGATCTCCACGAAGTCATCCCGGGGCCCTCGCTTGCACGTGTTGAGCGGCGTGTAGCCAATGCCGAACCCGATATCGTCGACATCAGCCTCGGTAACGATCTCGTCACCAACACCCGCCGTCACTTTCGCCGCGTTCTTGAGAAGATCTAGCAAGTTGTTGCAAGTGAAGCCCCAGCCTTTCTGGTAGCGCTGAGCAAACGCAGTCGAATCGCACAGCGTCTTGGTGAACGAGATAACGCCAAGCTTGCGATCCACTGGACGTGCGAACTGGCTCGTTGTCTGCAGGATGATGTTGAGGTAGATTGGAGTGAACACGCCAGCCTGCAGTGCCTCGGCGTGCTTGATGAAGTAGTCGGTCCCCAGACCGGCCTCGAAGCCCCTCGCCGACACGAGATGGTAGAAGCGTACGAAGCGGGACTTGTAGGAATCCGATGGGTTGCCTTGTAGCTTGGCGAAGACAATCCTCAGGATTGTCCCGAAATATTGGTCTAGAACAGGCCTATGGTCCCTAAGGTTAGCAAAGTAACTGACAACAGGACCGAAATGCAACCTACCCCTGGAACGACCCCACAATGGCCTCGAGGATATCAAACGCGTTCTGCTCCGTCTTCTTGCCGGAGAGAAGTTGCTGGAAGATGCCGAGAACGGGCTCCAGTTGATTACCGGCTTGGATTTCTCCAGTGGCCTTCGGGATTATCGCCGCAAGGAATCGTGCGCATCCCGGAACGTTGCCCCTCGTCTCCCACACCGTCGGAGTCGTCAGCGGTGTGATCAAAGTCTTGAAGTTATCCGAAAGGGCGCTGGAGCGGTCTGCTTCGAGGAGAGCGGCAAAGATCTGGAACACATATGGGACGAACTCTGCAACGTGATTAGTGAACTTGAAGCTTTATCCGTCTGCCAGGAACACACGTACCTGTGACCTCTTCATTGAGAACGGAAGAGAAAGGTGCCCATAGTCGTGCCTCTAGTTTGGCGCCGGATGTGGCAGCACAGTATCTAGACAGCTGTTAGGGCCCTACCGGTCAGGACATTTTGAAATTGGGGGGGCCATACCTCACGAGAGCACCAACGGCCTCGAAATGGTAGTAATAGAACCTCGGGTTGCTAGGGTTCGCCTTGATGATGTTGGTGATGTTGATGAGGTGGTCTAGGATGCCGTCAAGGATTGGGGCCACTCCATCCTTGATAACAATCAAGACCCTCATGATGCATCTCATCAAGAACTCGTTCTCCTGAAGCTTTGCAGGCGATGGGTCCCTCTCCACGAGATTGAAGAGATGCTCCAGAAGGCCCTTCGCGAACGGCTCGATATCAGTTCTTGAAAATAGTGGTTGTCCCGCATCGGTAGTCAGAAACAGAACCCTCTCGACGGCGATGGCTGCGTAGGTATAGACAACGTAGTTTGTCGAAGCAAGGTTCTTGATGAGGGGCTCGAAGGCGGCCTGCCATTGCTCCTTACTCAGTTGGCTTCGGAAGTTGTGCAGGTACTTGATCGCATCAACTTTGGAGATAGGCTCGACCCCTTCGTCGGCAACCAAGTCCGACGCAACATTCTTCTGGAAGAAGTCGACGACGTCCACATATTGATTCACTGTCTTGACTCCCTGGGCAGCTGTCACGCTTCCCTTTGCTGCGATTGCCAAGAAAAGGTAGACAGCGGTGTCCTTGGCTTTCCAGTCTTTGCCGCCAATGCCCAGGTAGTGGTTTATGTACTTGAATACTACCTGGGTGACGAGCATTTCGAAGTTCTCCAGAAGTTTCCGTAGAAAGTCGGTCGCGGCCCGTCTTCGAGAATCTGTGTCGGAGCCTTCGAGATCTCTTCGGATGAACTCGATTGGCTCGTCCTCGAACATTTCGATGTCTGATTCACGGAGCGCAACGTTGGGCAAGATGACCTTCTCGACAACCTGACCTAGGGTCTCCTCACTGCTGAAGTTCTGAGCGTGCCGAGGCACTGACGCGATGGCTGTCAGGAAATGGAGCGCTTTGCTGACGAGAAGATCATATCGCTTTTCTGGCCCGACTGTTGAGAGCAGATGCCAGACTGCATTGGTGAATTGATCCGCGTAGGTGTTGAAGTCATCGTCGAACTTGGTCGTGTAGAGCTGCAATACCTCACAGACATCGGCCTTGACAGTTTCCAAGGCAGTTGCCTCATCGTCGTCGCCATCGAAAATCTGGTTGGAGTAGGACAGGTATTTGAGCAATATTGCTGCGATAGGGCCGAGGTTTGATTCGAGCACTGGGGGGAGGTCCTGGCACGAGAGATCATAGAAGATCTTGACTAATAGACTCAGAGTGTCGAACCAGCCCTTGAGTGCGGTCGGGTCGCTCCTGTTTGCCTCGATCTGCTGATCTACGACCTGTGTATGGCGTCAGTTAGAGAGCAGACTACAGGTCTGAAAGATAACGGCTTACGCTCAGCATCCGAATATAGGGCTCGCCGAAGATACTCAGGACGTGGTTGATTTCTTCATAGAGATCGTTGGACTGGAAGAGGGGCCGCCATCGGACAAAGATGGAATGGGCAACCTCCAACACTCCATTGGTGACTTTGTAGTCTGTGGTGGACAGGCGGCTGACGAGATCCTGGTGGAAAGACCATTAGACGGTTGACTCCAGGAATGGAGGATTGCAGCACGCACCTGAATCAGGGTATCCCATCGCTTCCAAAAATCGGAGTCGGCGATAATGCTGATGGCCTCGCCGAGCTGGGTCTGGATGTTGGGGGGAGATGAGATCATCAGCCCAACAAGCTCTTGCTTGATCGTCGCAACCTCATCCTGAGACAGCTTGTAGTTGCCCTCTTCGTCCTACAGATGTAACGTCCTGTCAGTTCCACAAGTGTTCCGAGACGGCCAGCCCGTCTTTCCATGACACGTACCACATAGTTCAGGCGAATGAAGTTCTTAAAGGCGAGGGCGGCGGCGAGGCGGGTCTTTGGAGGTAGAGGTGACGAGGCGACAATGTTGAGTAGAGTCAACGAGTAGTTGGGCTTCTTCTCCTCTTGCCGAAGGGCGTTCTCAGCTGCGTGTTTGTTGCCCTCGTTAGCATTTATTGCTTGGAATTTCAAGGTTTGGAATGGCGGGGCTCTGCCCAAGCAAGCAAACAAATATATAGCTTAGCTACCTACCTTTGCGATGTTGATGTTGGTCGAGAGTAGCATCGAGAAGCTGAGCAATATGCCCGATCTCAGCTGCCATGGTGGATAACGTTGCTTGCTGTGGTTTTGGCAATCAGCAGTGGGATATGGCACAACGCTTTCAGTTTTCTGCCTGTTGCTTGATGAGAGTGGGTGGTGAACCATCATTCAAAATAAAATAGGAAGCTACGGGTTGCCCAGGTTCCCACCTACACCCCTGCTCGGAAAGTGGGCTGCGAAGACCTGCATTATGTAATTCAACTTCTACAGGGACGCCAGGGCCGCATATTCGTCAAAAGCGGCTGGTCAAAGCTTCCCTATCTAATCCAATCATATTGCGCAGCTACAAGGCTACAGCCTACCTAAGTAGCACAGCACAATCAGGGATGGTCCTAGGCTCCAGGCAGTTGATAGATCAAATTCAAGGGAAGTACGTAGCGACTTCTCTTCCATTAATAGACATAGCCTACTGTCATATAAAAGTTTGTGAGATAATGAGACACTGGCATCCCTGAGTCAGGCTTGAGACGTGATGAAAGAACTTGGATTCAATGGAATGCGTCAGGGTCCTGGCCTTAGGTAGCGCTGTGATTTGCTAGGGCGGATCAATAAAGCTGCGAGGCAAGGCTAGCGGGCGGGGCCAGCCAATATGGATCGACGTGCAGGAGCAAGGAGCTACCTACCTACCTGCAGCTTATGAAATAAACCTCTCCTCAGTCTGTTGAGCTTCTCCTGTGAGACCAGGTATTTGTCGCTCTCACATGCCACCGCCCAGCCCATGCCGCCAATACGAGGCGATAAGATTTGTACCAGAAACAACCGTGTACCTGCCTGCACCGACTAAATCGAGAGACCACCGCCCTATTTTGGATGAAGGAGGGACCTTGGAGTGGGTGTGCAACTTCAACCCAGGCGGCGTCACCCCCTCCCGATTGAGAGAGGGTGTCAAGATTTTGATTGCAGCTTGGCCTAGCCGTCCACACTCTTATGCAAGTCACAGTTTGCATGTAAGTTGTGTGTCATGATCGGATATCTGCTGCTTTCTGCTTCTACTTTTTGCAACCACGACTTCCACCTGCCATCGAGGTACTCGCCTCTAGTGATTCAGGGTCGTAATGTCTTGACTCTGAACTCTCAATCTACTCCGATCTACTTCAACCCTCTTTCTCCTTTGTTTCTCGAATGCCGCTCCCACCTGCTCAGGCATTAGCATCCCATTTCATGGTATCAGAGCTAGAGCTGACATGCTGCGTCAAATAGTCTCACTAGGCCAGCAGGCCTCCGAAGATCTCGAGCCTATGTCCCCATCGCCCAGTGATGAGGCCCAATCTCCAGAAGCGCGGAGCGCCGGAAGGCTCGCTGGTGTCTTCAGGGGATTGACTGGAACGAAGTTGGCCAAATCGCCGTCGCCGCATCCCTCCCCCGCCGCAACCAACATCCCCCTGACCTTCCCCGGAGATGCCAATGTTGCGTCGGTGCGCATGTCCGTATTGCCGCCCGAGCAGATGGAATCGTTTGAACGGCTGAAAACCGGGACCCTGAATGAGCGCATTGCTGCAGCCAATTCTCTCACCTTCGCCATCGCCGACTATCCGCTCAATGCCGTAGGTTTCTAGCGCACCGAGGACCTTCACCGCGTCATGGGCTAACAATGCAATGAACCAGGTCCTCGAGATATGGGATGCCGGAAAGGACTTGATCGAATCGTCGAAGCCTCTTACCGCCCGGCAAGCAGGCTGGGGCCTCCTTAGCCAGTGCGTCAAATATGCACACTCGACGGATCTGGAGCGAAGAGAATATTTCCAGACACTCTCTACATCTATAAACCCAGAAGACTTCCACCTCCAGCTGGCAGCACTAGTGGATTTGACCAACCACGGTCGAGAGCTGTCTGGATTCGAATACGACATATTTCCTTTGTTGACGAAATGGCTCCAGGAGACGTACAGCGCTGCCAGGACAGCCAGGAGACAGGCCTCGCGGGGAGCAAGCAGGTCTAAAAGCAAGGCTATTGCGTCCGGTCAAGACAAGAATTTCTCGCTGGTCTTCTCGCTTCTCAAGGAAGTCATCAAGTTCAACTTCAGAGTTGCGGATGATGAAGCGATTGGCCTTCTGGTGGACAAGCTCCTCGAGATTTGCATGAATACCAGCGTCGAAGAAGACCTTCGAGCCTGCATCAATGTCATTGATGCCATCGTCACGTTTGGCACCATCCCAAACGATAGACTGAAGCACTGCATCCATGTTCTCAGCTCAATCCACTGTTTGGTCCCCAACTTGCAGAAGGACTCGTGGCACACCATAGCAAACATCTGCAAATCCCACCACGGCCAATCCACCGTGAGGATCCTTATTGACCTACTCCGCACAACCGACTACGACAAAGACAAGGACACAGTCAGGGAAATCAGGGGAGCGCTCTCGGTCCTTACTAAACTCCTATCGAAATCCGTGGAAAAGGGCTACCCTCAGGTTCCAATGGCCCTTCTCGCCGATGGGCTCGCCAATATCTCTCGAAGCAGCTCGACTAAAATTGCTGCCGACATTTTGAAGCTCATCAATTCACTGTTCGAAGGCCCCGACGGCCGGGTAACTGCGAATACGGTTGACGAAGACTGGGCCGGGCTGTTCCGCGTGGCGGCACGATGTGGTAGGAGGACCGCAAGTCCATCTAGCAGCGACCTTGATGTGTCGGCGAAGCCCGTCACCAAAGATGACTACGAAAAGGGCGAGGAGGTGGTTGACTATCAGCTGCGGAGGCTCATCTCCCGGGTTGAGCACTTGCTCAGACAGCAGATCCCGGACTTTCTGCAACGCGATGAATGCATCGACTTCTTTGCCCAAGTGCAGCATGCCCTTCCGGATTCTGCCGTCACCTTGGTGCTTGACCATTACAAAGAACGTCGTTGCTGCTTCCCATCAGAAGCCGGCTGGCACGAGAAACTCAAACTTATCCTCGAGGCCTTCTTCCGTAACCGCAACCGTCGGCCTCTCACCCGGCTTCAGGCACTCGCGGCTATTCAAGAAATCTACCACTTCCTCGAGGCTGTGGATGACTTTTTGGACACGATTTCCATTACCGACCTCATCCGGGAGGTGCTGTTCGAAATCGAAGAGGAGTCCGATACTGTCGTGCTGCAGGAGACGGTAGCGTTTGTGGTCATGGTCGCCGATAGGGCCGACATGGATCTCTTCGATGAAATAGTCGACTCACTGAAGATGGTCATCGCTACAGAGCGTTCCAAAGCTCCGGTCTCGATGCCCGCGGCGCAATCCTCTGCAATACCAGGCCTACAGGATCAACCGGGCTATTTTGCCAGTCAGAGTCTCTCCAACGTTGTCACGAGAGGATATGTCCAGATGTTCATGCGATCCATGGATACGAACGTTGTGAAGTCTCGGAAGACATTCAACGCGATCGTCCACATCGCGAGATCCAGCGCTTGCGAGACGGACGCGCGGCTGACGGCCATGAAGATGCTCTTTCGGCTGAGGGCCGATTGGGCGCACCGCGTATATCTTACACCCTGCCCGGAATCAGAAGGGTTGGCCCGGTCACTCTACCGGACTGAGGCGTCACTCGCTCGCAAGCTGGCCGACGATGCAGCTCAACCACCCCGGCTGTCGCGGGCCGAACCTCCTGGCCCTCGACCTTCTCGTGCCATCTCGTTCACCCAAGGCCCGCCGGGAGAAAGGAGCGTGCCAGTCAGGTCGGCGAGTGGTGCGAAACATGTCGCCCCGATGACGCAGCGCCTCTGGTCGTTCCCGGACGTAGATGCCCTGCCTGAGGAGCCGTCTCGCAACCCCAGTCCCGTCCTCTTCTCCCGTGCCGAAAATACCAGTGCGTCGGATGGGTCCACCGAGAAGAAGGCAGCCTTGAACATGGCATCACTACTGGAAACGGTGCTTAGCATCTTCCACCAAGGCTGCGATTGGGAGATTTACAGCTTTATCCTGGTCCATCTGCCAGCACAGCTTAGCAATCGACCGCTTTTCAGCGACGCCATAACTCAGATCCAGGGTTTACGGAAGGTCATTTGCGAGTTGATCAGGAACAGCTCGTTCCAGGAGCCCCCTAGCCCGTCCGGCCTGCGTCGGCCCGACGTGGCCAATTGCTTATTCCACTCACTGGCCACGGTCATGTGTTACCATGCGTATTTCCAGAAGAGTGACGAAGACGAGATCGCCAGGACTTTCATGCAAGGCATCGCAGACAAAACTGCGAAGACGTGCATCCACGCCTTGTCAGTGTGTTGCCACGAGCTGCCCATGTCGGTCAGCAAGTCGTTGCCCACCATCCTGCACAAGATGTCGCAGGTCATCACACAGCCTTTCGTGGCGATGCATATTCTTGAATTCCTCGGTTGCCTGAGCCGCCTGCATTCTCTGTACTCGAATTTCAGGGAGGACGAGTATCGCATCGTCTTCGGCATCTGCTTCCGGTACCTTCAGTACGTCCGCGACAAGAAGCGCTCTACCCGCAACAGCCACGCGAGTGAGCCGCCGACACCCAACACCGCGGGGGCTAGCCACTCGGATTCTCCTGGGCAACAGAACCCCACCGACGACCTCCCACAATACGTCTACGCCCTGGCTTATCATGTCATCACCTTCTGGTTTCTCGCTCTCCGAATCAATGACAGGCCGACCCACATCGGCTGGATCGCCAAGAATCTGTTCACCGATGTCGACGGGAGCGCGAGCAATGATGAGCAGGCCCAGATCACCATGGATTTCATGCAGAGGGTAGCTTTCACCGATGCCAACGACTCCGCCGAAGACCCCCTCTTCAACGAGGAGCACTTCGGCGAGATACTGGAGAAGAGGTGGATCATGGGTAACAGCATCGTCGCCATCAAGCAGGCCAAGGAGACAGGATGGGCGCATGTCACTCGACGGCATCCGTCGGGAATATCTTGCTTCACCATACGGGAGAACTTTGCGCCCATGGCGAGTCACCAGGCTCGGATCAACACTGATGCCACGTCGGATACCCGTTCTCAAAGTCATGCCACAACTCTTCCCAGTTTTGTGTTGCTCCAGCTGTTGGCACCAGTCCCCCAGCCCGGCGACCCTATGCTTCGCCCTATCCCACTTCCAGCCGACGACTCCATTGAGCGAGCAATCCGTCTGTTTGACCGTATCTCTCCTGTGGACGGCCATAGGGTTGGTGTCATATATATTGGAGACGGGCAAACACACGAGGCCGAAATACTAGCAAATACCATGGGGAGTCCGGAGTATGCCGAGTTTCTCCAAGGCCTGGGGACCTTGACAAGGTTGAAGGACGCGTTGTTTAACACTCAGGGCCTGGACCGAGAATACGATTCCGACGGGAAGTACACGTTCTGCTGGCGTGATAGAGTCACGGAGATTGTGTTTCACGTCACCACCCAGATGCCGACCAACCTAGAGCAGGACCCTCAATGTATTCTCAAGAAGCGTCATATCGGCAACGACTTCGTGAACATAATATTCAACGACTCGGGAGTTCCTTTCAAGTTTGACACATTCCCATCCGAGTTCAACTACGTCAATATTATCGTCACGCCGAATCCGCGACCTTCTTTCAGCTCGGTTAGGGAAGCAGAGAATGGGAGAGAGAAAGGGGGCGGCCAGTCATCCTTCTTCATGGTTCAGGTCATGAGCAAGCCCGGGTTCCCGGAGATATCGCCAGCGGCGGAGCCAAAAATGGTGAGCCTGAGAGCACTCCCCGGCTTTGTCAGGCTCCTGGCCCTGAACGCCTCCGTCTTCTCACACGTATGGGCGAACCGCGAAGGGGGAGAGCACGTCTCGTCGTGGCGTGCCCGCCTCCGGGAGATCAACCGGCTGCGGGAGCGGTACGGGCCCAGAGTCCAGCCCGCACCCTCGCCTCCCCCGTCGTTCATGGGCGGCGGCGGCGGCGGCATCATGACGGGGGGCACCATGACGAGCCAGACGCAGCAGATGATGGACAACTCCCGGCCGGCCAGCAGCGTGAGGGACAGCTTTAGCAGTCTCAGGAGGTCGTCTGTCGCCACCTTCTTCACAAACGCCAGCACGGACCCGACCTCTCACCGCTCGTCCATGCTGTCGGTCCCGACGACGGAGAACACCGAGGTCATGCCGATAAGCGCGGCGGACGCGCTTGTCGAATCGGCGGATTTCTCGAAGTGGACCTGAATTCCGAGCCGGAGGGGGCGGCATCACGAACTGAATTCGGAGGGGTTAAACGGGCAAGTAGAGGTGGGAGGGCCTTGTACGAATGACAAGGCGATGTTTATGTCTGCATTGCAGGATTACGCGGGCGGCGTCTGGAACTGGCAGGGTCCGAGGGAAATATACCACAAAAAGTTGCTGCTTTCCATGTTCTTTTTTCTGCGCATGACGCGCGCGTTGTATTGAGAGGAGGAATGATATAACACCGCTTTGGTGTATCCAGGATATATGCCTGTGTTTCATGGTCGATACCACCATTATCTACCGCTCTGGTTCTTTTGTACTTGTATTGTACATACTTTGCCAACGCAGACTTTCGAGAATCGGCTTTACGGTCTAGCCCGGTGTCTCAGGGGGGTGGAAGATTTACCCATTCCAAGTTCAATTCGGGCGCCTTTTGCGCCTTTCCCCTCGATTGTGCTGGTAGAAAAATGACTCCGGCTCGACCTTCTTCATTGCCTTGATGTGACTGTCGCAGGATGATATATCAGAGATAATCCCTTGCAAACATTCTTCGCCATCGGCCCAACAGGACGAAACTGCTGTGTGGGGTTCCCGGGGCGGGGAGAACGGGGTGAGGATTCGACTAGGCCTCCCACACCAGGTGCGTGAACACTCATCGCCTTGCCCTGTCGGTTTATAGATGGGCTAGGCGGCCCTGGGGCTTCTTTTTTTGGTGGATGCTTGACCCCAGACTGATTGTCCCAGCGAGGTTGGGGTCAACCTTTGGACAGCCTTCCGCTTATCCCCCTTGAGCCCCCAATGAAGAGGATTTCTCGCTGGATACCCAAGGGGACTATCACCAAGGTATCAGTAGGCATAGTGATAAGGATCCGTCCGGAGAGGAACTGAACCAACCCAGCGGCGGGGACAACGGCCTGGCGTTGGAGCTGTTCAGCTGGCAATTTTAAACCTTACGCCAAATATCCTGATATCTTGCCCATTTCTGGAAGCCTAAGAATAACTTAGCACAAGCCTCCGAAGCCATCATCACCGTTGGCTGCGCATCGCTTACCCATGGACCGAAACCCTCCATCTCCCCCTTTCACGGCGTCAATGAACAGCTTCCTCATCCCCTGTCTAGCAAGGGTTCCGATGCAGGCATCAAGTAATCTAATCATGATGGCATCTCGCTTGTTCGCCAGGGAAGAACTGTCGTCTAAGTCATCCATATCAGCATCTTCTACCTCGCTGTCCGTCTTTCTCCAGCTCCGTTGCACTTACCCGCGATACAAATACATGCAACCCCACCGACATCATCGGATATCGTCGCAGCCCAAGGAAGATCTTCCGCTACCGGGCTTCCCGAGTGTTTGACGTAGGTCAACGCCGCCGCGACAATCATCTCGTTTTCGACGCCGACGACGATGTCTCGGACGTGCATGGTGTTTGCCAACTTGGCATATTGGTCGTACCAGCCCACATTGTCTTTCCGTGCCGATTCCCGTCCAACCATCCCCAAGACCATGTCGAATTCGGGCGGACTGCAAGGCCGAAAGGATAGATTGGAAGAGAGGAATCCCCTCGAAGGCCACTGGTCGATTCGGAGGATCCAATCGCTGACGTCCTGACCAGTTCCCGGACCTTGCTGGTCGATGCGCCAGCCCCGCCGCCCAAACCAATTGTGAGACGCGATTTCGGAGGGTGGGCCGAAAAGGAGGCGAGGGAAAGTGCTCCCGAGTTGCAAACGGCACACGCCCCTCGTTTTGGCAAGCTGTCTCAGGGCGTGGTCGTGAAGACTCGAGCCGATGCCGAGCCGTCGAGAGGATGGTCGAACCAGGATGGCTGACAGTGACCCGATCAACCTCTCACTTCCGCTGTCAATGTACGTCGTATACGTCGCACAGAATCCCAGTATATCCGCGGTTTCGGGCTCCCGAACAACATAATGCATGGCACAACCTTCTCGTACAAGTAGATATTGGAGGGTGAGTCGGTCGAGGTGAAACTGTCCCGGCAAGCATTCCAACCAGAGCTCATGAATGGCCGTGGAATCGCGGTAGGCATTCCATATCTCGACGGGCCAGGTCTTTGGGTGCGGCATCAAGCTATGGGCGTTTGGACCCGCTATCTGAGGGTGATAATTCACCCGGAATAAGAGGTCTGCTGCGGACTCCAGCGTATCAGAAGAGTAGCCTGGAAGTTGGATGACAGTAGGAAACGACGCCGCATCCAGTGGCCCTAGTTCCTGAATATTGCAACAAGCCGCGATGACCTGAAGTCGGTGTCCGCCAACAGTCCGTGCAATCCCGGAGAGTTCAACTTGAGATGGTTGTCCCTGGCAAGCCGGACCCGAGATCACAAAGATGACCACTGCGGCCCTTTTGATAAATGCCACGTGCGTACCTGTAATACCGCCACGGACCGTGTAAGGCACGTGGCGGATCCAGGGATGGTGCCTGGCAAGAGCCCTTCCCAGGGGCTCAAAGGGGTCACTTGTTATAGTAGGGCTCGACCTCGCGGGGGAAATCGGGGCAACCACTGGGGTTAAAAGGATTACCAGGTCCCCGTCTCGAAGATTCCTCGACAATGGAAGACACGACTGACTGTCTCGAATGAGCACAGCGCATATTTGTCCTGGGTTATCCATTCCAGGAGGAGCAGCAGTATTGAACACTGCCGGCATGTTGGGCCGCCCTACGCATTGCCCAGAGACTCAGTAAAGGCGTTAAAGTTAGAGAGTGTTTTTTGAATGTGATCAGTCAACGTAGGAGTGTGGGCAATGCGTAAGACTGGTTCAGCCTATCGGTGACCGTTTCGTCTGGCCGCACGGTTACCGCGGCCTCCTACCACTCTTCAAGTCAGGTTCTAGGATATTCGCATCTTTAACAGGATAAGACCAATTGCATTATTTCCCTCTCGAAAATGGTCCTGTCTGGCGCAGTGCTGTGTCGCATCAGATTGCACTCTTGTTCTCATAAACCAGACAGGGGCCAAACCGACCTTTCCAAGCAAAATCACACCCGATTACACGTACAGAGTTGAAGAGGTTTTGTCCAGAGAGCTCTGAGAGGTGTGAGATAATTTCTATTCTTGCTTTTTTTGTGTGCTTCTGTTCGGGGGGGCGGAAAAGTGAGACCGCAGAGCCAATGGCGGCGGCAGGAGATGAAGAGATCTGACAACCCGTGCCGGCAGTTGTCAAGGCTGAAGTAGTATCAGAGGAGAGCCAATATAGAGTTGTGATTATGTTATGAGCTACTCGGGTCGAGGTGAGTAGGAGGATGCATTGAGGAAGCTGCAAATTGGACAGATGCTCCCATAATATAACAGTCTCGTGGATGGCTATGGCAGCCCTGGTGGCAAAAAGGCAAATATAGATGCGAGCACTGACTCTCGTCTTCGTATGTTAGGGGACAGATGTGGGATGTGGGAGCAGCCTGGAAATGTAAGAGAATGCTGGTGCTGAACAGCCGACCAATAGACCAATACCCCGAAACTAAGGGGGTGCACTAGATGCGCATAATACACGCTTCCTAAGATACGAGGAGGGAGATAGGTTCTCAAGGTCCATGGATGGATGTGCTGGACAAGATGCCAACCAAGTCCCGTCCAAGGTGTGCATCTGAAAGCAACCTACTCAGGTTGTATGGAAAAATGCACCTCACGCACTGTGTCGAAGGCTATGATGCCATGCATCATAGGCCTCGGGATCTTGAGCGTTGGGAATAAACAAATAAGCCTGAGGACTTGCGGTTCGAGGGCGAGAGGGAACGATCTGGTTCTTGGAGGTGCTGGAAAACGAGCCTAGATTGGGCGATTTCCGCCCCCCTCGAAAGCTGACCGCGCAAGAGCCGTGCTGTATATCCCGCAACTTTGCAGACATGAGACGGCGCACGGAAGAGAACTGTTACACAGAACTGTTGCTGTGACAGCATCCGCATGCAGAGATAAAATGAAGGTGGTGGTACATTATTGGAGAGGAGGGGGGCAGGACGGCCGTTTCGGGTCATGTTCGCGGGAAAACAGACCCCCCCAGCTCAGGCCGCCCCCAGGGTCAGGACTGTCTTAGGGGCTCAGCATGGAGATGATTTAATCCACGAGACACGGGCGCGGGCTATACCCGGAGTTGAGAGGCGGGAACATCCGCGGGAACATCGCAGGGTGTCGATGATGCTATTTCATGTCAAACAAGGAGGACGGAGAATGGATATTAACGGCGCTGGCCTGGAAGGTATAACTTATGGAGAGCCATTGCGATATTGAGCAAGTAGAGAAGGAAGAGGTGGAAGGAGCGAGGCCGAGAAGTGATACCATGAACCTTTCCTAGAAGGAGAACACACGTTCTCGGTATGGAACATCCACTGGGCATCACATCCATCCCAGGTCCTATCTAGGTAGGTACTCTCCTACATAAATTAGGTAGGTAGGTAGGTACCCACAAATATTTGTAAATGTGTACGGTGTGGGGGGACTGTCCGGGAGGAGGCACCGGAAATCTGCCCCACTTCACGGCACGGTGAACAGACGCGTCGCGTTGCCAACCATCACCGTCTACCGGCTCCGTAATTGACACAACATCAACACGTGCATTGAGTTGCAACTACAGCCGTAATTATATTACATAGGCGGTACCCTTGGCACATGAGACGGCCGCCAACAAGACAAGATGCCTTCTTCAGTTGCATCTCTTACTTACGACGTTGAAGAAGGTGAGCTACCCGAATTGATTTAGAAGTTGCAGGCTTTGAGTTGCCTTTGAGGGGACAGACTGACACACTGAGAAAGCGTCCAAAGTACCCGCGAAGCGTCGCGGAGTGAGCATCAAGCCAACTGTAGAGGATTTGGCCTCTTCGCTCTACGAGGCTGGAGCCCTCCCTGACGAACTGACCCGACTGATCAACTTGATAACGAGGCCTAGCCATTTAGACCAGGCCACTCGAGGGGCGCTTATTCGGAATCTCTACCCAGCGACCAAGGTGCCCAAGGAGGCTCTTCTGAACGTGTTAGGCTGCCTGGGCCATGGCGAGCTCAAACCGTCTCTGCCAATCCAGGCCCTAGTCTTGAGGTGGCTGGTCTTGGTTTATAACGTTCTCGAAGAGCCCGGACTCCTCTCGCAGGCATATGCTGTACTTTTCAACCTCCTTGACACGGCTGCGTTAAGGCAAGCGATCAACGATAACCCTGGTTACTTCGTGTACTGACCGAATAGGTCTCAATTGTGCCACTTGCTGGCCCTTGTCACTCGCCGCAAGCATGTACGGCCATTCAGGATTCAAGCTGTGTGGGTTGACTCGGCCGTTCTTTCTTGCCCTTTTACGGAGAACTGCGCTGACCTGTAGTTAGGCTTGCATTGTCACGACAAACTGGTAGTGACGCATCATTAACCGGCCTGCTGAGGGTTTACAAAAATTACTATCCCGAGATTATCGTCGGAGAAGTGACGAAGGGCAGGGCATCAGCCTTCAAGGTCCGGTTCCTCCATATTCTAAGCTTTCCCAGATGCTGACTGAATAGTAGCACCCCGATCCCCAATGGCGATCGAGACTGGATGAAATCCAGGCGGAGCATCTGCTGAGGAGCCGACAAGAGCCAGGAGGCTCTCGGAACGCTTTCCGGGTGAACCACCTGCTGAGCAAGCAAATGAGAGGCCAAAGAGGCTCATCTATCCCTGCCGTCCATACGCTACACGCTCAAGAGGCATGTTGAGACTCCCCGCCCAGTACGTTCTGCAAGCTGACCATGCCAGGATTCCGTAACCCTAGAGGAAATTGACAGTGCCGAATCTTTCGTGCTCAACCTCGAGAAAATAGAATTGCCGAACCAGCTAGTAGCTGTGTTGGCAGATCCACTTCTCCAGAAACTCATGACCTTGAGAGCCAACCACGAGGACTATTCTCGTGTCAACAACTGGGTGGCAGCTTGCATCTTGGACGTAAGAAACGGAGATGCAGACGCCGAGTTGCTCCTAGACACGGTCGACGTCCTCCAAGATTACGTCTCAAATACACAGGTAGAGCCTCGCCCCATTCTCTTCCGCGGCGCTAAATCTGACGTGACGTGACAGGCCCTCCCCGAGGCATTGCTTCCCCTATTCAGCGAGCTGTTTAGAGTTTGGGACGGTGCCGACAAAAGGGATGTTGTGTTGGAAGTTCTGTCTTACACCCCCCTGATGCGATTTGACCGTGAGTTGGACCTCCCTCACTCTCTTCTTCTGCGACGGCGCTAATCAACCAAGCAAAAGAGCTATACGGAACGACGTTCCAACCGTTAGAGGCATGCCTACTCGATAACACAGCCGAATCGCAGCTTCGTCTGCTCTCCTTTTACACTGCATTACTCCGCAGGTGGAGGATCATTCTCCTCTCTGCTGAGGATGTATCGTCTCTAGAGGTTTCATCGGTATCAGATTTGGTCGGGCATGTCAACCAGCTCACCTTGACCCTGTCGCAGACATCGCCCACAGCATCGACCCATCTCTCAATCCTTGAATTCTACAACTATACAGCATCACTCACCATTGTCCCGAGTCTGCTGCAGCACCTGACTATCGCGATCCCCCCTCCTACTCTTGTGTACATCCTGCACTTCAGCCACTGTCTCGCGGTCGTCTCGCGCGCCTGCGCCACCGTGGCGACGTACAAGCGCGGTCTGGAGATGGCCATGACACAGTCGTCGGGCAGGCACCTCAGCCCCGCCGAGAGCGAGCGCGTCAGGACGTTCAACGGCTTCCTGATGGACATGTGCAACTGCATCTGGCGGTCCAAGGCCTTCGGCACGACCGACGTCAACGCCCAGGGCTGCCGCATCCCCGTCGCCGTCGTGACGTCTCTCCAGACCTACCTCGCCGGCGTCGATCCCGACACCCCCCTGGCATCGGCGTTCGGCGTGTCCCACTCGCCGGTGCTGTGCCTGCAGTCGCTCTCGTACGTGCGGGAGCTGGAGGACATGATCCTTGCCGAGATGGACGGCGACCTTCGCGAGCGCCACGGAGGGCCCGTGACGCTGAAATCCCTGGCAGCCCTGAAGAATAGGGGTGGGCTGGACCTGAGCTGGCAGGAGTACAGGTCCGGGGTTCTGAGGTACCTCGAGCAGAACGGGTTCGGGGGTGTTTCCAACTTGATGTACAATACGATGAAGATCCTGATGCATTCCAAGCCGTAGCGAGCAACAGAACACTCGACTTGTGGTGGCGGAGAAGAGGGAATGAGCAGGGCTAGTTGATGTTGAGGACATTGGGAGTCGTCTGTTGAATACATGCACTTCTCTACCAGCGTCCCCTACTTCCAGCCGCCATATTGGAGTCTGTTGACTTTCTGCGAGGTGAGCGCGACAAGAGTAAAAACCTGACGTTTTTTTCTTCTTTTTCGAAAACGAACCTCCCAGATGCCCACGTCACTCAGATTTGCATTCTAAATGGCCGATCTCAACGCCATGTTAAATGCCGCCTGGGTATCATGATGAAACGCCAATCCAATGCTTCTAATGTTGAATAACCCGTTGCTGAACCCATCAGGCCCTCATTTCCCCAACCGCTCCAACCCCTTTTGCTTGGACTCGTGGCCATAGCCACCCAGCCCCGACCCGAAACTGTACGTCTTCCCCTCGGGCCCCCTCCTGTTCTGGCTCCGCGGGCCCCTCTTCTGCAGGTCGTCCCTCAGCCAGGCCAGCACCAGCTCACCGAGGCGGCTGTTCCCCGAGGCGGCGAGGGCGCCGTCGCCGTCGACGCGGGCCAGCATCTCGCCGGCGGGCCCCCACTCCTTGACGGTGCCGAGGTGCATGTGCACGAGGTGCGTGGGCCAGCCCGCGAGGTTGTCGAGGACGTGCGTGGCGTACACGATGGTGCACTCGCGCACCTCCGTCTCGCGGCGCAGCCAGCCCAGGAACTGCGCGCGGCTCCACACGTCGAGGTCGACGGTGATCTCGTCGAGCAGCAGGACGGACCAGGGGCGCAGGAGGCCCATGGCGAGCTGGACGCGGCGGCGCTCGCCGTCCGAGACGGCGTGCATGCGCCACGCCGTGTCGACGTCCAGCACGGCGACCAGCTCGTCGCGGCGGTCAGGGAAAGCGTCGCCGCCCACGGACCGCAGCAGCTCGTCGACGCCGATGTCGGTGCGCACGATGGCGTTCAGCACCCACTCCAGACCCAGGTAGGTGACGCCCTCGAGGCCGTCCGCGAACGGGTCCGCGCCGGACACGCGGATCGCCCCACTCGGCGCCAGCCGCTTGCCCGCCAGCAGCCGCAGGAGTGTGGTCTTGCCCGCCCCGTTGGCGCCGACCAGGAGCGTGCGCGACCGCGGCGGCAGCGAGAGCGACACGTGGGAGACGCCGGTGGAGTAGTCCTGGAACGTGTAGGTCAGGTCGGTCACCTCAATGGATGGCGGTTTGGCGGTGCGGTTGACCATGGTGAAAGCTTGTTCTGGGAATATATGGGAAGTGGAGTTTTGATGGGGATTGGATGATGGAGGAATGAAGAAGGGTGATCAGTGAGGTATTAAATGCACCAGACTACTTGCGTATAACCCATAAGCCGATCTGGGGGACAGAAACTAATGCAGCGAAGATAGCGTGAATTACTGGCATCTGGGGTGATGTCCGCATGAGATGATGCAATCCACACATCTATCCAACAATGCTCTGTGGTGGGCCGCTTTACCAAGGCCCGGTTGATGCAGAGGTGGACCAATCAGAGAGGTTCCTTCTACATAGTAAATCAACTATATACGGATACAGCTTGATGACTTTGACCTGTCGACTGCTGGGACATTCTCAACGAATCTCTCAAGCATTTCGATCTCGGTCACGAAGTTGTCATGACCAAGTCAAACGGAATAGTCCGAGGAATCAACGGAGAGAATGGGACAGCGTAGAATGCAGCGAATCCCACCGAAGCAGAATAAATAGAGAATAGTATACAATACACAACCCCAAACAGCACGCCCAAAGCAAAACGCAGCGAGTTACTCATACATCATCCTCCCCTGCCAAGAACTTGATCAACTCCTCCGAGCAAATGCCATCAAACAAAAACTAGAACCCTGACCAGTCCCCTTCGAGAGTATAGAAGGGCGGATCCCCTCAAGATAACGCCGGCCGTGATATGCAATTGCCAAAAGGGCCACCCCTGGCCAGGCAGTTATTAAAAAGCAAGCAATACTTGAAAAATCCCGGTCCTCTCTTCGTTTTTCACCCTCCAAACCTCCTCTCTCAAACGTCTAGCCGCACAAAGACTTGCCTCGCCCGCCCGCCCGGCTCAAATCCATGAGTAGGGGCATCACCCGACGCACACCCACTCAGCAAACACGCACCACCTCGCCGTACGGTCCGCCAGCACCAGGCCGCGCCAAACCCCGCGCTCGGAGCACTTGATGATAGTCTCCCACGTGCCCCCGTCGCCGACCTCCTCGTCCCCCCCGCCGCCGCTGTTGCCGATCGCCGCGCCCCTCCTCTCCTCCTTGCGCATCAGCCGCAGGATCTTGCCCCCGGGCGTCTGCACCGCCAGCTTGGCCGGCTTCTTGCCGCCGCTCCCACTACCGCTCGTCGCCGTGCTGGGGTTCGAGCACGCCGCGCTCGAGCTCGTCATGCTCATGGCGCTGCCGGGCCGCACAAACGGGATCGGGCTGGCCCCGCCCGGGTTGGACGACGGCGTCATCGGTGACCCGGCGGCGCCTGCTGCTGCTGCTGCCAGCGCGCTGCTGGGGTGTTGGCGGATGACGAACACGAACGTGTTGTTCAGGGCCAGGCGCTGGCACTGCGGCTGCACCACGTAGATGTCGTGGCGCTGGGCGTGGGGCGTCGGGTGGCGCGTGACGAATTCGTACGCCGGGTTCTCGCCCGAGTGGATCACGGGCAGCGCAAAGGCCAGCGGGTGCGGTATGTCCTTGATGCTGTGCATGAGGCCGCGCTTCCCGGCGTAGACCTTTAGGATGCCCGTTCCCTCGTCGCCTGGCAGCAGCGCCTTGACAGTGTATCGTTTTACTCCGCCGAACCACTCTGCCTGTGCGAGGGCGCGCTTCCGCACCACGTCTCCCGACTCGAAGAAGTCCCCGTCGGGATCTCGCGTGTACGCGCGCACTTCGACCTCGGCGGCCACCTCGACGTCGGGTGGCACGTTGAACTTGATGTGGACCATCTCTAGGTCCTCGATCCGGGTTAACGAGGTGTTGTAGTCGGCCATTTCGAGGCCGTTTTTGAAGTAAGGGGGACACGCGCAGGGCAGGTTCAGCAAAATCTCGTGGGCGACTGGTGGGCAGATGTGCTGTTGGGCATGATGCTCGGGTATGTGTGTCCAGCATATCTCTGTCGGCCGGGCGAGGAACCACCATGGATCGGCGGTAGAGCTGCCCATGCTCGAGTACAGTCCGCGGCGGGGATTCGAAGGGCTCGCCAGACAGCAGTCCATCATCCGCCACTCGTTGTCGACCAAGACGGCGTTCCACCAGTGGTTAGACCTGGGCATAATGCCCGTCTCTGGTATTTCCCCCGGCGTCTTCAGATAACCGCGGACGATCTCGCACTGCAGACCCACAGCGGCACACATTTCGAGGACGAGCATGGCGTACTCCTCGCAGCACGCCCGTTTCGTCTGGATCACTCTCCGAGTGTCGATTTCGCCCTCAAAGTCCTCCTCCCAGCAGATCTTCTCGGCCACCCACGTGAAGATGGCTCGCAGCCGCTGCACATCACTGCGGTAGGGGCGGCAGACGTACGTCGATGCCAATGTTATCGCCGTGGTCATGGGCGGAAGACTCGCTACGAAACGTGAGTTCTTATCCACCTGGCTGAGGTTGATGTTGAAGTAGTTGGTCGGTTCGGGCACGGGCATTCCATCCGCACCCTCGTCGCCGTCGATGCTCGAGTATAGCTCATCCACCGGCTCGATGGCAGGGTAATCCAACATCTGACACCGGTCTCTTCGTTCAAGGCGCTCGTTCCGGCTTAGCGAATTCGATCGATTCACATCGCGTCGCACCTGGACCCAATCGATACCGCCATTCAGGCCCATGTCTCTAGCAGCATCTCGGTTCTGCAATGCCGCAGGGTGGCCGCCCGATATACCCGTCACGCTGTTGGACATGGCCGATCGAGTCGTGGATGATGGATTGATGGATCCTGCACCAGCGGTCGCGATACTACCGCGGCTGCTAGCCACGCCGGTCTTTGCAGATTCCAGGATCCTCTTGATGAAGTTCTGCTTCTTCGCCCTCGGCTGGACAAGGCCTCCTAAACCGCTGATCGAATCGTCGTGAAACCCTATTTGTGATCTTGACCGTGGGTCTCCAGATGCATGGCTGCTATGATAGGTGACTCCTGTGAAGGGCGTCTCGGGTCGATCGACATCTAGTTCCCGCATGCCCAATGCGCTCTGTGCCCTACCCTGGTTCTTTCGTGCGAGACTGTTTGCACTGGTCGCGCTGATTCCTCCTGCCGAAGTCCCGCTCATGAGGCTCCGATCAGTACTCTGTGTTGTGGTGCTGCGATTACCGGAGGAAGTGCTCGTCGAATTTGTCTTGTTCGTAAAGGTCCGGCCGAGCATCTGTCGCCCGACTTCATACGCCGATTTCTTGTGCCGTAGCTTTCTCTCGGGTTGGCCGTGCACGTCTATCGATGACTTCGGCCTGTCGTACAGAGAATTCTTCGGAGGTGGCGGCGGGCCATCGTCCACGCCCACGCCCACAACGCTGGAATTGTGTTGATGCATGCTCCTCAACCTTGTTTCCATACGCTCGACATAGTTGCTTAGCTGAGGGAGTGGCTGCTCTCTGTCAACATAGCCACTCTGGTGGGTCTGATCTCTCGATGAACTGCCGCTACCACTATATGTCTCATAGCCCTCGTCTGGATGTTGAGCTATGCCCATCGACGTCTGTGGCCGAAGGTGTTCTCGTTTCTTACGAGAGCTGTGATGAAGCATGTCAAAGGACTCAGGCGACCATGGGTCGAAAGGCGGTTCCGGCGATTCCGTCTCGCGGGGGACGCCCAGCGCGTCCAATTGCTCCATCACATCATCCATCGCCTCTCTAAGTGGCGACGGTGTTAATCCTTCTGCTGCGCCGGGAGACGGCGGGGATGGCGATGGCATTCGGGGGGTATGGTACCCCGTTGACCGGTGGTCGTACGAGGCACCAGAGTTGTGGCGGGACATATGTTCCGGTACGCGATTGTCGTACGAGGCATTCGAGTTGTGGCGGGAGATGTGCTCGGGTACACGATTGTCATACGAGGCATTGGAACCGTGCCTAGAGGTGAGAGCGTGGCGATGTGGCGGAGGTAGAGGGGGAGGTGAATCAGGGTCGTCCATGTTTTGTTGGTACCTCTGTTGTGGTGGTTGGTGTGGCGGTTGGTGTTGCTGCTGCTGTTGGCGTCGATGATCTTCGACGCTCTGCCGGTATTGTTGTTGGTAGTTAAACGAGGGGGCAGGCGACGGTGCTCGCGAGCCATAACCGTGGACCTGAGGTGGAGAAGGGACACGATCAATTGCCTCGGGGGCATTCTTGAACGAAATCGACGAGTTATTTCTTGTCCTCACAGGACTCTCTTTGTAGGTCTCGGGAACTTTGGCCGTCGTATAATGCGGTGCCTTGGCATACGCCTCGAATGGTTTGCGAAACGTCCTGGATTTCTGGGGGGTATTCTTCGGACTCGGCGTATTGCTGTTCGGCAATGGGCTTGTTGACCTGCTCATCGGCCTGAAGTTCTCGGGCAAGACCTCGACGAAATTGGAGGGGAAAACTCCAATCATCCTCCTGTCGCGCCATAGCCTGCCAGTCCACCACGAACCATCGCCGGCATTCAGACATTCTATTAGGTCGCCCTCGACGAATCCCAGGTCTCGTTTGGACTGAAGACACGTCAATTCTCTGCCATTCTGCAAGACAAGGGGGACACAGAAACAGCGCCAAATAAACAAGAACTTACCTCTCCTCCCCAGGAATATACGGCTCTGACCCAGCACGGAAACCGCGTCGGGAGAGGCGGTGGTGCTAGGGCCATGTCGATGGGATCTGACGCGCCGTACGTATACAAAGTAGCGAGTGTCTGCGAGTCGAGAAGCGATTCAATCAAGCCGTTGTGATATTCGAGCTCTCGCCGTTCAAGAGGGCGCCAGGCCAATTCCTCGTGGGCATTGAGTTGGTGGTGCTGTAAATAAAAAGAGGCCCACACAAGGCATTGACAGACAGCACCCCAGAAGGACGGGAAAAAACACAGTCTAGGCAATATACGACTCGGTATCACTTGTATCCTGCAAACAGAGTAAATTTCCAAAAGCAGATCAAAGACGAGACCCAAGCAATAGATGGTCGACTATAGAGTCGTTAGTTGGACGACAAGCATTTGTCGGTCAAGCCCAAGACAATTCGCTGAATCTTTGGCGGCCCAAGCTTGAGACCCCGAGTCGGTTGGTAGGGCAACGGGCGAGCAGCCCCACTTGCCCAATGAGGATGTACCTGCCATGATGCGACGTCATAACGTGGTTTATTAAGCACCTATGTATCTTGGGTGAAAGGGCTTTGCTTCATCTAATCCAGCCTTTTGCTTTATAGTGATGTTGCGATTAGTTAGAGTTTCGAGTTGGTCTAGCCTCGATGAATTACTACAAACCTAGGTGCTTTGTTCAATTTACACAACTGTTGTACGGCAGGGTATGCCTAGTGACTGAGGCTCTTCCTCGGGGCAACCTGTCACAGCGGAACACAAACATGCGTCCCTCACATGTAAATCGTCCATTTCATTCGACCAAAAACTCTGGGTTTTTCCACTTGAGTTGTTTCTTCCACGGAAATGGCAGCCAAAGCTGAGCAATGTCTCCTATGGCTTCAAGCTTGCCATGAGAAGCACGTCCACAACGATCAACACTTCAATCCTTGCCCGAAAGTTGCGAAACTATTTGCTCAAGCAGCAGCAGATAAGTTGACTGATGAGCAGTTTGAGCAACTCGGCCGATTCCTCAAAGACCCTCGTGCCGCAGGTGGAGGCGGCCCACAACTAAACGAAACACTGACGGAGCGTCTCGAAAGATTATACGCGAAGGAAGTTGGGCTGTCTGGAGCGAGTCGAGAAAGACTCGCCGCGCCTGGAGGTCCTGCAGACGCGTCCCTGGGAATAATATTACATACGCAAACGAAAGATGGTCTGCTGGTGCTCGGATCTTGGTGGGATCCGGAAAGCAAGACCATTAAGTTGCTCGTGGAGAAGGGGATGAAGGGAGAGTTCACTTTCGAGTTCGACTGGCACTGGAGAGCCGAGGAGACGTTCGGTGGCAACTGCCACACCAGCCAATGGGATAAGAAGCTCCGCAGCCTGCGCGACCAATTGTCTGCCGATTTGCTAGAGATCTTGCCTCTACCATTTGTCGTGACGGGTTCAGCATGCACCCGAAAAAGCCTAAAGAAGACTCTACATGCCAAAACTTCATCTTTGAGAATTGATTTGGGAATGCCGGAGGCTGCTCTGGACTTTGATCTCGATTTTCAAGAGGACGGTTTGCGCCGTATCATTGTCCATGTCCCTCATCCGACAGGGGGATTCTACCGGTTTGACGACAAAAAAACCGGACAGGCCCTCCAGCTTGATGGAGGAATTGACTTCTTCCTCTGGCTGGCTGGAAGAGAGTGGGCTCCAGATACCTTCAGCCGCCACTACACAGGCAGGACTTACTACAGGGGCAGGACTTCTCGCAATGCATCATTAGGTGAACTCTGGGCATATGTTAGGAGAGAAAAAATCGAGAGAAGAATCCTTCGCTTAGACGAGTATGGAATGAGTTTCTCGGTTGGGCAGGACGATATACAAGAAAAGATCCCGCAGTCGTTCTGGCTTCAGGAGATTCAATTGCCGCTGCCGCCTCCTTGTTGATACGGCAGAAGATAAGCAACTCTCAGCTGGAGGTACAGAGGAGAAAGCGCGAGGAAAGGGCCGCTATGGACCTCGAGGAAACGGATCTCGACTCAGCTGTTGGGTTCCAAACTTTCCACGGGGGTACTATCACGGTGCGAAAGGTTGGCCGGATTCTGGTCGATGGGTCACCATTGTCTTTTGCCATTGAGCGAGACAAGGCGAGAAAGATCTTGGATCTTAGAGGGGTCCCAAGAATTGGGTTTTTGCTTGACAACATTGAGCTGAGTGTGGATGATACAGTCGTGTATAAAAGCCCGTACCACGACTTGTTAACTCAACGTCAGGTGTGGCCTGGCTTGCTCAAATCACCTATGAGCTAGAGATACTAGGGGTCACGACCGAATCAAGCCTGCCATCAGCAAATTCAGCAGGTCCCGTCATCAACCAGCTTGTGCCAGCGCCGCGCACTGATCCCGTCGTCAACCAGCTTGTGCCAGCGCCGCGCACTGGTCCCGTCATCAACCAGCTTGTGCCAGCGCCGCGCACTGGTCCCGTCGGGGGTCGGTGGATCAACGCAGAAGTCAGGAAAAGTCTTCTGGAAGGAGGCTTGTTTCACTGTGTCCAATCGAATACACATCATCTGCATCAGAAGGTATACGTCGGAGGTATCAGCTTTCCTGTACCTAAGGAGGCCGATGCTAAGACCATCTTTATCAAATGCTTCCTTACCGACGAAGGTACGGAGCACCCTGACCAATGTGTCAAGGCTGGGAGTCAAGTGGATGATCCTGCGCGGCGTCTAGGGGTCCTGATGGAGTATAGGACTACGAAACTGGTGAGGGAAAGAAGGCCTGGGTAAAGTTCAGAGGGGGCCAGACTTTCAAGAAATTGAACTCGCTAGTAGATTTCTTGGAAGGTAAGGACGAGACCTGGACGGAAAACCAGCCTCGACGATTTCTCGACAAGTGCCCGGCTAAGCAAAGATATCAACCGACCTATACAAGCTAGTGGTTGAAAGAGCAAGAATGAGGGTATATCCGTAGTGATGGCCATGAGCAGTGCGTTTGGTCTTGAACGTTCTAAGATCCACCATGCTAAAGCCTTCCCGCCACCCGCCCCCCGCTCCTCTATAGGCCGCTGGAGCCGCAGGTAGCTCCTGCTGGTAATTACCTATGCGCTATCATGTACGCTACGATTTTTGGAAGGGTTTTTGCTGCGAGTGCCTGCCGGGCTGCCGGGAATTCTGACGGCACCACCACTCAACTTACACGCTAGGCAATGGAATTGAACGCTGCGCTGCCAATGGAATTGAATGCTGCGCTGGTGGTTGAATTGAACGTTGGGCGATTGAATTGAAGACTGAGTGGGCGGTTGAGTTAAACGCTGTGTCGGCAGCGCTAGGCTACCGGGCGCTACCAGCTAGACAATTGAACTGAACGTCAGGCGATTGAATTAAACGCCAGGATTGAACGCTGCGTAGGCGATTGAATTGAACATTGCCTAGGCAATTAATTAAACGCAATTGCCTACATGTAGGTTAAGTGGTGCACCACCAGTGTTCAGTTCAATCGCCTAGCTAGTAGCCTAACGCCCAACATTCAATTCCATCGCTGGCTCAGCGTTTAATTCTATCGCCAGTGCAGTGTTCAATTCCATCGCCTGGCCGGTGGCCCAGCGCCTGGCGTTCAATTGGGCTGCGGCAGGACAACCGTCAAAAGGCCTGGCGGCCCGGCGGCACCTGTAGCGCACAGACCCCAGGCACGAACATGTTGCCTAGGCACGCGCAGCAAAACCCTTTTGGAGGGAAAACTTGTGGTTTCTATTGTAACTTTTTCCTATGTGCAATTCTTCGTCCCTGGGTAGGAGATTAAAAAAATAAAAATAAAAAAAAGGTAACACCCGATATGAGACTCGAACTCATAACCTATAGATTAAAAGTCTATCGCGCTAACCAATTGTGCCAATCGGGTTGATTGACAGTCATTTCGCTAATGATTGTAATATAGTATCTAGCTACGCAAGCGGCAGAAAAAATCAAGTGGCTATGGGCAACTCGTCAGGTCTAAAAATCGACTTCTGAGTTGGGTGGGGCCTTGCGGCACCAACGTCAGGGACATCTACCACAGTATTTGCAAAATCCAAGGGTACCTGGGAACCCCACCAAGACACACTAAAATTGAAAGTACTTTACGCTTCTTGCATTTCATAATCTAACTGCATAATATTTTCAACACTTTAGACGCGAAGAACCATCTCCACGGTATCCTTGGACATATGTGAGTACAAGAAGGCGTTGAAGCTCTCTAGAAGGTAGGTAGTGAATTGCTGGTGAATTTCTGAGTTACTCTAGGATCTCCTGGCTCCGCATTGCTGGTGCCACCGTAAAGGTACGGCTTCATCAACTTCTTTGCGTAAGTTTCCAGGGCATACGCATGTCTGAAAAGATGATGATCTTGTCGTCGGCCTATTGTGGTAGCCAGGCCTTAGCGGGAGGGTGGTAAAGTCTCGATTCCCCTTAGGCTGGAAGTACCCCGAGGCCAAGTCTACGACTAACGCTGCGCGGCGTTGTTAGTTATGAAGTTGAGGTAGCAGCGGTCGCCTTCCGTCTTGAAGGCATCGTGAATGCCAGTTGGCGTATTTAGAAAATGGGTTGCATTTCGCGACGGTCAATATTTGAGGACATACAAGAAGATGAGAGGCTAGCTGTGCTGATTAGTCGCCACGATATGCGCTTGATGAATGAAGTGACGGGGGAACGTTCAAGATGATGGCCAGATTCGGCTAATGCGAAGTTTCAGGAACTAATAATAAAGCGGCTAGATACCTGCCTGCCTGCCTACTAAGTAGTACCTGGTTGCCGCTGACATGCCGGCGTTACGTAGCTGCACAAATCGGCGCTGCGCTACAACCTCAGCGGCAGTGGGTGTGCTCTGACCGACATGGCGCATGCATGGCGAACCTAGATGTCTTTTCATTCTATGTTCTATCTCCTCCGTGGTCATCCTGACACCTGGAACCCAGCTTCTGTGTCCCAATTTCTCTCCTCGAGGTGGCGTGCCTCTCTCCGACGAAAAGTGCTGGCATAGTCCATCTAATACGTTGAACCCTGTCAAGTACGGAGATGTGCCCCGCCGGAAATGTACTTATCGGGACTGGTTTGGGGCGCCCGGGCAACCAGCGACGCTTTTTGGGGTAAACAAAGGGCCCAAGCTTCTTCGCACCTTGACAACCAGCTCCCAGCAACGAGTAAGGTTGGATTAACAACCCCATTGCCAAAAAGAAGCCCATTCCATTTAGACCCAGATTTCACAGTCAATCTGACCTGTATTTCCACTTCCCCGAATCCCTTAATTCCTCTTGTTGCGCCTTCGAGGGCTAGCTGTCTGCCGTCGCATACTCATCCCCATTTCCCACTCTTCCTGTTGGCAGGCAGGCAGGAAACGCCCCAGCGCTTGAAGACGCATCAGCATGGCAGACGAAGGTGTAGCCAGCCACTACCAAGTACTGGAGGAGCTTGGCCGTAAGTGCTCTACGTCTATGAGTCTGCATCACACAAACAGGATTCCCTAACCAACCCTCACCTCGCAGGTGGCAGCTTTGGGGTTGTCTACAAAGCAATTGATAAAGCAACTGGAGAGACTGTTGCTATCAAGCATGTAAGTCCACCGATGTGGGCCCCAAGTAATACATATGAGGCACTAGACTAACAGAAGGGCCACTTACAGATCGACCTCGAATCGAGCGAAGACGACATCCAAGAAATCCAACAGGAGATCTCTGTGCTAAGCACCTGTGCCAGCTCCTTCGTGACCCAGTACAAGGCAAGCTTCTTGCGAGGACACAAGCTATGGATTGTCATGGAGTTTCTCGGAGGCGGCTCCTGCCTCGACCTGGTAACTATTCCTAGTCTACTAACGGTTGTCTCACATGCTTACGGGGATCTAGTTGAAACCCGGCAACTTCAACGAGGGGCACATCGCCGTCATCTGTCGGGAATTACTCCGCGGACTCGAGTACCTACATGCCGAGGGGAAGATTCATCGGGATATCAAGGCGGCAAACGTGTTGCTCTCCGAGACGGGCAAGGTCAAACTGGCCGACTTCGGCGTCGCGGCCCAATTGACGAACATCAAATCGCAGCGTAACACTTTCGTCGGAACCCCATTCTGGATGGCCCCGGAGGTCATACAGCAGGCCGGGTACGACTTCAAGGCCGACATCTGGTCGCTGGGGATCACAGCCATCGAGTTGGCGCTGGGCGAGCCGCCGCATGCGAACACGCATCCGATGAAGGTCTTGTTCCAAATCCCGAAGAACCCTCCACCCCGGCTGGAAGGAAACTTCAGCAGGGAGTTCAGGGACTTTGTTGCCCAATGCTTGGTGAAGGATGCCGATCGCAGGCCGTCGGCAAAGGATCTGCTGAGGAGCAAATTTATACGGTCAGCTGGAAAGGTGGAAGCACTGCAAGAGCTCATTGAGCGCAAGCAAATGTGGGATGCGAACCAGAACCGAGCGAAGCACCCAGTCTTCTATCAAGAGACGCTACATAACATCTCCCCGAAGGATGAGGCGGACGAGTGGGTGTTTGACACGGTCAAGTCGGTTGTTCCGAAGAGGGGTACCATCAAGTCGAGGAAGCCGTCATCGATATTTTCGGTCGAGGATGCAATGCGGAAGCTCGATGTCAAGGACGGCCCGCTGCAGCCATCGACCCCTGGCACCGTCCGAAAATCCACGGTCCGACGCCAGCCATCATCTAGGGCACTGCAGAGCTCCATTCGTCACGCCTCGACCGGGTCACCGTCGCGATCCTCCATCGGTCCGAAGCGCCCACTGCAGCCCGACATGTCGTTTGGAAACTCGGGCTCTACTATGAGGCTCTTTCGCCGAGTGCCATCTGACAGCTCTACCACGGGACAACTGGGAGGCACTTGCGACGACTCCAATACCAAGGAGAACCGCCCGCTATCTGTCATGGCTAGTCCCGTGGAGCCGACAAGCAAAGAAGCCCTGCTCGGCCGTCGGCTGTATAATAAAGCCCTCGAGCCTACTCTCGTCGAGCTTCACGCACAGACTGCTGCTTCCCAGAAGCGTGAGGCCCTGGCGAACCTCACAGATGCCTTTGCCCTTCTGGATTCGGTGGATCCTGAAGGCAGCTATCACTTGCTCCAGAACCTTGTCGCAGCCGTCTCTCAGGATAAGAAGCTCAACGGCGCCTTTCTGAGGCAGCTGCCGTCGACTTTGTCGAAGACACCCCTGGATGGTACACCGCAGGGAACTGTCGTGATCAAGAGCCAGGCAGCAGCAGCACCGTCTGCGCTGAGTCCGACAAAGCTCGTGCTCAGCACGGCCAACCCGCACCTGCGAAGCCATCGGAAACGCCAGGGGAGCTTTGCGCCGGACGGCAGCGGACTTGAAAGGTCGGTCGAGAGGGAGCGGGATCGCGAGAAGATGGCCCTCGAGGCGCAGTATCCCGGCCGGGACGCGGTTCCCGGGATGGAGCACTGCCAGCAGCTTTCGGACGTGCTCTATGCCAGATGGGCCAACGGCCTGCGCCACCGATGGGGGGCCATTACTGGCGCTTAAGGGCTTGGGCGGGCCTAGTGGTGAGACCCGCAATGGCTATTCTTGCCGATAATGCGGCGGAGGAGGGGAATATATGTTGTTTCTGCCGGATGGGGAAACATATCGACGGAGAGTGACGAGGGACGGGCATCTCGTGGGGATCATCGACCAAGCTCATGTCTCTGGCAACCTGCTTACCAGATCCCGGATCGGCATTGCTGTTGAAGACAACTCTTGTTCCAGTTCACTCATGACTTTACGAGATCTAACGGCTTTTGCAGCGACCCAGCCAGACCTTGTTCATCGGACACGCATGCATTACAAAGGCGTTTTTGTCGTTTTAGATAAGTAGACCTACAACCTAATTAATGTATGCATATTGTACCATAAAAACCGTTGTTCTTGGTGTATCCCATCGTAATGAACTAGGGAATGCTGGTAGTATAAATTGTACTACCTGGGGGAGGAGGCTATAGTCAAGGTTACTAGTCAAGGTGAGGTGGTCAGGACGCAGGATAGGGGTAGAGATTGAGGGTTAGGGTTGTATGGGTAAACTGCTGGTCTGTGCGTGTCCAGAAAATTTACCATGAAGGGATCTGGAACTTGACTAGGGAAGTCATCAGTTTGCCATTGACCAGTATCTAACTCGCCCTGCAATGGCTGGATTGTGCAAAGCACCCCGGGCGCTTAGAGGCCTTCCGGCCTTCCAGTTCTCGCGACAAGCATCGCAAATATGTTTCCGGAGAAGCGCCTCGACAGGTGCTGCTGAAGCTTCGTCACAAGCAGCAGATCTCGCCGAATTGGAGATCGACTCTAGTCTGGGGGCCGCGGAGCCTAGCCCAGAGACGAAGGAAGCCTACAAGCCATGGAAACGTACGGCGCAGAGGAATCGCAACCTCCCTAGCAGCAGGTATGAAGGAGGCAGGACGTCCGATTGAGATCGGCCTGTTATCTAACATCGCGGTCGCTCCAGATACCAGTACCATCCCCCGAAGTACAATCGCGGCCCACTGCATCCCGTCCAGTCGCCGCCGTCCTCCGACCCCGTCGCGCGAGACTTCGTCCCCGGCCCATTCAACCTGCCGAGGCTGAAGCAGACCTTCCAGTCGACCGTCGCCCCGGACATGATGACGCTCGCGTACCTCCACAAGCCGCCGGGCACGGAGCAGGCCGAGGCGGCCGAGCGGCTGCGCGGGTGGGACGACTCGTCGCCGTACCACAAGAACCGCGCAAGGCGGGGGCCGCGCGGAAACGCGGTCCTGCGGCCCCTCGAGAGGGACATCACGTTCCAGCACATCCCCGAGATCAAGGAGGTCACCCTGGCGACGTACGTGCCCCGGGCGGCGAAGGAGGAGGACCACCTGCTCGTCGCGCGCACGATGCTCATGGCCATCACGGGGACGACTCCCGAGATCACAAAGCAGAGGACGAACGTGGCGCAGTGGGGCGTCCAGAAGGGCAAGAAGGTCGGCGTCAAGGCGACGGTCCACGGGAACGCGGCGTACGAGTTCTTGGACCGGTGCATACACCTCGTCTTCCCCAGGATCAAGGAGTGGAAGGGCATCAGCGGTAAGTGCGGCTGGGCGGGGGGATAAATACATGGTTGTTGTCCTCGTTTGTCCTCGTTTGGCTGACACTGTTTTAGGGAGCACCGGAGACAGCTCGGGGAACCTCTCCTGGGGCTTCAATCCCGAGGACATGGCGTTGTTTCCAGAGATTGAGGTCAATTACAATGTGAGTGTTCTTGACAATATGGTGTAATTCTACTCATGCTAACGTTGCCATAGATGTATCCGTCGAAGGTAACTCCCCTCGCCATCAAAACCGCCCCAACCTACCCCTTTCTCTCCAATACTGACCAACACAAAATAGATGTTGCCTGGATGCCGAGTTTTCGTAAAGACTACCGCCACGTCCGACAGGCAGGCCAGGTTGCTGCTCCAGGGGATGGGGATACCGTTCCATGGCGAGCTGCGGAATTAGGAGAGGAAGCTGTCTGAACCACGGCACATAACTGTACCATATATTGTATACCGAATAAGACAACGTCTAGAACGAGGGTAGATACCCTTCCTCATCACAAGAACCATGTACAATCAAGCATATCGAAGGGTAATCATGCCCGAATCTTCTTCTTTCCCCGTTTTCCGTATCCCATCGCGAGCCGTCTATGTCCCAAGGAAGATGCGCCCCCTCCCCTTGCCCGAACCATGAACGCCCAACATGCAAGTATGCAAGTATGCAACCTCCCCCTCTCTCTTTCCAAGCAGGAAAACGGAAAACTCATACCGGCGCCGTAGCAGCAGCAGCAGTAGCCGGCCGCCGCTCCCTCAACCTCTCGATGATCTCGTCGACGGCATCCATGTTGGTGGCGTCGACCTTCTCGCCGCTGTGGGCGCCGTGCCTCGCGAGCTCCTCGGCGGCGGCGTCCATGGCGGGCTGGTAGTTGCGCACGGCGGAGCTGAGGGCGTAGACGGCCTTCCTGCGCACGGGCTCCGAGTCCGGGTCGGCGGCGTGGTCGGCGGCGACGGCGAGGCGGACGAGGGGCGGGATGCCGCCCATGGCCAGCAGGCGCTCCTGGCTGGGGCTGTTGTTCTGGACGGCGGTGCCGACGCACCAGGCGGCCATGCGGCGCAGGTCGCGCTCGTCGTGCTCGAGGAGCAGGATCAGGGGCGCCCACAGGGACAGCGGGCCAAGGTTGTTGGCGTTGTCGAGGCTCTCGATCAGCTGCTCGAAGTTGTCGAAGGCTATCATCTTGTTCTCCAGGCTGATGGACGGGTCCGTGTCGGTGATGACCGACATGGCGGCCCGCATCAGCTCGGCGTCGCTCGGGCCGCCCATCAGCGCGGCTAGGGCCTCTCGGTTGAGGGTTCGCTCCGGTGCTGGAGCTTCTTCAGAGCCTTCGTTGGGGGCTGTGCCGTTGGCCGCCGCGGTGTTCTCGATGCTCCATTTGAGGAGCTCGCTCATGCCCCGGTCCATGATGCCGGTTTTGGGGAGGTCGTGGAAACTGTGTGCCTCTTGGTGTTGTTGATTTGGGTGGGTTTTGGTAGTTTACGGTCTTGGAGAGTGCATTGGTAAAATCTAGGTATCTCACAATTACTTATTTGACCTGCAGTTTTGGTATCTAGCATGCTTCTCAGCGAATGCAACGTCGCGAATGTTCGGGAAAATTCCAAATTCCATCTCGAAAGTGGCTTAGAAAGCTGCGCACGTGATAAACGGCTTCCTAACCACCCTCTACCTGTGGTAGCTGTTGCTCCCCAGTCTGCTTTCAGAGAGTTTCATGCTCTTGTAATGTTATTAGTATATTTATCTTTAAGTTCTTCATGTTTAAGTAATGGCAGCCCACGACATTAGCTGAATCCTCGCAGAATCATGATATCCTCGAGTCCCTCTTGGGTCTTTCTGGTCCTGTGATCCCGCGCCACGTGCCATCCCAAGGAATGGTCTGTGCTCTTCTTGCCCCTCCACGCTGCCCCACCTGCCCCTCATTGTTGCTCTTTTTGTCTTGGTTCTGTTTGGACAGGAAATATCCGTAAGGCGCCAATTAATAGCTGGAGATGAAGGTCGATAGGAGGGAAGGGGAACCGGATTATTGTTGCTGTATCCAAGACCACGGGTCCAAGGTATGCACAGTTTCCATGTCGAAGCTGAACATTCCTGTGTATAGATGGGCTTCTGTTTATGTGTAAACCTGGCTGGATGCATCGTCAAGGCTAGCTTGCAGTCAGCTGCATCGAAAATATACCAGCTTGCCACCAAGGCGGTATTAATATCCATCTATCTGTCATATAGGTACCTAGACATGCCATCCATTGCGGGATGTGGTCTGTGTCCGATCTTAAAGCATGATAAGAAACCTCAAACATATTGGAGGACGCATATGGGAGACTATGGTGCTGAAGAATTCGACTGCCTGCTTGGCAGCTACTATGTGTCCAACATGATGACAGCTTGCGAGTCGGGGCCTACGTCAGCAGGAGCTGACTTTGATACTGTGCAAATAAACCACTCAAGGTAGAAGGCATCCTTTATCCAAGTGCCGCCACATCACAGTCAGGCGCATACAGTTGGTGTGTGATGGTTGCATGATGCTTGACAATGTTGCTGCCTCAGAGTGAAAAATATGTGAGCCTAGAGATATGCTATTGCCTTGCTTTGCCAAGAGGTCAGCCCGACAAGTTCCCCAGGGGTCCGGCAGCTCCAGCCACTGTGAGTTACGACGCAGTGGCCACAGCTTGGCCAGTTCCCCCCACCCAACCTCTCATTTTCTGTGCAGAAAGAAAGTGTTAAAGGGACAGGGCAAGAGGATCCCTTGTTTCTGGCCTAAATAGGCGGTCTCGCCTACCCACTGTTCCCACAATTCCGGCCTATTGTGACATCGTCGCACCGACCCGGCTTTCCTCCTCAACAACCACTGCACCCGCACCCTCTTCCAACGTCAACCCCAGCTCTGACCTTGACCATAAATCCACCTCTCCTTTTCCACTCTCTCCCCATCATCACCTCCACCACCAAAATTTTGTGCCTCCGCACTCCTCTGCCGACACTCACTCGCTCGATCTGGGAATCGCGCCGAGTTTGCCATTAATCTTCTCACTCATATTCCTTTTTTTCTCGATCTTATCTTGATCCGTTTCTCCAACACTCCATAATCCATCAATCACCATGGAGGGTATGTTGCATATTTGCCTCCCATCTGACTTCTGAATGCCCCTTCGGACCCAGCGCACTCCATGACCAAAATTTTTCTCGGATGAGTAGTCGCTGATTGATTTCCCGATGTACAGAAGAAGTTGCTGCCCTCGTTATCGACAATGGGTAAGCTTCCCTCGGATTTCAATCTCACCGACCTTCCCCCGCTCCTGCTAGCAGTTTGCGGGTCGCCGACTCCCAACTGTCACAGCCTCCACACAACACACGATATCTTGATTTAATCAAAATCATGTCCATTCTTCTAACTTGGATATAGTTCGGGCATGTGCAAGGCCGGGTTTGCTGGTGACGATGCTCCGCGAGCTGTCTTCCGTAAGTCCAACCACCCCGAAAATACTCCGCCCCCCCCCCCCCCCCCAAAACTCGGGGCGAGTTCTCAGTGATAAGCCGTAATGAAAACCCCTGACATCTCAACCAGCATCTATTGTCGGGCGTCCTCGTCACCATGGGTTAGTACATCCCAACTTGCGGGCAAAATAGCGGTAAATCGCCTGATGGGAGGCTGACATGGCTTGTAGCATCATGATCGGTATGGGCCAGAAGGACTCGTATGTCGGCGATGAGGCACAGTCCAAGCGTGGTATCCTCACCCTCCGATACCCCATCGAGCACGGTGTTGTCACCAACTGGGACGATATGGAGAAGATCTGGCACCACACCTTCTACAACGAGCTCCGTGTTGCTCCCGAGGAACACCCGGTTCTGTTGACCGAGGCTCCCATCAACCCCAAGAGCAACCGTGAGAAGATGACGCAGATCGTCTTCGAGACCTTCAATGCCCCGGCCTTCTACGTCTCCATCCAGGCCGTCCTGTCGCTGTACGCATCTGGTCGCACCACTGGTATCGTTCTCGACTCCGGTGACGGTGTCACCCACGTCGTCCCCATCTATGAGGGTTTCGCTCTTCCCCACGCCATTGCCCGTGTCGACATGGCTGGCCGTGACTTGACCGACTACCTCATGAAGATCCTGGCTGAGCGTGGCTACACTTTCTCCACCACTGCCGAGCGAGAAATCGTCCGTGACATCAAGGAGAAGCTCTGCTACGTTGCCCTGGACTTTGAGCAGGAGATCCAGACTGCTTCCCAGAGCTCCAGCTTGGAGAAGTCGTATGAGCTTCCTGACGGCCAGGTCATCACCATTGGCAACGAGCGCTTCCGTGCCCCCGAGGCTCTGTTCCAGCCTTCGGTCCTGGGTCTTGAGAGCGGTGGCATCCACGTTACTACCTTCAACTCCATCATGAAGTGCGACGTCGACGTCCGAAAGGATCTCTACGGCAACATCGTCATGGTAAGTCAAATTCTCCCCCAGTCCTCCTGCCAACCCAATGCTCCCCGTTCTCTTGAATTTCAAGTGGCAAGATGCTAACCTCCTTTCCAGTCTGGTGGTACCACCATGTACCCTGGTCTCTCGGACCGTATGCAGAAGGAGATCACTTCTCTTGCTCCTTCTTCCATGAAGGTCAAGATCATCGCTCCTCCTGAGCGGAAGTACTCTGTCTGGATCGGTGGTTCCATCCTGGCTTCCCTGTCCACCTTCCAGCAGATGTGGATCTCGAAGCAGGAGTACGATGAGAGCGGCCCTTCAATCGTGCACCGCAAGTGCTTCTAAGCTCCTCGTCACCACGTTGACGAGTTTCTCTCGAGCCCTACACCGCATCTGATAAGATCAGCCACAATGCAGACCCCGTCGATGTCTCGCATTTATCTCGAACCAGTCTCATATTGAAAAGTTTTGATCCTGGCCGGGGATGGAGGGGGCGTGTTTTCTCTGATTGCAAAAGATGAAGGCCTTTGTTTTCCTAGGAGGGTGCGGGGGTGGCCGCGATTGCGTATAGGGTAGGGATATGGACAACTATCACGAGGTTGATCATCATAAACTTTACACCTTCTCCCACTAACTACTGCGGAATGCCCTGCTTCCCATATTTGCCGTAGTTTTGTGACCGCTCCAAGTGACAAGTAGCTTTCTCCTCCCAGGAATAGCTCGTACAACCCGAGGGCTTTCCGTCCGAGCCCCAGGTTTACTGCCTTTCAAACGTCTTCGCACATTGGTGGCAGGAGCATGTACTTCTCAGAGCATGGTTGCCTTGAATGACCGCGGCCCGTTGTCACGGTTTGGGAGTCAAGAGGCCTGATCTTCGGTCATGCTACCGGCCTTCTCATCTTCAATCTTCCGGTATTTCCTCCTAGTCTTTTTGGACGCGCTCGCCGCCTTCTTCTTCTTGATTTCTGCCATTATGGCCGACCGGCTCTGGTCGCCATTTTGCATGTCGTCGAGCCTCGCAGCCAGAAGCTCTCGTGCAATCTTCCGGTTCTGGTCCCTCGATCTGGTCGCCTGAGACTTGACCACGATACCCGTCGGGACATGCTTGAGCTGGACGGCCGAGCTAGTTTTGTTCTGTCGCGGAGACATCGGGGTTAATCAGGACGGTTCTGGCGATATCGGAAAGCTGGGAAACATGACAAGTGGGTAAACCATACAATCTTCTGCCCTCCTGGGCCGCTGCCCCTCAGGAAGGACTCCTGGATCTCCTCCTCCGGCGGCGGCTTTGGCCTGGGCGGCATCTGCTTCAGCGGACAGGCGCCGCTCGTCGCGAACGGCGCGACGGCCCCCAAAGGGTGGAGGCCGAACCGGGTAGTGCCATTTCGTAACCTCGCAACACCGACGGCTCGGAGCATTGCTGCTATAAAGGCATGTCTCTAGAAGTTGTCACGCAACGGCTCGAAATGGTGGTGAGCCGTGCCTTTAGGCCCTTGTTACTGGGAAACTCCATCATGATTGGCCAATCATTCATCAAGTGCCCGATTTTCCCGAGCCAATCTCAAATCTCGGCGCGAGTAGGCGCAGGCCGTGCGCCCCGAACCATAATTTCGAGGTGGACCGACGCCTCGAGACTGACTCTCTCCGTCCCAGCCGACGTAACAAGAAGCCTCTCAACATCACATACGGACCCTCGACTGGTGCATCAACTTCACGCCAGGGTTACATACCGCACAACTCGTCGATCAAGAATCAGCCCAAAGACTAAGGCTACCCACCTCGGAGCGCAATCCAAGGAGTCTCTAGAATCGCCAGTTTCCACCATGTCTCCCCTCGACTCCTTTACCAAATGGTTGAAGTTGAAGATCTACCAGTTGGAAGTGACATTCAGCGTCTACATTTTTACCCCTCTTGAGAAGTTCATCTTCTGTACGTCCTCCCCCGTCAAACTCTCCCAAACCCCCCCACCCCCCTCCCGCAAAGGAAAACCCTCACCCACCTTCTATGCTAACCAGGTACCCCCCCTTTCCCCGAAAACAGACTCGGTCCTCTTCCTCCTCGTCAGCCTGACCTTCATCGCGACGATCCTGTACCTCCCCGGCCACGTGTCCTTCATCCTCGACCGGGCCTGGTTCTACGCCCACGGCGACGCAGCCGACGCCAAGGACGCCGCCGCACGCACGCTCGCCCACGCGCTCGCCGCGCAGTCGACCGCCGCTGCCGCCGCGGTGGCTGCCGCGGAGACTGTCGCGGAGCTGGTGCGCGAGGAGCTGTGAAGCGAGTGAGGCTGTGAAGTGGGGGCGGCGAGGGAGTGGGAAGGAGGTGGTGTGGTGTCCCCGGGACATGCACGGGGGCGATGACTGCTCGGGGTGGGATGATGGGGTCGTTGGTGTAACGCCTGTCTTCTGATGGCAGGCGTATCGGTCGTTGGAGACAAGTGGTTCTTGTTCGGGCCTTCACCTACACCAGGCTCTGGGCGTGCGAGCTTGGGTCGAACACTACGGCGCCTCCTATGAACTGAGTCTCTGGGGTCGTCACGTTCCAAAATGACCCTGAGAATACGCGATCGCCAATGTACATAAAGGTGGTGGTTTCCTGTGGATATTAAAGCCGGCGTTTCGATAGACGGGATAAGGGAGTTCAGGGGGAGTTGCAGCATCACTGCGAGTGAAATACACCGGCCATTAGGCCAACGCTCTAATATTAATAAAAGACTTTTCCTCGACCCTTCGACGCTCTCTGCCGTGCTATCTTGGCCCCATCACAGGTTCTTGAAGATGTATATCCTGAGCGAACTATCGTCGCCGGCAATGGCAAGTTCCATGTTATCCTGCTCACTCTCCCCCCTTTTCGGTCGCCATGCCAGCTGCAATACCGCCTTCGGGAGGCATAACCTTTCCTGCTCGTTAGCATATTTTTCCAAACTGGGAGGTACGCGATCGTGCTACTCACTCGGGTCTCAACTCCAGCGCAGACACCACATCAACATTGGCATCCCTCCCGACCTGCAGAGACATAATCCGGATCCTCCCAGCCTCCGTGCCGACAGCGAGGATCAGCTTCCCAGACTCGGAGGACCGCGAGGAGAAGTCTATCGCGGTTACCGGGTGCTCGTTGGCGATGACCTTTGCCAGGCCGAACTTGGCCGCCTCTTCGCCGGAACTCGTGGCCCAGATCTTGACCTGCTTGTCCCTCCCGGCCGTGGCAAAGACCCTCGGCTCCCGCAACGGCGCCCAGGCCGCATCCAGGATCATGCGCGTGTGGCCCTTCGGGTCCGCCTGCAGCAGGCGATAGCCCAGCCTCTTTCCGTCGGCGTCGTCGTCGGCGTAGCCCTCACCCCGCCCGCCCGCGCCCTCGCCCAGCGGCGCCCTCTCGAACACGGCCCACTGGCGGTCCCTGCCGACGCTCAGCAGGTACGCGTCGTCGGGCGAGAAGCGCAGCCTCGTGGCGGTCAGGGCGTGGGCGGCCAGCGGGGGCCGCACCTCGGTCCAGCGGCGCGTCTCAAAGAGCCGGACGACGGCGTGGTTGACGCTGCTGGCGCGGCAGGCGCTGGCGACCAGGCGGCCGTCGTGGCTCGCGGCCAGGCACGAGATTTCGTAGCCGTGCCCGTACAGCTTCTCGACCTCGGGCCAGAGCGTGTGCCGCGAGAGGGACTCCTCGAAGGGCGGGTGGTCCGCCTCGGGGGCCGCCGCCGACCTGCGCGCCGCCGTGGCGGTGGCTGGGTCTCCATCGATGGGGTCGCCGGTGGTGGTGTCGATGGCCTTGTTTGAGAGGCCGAGGGCGGGCACGTTGGCCGCGTCGGGGAGCGAGTCTACGTCGCTGGTACCGGTCGCGCCGGTGACCCGTTGTATGAGCTTGGCCACCGCCTTTGGCTCGTTGAAGACTCGCATCAGCTTCTCGTCGGCGCCTGAGACGAAGGACGTGTCGTTTAGGGTGTCGATGCAGTTCAGGTCGTAGCCGTGGATCTGCGGCCTCGAGAGTTCGTGCCACGTCCCCCCTCCGCCTTTCCACTTGCCGTGCAATCGAGTGGTTTGGTCTGCGCTCGTTGACAAGAGGTACCTGCCGCCCCTCGCCCACGAGATCCCCGTGACGGCCCTGGTGTGTCCAGTCACGGCGATGTTCTGAACCCACTGATCTCGTTCCTCGACGTAGCTCCATGACCTCCAACTGCCTGTCCGGCCGAGTGTCACGACTGAGCTCGCATCGGGCGACCACAGACCGGTCCAAAACCCGCCGATGCTCCCGGTTGCCGTCGTCCCCCCTTTTTCCTTGGTAATCTCTCCAAGCCTCACGTTGGTGACCCAGATGCCCGAGGTAGGGTCAGCCACCCATATCGATAATGAGTTGTCAGCCGAGGCCGAGAGGAGTTGAAGTTTCCCACTGGCTCCTCTGTGCCACTTTGCGCTGTAGATCCAGTCCTCGTGGCCAAGGAGCAAGGCCTCGAAGGTAACGGAGAAGTCCCCTGCCATGATCTTGAAGCGATGTACCTTGTTCGACGGCGAGGTCTCCGACAGGAGACTCCCAAGCGGGGAGTCTGCGCCGGCGGCCGAGATTTCAGGCAGTGCCTTCCCCCGGCGGAAACGCCAGAGACGGATATACTTGTCCTGGCTGGCAGAGGCCAATAAGAGATCGCTTTCGGCATCTTCCTTCTCGGGGACGATATCTAGCGACCTAATCCAGCCCTCGTGCCCAGACAAGGTCACTTGAAGTTTGAACTCGGGGCCCGCCTCATTTGACTCTGCCACATAAATCTGGACCGTGTCCCTTGTCCCAGCGGCGGCCAAGACAAACTCGTCGCTGTTCCCACCCAGGGGGCTAAGCACCACGGCCAGGGGGAAATACTTGGGGTTTGTCTTGATAGTCTGAAGTAACTTGATAGCGGATGACTCGAACTCCCAGATCTTAATGCTGGCATCTGCGGCCCCCGAAGCGAAGATGCATCTCGCCGAGGGTCCAGGGGCGCGAGGCAGAACGGCTATACAATTTATGGCCGCCGTATGCTCTTGCACGGTCTGGACACAAGAGCCCTGAAAGGTCACCAAGTCCAGCTCCCAAAGTTTGAGGCAACGGTCATCGGCCCCAGTGATCAGGTACGAGAAAGGCTCCCCGGCGACCTGAGGCAAGAACTTCACAGCCTTGACAGTATTGGAGTGGCCACTTAGCAGTCTCCTGATGCCCCTTGATGTTGAGTCCTGATCCGCCTTGTTAGTCGAACGGATAACCCTTCAGATAGCCTCGCGAGGAGAAATCGGCACAATCCCGCCTACCGTTGGTCTCCAGAGGGCAATGTTCCAGTCGGCTCCAAATGCGACTGTCCCATCATGATGCCAGTCCGCAACGGGTGTTTGCCGGTTCGCGCCGGCGGAGAGGTAGTCAACCTCCACATCAGCCTCTCCCATATTCATTAAAGTCGGTACACCATATCCCAGGGATGATGTTTTTGAAGATATGCTCTCGGACGGCCTTTAGTGTATCATTTTGAGACTTTGAGTTCTCAAGAGACGCACAGTGCGCAGTCGAATATGCTCCCGTTTTATATGTATCACGTGACTGTGCTGCACTGTATCATGTCCAATCCTCAGATTTCTGTTTTTGAAGGCAAGTTTAGAAGGACAGAGAGTTCAACTTTGTTTGTCGAATCCCCGTGTTCTCAAATTAGGCTCACTCTGAATACCTAGTGGCACTTGACTGTTTCCCGACTGCCAAATACAAGAAACAGCTCGAGAGAGAGATTCAAAGTCCTGACAATGACCGCCGTGGAGAGTCCCAAGCTCTCCGTTGTCGTTGAGTTCTCGTGAGTCAACCTACCAAGCAGCATGGATCGGTGTTGCAAGAGAATGCCCTCATATGCGCTAACCATAAAGCAGCGGTGGCCTTGAGATGCTCTTCTCAGACCAGAGGCGCCATTCCCTGTCAATACCGGCCACAGACAAGGATGGCAGACCTTCCAATGTCTCCTTTCTCATTGACTACCTCTGCAAGAACGTTATGAAAGATGCCCGAAAGGAGCTTTTCATATTGAATGATCACATGTACGTCGTTCTCCCAATAGTGATACTGGAACATACGGAGGATACCCCTACTCCCCGAGCGTCTGTCGGAGAGAGGCTGGTCGGCTGATAGATGATTTGATACTCAGTCGCCCGGGCATCCTTGTCCTGATAAACGACGCCGATTGGGAGCTTGAAGGTGAGGAGGCCTATGAGATCCAGAATGGGGACAATATCCTATTCGTCTCAACACTCCATGGCGGCTAGGTTGGGGGTTATGTCCTAGGGGTAGATGAAGATGCCTCCCGTCCCGTCCCGTCCTCCTCGCATCTCAAAGGTCTTTGGTTGAATCCGAGGCGCGGGAAGAATGAGAGGACCTTGCCCGCCTGGAAAACCACCCACTCAGCTTGGTCGGTATGGGTTGCTATCTCGAGATGACCAAGGATGCTGTCGAACCTCCACCGCCACTTCCGTGTGTGACACATCGTGGGCCATCAAGGGCCACGACGGAAAGACACGGAAAGACACCGCTCTCTCTCTCCACCTAGGGGCCACCTAGTTTGTTGAGAAACGCAGACTCGCTTGTTTAGGGTCGGTCTTTGGAGCTTCCTGTACCTCAGATATACATCCCCAAGCCCAGCCAATACCCTGGCGGAAAGCACGTGCGGCGGTGAATCGTACATGATGCGAGCGGCATGCAATAAGATGATGGCCTTGCCTGCATCATAAGGCTCTGAAGTAGGGCGGTGAGCAGAAGTCACGTATCATTTCTCATGGATCTCAACGCTCGGAAATTGGAGGACTGACAGATGCAAATATTGGTCCGAATTCAGATATGGCAGCTTGAGAGGACTATCCACTGTCATGTCCATCCTATGCCGTCCACTTCCCCCCCTCCGCCCTAACCTCGGCCTCTACGGATACCAAAACCTACCTACTTTGCCTTTGCGATAGGGCCGAATATCATTTACACCTCTCTACATGCAAGCCCAGGCAGGTCTCGCAGCGTTTTGCTTCCTGGTAAATCTAGCTGTAATGCAGCGACTATTCCAGCCCCCCTTGTCGTTTACAGTGCGTCTTCCCTTGCAGTGGGGCGCGGCCCGGCATTTGACTAACCCAGGTTCGGTCCGGCCTGCATATATGGATCGTGGGTAATGACCAATCGTGTCGCCCGTAACCCGCAGACGTGCAGCGTCTGTTGTGATCGGTATACATAATGCCTGAAGAGGATCCCTCCTACATTGACAGACACATGTACAGCTCCTCCTCTGCTGCATGTCACGCCTGCGGCGACATTAGACCCTAGGCATGACACGTTGTAACTTGGGGGGGCAGATCATTCTCACGACCAGGTCAGACGATGTCGTCACCTACAACTGCATCTGCATGCGCGCACTACTGCGCAAGACTTCCCCAAACTAGCTTTCCCTCAAGCAGATCCAAAAATCCAGGCCGATCGAATTCTTAGTCCCCAACCGAAAGCCCATAAGCACCAACGGCACCTGCTCCCCACGCTCCCTTTTTCTCTCACCGAGTCGCCCAAATTTGAAGTCCTAGAGGCAAGGCAGTGACGGCAATGACGGCAGCCTTCAAGTATCAAGTTAGCCCAATTGCAAAATTTGTAATGTTTTAGCGGCTCCAGCCTCGTCCCCTCCGGATGCAAGTGGCCAACATCCCCGCGCCAGCGGAAACCCCCGGCCACCCCTCCTCCCCGGCAATAGATCGATCCGTAACCCCAGGGGGGCAGGGGGGGTTACTGATATCAAACCCCTTGTCGTGGGAAAAGGAAATCTAGCAACCCCGGCCACATTACTGGAGTTGGAACCGGTCTTCGTTGGCTAGGCACGAGGAGGGAACATGGCAGCGAGTCTAGGGTCGAACCGAGATGATGGCGCCTCGATAGGAGAAGACTGCCCGGAGTCATGCACACATATACGAGAGTAGGAAACCGTCGCCGAGTGATAGACCAATCAGTGGAATACACGCGATGGTGCTGTGGGCAACGACTGAGCAACTCGCAAGGTAGGACGGGAATGCGGAAACACCAGAGAAAGGCGAGATAATGAAAATCCCGTGTATCTTATTCGGAAATATTGAAATAAATATTCAGACAGCCTAGCCCATCGTTTCGCGTAATACTCTGTCATTCGCCACGAGGTCGGAAGACGTAAGCCAGTCAAGCCAAAGAGGCAACCTCTCTCCCCTGGTCCGTTCTAGGATAGAACAGGGACTACCCATGATATATCGATCGATGCCTCTGCCTCCACGCCCAGTACACAGTGTTGAAAGGGGAAACAATAAGGAAAACGAAAACATCAAAAACCCCGTCAACGTTCATTCGCAAAAGACGCTGCGATGATGAATTGCCACCCCCTTTTTTTGCCCCCTCGTCAGTTGCCGTTATTCCTCCCATTCCCATTGGTCTATATAAGATATTTCCCCCGTCTGTTGAAGTGCAACGATATGAAAATAGAAAAATAGGAAATAGACAAGGGGGGGGCGGTGAAAAGCAACGCATTTGCCTCCAGTGGATCAGTCATCCAAGCCCCTATTTCCCGTCCCGTGTTCGCCTTCGGATTATGATGTCCTCAGCCACTCCATGCCCGGGGCTAAGGCGGTGAGAAAAATAGAAAAAGCGCAACGGTAAAGAAAAAAGGGGAAAGAAAAAGAGAAAAAGAAGGGGGAAATGAAAATAAAGGTAAAAAAGGCCACCGGCGGTATCATTGTCATCCCGTTATCCATTAGTCGTCAACTCCGTATAATACCTCGTAGTAGGATAGAAGCACCCGCCCGAGAAAGGGAATGGGGAAGAGGGAGAGGAGTCGCTTTCCTCGCAGTCAACACCCTTCCCAATATCGGGTCTTTCATGTCACCCAGCCTGTGTCACCAGCCCAACCCGCCTTAATGGGACTCGTGGGAGCTAGTATATCCGATCGCCAAAGGCGAGCTCTCGGCCATGGTCGTCCTCGTAGACGGCATCGTTCGACGCCGATGGCCCACTGCCGCTGCTGACGCCATCCTCGACGCCGAACATCTCGTAGCCGCCGTGGGTGTCACGGCCGACGTTGACCAGAATGCTGGGTCGGCTAATGCTGTACGCGGCCGGGTGGCTCAGGCCAGGGTGGGGAAGCGGATGATGCAGATGTTGTGTCGCTTGGTGGTGGTGGTGGTGGTGGTGGTTATTGTAGTGGTGGCGCTGGTGCGCAGCCGGTTGATGTAGCATCGGAAAGTGGGATGGAATCATTGCTCCCAGTCTGATGGGGGATGCCTGTGTGACGGCTCCGACTCTTCGGTCCTTCCCGCGGCCCTTGATCCCTTTGTTGCTGTTCTTGTAGAGAGTCGCGAAATACTCCCACAGCTCCCTGTCGGCCTTGCAGACACTGTCGTAGTCCCTGATAGAGGCGAACTTGTCCGTCAGGGCCTTCAGCGTCTCCTTGTGAAACTTATTCTGATGGGACTGCGAGGGCAAGACCCTTTTAGCTGTGCGCCCTTGGCAGACGAGAGAACGATCGGGAGAGTCTACCTTGAGATTACCCAGTTGGGTAAAGTTCTTGTTGCAGCCGTCCAACTTGCACTGGAAAGGCTTCGCCTCCAAATGTGTTCTCAGATGCGCTCTAACGTTTCCCCGCTGGGCGAAGCGTTTGCCGCACTGGTCGCAAACATACGGCCGCTCGCCAGTATGGCGGCGCTCATGTGTCTTTAAAAGAAGATGTTAGAACCCCGGCGTTATATCAACAGGAAGAGAAGAGTGAACCCACCCTCAAGTTCCCAAGTTGAGAGAACCGCTGACCGCAGCCAGGGAGTTTGCAGATCTGTGCCGTTAGCAAAAATTCAAAGATGATAGGCATGATCGGGGTAATATACATAAGGCTTATCCCCGGTATGGGCCCTACGGTGTATATCAAGATGGGTCTTCTGGTAGAAAGCCTTGGTGCAACCAGGGATGTCGCACTGGTACCGTTTGCGATTCGGTCTGCTATCCGGTGGTGGCGGTTGCTGAGAGCCGATAAGCCCACGGTTTCGCACAATGGTCGCTGGTGGATGCCATACCTGGTCGGGAGATTTAGGGGCCTGCTTTTGTCCAATATCGACCTTCTTAACAATGGTGTCGGTCTCGTCCTTGGACTGGATGGCCTTCATGAGTGCGTCGACACTCGTGTTGAACTCGATTTGATTCGTCCCATTCACGGACACATTCGTCGTGATGGTCCGAGGGGCTGTCGAGTGACTTGAAGCCACTGACCTAGTCGAAGACAGCTGGGCCTCGCTCTTCACTGAGGGGCTAGGGCTCCCATCGACGTAAGATGCTCTGCGGTCCCGGGAATAGGCCAAGCTACCTATGACATCTGGCTTAACCATGGGCACAAGAGGCGGCTGCGGCCGTTCCTTGAATGGAGAGACCGTCGTGGTAAGAGAAGAGGGGTATGAGCCGTATGTGGTAAATGGCAGCTGTGGTTGATAGTTAGATGGGGCCATGGTGGTCATGGGACCCGGACTGTAGGAGGTGCTTGTGAAGAACTGAGGGGCCACCATTGGGCGGTGCAGAGGTCCAGATGTGACCGGCCGTGAGTCGTAGGGCACCATCCCGCTCTCCATCATGGCATAGTCGGTATTCGGGTGGTGTTGCGGCCAGCGTGCCCAGCTCGGGGGTGCAGGCTGTTGAGCTGTGAGAGCCAGTTTTGCGGTTGTTGTCCTGCTCGGGGAGCAAGACGGACCAGGTTCGTAGTTGATTGCCTGCAAGTAGGTTGATTCTCTCCAATGTGAGAGCAGTAGGAGGTGCCGGAGGAGTAGGAGGAGCAGGAGCAAGAGTAGGAGAAGCAGAAGTCGCAACGGTTGCAACGGTTGCACCAAGGTCTGTAGAGGGGTGTAACGAAGAAAAGCAAAAAGCCGCCCAGATAGAAAAGAAAGTAGGGTTCGTGACGAGTTCACTTGGTGTTTTGTGTCTCGGAGTGCTGTTGAGTTGACTGATCGAAAGGAACAGATCAAGTGAGGGTCTGGATCTGGGGTGAGAGGGCAAGTATATCTATGTATCACTGGCTCGAGCGGTAGTTAGGCTGACTGATGTGCAGCTGGGGTAGACCCAATCGACTGGGAGTCCATGCACCATCGGAGATCCCTCGAATACACTAATGCGTACATTACGGAGACATTGGGACAGGTAGAAATATCGATTTGTGACGATGGAAGTGTGTAGTAACTGGCACAACTTTGGTGCGAATGTGTACATCCTTGGCAGGGCCTGGCCGGGTATCTGTCCAAGGTACGTACACACATGGGGTGCTCTCACGTTAGAACGACCCCCACTGATGTCCACCGCCAGTGTAGACTAGACAGACATGGCTGGGTCGTCTTGGTGGACGAAGCGGGGGTGTGGAAGGGAGGGGGGGTCGATGGTGGGTAGGAAGGTAGGAAGATGTCAAGAAAATCCATCGAGCGACAGACCAAACAGCCCCATCGTCCACCATCCGTCGCTTCTGGCGAGCAAGGCCCGATCAGATGAGACATTGTGGAAAGTAGGCACTGGCCGCAAGGTCTCACGATTCATAGCCTCACTTCTGTCCAGGCAGAGAACATGATAGGAACGTGCCTTCGCATGGTCTCGAGCCAGACCAGCGAGCAAGCAATCTCAACTCACCAGGAAGGGGTGGAGGGATTGGAGCGTTCCGATCCACAAACCAGGTCAATACAAAGAGATCGAGGCCTTGGTATTCGCTGAGCTGCTGGAGAGACTGGGCTGGATCCATGAGACTCTCGAGCTCCTCTCCCCAAACCCCCTCCCCCCCCCGCCCGTCGTCCTCGCTTCCCCTTGTCTGCGCCCTTTTCAGGTCTCTCTAACCCGGGCAGATTTGTTTGCTGAGGTGCTCATGAGAAGCTGTCTTCTCAGCGAGCGACGTTAATCCCAAGAGGTGTGGCACCCTGCGCGGGAAGTTGACAAGGGTCATTTGCAGCCAGGGCTGCGCCAGCTACCAGGGACCCGTGGTCGTCTGTTTGGAGGAGCCAGGATGGTGGGTTTGGGAAGCTGTGTCTTTTCCCAAACAAGAGTGGACGGGGGGGTTTTCTATGTCTTGGCCCTCTAAAACTACCCGGGAAGGTGGGAAGGGACGTAACTTCCTAACCTTACGCTACCTACCTGCCCGGGGTGGGTACCTAGGTACCTAAGTACTTAAGTACCTATGTACTGTACCCATGTCGTCCTCCTATTATCCCGTACCTACGTCAGCTCAGTAATTATACGCATAGTCTCGTCTCTATTTTCCTTCCTCCTTCTCCCCTTTCTTTTATTTCTCCTTAACCTATCATGTCCCCAGCCGTTCGTTTCTCCTCGTTTTGGCTCCCGTCGCGGCAGTACCCCATAATCTCACACCCCCCCAGTATTAAATATCTCCGACCACCCGTTTGACGCCGTGTTTTGCTGAGCCGCAGTGACGGCTGGATATTGAAACGCTACACAGTACTTCTGCCCGGGATAATGGCCGCCACCTCAGGATCTTGCCTCGATTATGTTTGAGAAGCAGGAACCCATCCGTTCAGGAGCCGGTGCAGTAGCTCTGCACAGCCCACGGCCCAGCCCTATTTCACCTGCCAGGCACAAGCTACCAAAAACGCAGAGGTTTCCTCCATATCTCTCGGCATTTCCCCGGTTCTCGGCATTTTCCCGGCTCTCGTCGGATAAGACCTACCTACACAGTAACGTAGTTGATGTCAGAAGGAAGAACACGAGCTGCGGCTCTGCTCCTGCCACCTCACAATTGCCCGCCCTTGAGAGTCTTTGTCTCACTTGTCTTCCCCTCATTCGCCGGCTTGCGTTTTTGATCGGCTGAATCTTCCAGTCAATTCGCCACCAATTGCATATGCGTGTCTGACTTTCTTGGGCCGTAGCGCCCTTGGTTGGAAGTGGTGTCCCCGATCCCGCGCACAACAGGTACGCAGTAGCGTAATTAATGTTGGCATTCACAAATTGCATGAATCTTGGTTGCGCTGAGACGACGGGCATGGAGTCATGAACTACAACCGGCGGTTTCTGGAGTTACACAACAGGAGAAAGCAAAATGCCGGGGAAGGTTCCTGCGGCCTGATTCAAGATGAGCACTGAGCAGGGGTGCTGCATCTGAGACTCAGTCACGATCCCCGCAGGCCAATGCTTTTTTTCTCGTCTTTCTTTTCCCCAGGCTGCCCATCGTACTGGATGGAAGTGGAGGCCCAGCACATCATCACAGCTCTTGTGCTCCCCTGATTCAGCCGCCAGCGTCCATGTCTCATTGAGAATTTGAGATAGATAGACATTGCAGGCTGCAAGGGACTGGGCCTTAAGAGTATACTGCACAGTACCAGTGCACAAATCAAGGACATGCGAGGCTAGCGATGCCCGGCCGAGACTCGTAACTATCTCTTCATACTATCTATTACCAAGGTGGTAGTAGTATCTTTGGGTTCTTGGCTTTCGGGACTGCTCCGCAGTCCCGCTCCCGCTTCCGTGGCCAGCTCCAGGGACATTCCCTACAATTGCTTGGTATAAATAAGGTGACTTGTGTGGCAGAAATGCGATTGGGTGGCTGGACACCCCCCAAGATTTGCTAGACATCTCTAGTGTACCTACCCTTCATATTAAACTGGCCGGGTTTCCACCAGCTCCACCTTTGGGCCGGTCCGGCACGACTGGTTGCCACACCTAGAAACGGGTCGACCCGAGCCTCTGTTGGTCAGGTACTGTCGCGACTGTTGCGATTTCAGACCATTCGCACGTGACTCGATATCATCACTGTCGCCGTCACTCCAGAAACGAGAATCTCAGGAGTAATGGGTTGTGGAGGGTAGCGCGAAGCATGAAGTGTATGCATGAGAAAAATAAACCTTTGGGGGCCTTACCACGTATCGTATGAACCCAGACTGAGTGGAAGCGACCTGTCACTTTGCTGCAACTGCATGAGAAAAGTGAAGGCGCCGATCACTCCCATCTTCAAGGTTGGCTGCCCACCTTACTACGCACGTACTATTACAGACCCGTGCACTATTGTGCTCACTAGGCAGTGAAGCAGGATATGGCTAGTGTACCTTAGGTAGGCAGTCGTCTAAGCTGACTATCGGATCCCGACTGCCCTGGCAGGACACTGACACGGCGTCATCGACTTCAGTTCTTCCCCAGCAATTCAGAGCCGAGGGGTTGTAACGACGCCTGACCTATTCCGAGAGTGAGACTGAGACGCAGTCCTGGTGGCGGGCAGATCTGGCGGAATATTATGGTACGTACCCCAACAGAAAGAGGAATGGTGTGGGCTTATTACAGTGCTCCGGGTGCAAGGAAACGTTCCCCGTGAATCAAACTCCACAGAAGCTCCACCACTAAGGTCACTGGGATCAGGTGGGATGCAGACCCTGTCCCACGGAGAGCTAAAGTGGCGGCGGAAGTTACCCGGAATTATCATTGGTTAGCTGGGATCCAGGTTCAGAGGCTGTCACCACGATCACGGCCGTTGTGGGAGGAACAAGATATGTGCAAACACCTACTATACACTTGCGCCATCTATCCCGTACACCATAACTTATAGCCTTGGAACTGTGGCGCGGCGTATGTGTCGTATGTGGGAAGCTCCTCCGTGCTTTGGACACCGCTCCCAATAGCTGCTCAAGCCACTTCCCTTTTAGGAAAGGTCGACTGCATGTCCCCCCTTGTCCCGGCGATCATCACACTTGGTGATTCCCAGAACTTTGGGTGATTGACGGGGGGATCCCCTCAGTAAGAGCCTCCTCATTGGGTGCCAATGGAACTATGGGCAGGGGTTTCGAGCAATGACCATCTCATAGGCAATCTTCTACCAACGCCAAGCACGCAACTCAGACAGGGCGTTTCCATCAGTAATGAGAACAGGCCCCCGATTTCCGGGATTTGCACCGGTACCGTTATTAGTCTCACAGCCGACGATCACAAAACAAAACCTAGGATTTCGGAAGCCGGGTGTGCCACTGTCGCCCGTACGGCTGAAACGGCCACCAGCTGACTCCTAGCCAGTTGCACGCTCCTGATTATCAACCAGCAGTTCAAGCACGTTCGAACACGTTGGGCTCGTGATTGAGAGGTAGCGTGGGGGAATGGGGGAAAGATCGACCCCCGGGGGAAGAATCTCGCTACCCAGATCTCCGACATCCCGACAGTTATGGTTGGCCAATCGGCATGCGCTTGGGGCATTCAGGTCGCCGATGTCCCCAGAACTGACCTGGCCAACCTTACTGCGGTGTTCCCGTAATTCCAAGATCCGATCCGCTCCGCTCCGAGCAACCACTTTGTCTGAGGTACACTACCGACTCAGTGTACTACGGAGAAACTACGTGATCATAAACCTCAACTACCAATAATAGTGCAAGCGCAAGGGGAACATGGTCCATTTCAGGTTCGGGTCGTCGCCGACTCGTCCCGTCGACGAAACTTTCATCTCTCGCTCAAAACGCTGCCAGCAGGGATGTTGGGCTGTTCTCTGTCTTCCCGTCTTCTCCAAAGGACCGTTTAAGATCCTTGGGAAACCTTTAATCCGGCGCCATGTCGTCGGTCCAAATCTCCGGGAATAGGTCCTGCTGTGTGGCTTTACGATCTTCCAGCTTATTTCCTGGTGTCGTATTTGTCTCTGGGTCTCATGAGGCGAGTCCAATTCGGACTGGTACAGTAATAAAGATCTATCATATCTCAACTTTTGCGTCCTCGGTCAAACGCAAAACTTGACCTCCGATAGGCCCCAGTTTGACTTGTCATTTATCACTTTCTGACCTGTGCGCCAAGGGTGTGGTTAACTTGGCGTGGCCAGGATGAGAGTCTGCGACCTGCAACCTGCCAGATTTGCTGCCCCGTGTGCCTTATTATACACTACCGTGAGATCTGGCCCACTTGTCGACGACAAATATCCTAGTGTACTCTTAAACTCCACTGTTCAGCCAAAGAACGTCAATCCCGGGCGGAGCAGTCGTGCAGAGCAGAGATGGCGGCATCCTCCGCGAAGCACATCCATGCAAGCCTTGGCCACCTTGCTCGGAAACAAAACAGGGGAGAAAAAGGAGTAGGTATCGAGTACACTTCGCATGCCTTCTGATGTCTTCGTGCCGTGCCAGGCCGCTCGACGTTTAGGGAACGATCCGGGGAACAAACGAGCTAGTGTGGTAAAGGAAAATTCTCCACGCTTTTTAACGGTGAAGGAATCAGGCCTCCCGTTCACCGTTGGAAGTCCTGTCCACTACGGGCCGGTGGTGGCAGTGCGCTACCCGCCGAGGCCCGGCGGCGAACCGGCTCAGCTGGCCTTGACACTCCACTGCCCATCTCCCGCTAGATTAAACAAGTATTTTTTATTTTTCCCATTCTGGCTGCAGATCGTGGCAAGCTTTCGAGCCATCCGGCCAATCCGGCAGCAGTGGTCGTCGTCTGCAGCCGCAAAGCGTTACCGATCATGCTGGTTGCTGCATCTCTATCGTGTGGATCGGCGTCACCGGGCGATCTGGTTGGGGTCGGCCAGGACAGATTGGGGACACACTAACTAATATTAGTGTAATATGTACGCACCAGGTATGTACAGTACCTCATGTGCGGGTGGATCGCACTTGGAACTTGCTTGTTGGTTCTCGGGACTGGGGGGACAGGACGCGGCAACTCTCGCTGTATGGAGACAAACATGCATTGCGGTGCAGACAAGGTTACTCCGGGGAGAGCATTCCTAAAAAAGATACTGGCTGAGCATGTACTGAAACGGAGTACGATGATCTGAAGTTCAGCTTCAGGTTCACAGCCAATAGGGATGGAGGGATAGCGAGGGGCCCAGAGCCATGGTAACCTAAACCTTGGATCGCTACCTTAATTTCGGTGGCTGGACGAACACGGTGACTAAGCGGTTCCTAGGTAACGCAACAACAGCAAGACCATCAACAACGAATGCAACAACAGCTAAGAAGAAAACAAGAGCGCTACGCCTCCCTCTACGCTGCAAAGAGCTGGGACAGCTGCCAGGTTATCCAGAATTGCAGCATTTGGATGGCGATGGAACTATCACCCTTTTCCCGATTATGTGCCATTGTTGTGTGTGGCCCCTGTTTTCCCAAACCCTTCGCCAGAATCGGCCACCTTGAGCTTTCTCTAGAAGACTTTGTTCTCGCCCTTACGGCTTGAGATTAGATATAGATAGCCTCTCCTGCATCCGACTGGGCCCCGCAAATCTAGCATTGTCGCCGAGAAGCCACCCGGTACAAATGTGCCGAAGAAGAGGTCTCTTGACTCGGGATTCTAGTCTTGAAGGTAACATTGGGTTTGTTAAGAGCATGAGACGTTCTTGATAGGTGGAGCCCCCCATTAAAGAAAGAAGGCGACAAGATCATGCCATATCGTTGGATACGTAGGGCAGTGCACAAACAAATAATAAGACCAAGACAGTCGAGGAAATAAGGTCCAAGGATCTCAATGTTATCTCTAGGATTCAGCGTTGAGGATGCCATCCAACGGGTCATACCAGCCTGGATGTTTCGTTGATATGGCTCTGGCCTTCATCATTGCCAAATGAGTCCACCGCACGGCTCGTATCAATCAGCTCCAAGTGGTCATCTCCATCCAATTTGATTGGGGGCTATTCTCAAGGCTTAAAGCCCAGACAGGCAAGAGAGCATAGATTCAGCGAGAAGAGCTTACGCATGAGTGAAGGAGAACGAACGCTCCTGATTTGGGATCCGTTTAGACAGAACCTTTTGGACTGCCCGGAAGGGGAACCCAAAACAAATATTGCTACACATATCAGGACATACACGCCGTGATAGAAGAAATGCGCGTGGATGGTTGATAAACCATCCTTCTCAAGCGACAAGGCACCGACTGGCCTTCGTCCCCTAGTCGACCAACCGAGGCAGGTGATACTTGACGTTCTCGTACACGAGAAACGTCACCCACGTAGCCGGCAACACCCTCACGACCCCGGGCACGAGCCCCCTGTAGAACCCGCGCACCCCTTCCTCCCTCCACAGCTGCCTCACCACGCCCCGGATGCCGCGGCCGAACCGCTCCTCGGCGTTGTAGTTCTGCAGCCGGCTGCGCAGGACCTGGAGCGGATACGTGACCGCGCCGGCGACGAGCTTCGACAGCGTCGCGAGGCCGATGGTCGCCTCGTTGGCGATGGGGCCGCCGCGGCCGCCGCGGCGCACGCCCCCATCCAGGTCCCCTGACGCCGCCGCCGCGGCCGCGGCGCGCCTCCTCGCCCGGCGCGCCAGGTACATGCGCTTCGCCGGCTCGTACACGGCGAACTGGACGGCCCCGTGGCTGACGCCGAGCAGGCCGACGCCGAGCCCGCGGTAGAACCCCCAAGCCCCCTCCTCGCGCATGAGCCTGGCGGCGCCGGCCCACATGCTCGGGTACGCGCCGGCGGCGGCGCGGTCCGACGACAGCATGCGCGTCTTGAGGACCCAGATGGGGTTCGTGATGGCCTGCGTCGCGGCGCCGGCGAGGCCCGACGAGGCGAAGAAGTCGGCCGGCGTGAGAGGGGTGCCGTCGCCCTTGAGCGTCGCGATCGCGCGCTCGATCCGGGACTTGAAGAAGAAGAACGAGGCCCAGCTGCTGGCGTTGCCGACTAGGTTGGGTGTGAGGCCGCGGTAGAGGGCGGCGAGGGGACGGTCGGCCTGGGCGAGGGTTCTGATGAGGGAGAGGGTGCTGAGCGTTGCTGAAGGGGAGGTGCTGCTCCGGTGTACTTGGGTAACGTGTTAGCAAATGGACATGACATGGTCCAAGAGAGAGATATGGCTGGAGCCTACTTTGCATCCTCGTCTTGACGATGTCCAACGGGTGGACAGTCAGCGTGGCAATTGAGCCCGCCAACAGACCAGCAATGGTCTCCACGAGAGCGGGAGAGAGGCCCGCATGTTTGACATCTGTCATAGAGAGGAAGAGTGTTCTACCTTACATGCCGAGGAAGAAAGAGAGTCACAGAAGAGAGTGAGTGGTTGGAAGGACAAATGAAGAGCTTGGACAATCCTCGAAGCTATGATTTTTCTCGGTCAAAAATCGCCGAAGCAAGCCGAGATAAAGGCTGATTGGACCCCGAAGAAAATTCGGGTCAAGGAGCATCATCACAAGAGAGAGCCAAATCGCAACACAGAGCTTCTCAAACGTTTACCGAGTGGTATTTGGGGCTCCGTAAAGCCCAGTAGTATTACAACCATATTCTGAGATGATTAACCAGGCTGGATCTCCCGAATGCCATCTGCAACCAACGCCCCTGCCAGTCGGACCGCGGCCGCCTCGAGCCTTCAATAAGCCTTGTTTCGGTCCAAAAGCAAGCAACCTCGCATCGTACAAATACATCATGCCATTATTCCATTCGAGTTCTTCGTTACGAGAGCGGTGAGAGAAGGCTACAGAGCAGTTAGAGATTATCGTGCCTTATATAGGTTCTGGCGAGCTGGGACAAACCGGATAACGGATGGGCGGGGTTCGCTGCGGGTATATCCTAAATATTGTCAGCTTCACCGTCAAGCTGGACGCATCCCAAGGCTTCTTAATGATGACCAAACCTACCGAGATAGAGGATCAATGGAAGGTAGCCACTGCGGAAGCTTGTTAGCCCTGGGGTGCTCGGTGTCTCTGAAGTTTGCCGATTTCCTACTAATGGATCGCAACACGAGAGACCTCGATGATCTTGCCAATGCGCTCCTAATCCATGGTGAGTTGATGCCAAAAAGCTGTGATGACTGGGCCTCGTACCTTGGACTCTTCTGAGAGGGTGAACATGTTGGTGTTTGTGACGGCGAAAATAATGGAGTGAAGGGGCAATCCAGTTGTGCTCTAGTCTTGCAGACAGAAGAGGTCAAATGGGCTGGTTGTCTTCTAAATGTCGCGGAGCTGTGAACAGGGAAAGATGTGGTGAACTCGAGTTGTCGAGGTGCAGATTTATCGCCCGGTTCAAGCCACAAACTGGTCCATCAAATGTGGCTTGCACAGGTCCAATCAGACTAAATGATTGGTCCTGCTCACTGGGAAAAGGATTAAAGTGGCTCCGCTGTACGTGACTAGCGCCGCGCTTGAGCTAAGGTACCTGAGCTTCACGTCGAAAATTGGTTTGCTCTTCAATCAGTCAAGATACTGTTTCCCTCCCTACACAACGGGCACCTCTTCTATCCGAAGGTAACAAGTGATTCAATACCAGACGGTAAAGCAGGCCACAGTTTTGCCATATCGCTCATTATGTCCAAACATTGGTATGTCTCGAGGTTTTGCAACACTCTGAAGAGGCGAAGTTATTGACGGAAAATCACAGGGAGCAAAATAAGGATGCCACTGTTTACGTGGGCAACATCGACGAGCGCTTCTCTCAGGAGCTCCTCTCGGAGCTCATGACCCAAGTCGGGCCAGTTCGACAGGTGCACATGCCACAGGACCGAGTCTCCCAGACCCATCAAGGCTACGGCTTCGTCGAGTTCGACACCCCGCTGAGCGCCGACTATGCCTCCAAGGTCCTGAACGGCATCCGGGTATGGGGCAAGCCGATCCGCGTAAACAAGGCCAGCGCCGACAAGCAGAAGGCAGTGGACATTGGGGCCGAGCTGTTCATCAACAACCTCGACGGCCAGGTCGACGAGAAGATCCTGTACGACACCTTCAGCCAGTTTGGCCAGATCCTGCGCCAGCCGAACATCGTACGCGACGAGAACAACATCTCCAAGGGCTACGGCTTCGTTAGCTTCGATAGCTTCGAGGCTAGCGATGTGGCACGGGACACCATGAACGGCCAGTATCTACTAAGCAAGTCGATCACGGTCGAGTATGCGTACAAGAAGGATGGCAAGGGCGAACGACACGGCGACGAGGCAGAGCGCAAACTGGCTGCCGAGGGAAAGAAGCACAACATTGTCCCGGAGCAGCAGACCCTCCCGCCCGCCTTCCACATGACAGGTCCAGCAGCAGTTACGAGTGGCCCTCCCGGAACCTTCGGCGATGGAGGCCTTGGCGCCGTCCCCGGCAGTGTCCCTTCGCTCCCGCCGGCCGGCATGGCTCCCGTCGGATTTGGAGGTCCGCCCGGTCCGCCAGGTGGCCCTCCCCGTGGTCCCCCGCCCGCATTCAACGCCGTGCCGCCCCCCGGCATCCCGGCCGGCCGCTCCGCCGTTCTCCCCCCCGCGCCCTCGGGCCTGCCAGCTCGGCCCCCTCCGAGCCAAGCCGGATTCGGCGGCCCGATGGGCGACTTCCACCCCGGCTCGCATGGCTTCCGCGGCGGGCCACCACCCGCGAACGCGCCACCCGTCTACCCCGGCGCCGGCGGCATGCCCCCGCCGGCTGGGTTCCCTGGCGGTCCTGCGCCGCCTCCGGGGTTCATGCCGCCTCCGGGGTTCGCCCCACCTGCTGGAGCACCACCGCCGAATGGCTTTGCTCATCGTTAAAAGCTGCGGATGTGAAGTCCGGGGCTGCTTTTTCTCGCGGCCCTTAGCGGCATAGCGCAGCCGCGGTCGCGTTGACAGCGCGGCGCTGCTCAATACGCAGGAATCCAATCCCTGGTCGGGGCTCTCTTCTACACGTCCAGACGGGGGGTTTCCCAGAGGTCGTATTACAGAGATCGGACACCCCCTCCATCCGAAAGCGATTACTACACTATGTACATGGATGGAACTCAAAGGATAATGGTTAGACCGCGCAACCAAAAATACACACCCTTTTGGGAGAAGCCGCTTATACTGACTTCCTCCCTTCAGCTCTTCCGGCCTCGCTGCGCTCTATGCGGCTGTTTCGGCTGGATCACCTCTGTCGAGGAAAACCCTATTAACGGGCAGAGGAGGTGGGGCTGGGGGCTTCGTTTGGTTGGTATGAGGCGCACCTTCAACGGCGAAGAACAGGGCGCTAGGAAAGGGGGTCTGCGTCTGTCGGGATAGGTTAGATTGGAGGTTACCAAGTGAAAAAGCAAGATACCCCTTCCTTCTGTTACACTCAATTTCAATTTCTGTTCCTGGCCCTGTTGTGCACCAACCCCTTCGTCTCAATAAACCAACCCCCTCGAGGCACGATGCTCCAGACGGGGGGAGAGTCTTACCTACCTAGGTCTCACAGATATACCCATCACGAAGGAACGATACGAGATGACGAGCTTCCCCAGTCGTAAAAGCGTAGTAATTCCCCGTGCTGCTATGAAGATTTTCGCGTAACGGCCTTCCTTGGGTCTCCCTTTCCTCTCTTTCTTTTCTGGAACCTGACCTCTCAAGTGTCCCATTAATGTCTCGCACGTTGCCTGTAGCTCTCTTTTCTTTCCCGGCTGTCGGTCGAATATGATACACAATACAAATGACACAGGCCAACATCTCAACCACGCCGCGGATCATCATCCAAGGGCACCGATGCTCCCCCGTCCACTGCGCAAAATCAGATCAGCCTCTTTGGCATTTCTATTCGTCGCACGAGCAGCTTCGAAGATATCGTTTTGATCGGGTTCACAACCAAACCCCCCCTCTCCACTCCCTTTCCTTGGCCATCCTGATTACGGCCTCTTCCCCCCGTCCGCGACAGGCTCTCCATCTACCTGTTCCCCATCCCCCAAGCAAAGCAAAAGGCCCGACCTCGCCTACGAACCCCCATTCTCAACCGCAGCCCTACCCGCCGCCGCCGCCGCCGCCGCCTTCCGGGCGGCCTCGAGCAGGAACGCCTCCTCGATGGCGGCCCTGCGCCGGAAGACGCGCAGCCACCGCTGGCCCCACCGCCTGACGAGGCCGTCGTGCTCGCTGCTCCCGTCCCCGTCGCCGCCCGTGGGCGCCTCGATCAGCTCGTCCTTGCTGCCCGACGCCCAGCCCGCGAGGGAGTCCTCGATCAGGCGGAACAGGCACCTCATGGCCTCGACCTCCCTCTCGCGCGTGGCCCTTTCTTCCTCCTCTGCCTCTCCAGCCGTGGAGGTGGCGGTGGCACCGGCGGCGGCGGCGGCGGGGTCGGTCCCGTCGTCCATGGCCACGTCGAGAAGATCCTGTTTCTCGTCCTGTGCGGGCTTTGTGGCCGGGGCGGCGCGCTGGGTGGAGACAAGCTGTCGGACTCGGCCAGTGACCTTGATGACAGTGCTGAAGACCAGCTCGTAGATGTGGGCGCGGCCGAGGACGTCGCCCCTCCAGTCGCCGGCATGGCGGACGAGGGCCCACTGGATGACGGTCGCGGGCGAGAGGATGCTGTAGTTGAGCAGCTTCTCAACGATGGTGATGGCCACGCCCGGATGGGCGGACCAGTAGGCCATGACGGCCGAGATGATCTGGGTGCGCGCGGCCTCCGAGGCGGCGCCGACGTCAAGCAGGCGGTCCTTGGTGCGCTCGATGGCGGCGAGCACGTGCGAGAGCGACTTGGAACCAACGTGGAGAACTGCGGTCACGAAGACGTCGGTGCTGCTGACAAGCGGGTCGAGGTTGAGATCCAGTGCGGCGGCGTGGACCCGCTCAATCACCAACTGGATTTCGTCCTCTGGCGCCTTGCTCTTGAGGAGACTGGCGATCTCGCGACCTTCGGCAGCGAATGGAGTTTCTTCATTTGAGGGTTAGAACAGGATTCGCCTGGGCGGGAGAGGCAGGGTACAGGGGGGTCAAAGTCAACTTACGGTCGTCGGCAAACTTGAAGTCTGGCACATCTTTCTCCATGTCGGCTCCAATCAGGGGTTTATATGGGTCCGGAAGGGTGTTCTTGATCCGCTGGGCGAAGCTGAGGCGAATTTCCTTGTCAATGGCTCCCAGGACGAAGGCCTTGGACGGGTGGAGGTTTGGGAGGTTCACATCATCAACCCACTCGGTCCACTTCCATGTGAAGCCAAAGTTGCTCAGATGGTGCGAGAACCAGTCGATGAAGCGATTTGTTAGTTCAAGGTCGAGGCGGTAGACGTTTTTGTACAGATAGCGGATTGCACGGCCGAGGCTTGGCGCAATTGCTGCAGGCGCCTGCTTGCAAGCCTCGGTTAGGACTGAATGGTAGTAAACCAGCTTATGCTCGGGGTTTGGCAGTTGGAACAGCTGGGAGAAGACAGCATCAACGGCCACATCCTCGGGCTTCCAGGTCGATTTGCCCTGCTCTACATCCCGTAGGCGGTCAAAGGGCGTGGCGCGAGCAATGAAGGTCTTCGGGGAGAAGTAGCAGTCAACCTCGATCAAACTTCGTGCAGTGACGTTGCGGTTGTAATGGAGGATGTTGATGGTGTCCAGGAGGGCATCCCTGATCAAGGACGCGGCGATGTTAGTCGCCGGCGGCACCGACTCCACACCCTGGTCCGCGTAAACGGTGAAGTAGATCTCCGGGAATAGGGGTCGAGGCCCAGCCACGACTGTCTCGGGGATCTTGATCGCCGGGAGCGCATGCTTGGCGCATTCGTCGAGCTTCGACTGCTGCTCAATGTCCTCAATGGGGAACTTCCATGGCCGCGGCAAGCAAGTCAGCTCCCAGCCACTGCTCGCCTCGCCTTGAAGCTGTTTCTGGAGTAGTCCAATCATGCTCATGGACACGGTCGGGCTCTCCTCGCCAGCCTCGGGGTGGTATGGATCGATCAGGGCCTGTAGAGCGTGGGGTTCCCCGGCGATGATCTCTGTCTTATCCATGAGGTCTGCTGTCTTCTGCTGCCACTGACCAGGTGCAGCTGCCATGATGTAGGGGATCGTCAGCAAGATGACCTTGACGAGTTCTGTTCCGATAGTCTGGGCGGGATTGGAGTTAGCGACATCATACATGATCCGAGACGGACTCGCACGTCCTGGGACATTGACACTTACGTCGTCCGAGCTGGCCGTCTGCAGGTCAACGGCGCGGGAGAACAAGTCCTCCAGGATGGGAAAGACACCGTCGCCCTCAAGGAGGCTCTGCAGACAGGCCAGTAGCTTCAAGTACAGCTTCACGTCCCGCCACTCTCCCGCGGCGATGTTGTTCTCAATTGCAGCCGCCAGTTTGGCCAGCAGCAGGTCGACAATCTCGACCTTGTTGGTATTGGCGACCAGGATGACGGCGGCGAGAAACGGCGTCTTCAGCGGCTGTTCCACGGACAGCTGGAGGATCAGGTCAACAAAGTTTCCGCGAAGCATCTCATCGTCGTAATTGTCCGTCATGAGGTTCGCAATTGACTGCACCTCCTCGTGCCATGGGCGCATCGGGTTCTCCGCAATGGACAGAAGCTGCTTGCGAACCCGGACATGGGGAGGTGGTTCGAAGCGGCGACGCGGCCCTCGGCGGTCGTGATCATCATCGTCTGCTCAGTTGGCCACGTCAGTATAACTTCCCAGCTGTCCAGCCCTCACGCGATTATGGAGGCTAAAATAGGGCAGCCGTAGCCAGAGCGTCTCGGCCTGGATTGATGAGGGTTCACTGACCTCGATATCGTCGTTTCCGTGGGTTGTTAAACCCGCCCCCTCCACCTTGGCGTCGATCGTAGTCAGCCATGCTGGGTGTGGTGAGCTAGATATGAACGTGGCAGAATGTTGCAGGATGTGGGAGTGCTGCCAAAGCCTTGTTAAATTGTCAAAGTAGCTGTCGTTGAACGTGATAAGTGAGGCACGAAAACGAATGGAGCTAAGATGGGATGGACGTGACGCTGCTGCAGGCGGGAGAGACGCGCAAAAGTACCTGCCGACGCAGCTTTTGAAGTTGAGTCCTGAAAAGTTAGGCAGGGTAAATTATGCCTCGGGTGTTAGGTGCTTGGGTGGGCCTTGAAGGAGCTTGGGCACCCCGGGAAAATAAAAATAGAAAATCAATGAAACTTCCAGCTCCGTTTGATTTCTGTGCTGTTCTGTTCTGTCGTTGTCTCTACGCATGTAGAATCCTACTTCATTGAATAAAGTGATACCAGATCCCCAAGCACAAATAAAGAAGAAGAAATTAGAAGAAGGTGTCCATTGCTTTGAATTGCAGCGCTTTCCACTTGGTCTCGCGCTGACCTGAGCCAAAAGCCTGCCTTGCTGCCTTGCCGCCTCGCCTGTCCTATCCTTTTTCAACAGAACGCCCACCAAGAGGAGGAATCGCAACGCTTCAATGTGTACTGTAGGTACTCCTCGTAAACTGTGAAATACTAGGATATTTTTCGAATCATGCCAGTACCGAGATTTTCCTTGCCACACAGGTCTGCTTTTCCCTACGGTCATGAAAGGTGGCAAGCATATTCCTTGTATCCATCCATCCATCCATCCATCCATCCATCCATCCCTCCGTGCCGTTGCTCAAGCTCCCCCAAGCTCCCCAACCTCCATTCATAACATGACCAGCAACTCCCTACAGCAGCCAACTTCGACAAAAGCTTTAAAGACGTAGGCCGCAATCCTTCGAGCGTCAAGCGCGGAGGGCGGGGAGGGGGAGTGGGTTGTCTTCGAAGAACCGCACAGGGAATCGATGAAAAGAAGAGAAAAGAAGAAAAAAAAGCCTAGCCAGCTTAGCAACCTTGTGGTCGCCTGCCACAGGAATCGAAGAAGCCCAGTCGGACATCGACGTGCGAAAATAAATAAATAGCAAAAGCCACCGGGTCATGCAGAAAAAGAAATCTAAAGAGAAGATATTGATCTGTGGGTGTTCTTCGATGTGGCCTCCCGAGTCACAATATGCAGAAGCATGCCGTCCCAAGGGCTGCTGGTGATTTTTGAGAAATAGTCTTCTCCTCAGCCCATCCCACATACCGCGCGGCTCATGCATCATCATCCCCGTAGGCCGCGACTAATTTCCTGCCCCCTTCTTCGTCGTGCCGCGCTCTCTGTAACTGGATGGCTGCTGGTATCTCGGTAACTTTCCTTCTTCATCTCAAGGCTCCAACGGAAACGGGTTGGGTGAAGAGCCGCCTCCTCCGAGATTCGAGATTGTAAGGTAGGTAATGCCATGCTTGTCTTTCCGAGAGAGAAGAACAGCTACGACTGGCTCAGAGGGCAGAACATCGCGGGCTCAGCAGCATTTGTCCACGCTTTCCTTTTTTCTTTTTCACTTTTTCTCGTTGGGGGAAGCGGGGAATCCCCTACTCAGTCTAGTCTAGCCATCATCTCCTGCTTGGTCATCGGCGTGAAGTTATCGATGTCAAGGCCGCGAGAGACCAGCACTGGCCTCATGTGCGCCGGCACGAGCTGATGGTTGAGCTGCGGCGCAATAGACAATTCTGGAGGAGGAAACCGTTAGCATTGTGTGCGTTGGCCAGGGTTGGATTGGGTTGGAAAAAGGAAGGAAGGGTGGAGGGGATATTGTTACCATGACGAGAGAACTCAAAGAGCGAGGGCAGATCTCTCAACTGATTGGTCTGGTGCCTCGAGTCGGGGAGCTTGGTGCTGGGATCTCGCAGCTCGTCAAAGAATGGGTGGACCATTGCATCAATAGCCCCCAAACGCTCGGTGGGCGTATACTCGAGCAGCCTCGCGATCAGATCAATAGCATTGGCATCCGCCTTGCGGAAAACCTTGTTGAAGGGATGCGGCTTGATTTGGGGGAACTTGTGCTCCATGTAGTTCGGGTTCATGGTCCGGATCTGCTCCCGTGTGGGTGTGCCCAAGACTTTGATGATCTCCACGAGCTGGTCAATGCCCGACTCTCCAGGGAAGAGGGGTTGTCCCAGCATGAGCTCTGCCATGACACAACCTGTCGACCACACATCTGTCCATCACGCAAGGCAACATTAGCTTCCGCCCCTCTCCTAATCCCACGGCTCTAGCTCGGGTCCGCCCCAACTTACCAATTTTCGTTGTGTAGTTGGTCGCACCGAAAATCAGCTCGGGTGCCCTGTAGTACCGCGAGCAGATATACGACACGTTCGGCTCGTTCTCCACCAAGATCTTGGCGCTCCCAAAATCGCAGAGCTTGAGGACTCCCGTGCTCGGGTCGAGCAGGAGGTTCTGCGGCTTGATATCGCGGTGGCAGATTCCTTGCGAGTGGATGTAGGCCAGTGCCCTGAAGAGCTGGTAGATGTAGAGCTTCACCTCTAGGATCGGCATTGTCGTTTTCATCTTGTTGAAGAATCTCGACGCTCGGTAGACCGTCTCGGGGACGAATTCCTGGACCAGGTTGAGGTACACCTCATCTTTCTGCTCTGACATCAGCGTGACACCATTTTAGATACCGGGGGCAATTGCTTACGCGCTCGCCGTTGGAATAGTAGAAGGCCTTGAGTTGTACGATGTTCGGATGTCGCACAATTCGCATAATCTGCAGTTCACGATTCTACGACGAAAAGAGTTAGTCCCGGTGACGCAAGCCATAGCTTGAACTCCGAAGCCAGGGGTGAGCTCACCTTGAACCTCTTATCTTGAAGGACGCGCTTGATCGCGGCATCCTCGTTTGAGGGTGATAGCTTGGTCTGGAAGACCACGCCGAAGGAACCGTTACCGACGATCTTGCATTGGGTGTATTGTATCTCCCTGGTCTCGCCCGTGACGCCGTCTTGAACCTTCTCACGAATAACTTCTGGATCATAATCAGCTGCGACTCAAATATGGGGAACTCTTCCTGTCCTGGGGCTAAGGCTCACCTCCCATCCGCAGGGTGTTAAAGGCTGCGGGGCGACTCGACGACATCTCGACGGGATGCGGCTCGAGTCCGTGCTACCGCTGGCTCAATCGAAGTAAGTCGCTGGTGAAGTGGGGGGTTAGGCGAACTACGGAAGAATTGATGTGCGCCGTGTTGGGCAACGAACGGCGGGATGAGCAATCGGACGGGTATCTGGTAAGATCAATGGAATGTCTGCTTGGGCGGCGGCGTTCTGCCAGCTTCGTCTTTTTCCTCTTCTTCTTTTTTCTCTCCGTGGCAGAAGTAGATAGCTCTTGTCGAGGCGCAATTCGTGGCTGCAGGTCAGCTGTCACTCTTCGGCGGCGAGTGAATGCACGGTTGGCAAGTTTTGTTGAAATGGTGTTGTCGAAGCGGGGGCCTAGTCGATTGGTGGCGGCGACGAGCAAACCAATCTTCTAGTGCCAGTTTCAGACGTGGATGGAGGGTATGTTACTGTGAGACTTCGCAATTAGAGGCAGCTTAAGAGGATGGCACAATGGCCTGAAGATGACGGCGTAGAGGTTGTTGAAGGAAGGGTGGGGAAGGAGAAGCACGTCGAAAGGAAGGCAGTCTGGACGGGCAACAGCGGAACCCAAATCGAGGTTCGGAGGTCAAGTGAGAGTTCAGAGAGCCAGGCGGGCAGATGGCCCGTGCTGAGGGAGACAGCGGGGGTTTTGCTAGCCAAAGGCCCAAAAAAAAAAGTGGCGACCAGCCACGGGCTGTGAAGGTGGCAGGCAGGGCAGGCGGGCAGTACACTGTACTGTGTGGTGGAATGAGGGCGAGTGGTGGGCATCAGCGCGCGCTTGTCTCATGCACACTGCCAAAAGGGCGACGGCGCTTCGACACTCGACCCGCTGACAGACCAGCCTCCAGAACTATTTTGGAGGGATACAGCCGCCTCTGCTTGCCTTTTGGCTCCTTGACACAACACTTCTGTTGTCATTGTGCAGGCGGTGCAATGCGAGTTGAGACAGACGGCGATTTGTGGGCTAAGTCCAGGACTGGAGCCAATGCAGAAACTGGTTGGAATGTACAAGTACAATCGAGTATGCGCAAAATTGCATTGGGGTGCGAGGGCGAATGGGGGGTTGGGGTGGCCAGGAGCGTGAATTCAGTTTGAGAGAGAGAGTGGAGGAGGAGCCGGCGGGGCGGCTCGCGGGGGAGAGGCTGAGGTTAGGTGTGACGGTAGAAGTAGAAGCAGGGCAAGTATAGAAACACAATTCCGAATCACTTACAGAAAAACTGTTAGGCAATGACCCATGAGCCCCAAAAATCACAGATCGGGGATGCGAGTGCTGCGGAGAAGTTGACAGGCGCGGGTGCGTGAGGGCTTTGCTATTGCTGTGGCTGTTGTTGGATGAGGGGTTGCGAAAGTCCCGTTGTCACCGTCCACTAGATGCCCGACAAGTAGAGGGGCACAAATTCCTGGTGGTGGGCAAATGGTATGTCTCTGGTTGGCTGGTTCTTCGAGTTGTTGACCAAGGAGGGAAGTTGCGGAGCCCGCGCGAGGAGGGGTGAGTGAGGGGCGGGGCGATGGAAACTAGGCGTGGCCAGGGCGATCTATGAGACAAGATGCGATCTGAAGGTACTGGACGAAATAAGGGGGGGAGAAGGAGGAAAATAGAAGGTTAACAGTTGGTAGAAAGGAACCTAGTAGGATAGGTAGGTAGGTATGGAGCAAGGCCGAAAAGACGGTTTACGAGCACGGCGGGCTAAGGTAGGGGAGTCTTCGCCGCAACTGGGAAGATTGGGACAAGGGGTGCGACTTTTGTGGAAAGAGCTCGACTAGGCGCGAGAGGAGAAACGGTTCAGCTTTTGTTGGTACCCAAGGTACCCAGATTTTGTATCGTGTGATGCAGGGAAAAGTGGAAAGCTAATAGTTTTTACCTACCTACCTCTTGTAGTTGTTGGTCAGGCGGGTGACATGCGGAAGGGGGCGAAGGCAGCTGTGACGTGACTGGCCGGGGCCAGAGACGCCAAAGGTCAGGTCAGCCAGTTCCCGATGTGGTCAGGCAGGGGAGGACAATGGGCTGAAGTGAAAATAGCCTCAGTTGATGCGTCACTCACTGCTCATTAGTCATTGCTTTGCCTGCCTACCTCCATCTACACACACCTCGAGAGATGTCATACGGTCAGGGAGATATATATGAATTGGGAAGGGCGTGCATCTACCTATTCATCAACCTAACTTCACAATGAAAGACAATGTCTACTCTGCAGTATTGACATAGTCAGTCCCTATTCCATGTTACCCCACAGAACAGAAACTAGCAGCACAGCTCACAAGTCATAACAAGCACTGAAACTCTGAACCTGGGACCTAGCCACAGAGTAGAATTGAGCTTGAGAGCACCTACAGGGCTAGGAGCGCACGGGGTTGGATGGCGGCGAGTACAGATACAGGAAATTGGATCAGAGGGCCAGGGGAGCTGGTTCGGTCAGGCTGGAAGCTTGCCTGGGCTTTCTTTTTGCTCATGTGCCCTCCCGTTTCGAGACGGACTTCCAGGCGCTAGAGACTCGGCAGCGAAAGTGGATATTACTGCAGGGTCTTTCCCTCTTGTTATCTCGTCTCGCCTCGCCTCGATCAACTAATAACTCACCTTGCCCACACCGGCGCAAATTGGACGCTTCCCTACCTGCCTGACATACATACCCATCGTCCCAGCCTAACTCGCGGTATTGATTCACCAAGTATGTTGGATCATCAGCATAGGCGTAATCATTCTTCTGACTTGAGCCTGGATGAAAGCAGTGAAAGCGCAAAGGGACAAAGCAAAAAGGGGGGGCGCCGGAGACGTGGCTCCTTTCTGGGCTCCAATGAGGTGTATTGGTACTCGTTTCTGCCGGAGCCAGCTCCTCGGCGTGGCAGCTTCAAATGGGCATTTCCTTTTCTTTGCTGTGGAAGGCATTCCTCTTTATGTAGGAATGTTCTGCGATATTATAATTGGGCATTTGCCTCGCTGATCAGCTATTACCCGCAGCCGTCCAATGGCAATACTTCCCATTCCTTGACCATATTTATGACTTGGTGTGGGCCGTGGGCGAATCGGTTGGCGTCACTGTCGGTTGTTTCTGACGTTCACAAAAAAAAAAAAAAAAGTCTTCTGACGCACCAACAGGGATGCTTAGCTGCTTGTCGCCAAACAAAGCGATCTCTCGGACGGCCAATCGCCTGCTTCTCGATGGACCGCGATGGCACCACCCCCGGTGGTCTTAACGATGGGCCCATTGACGACATCGGCAGCGGCTCGACGGACCTTATAAGTTACCAGCACGGATCTATACCGAGACTCTCGGCTACTACCTAACCCTTACCTTGTAATTCCTAATCCGTACTGCTGCCGCTCTGTTGCCTTCCGTATCCCGAGCCCGCTTTGCCCACGGACCAACGACCCAAAGTTCTGAGTTGGAGTGCGGGGCACAGTCAAGCCACTCAATGCTCCGGCGGGGCATGGCACCCAGCCGAGACACCACTGCACTGCTTGACGCTCGACACGATTCGTCTCCAATCATTCAATGCATTATGGCATTCTATTCCGTACAGATTCGAATATGGGTGCCCGTTTGCTCTCATCAGGGGGCTAGCAACCTAACCTATATATAGATACTTGGGTACTGTACCTTGATGTCGAATAAAGATCGAGTCTGGGCCACTTTTGGACAGAGAGATTTGGTCCCATGACCTCGAAATCCACGCTAGTCGAAAAAGAAGAGGGCTACCTGTAACCACCAAGGGGCAGAGAAGAGGTACGGCGGAATGCGGCGAGGTGAGGAGGAGACGGTTATTGTTGACTTCCATGTTTGTTGACCGGGTAGCATCTACATGTTTGATCGAGGCATTGGCAAATGAAACTTATTGGTTTGATCCCAAGACCATGGTTTACCCAAGCTGGGGACCGGGACGAAGCCTTTCCACGGCCCAGTTTCCGGTCTGCAGCCTCGAAACTTGCCGTTCGACTGCTTCCAGGTCTGCTGACCGTGGCGCACCAACAACCCCTTGAATAGCCGGGCGGCCCCACCAGGCACACGGCGGGACGAGGAATCTGGGTTGGATGCCTGCCATGCGAGCTTGTCCACGCTTTCCCACATACTTCTATCAGTGTAGGACTCATCGATGAGTGGGTGGCCGCTGACGTCTCACCAGAAGGCTGTCACAGCTCGTCGGCGAGGGCATGGCGACGGCAGCAATCCGTGCGCGTATTTCAGCCTCTTCCTCGGATTGGAAAGCAGGTTTCGGAGGAGACGCAGGGCCGTGCATTAGTCGTTCTGGAGCTTGGAGCTCAGAGCTTGAGCTCTTGAACTTTGGGTTGCATCACTTCTGGTTGTGACGTATGCCACTATCAATATAGACAGCTCAATCCATGCGAGATGCATTCTGTATCACTCTCTTTTCAACTGTGACGGGTAGTTACACTGTTCACTGAGTCCCCAGCCCTAGGGTGACCCCTGTATCCACTTGGAGTGACAAATGAGAAGCTACTAGCGCTGTGTAACTTCAATGCGTTTTTCTGTTGCTCATAATCTTGAGGAGGCCTGCGAGTTGACTGCTGGGGCTGTTTGCAACGCAGCCACAGTAAAGAAGATTTGGTGAGTGTTAGTCGATGGAAAATTGGCTCTGGCTGGTTCAGACCCATTTTATGGAGCGCAGGACTCGTAGCCAAGCCAAGCAACCGAATATCGTGTGTCTTTCTGGTGGTTGCAGATTCAGGAACCTATGTATCACCTGACTCTTAATTCCTGTCACATATCACACCATTACCAAGTACTAACCTCTTATCCATACATCATTGATCATCGACAGCTCAATTAGAAGGATTTCCATGCTACTAACACTTTGAAACTAACACATGGGAATCGAAGGACAGATGGGGGCGGTGCCAAGGTAACCAGCACACGGAGACCGACCTGTGTCACCCACTAGTCATCCTTTTTTTTAACGAGATCTGCAACAGCTTCAAGCCAACCCCCGCTTGACGAGGTGATCTTGCCCAACAATTCCTTTTCTGAAATCAGTGTCTCCGACGAAAACAGGCCGCCCTGAGCATAGTTCACACCCGGAGCAGGCATTAGCCCTCTCGGAGGCCAAAAGATTCGGCACTCTAATAGGACTGACAGACCACATGGTTGCACCACATAATCTTCCAGGCTCCCATCGCTGAATAGGGAATGAGACGCATGTGCGGAGAGCATGCCTTTGAATCAAAGTGAAGTAGCCAGCTCGGGTCACGTAACTAGGCCCCCCATGCCATGGTAATAATAGCGTAGGAGACAGCATTTCACGATCCAAAAGCTAGGCCTTAAACCATTCGTTTAACACAAGCACCAGGGCGGAAAGCACAGAACCGTAGACTCCTGGCGCTGGAGGGCTGTCGTCGCCAGCACACACGTACAAGATGGTGGAACCAATATTGAAAAGAACTAGCCAGTCGCTACCGTAGGAAATATGACAAGCGCCGCAGTAACGATACGACAGAGATGGCTCGCGCGGCACACGGCGTATCCGAGTGCCACTCCCAAGCAGGACCATGAGCCCTTCGCACGAACACACCCGCCTCCAATCTTTGCGACGGGGTCCACCATACCATCATCACCTTGCCCATCGCCATGCCCATGAACCCTCTCCATATTCAGCTCAGAGTGCGAGGTTGTACGAGTACTCATCCTCCATATTCTGGCTAACCCATAGAATGGCAGAACTGACAATAAGGTTAGCTCAGTGCACCATACTTGGCTTTCTGGAAACTCTCCCGGGGCCACAGCCAAATGCCCAGCCATACGGCAACCAGCAAAGGCGGGGAGGAAAATCAAGGAAAGAAAAAGAAAGAAAGAAAGCACAGCAAAGTCTCACCTCAACCCCACCAGCGCATTCGCAACGATGTTCTCCACCCCCATGGCCATCATGGGCCACCTGACGCCCGGCACCGCGAACTTGAGCACAAACACCGTGACGCCGCCCGCCATGCCGCCCGCCAGGGCCGCGAAGCCCAGGAACAGGACGACGCGGGCCTTCCACGCGACGCCCGAGCCCGAGTAGCTGAAGCTGTCGCCCGACAGCCGCGTCTTCTCCACGCTGTTGGTGATGAGCATCCCCAGGCTGCTCGTCAAAAAGGGGAGCCAGTCCACAAAGGTCACGTGTACCGTCGACCCGTTGAGAGAGCTCTTGGACCACACTGCTGCGTCCAGGAGAGTGTAGAAGGCGGCCGCGAACTGGGTTTGGGGGCGAGCGGGGGCCTTTGGTTAGTCTTTCGGTTTGATGAGGGGAGAGGATTTGGTTTGGTTTGACGGGGAGGGGAACGAGGTCGTTGGGGTTTAAAGGGGACGGAGGAATAGACATACCAGAGCACCGGCCGTGTAGATGCCGGCGTTGCGCGCAAACGCACTATGCATCCATTCCGGTCTTCGGAACTTCCAGAGTCGGTCTTCTGACATGGCTTAGGAGGGCCGGCCGTCCGGGCGAGTTTAACGGCGCGAATGGGTTAAAACTGGGGAAATCGGCGTTAGAGGCCGAGGTGATGATGTTGTTCGATGGTCTGCTGTCTCTGCCGGCGATGACAAAGGAAATGGCTGGGGAAATGCGGTTCCAAGTTCGTTAGGAGCTGATTGATGGTTAGCCAAGGGAATGACGACGTCTACGGCGAGGCTGATGCCGCGGCCGCCTAGTACACGCACGTGACACATCACGTGAAAGCCCCTGTATATAACAACGGATGTATGGCCCCTAGGTACGGAGGGCGACAGCGACGGTTCACAAGAATAGGCTCGACGTCTAGACTGATCATTTGTTGTCTGATTTCAACTAATTTGGAGTCTCTTGAGAATCCAAATTCATCCAATGACCACGGGTGCGGCATCGATCTAGTATTAACACTGTCTGGGATGACGACGGTTTCTGCACGCACAAGCCAACCAACCATAAAACACCACGCCTCCCGTCGTGCTCAAATATTGTCTAATTCCTGCTGTGACAGCCACTGACTGACGTCGAGCCTTCCAAACGCCGCCAAGAGAAGCACAGTCGCCTTCTCTAGGCCGGAACTCCCAGGGAAAATCCAAGCAACCCTACCCCTTCCGGTATCTCAAAGTCAAGGTGCAATGTTATTATGCTTCGAAGTTGATTATGCTGTTAGCCCCTCCCAGCAGCGTGATATACAGGCCGGGGGGGGGAATAGGTAAAAAAAAGAAAAGCTCCAATGGGTCGGCTCTTAGAACTGCCAAAAGCTGAAAAACCGTCCGTGGACAATTGGCCGGCTGAGGGGACGCCCAAGAGGTGAGAGCTAGGAGACTAGACAAAATGTGGTGCTACACTGAACAGCCTGTCCTCGTTTTTGAATAAGGATAGAATCCCCCTAGTGGGACTCGATCCGAGGCGGCCATATGGGACAAGAGTAGTTGCTACCCTCGCCTGTAGTCCGCAAAAAGGGAATGCCGAAGAAGATCGAAAAAGAAAACGAGATAAGTGGTGCCATGCTGCCGTGTAGGCTCGAGGTGTTGCTGGGCCACGCCGAAAACGCCGTATTGGTTGCTGCCTCGATGCATCTTTTTTGACTGCTAAGTCGTCCGTAATTTCGTGACTGGTCGTCTCTCTTCAGATCTCGATAGTCTTCATCACCTCCTCTATCGCCATGGGTTGCTTGCCGCTCGACTTTTCTGTATTATTGCTGCCGCCAGACTCGGCGGCGGGTGCCGCGTCATCAGCCAGAGTCTCGCCGTTTGCCAATGCCGAGAGCCTCGCTGTCGCCTTGCTGCCCTCGTCGCTGTGGCGCGGTGTTTCCACTTCGACTAGCTTCTCGAGAGGCTTGGCCCCATTTGCAGCCTGACCTGTTGCCTCCTCTGCTACCCGAGCAAGGGGGCTCGATTTGCCATATCCGGGCCGGATAGGACTAGTTACCGGCGAGTTGAGGCTCAGTCGCTGCATAGATCGGCCTCTGGGCTCCCCGTTTGGCTCCGTGGGGCTGGAGTAAGGAGAACCGGAGCCGGTGGGTGAGACTGCAGGCCCAGGAACAGCAGATTTCCGCTTAGCAGCACGTCGGCCGTATTTCTGGTCCATTCTCCACCTTAGGATTTCAAAGTAAGCAGGCTCAACACGAGCCGCCTTGAACTCGCGCAATTTGAGCTCGCCGCTGTCCTCGTCGACGAACCACTTCCCGCTGTTGAGATCATCGGCGACGAGGGCTAAGAAGGCCGCCCAGGATCGAGCCACTACATATTTCGTATCATAGTCGCGACCGAAGAGGATGACCTGACCCCACTGTCCAGTAGGCCCGGGTGCCAGATCCACTGCCAGGTTGTTGCCGCCCCAGTCCCGGACAAGAGGGATCCAAGCGGGATGTGCGTATGATTTCTGGACCGCGTTGACGGGGATCGAGCCCTGACGAGCAAGTAGATCTTGTCTCCACATTCCATTGTTTGACGGCGCCGGGCTCGGCGGACTCTGTCTCGATGATGACGCCTCGCTACTCCCGCCATGTGCCTTGCTTGGCACCGAAGGTTTCGCAGCGGCGGTCGCAACCGCGGCGTCAGACAGGAACTCGAGATTCACCCTCCTCCAGTTATCCCACTCCTGTACGATCTCCTCACAATCCAGCAGCATGGACCCGAAGATGATGCCCGTGGGGTTTCCTGGTCGCTCCTGGCCATCATGGATCTGTAATGATTCTCGCACATCCTGCGGGAGAGTGCAGTCGAGCTGATGTTCGAGCTCATTGATGTCGTTGGCGGTACAGCCCTCGCAGACCTGGTCATACAGCTCGGGATAGTTTTCGTCGGCCCACTTGTCTATGCGGGACCAAGTGTGTGATACTGGAGGCGGGGGTGGGAGGCCATCCCGGAACGACTGCATGGGTATTTCGCCTGATGGGCTCTGCATCTCGAATCCGTCGGCCCCGTCGAGTGTGGTGGACCCCCTAGCATTGAGAGACCTCATCCCGGGGGAATATGGCCTCCCTGGCGCCATCGGGCTCGTGGGGAGTGACTGTGAGGGGCCCATATAAGCGGTCGAGGTACCTTCCAGGACCGATGATGAACCACGTCCCATCTCGTCATGGTATGTAGATGTGATGTCGGCGCGGGATTCGTTGGCGGTCGCGACGGAGGTCAGGGTATCTCGGTTAAGTGGGACGTGGCGACCCGTTCGGTAAGGGGAATCATAATTTGAATCTGATTGTCTGTAAGCATACAAAGCAGCGGCGGCGGGAAGGTGTACTGACGTCGGTCATAGCTGGTCATGGTATGCCAAAACGACCGAAATGCCGAACCGATTCTGAAGTAACGGGTCACTTTGTCAGCGCTTAATCCGAGACAGGGTTGGGATGAAGGGATCCGCAGAAGGCAGCAGGAGATTCTGACGTACGAGGAAGCCATCGTGGGCGACTGATCCGTCCCAGGACTGAGATTTGGTTGTTGGAAGGTCGAAAGACGCGATGTCGTTGTTCCGACAGAAAAGGAAAGGGGGTGGTGGAGCAGCGAGGAGATTTCGAAGCAGGTTGACTGGGGGGGTGGAGAACAAGAGCCAACGCGCAACGCCGTGGCTTTGTCAGTTGCAGCGAGATCCGACAAGATCTAGAGAGGGAGGGAAGTAATAAAAAAAAGGTCGAGGAGAAAAGACGGCCGATTGAGAAGAAAGGCCCTCCTGCTTGGCTGGCGAAACAGGTGGAAGAGGCAAGGTGATGGATGGCCTTGAGGGTCTTCTTGGCCTATCCTGAATTCCACATGTCGTGTCCGGCCAGGGTGTGTGTTTAGTGTATAACAAACAGCCTGGCTTGGGTACCCTAGGCCAGGTACTTGGGAAATTACCTATGTAGGCGGGCTGGCAATCAAGATGTGCACGCAATTGCTAGGTATTTGGAGGGCAGCGTTTGTTATTTCTGGCCTGTTCGTCCTGTTCTTGGGAGTTCAGATCCCATTGTGAGAGAAGACACGAGGACGGAAAGGAATCAAGGACAACCAAGAATATTGGGGGAGGGTAACCTCAATAATTGGCATAATATTATGACGCCAACGAGTGGTGAAAGTGATTACGGAGTATCCATGCATCCACTCCTATCAGCCAGGCCTCCCAGGATTCTAATTAGCAACCCTGCCGTTACAATAATAACGAGGGGTTAGACCAGGCCTGGATTCTACCACTGGTTTCTTGTCGCTAATTAACGCCTCGCTAATTACATTAAGGTCCAGACTAAATAATAAATTCAGGAACCGCTCAACTGTCTTTCGTCCTCTCTTCAGGCACACGCACTTCACTCCTAGCTCCCTACTAACCCAAGAACTTCGTTTTCCTTCCTTCCCCTTTTCCACAAACAGGTCCGCAACGGAAGTTCGCAGGTCAAATATGTGGTGGCAACATCAAACACTTCCTCCCCTGTTCGCCAGGCAGGTACCCTTCCTATTTCTGCGACACAGAGACACAGAGCCACGAGGACAACCAACCATTACTCTAGCATAGCAAGTCTGTGAGTGCCTCTTGGCCTACAAGCGTAGAGTCCAATGGGGCGCCAAGAATAGGACGGCGAAAAAAAGAAAAGTGGAAGAGAGCCCCTCGAAACGGCGGGGCAGAGGGCGGAGTGGCAGGGTTAGCGCTGTTAGGTCATGGAGTGGTCCAATCATAACGGCTCTCTTCGACGGTTTGGTCCATTAAACAGGCGCCGATTTGCCTCCCCGTCCCTTGGTGTGCACGGCGGGCCCTGCCGCAAATACACAACATCTGATTGATGCCCGTCAAAGTTGATTACACCGCATTGTCGCCACTGATGTGATGTTGCAGGCTTGCAGCGTCCCTACCTGCCTACCTACCTACCTAATCAATAAATATGCCGCTGCCATGTGTTCTGGGATGACAAGCCCCAGTTTGTTCGTTGGCTTCGGACGCGAACGACCCAAAGGTGCACCACGTCAACTTCGCCCCCCCCGCACTGCTTCCCTGTCTACAAGTGTAAGATGATCGACATTCCCAACCACACAAGCTTTCCAGGCTTGAATCACCCAAAGGCCAGCATCCGTCACTCTGAGCCTATCGTTTCCCAACGGGATCTTCACAACCCCCGCCCGCTGCATAACCAACCGTAAATCGCGTCAATGTTGTATAGATTAGAAGCGCAGGGCAGCCTCTGTGTGGGTTCGCAGGGTTAATGTCAATTCCATAACTGGGTGCTCCGTAGTAAAACTGAATCAATAGTCCCCGGAAGGCGAGGCTCACCAAAACCCGGCGTGCCCGGGTGAGCTTCTACACTAGCTGAACTACCGTCTAAACCTAGAGCCAATCTGTACCTGAACGGCGAATGCCTCTCCGGGTAGGTATCTTCATATGTACCACTCATTCCTGGGGTTCGTACGTCGATGAACGACCTTCATACAGCGGCTACCGGTATAAGATGTCGTGCCAATGTGCCGTCACCCGAGCTCATCAAGTCTGCCACATATATTCGCTCAGATTCAGCAGTTTGTCCGCCATCTGCCTCTTCGCCTGGCTCGCGACGCCCCTCTCCGGATCCGCCAGCTGCTCGCTGTAGCACAGCTCCACCAGGGTCTTGAGCTCGTCGTACGTGAACCGGTCCGTGGCACCTGCCGCGGCCGCGTCCCCCTCCTCCTCCTCCTCCGCCGACTGCTGCTGCCTCTCCGCGTCCTCCCTCGCCCTCTCCACCACGGCGTCGGCCCCGCCCTCGAGCAGGGCGTAGTAGTTGGCCGCCCTGGCCAGGTCGACGGCGCCCTCCTCGATGTTCTTGAGGTTCTGCTGCAGTACTAGTATGTTGAGCTGCATGCGCCCGCAGCCCTTTGTGTTGATGGGCGCCACCATGGCCGCGTTTCCGACGAGATAGCTCTTGATGAGCAGGCCGAGCCCCGTCCGGGTAAAGGAGACCTCGCGCTCGCGCAGGAACCGCGCCACCGTCTCATCGTACACCACCATCTCGGCGTTGAGCGACAGGATCTGCGGGTCCGGCTCGGTGACCTCCTGGTTCAGCAGGTAGGGCGCCGTCGACGGCGAGAGCACCACGTGCAGCGAGTGCACGATCCGGCACCGCACCTCCATGTGCAGCGTCAGGAGCGCTGTGGCCGCGAGCTCTTCATACGAGGAGATGATGTTGTCGAAGGATCTGTTGTTCATGCACGTGTGAGTTCATGGTCCAGTGCGTGTCTCAGGGGAATAACCGAGTTGGGAGTTGCGCTTACTGGACTGTCTCCTGCGTCATAGGCAGGTAGACTGGTCCGCCGTCCTCTGTCGCCTTGTTGGGGTCATTCAGAAGGGTCCAGCGTCTCATCTCCGGCCTGGGTAAGCTTGATCTAGATGAATCTGTCTCGTGCCTCGTGATATGCCGTAGCCGTGAGATTTTGGCCGACAGCCACTTCATGCTTGTATAAAGCAGACACAGCGAGGAGATGGTGTCGCGATCCTGGATGATATCGCTCAAGTCGAGTGGTTTCTCGTTGGTCTGCACTATTAGCAAGCCTACTTCTTGCTCCAACAGCCCATAATCGAGGCCCTCGGATGTCCAGAGCTTCTTCACCGTTTCCTGGATCTCGCCAGGCTCGGTAGCCATGACGGCCGACGCTCTGAGGGTATCTGTATCAGATGCTTCTTCTCGAGTCTTGGTCACGAGCGTCCTGTACCAGGTGAAGCACCGGTCGTAATATCGGAGCATCTGAGTGATGATCAGAGAGCTCAAGGCCTGGTCGTGTGGGATGGTGCCAAGCATCCTGCAGAACGCCGTCACCACCGTGAAGAATGCGGTCGTCCCTTTGAAAACGGGCCTTTTGGCGAGGCGACTCCAGTCCGGGTCTTGCTGGAAAGCGTCTGCCTCGCCGAAGACTGTATCGCTAAGCTTCCCCAATGTTTCATCCAGCTGCGGCTGGAAGACGTTCACCAGGAAGTTGTCGAGGAATGATGTCAGAGTGCTTGTGGCCAAGTCTGACCCCGGAGGCACGATGCTCTTCAGTCTCTGCAGGAAGACCAAAGTGGGGGGAAGAAGTAAGCTCATATTGAAGACGCTGGGCTCGACGAGAGACTTGTATGTCCCGTTATCTTGCTGATTCTTCCCCGAGGTCGGGCCAGTGCTCTTCCTCACATCTGGTCGAGGTGCTATCAAAGAGGCCTTCTTGTTTGTGTTGTCGAGGCCCTTGCGGCTGTTGGAAGTCAAGCCCGGGACTGCAGCGCGAATAATCCCATCCAGAGCATCGAATTCCGTGGCTATCTCGACCGACTTTGTATCTGTCTCGGAAAATTTGAACAGATGCTCTCGCGAAGGATCCGACCTCCCATCTAGGGTCGCTCCAGGCCTCAGGGAGGAGTTGAACTGGTATACATCGGCATCGGTGGTGACATAGTTATGGAGGAGGGATCGGATCTCGTTCTGATAAAGGTTCCACAGTTCCTTGAAGCTTCCCAGGAGGGCGCTGTTATTACCAGCACCCTCACGGCGGATAAGCGCCTTGATAGACTCGTGAAGGACGCGGTGTCCTTCTGCGATGGCCTCGAATTTCCCATACAACGTCCACAGAAGGTCATAGATGACGTCGGCCCTCATCCGGGTTTCCCTGTTGCCGTATATATGAAGGCCACGTGGACCAGACGTCCCTCCTCGCAAGGAACTGGGATGTTTCTGATCGACATCGTTGATCGTCTCATTGACCACTCCAAAGAGCTCAACCGGTAGTCTCTGCTTCAGGGTATCAACAGCGGTCTCTAGCCGTCCTAATCTGTTTAGCGATTCAACGAGCAGGCCAACGTAATAGAAAGTGTCTGCCTCGGGGTTCTTGGCTGGGTCCTCGGCGGCTGCCTTTTCCAAGTCCATCGAGTCTAGGACCATATAGAACGGTGCTGCCGCTTCCGAGACCGCATAGGTGTCATTGAAGCCGCCCTGATTACTGGCGAGGTTCTGCCATCTCTCTTGGCAGTAGGGAGACTTGAGATAGAGATGTTCGTGGAGCTCCTCCACGAGGATATCCATCAGGGCATTTTCTTGGTTGGCCAAGTAGCTCCTCAATTCGGTCAGCCCTCCAATGTCATCAAGCTCCGGTTTCCTCAACTTCCGCAGCGCGTTCTGCAACACCTCCACGGCGCTAAGAAACCGCTTCTCGGATATCCTTGCTTCGAGCTGGTCGGGCACAGCACGGAGGTCGTCGAGTTCGTTGAGCGTCTGCAGAACCTCATCATACATCTTGGATGTGGTATGCATCTTCTTGAGCTCCAGGTCTGTTGTGCACAAGCTCGCCTTCGAAGCTGCAAGCGAATCCTTCAGGGCGCGCACCTTCTTCTGCGAGGCCTGTATGCTTCCCTGGATCTTGTGGAACGTGCCGATAGAGCTGTTGAAACCCTGATGGTAGTCGTGGACGATGTTCTTCAGCGAATCCTGCAAGAACGTATGTGTCTTTTGGAAGTCGCGGTATTCGTGTGCCCTTCCCACCGAGCTCGTGTCGAGCAGCTGCAGCGCCAATTGTACCGGGACGCAGTCATTCTCGCACATTGCCGGCCATTCCTGCTTGATGAGTTCCAAGACCTCGCCGATCTGGCGCTCTGCATTGGTCACATATCCGCGCTGTTGTTGCTGTTGCTGCTGCTGCTGCTGCTGTTGTTGTCGCTGGCGCGACGACGAGGGGTTCCGGGTTGCCGTACGGGTTGCCGTACGAGATCGCGGGTTACTCGGTTGTTGTGGCGCCACATATCTATCGCTGCCATAGCCTTCGCCGAAGGGATCGTAGTCATCATCTTGCCTCCCAAAGTTTCCGTAGCCGTTGCCGTTGCGGAACGACTGTCCGTACCTGTTGGACATCTCGATTCATAGGGTAGGGCTGGCCGAGTAGCTATCAATCTACCGTGTTCATCGTGCGGGGTTCGGGTAGGGTAGGGTTCGCATCAAAAGTGTACTGTGAATTATTTTGTCGGAGAGTTCTTGGAAATGGAGGCTAGGCTGTTCAGCTTGTGGAACGCGGAAGCTGTCATCAATGCTCGGCGGCTGGGGCGTTAGTCTCAGGTGGCCCGTTACATCCTGGTGATGTGGTGCAGCTGTTAGCCGCTGAGCCCCAGCGTACCTTAGCTAAACGCCTAGCTGCATCCTTCAACCACCTCAACCAGCACCAAGAAGAGCCTACTTCACATGAAATATGTTTTGCTGAACCAATTATTGCTGCATTCTAATGGCCTAGGTATCTATGTAAATATGCACAACCTATGAGATAAGAAGCTGCTCAAGTTCTAGGTTATCTAGACAGGGTAGTTCATTGTTCGGCAGGTGCGATTTGGTAGTTCCCGGCCGCCGGACACTGCCCCACTCCGGGACTGACCCGTTATTTCTCGGTGTGAGAACAGGCTGAGCCGCATCTGCGCCTCGCAACACCATCCACTCCTAGCATCCATGATCTGATGCATATACTCATATCGCCCTTCTTTGCAACAGCCATGAGCTGACATGTCAAACTCATTCCCCATCCACCCAGTTGGCCGGTTTGCTGGTGCCAGCGAGCCGGTCAAACGCCCCAAGGTAATTCACACGATACCTCCTGGCCGCCATATTGAACCTCCGGACTCACTCTTATCACCCTCAGGAATTCGCATGCTTTTCATACGATGAACAGCACAACTTCCAACTGGATGACTCATCCCTGAAATGGTACTACCCCCCAACCTTGGGAAGCGACCTGTCAAAGGGCTTCGAGTCCTTTGTCAAACATGATGATAGCCAAGAAGAGCACCTTGACAGTCTCCTCAAAACCATCACTGGCCATGAGCGCGAGACTGGGACACCTATTGATGCTCATATCGTGACCTGGAGAGGTATGATGACAAAGGTAATGAAGTCGAGTTTCTATCAGTTTCTATCCTCAAAGGATAGCGTATTGACACTCGCATGGTCAGATAATGGCAGCTCCATTTGAGGATCGTGATGGGTATGCGGGATGAATCCCTTGGTATCTACACCGTTGGATGGACCAAGTTATTCTAAGCCAGTCTTCTAGATTTGAGCTCAATGCTACCCTATACCGGGTAAGTGTCCCAGGTTATCCTGCCTGAACCCCTAAGCTAATATGGAGCCTTTAGAATTGCATGTGAGTTGAGTTGCATGTAGGCGTTTCAATTTCCCACTGACCGGCCCCAGTTTCATTGAGGAGAATCACGACTACAAGATGGCTATGAAGAAGGAACAGGCATCCCAGCCTTGGAGAGGCCCGATCCCACAAGAAGTCATGTCGTTCTGGGGTATGAGTCTACCTCTGACCTCTGGGGCTATTCTATCTAACTCATCTAGGCTACAAGTTCGAGGCCCTGTCGACCATTCCTGCCCCTTGGGGGGAGACCTCACGCGAATATATCGAAAACAGAGACAACGTGGTAGTTAGCAACAAGGAGCAGTACTGCTCTGTTGTGCGAACGGGGATTGGTAGCACTGTTCTGTGTCTCGGTGGCGAGGTTGACGCTTGTACGTCCCGCAGAATCCTTGCTTCTGCTCCTGGAATCCACCCGAACCCCCCACTGACTGATAGACTTGTTGCCATAGTATGGGATACGAAGCCTGAGGAGAAAGGAGCACCGATTAACTGGATTGAACTGAAAACCTCAGCAGAAATTCGTTCAGATCGAGACATGGACAATTTCGAGAGGAAGCTGATGAAGTTCTGGATCCAATCTTTCTTACTTGGCGTTCCCAAGATTATTGTTGGGTTCCGGTCCCGAGACGGAGTGCTCGTCAAGCTTGAGGAGATCGAAACAGCCAATATCCCAACGACGGCCCAGCGACGAGGCAGGGCTCGTTGGGACGGAAACACATGCATCAACTTTGCCAGTGCTTTCCTAGAGTGTGGGTTGTTTCCTTGGCATGAAAGTAGCGAGAAAGCTGACCAGTTACGTCCATCCATACAGGGCTTCGGAGCGTAGTGAACGACGACGGGGTCTGGAGGATCAGGAGAAAACCCAATTCTCCCACTATCGATGTGTTCAAGGTCGAGGAGACGGGCCACGGCAAGATTGTGACGGATGAGTTCATCAATTGGCGGATTAGGCTCTCATTAAGCCAGGCGGGACCAGTAGTTTCTTGATACCCCAATACAGACAGACAGGCACAGGTTTTTTTCGCCTGGTGGAATCGACATGTTGACCAGCTCGGGGACGCATTCTTCGGCTGTGCCTCAACACCCAGCTCCCAGATTGCTTCAGCTAAACCCACATGAGCGATTGGGATGTTCGAGGCAGAAGGAAAATGGGGCGACTCATCTATTGGCCCGCTGACCGCGTTTCTTAAACCCCCCAACCTCAGCTCAAGGGCTGAATTGTATGGGAAATGGGAAACACGTGACACGTTGCACTAACAATTTTTGACCCTTGATCTTTCTGGAAGCTTTCCTTTCTTTGTTGGTCAGCTTCGTATTCGTCGGATCTACAAAAGTCATGTCTCTTCTGTCACCGCCCCCTTCCCTTCCAGTCCCTTCATTTTCTCCTTCCCACACCCCCTCAGACCCTCGCTCACCAGCCCACCGGCAATGACGACCCGCCCCATCCTTTCCAACCTACGGCGGGCTCTCCCCCGACTCCCTCGCGGTCAACCGCCGCCCCTGCACAAGACTTGCCCCCGGCGGCACAAGAGCACCTCATCCTCCGCCCCCGGCCCCGGGCCCGACCCCTCCTCGCGCGCCTCGCGCATCCTCTCCCGCCTCCCGCCGTCCCTGCAGCGGTACGCGTCGCGCCTGCGCGGCGCCCCCGTGTCGCACGTGGTCGCGTTCCTGGCGCTGCACGAGCTGACGGCCGTGGCGCCGCTGCTGGGCTTGTTCGGCTTGTTCCACTATACGGACCACGTGCCCGTCGGGTACGTGACGGAGCACTACGGCGCGTACGTGGGCGAGGGGCTGGCGAGGTTCGAGCGGTACTTTAGGCGGAAGGGCTGGTTTGGGTTTGGGGAGGGCGAGGGCGACGGGGAGGCGGATGTTGCTGCTGCCGGGGAGGGAGGGGCTTTGGACCGGTGGCAGAAGGATGGGAGGTACAAGGTCGTCGTGGAGGTGGCTCTGGCGTATGCTATTACAAAGGCGCTGCTTCCGGTTCGCATAGTGGCTAGCCTGTGGGCAACACCGTGGTTTGCAGGCGTCCTAGGTCGCTTGCAGATGCTAGTGAGGCGCAAACGGCCACCCCAGTAGACCCGTTGCCCGGCACTATTGGCAGGGTACGTTCTCTTGGCGATCACAGGAATGGAATTGCTTCTATCTCCTGATTCTATTCGGAATATGTACGCTCATTTTTGGCATTGGCTTGCAGATCCTATATCAACTAGCCTACTGCCTACTCCTCGTAGGTCCAGTCGTGCATGGCAGACTTCCACTTAAGGACCTCACCCTCCTTGAACCACAGGGCAATCTCCTTCTTGGCGTTCTCGACGCTGTCGGAGCCGTGGCAGATGTTGCGTCCCATCGAGAGGGCGTAGTCACCACGGATGGTACCGGGGGCCGAGGCAAGAGGGTTGGTGGCACCGAGGATGGCTAGAAAGGGAGGAAGAGAACAGTCAGTATCTCGTGTATGTCATATTCACGGGGTGCAATTGCAACGGGCGCTGCACTTACCACGGCCGGTCTTGACGGCGTCAAGGCCCTCCCAGACCATGGCGCAGATGGGGCCGTTGTTCATGTCTATTGCCAAGTTAGCGGTGACGTGTGATGGGAATATGGAGATAGGGTGCAACTTGCAGGAGATCAAGCCAGCGAAGAAGGGCTTGTCCTTGAGGTCGGCATCTGGGAAGCGGTCAGCGACTTCCAGCTCGTTGGGGGGCGAGAGGGATTTATATCGTACAGTGCTTCTCAAGGTGCTCCTTGCCGGGGGTGACAAGCTTGATGGCGACGAGCTTGAAGCTACGCGCTTGTATCAGTACCGGACGAAGTCGCTCAAGGGCAATTGGCAGTTTCTGCTCACCCTCGGGTCTCGAAGCGGCTGATGATGGGGCCGATCAGTCCACGCTAGAAGACCTGTCAGCTCTCAATCGAAAGAAGGGCGGCGATAAGGAAGAGCCATGACATACCTGGACACCATCGGGCTTGACGGCAATGAAGCTAGACAGACAAGTTAGTATGACTAAAGTGATCGTGGTGGTGAGGATTGACTGGAGACAATCCCAAATGGCGGGGTCTTTCTTGGTGGGGTGAACCCTACGTTTGCTCGGAAGAAGACATTGTGCTAGTCTGTTCGATCTGAACGAAGCTATTGAATGAGGGCTGCTGGTCTGTGTGAGGAAACTCGGGTTCCGGGTTGAAGATCTTGGGTAAGAGAGACTTTTTGGCTGAAGCGGCTTGTTGGGCTGGAAGGAGAAGGAGGAGGAGGAGTCCAAGTATAACACCAGCGAGAAATGCTGGTAGTGCGGTCAATTTTTGCTTTCGTGCCCCTCCTCGTTGGCGGGTCTCCTGCGTCTTTGGCTGCTGCACCTTATTATTGGCTTCAGCAATATGGCGGGGCACCGTCGATGCAGGGTTGACACTATCGGGGTCGGGTTTCATCTTGCCAACACTGGCCTCAAATGGAACCAAACTCTGGTGGGTGGTCTAACTGATGCTGCCGACAATACCACAAGTAAAGTTGAAGTTTAATAATAGGAAACCAGGGAGTCTAGATCCAGATGCAAGGTTTTCGGAGCCGAAACAAGACAATCAATAGCTGCCACAGGGTATCTCCATTCCAAACTGTCTGTTTGGATGTCATGGTGACAAGATCTGAAAGTTGCTTGCTTGTGAATGTTATTTATGCGGGTTATGCGGGAAAACGAGGGACTAGCCTTAGTGCTGCCGGCAAGTGGCGCGCTTGATTGGCCTCAAGCCAGGGGGTGCATTTTAGCCCGTTCAAGAGAGCTCCCGAGTCTCGAATGGCCAGCTCACCTCAAACCCGCGTCAAGGCGAGTTGAACAGAGAGACAACTTTACACAGTCCTAGTCACGCATTGATATCTCAAAAAATCATATGGGATAAAGCTTCAACATCTTAATGATATCCTTGATACTTTGATTCTTTTCTTTTCTTTCTCTTTGGTCGAACATTGAGGGTCCTTCAAGATGTGGTCCTCGGGCCAGCTGTCCATGCGATGGGCAGCCCTCTTCTGCATCCTCGCCACCCTTTGCACTTTGTTTACACCAGCTGGTATGAACAGTATCCCCTGCTGCTTTGTCCATCGTTAATTGACAACATCCTAGTCACCGTGAAGGAAAATGACTTCAAGAAGTGCAACCAATCCGGCTTCTGCAGACGGAATCGCGACTTTGCCGACAATGCTATCGGATCAAGCTCATGGGAGTCCCCTTACGGCATCCTCCCTGAATCTGCATCATTTCAAGACGGGCAGTTCCAAGCCACTATTCTCAAGGCTATCAACGACAAGGGCGACACTGTCCGACTGCCCGTTACCATCTCTTTCCTTCAGTCTGGGACTGCTCGCGTCACCGTCGACGAAGAGAAGAGGCAGAAGCAGGATATCGAGCTCCGACACGACAGCAAGGCAAGGAAAGAGCGATACAATGAGGCCGAGAAATGGGTTATTGTTGGTGGATTGGACCTGGACAAGGATGCCAAGGTCGCCTACCAGGACAAGTCGCAGTGGACCGTGAAATACGGCCCCGCCTCGACCCATGAAGCTGTCATCAAGTTCTCTCCCCTCAGCATTGACTTCAAACGGGATGGGACCACCCAGATCAAGTTCAACGAGAAGGGTCTGTTGAACATGGAGCACTGGAGGCCCGTACCCTCGGCCGATCCCGAGCCGGAGAAGAAGGAAGGCGAGGAGAATCAGGAAGAAGCGAAACCGGAGGAGAAAAGCGGCGAAGATGAGAGCACCTGGTGGGACGAGACTTTTGGCGGAAACACCGACTCCAAACCTCGCGGACCAGAGAGTATCGCCTTGGATATTTCTTTCGTTGGATATGAGCACGTCTACGGAATTCCGTCGCATGCTGGGCCCCTATCGTTGAAAGAGACCCGTGGCGGAGACGGCAATTACGGCGAGCCATACCGGCTCTACAATCTCGATGTCTTCGAGTACATCCTGGACAGCCCCATGACGCTCTATGGCGCGATCCCCTTCATGCAGGCTCACCGCAAAGATTCGACTGTCGGTGTCTTCTGGCTCAACGCGGCAGAGACCTGGATCGACATCACCAAGGGGAAGGAGTCCAAGAATCCATTGGCCCTCGGGATCGGATCCAAGACAAGCACGCATACACACTGGATTTCGGAGAGCGGTCTCCTGGATGTCTTCGTCTTCCTGGGGCCTACGCCGCGTGATGTCATCAAGAACTACGGCGAGCTCACCGGCTACTCGGCCATGCCCCAAGAATTCGCCATTGGGTATCACCAATGCCGCTGGAACTATATCTCTGACGACGACGTCAAGGACGTGGATCGCAAAATGGACAAGTTCAAGATCCCCTACGATGTCATCTGGCTGGATATCGAATATACCGACGGCAAGAAGTACTTCACCTGGGACCCGAACATGTTCAAGGACCCGGTCGGGATGGGCGATCACCTGGACGAGCACGGCCGGAAGCTGGTTCTCATCATCGACCCGCACATCAAGAATGAGGATGGCTACCCGGTCGTGGCGGACCTGAAGTCGAAGGATCTGGCCGTGAAGAACAAGGAGGGTAACATCTTTGATGGCTGGTGCTGGCCCGGTTCCTCGCACTGGATTGATGCCTTCAACCCTGCTGCTACCAAGTGGTGGACCTCGCTCTTCAAGTACGACGCCTTCAAGGGCACAAGGGAGAATACCTTCATATGGAACGACATGAACGAGCCTTCCGTCTTCAACGGGCCTGAAACCACGATGCCCAAGGATAACCTGCATCACGACGGCTGGGAGCATCGTGATGTCCACAACCTGAATGGCATGACGTTCCACAACGCGACGTATCAGGCACTACTCTCGCGGAAGTCGGGCGAGCTTCAGAGACCGTTTGTTCTCACGCGCTCCTTCTTTGCTGGCTCGCAGCGCGTTGGCGCCATGTGGACGGGCGACAACCAGGCTTCCTGGGAGCATCTCGGTGCCGCTATCCCCATGATCCTCAGCCAGGGCATTTCCGGCTTCCCTTTCTCGGGCGCTGATGTCGGTGGCTTCTTTGGCAATCCAGACAAGGAGCTCCAGACTCGCTGGTACCAGGCTGGCGCTTTCTATCCCTTCTTCCGCGGGCACGCCCACATTGATGCCCGTCGGCGTGAGCCGTATCTGGCCGGTGAGCCGTACACTGCCATCATCACTGCCGCGCTGCGCCTGCGGTACAGCCTCCTGCCTTCATGGTACACCGCCTTCTACCAGGCCCATCGAGACGGTACTCCGATCATCCGGCCCATGTTTTACACTCACCCGGCTGAAGAGGGTGGTTTCGCCGTCGACGACCAATTCTTTGTTGGCGGCACCGGCCTCCTCGTCAAGCCCGTCGTCGAACAGGATAAGGAGACGGCCGACGTCTTCATCCCTGATGATGAGGTGTATTACGACTACTTCACGTATAACGTCATCCCAACGTCCAAGGGTAAGAACGTCACGCTTTTGGCACCCCTGGACAAGACTCCCATCCTCATGCAGGGTGGCCATATCTTCCCGCGTCGTGACAAGCCTCGTCGGTCAAGCGCGCTCATGAAGTGGGATGACTACACGCTCGTGGTGACTGTGGGCCGCAATAGCAAGTCCGCCGAAGGCGAACTGTATGTTGACGACGGCGATTCGTTCGACTACGAGAAGGGTCAATACATCCACCGAAAGTTTGTGCTCGACGGTGCCGCCAACACGCTCGCCTCCACCGACGCAGAGGGCCGCGACGCCAAGAGCGTGAAGGAGGGCGCCTGGCTCCAGGGGATGCGCCAGGTCTCCGTGGATAAGGTGATTATCGTTGGCGCGCCCTCATCCTGGGCGGGCAAGAAGGAGGTGACGGTCGAGTCTGAGGGCAAGACCTGGACGGCGGCTCTCGATTATACGGGGGCTGAGAACGTTCGGGCCGCGTTCGCGGTGATCAGGAGAGTGGGAGCTACAATCGGGGCCGATTGGAAGGTTTCCTTCGCATAAGGCAAGGCAAAAACGAACAGCCTTGATGAAGGTAGATTCCCGCAGGTTCGGGTCATGGTTAGATTACGACATGACCTAGGCTGGCCGCAGGCATCGTTCAAGGCCGTGGCACGGTACCAGGCGCTGCAGACACGAAAAACTCGCCCTCGAAACCATCTCTAGCTCTTGAGATCTATTGTGGTGCAAAAATCATGTACAGTACATAGAACCCGTTATAGTCTGCGGTGCGGAAGATATGAACACCCTTTTGTTCTCAGACCAATTAGCGCTTGATTCGTCCTTCCGAACGGTCGACTGACTATTCGCAGAGACTCTCCCTCCCTTTCGGACCGACCAGAAGGAAATCCAGGTTGCACGGCGATCTCATGTACGACGAGAAGGAAGGTTTCAGAGGTGCCAAGCAATAATGTATTGGGTCTGCCGGGAGCTAGCCCTGACGCTGAGCAAACAGCGAGAGCCAAAAGATTATGGAGAGCGGTTCCAGGCTCCAACGTAGCCAATGGACGCCGCGCCGTTATACGACTGATCTAAAAGCTGCTGCAATACGAAGTGGACACTCCCGGAAAGGCGATCTACACTTGTACAGTACCACTGCATTTAACCCGCCTATAGTCCCCTGCATTAGGGCAAAATGTGGTGTAACGCGAATCATCATAGGACAAACAGCCCTGCCTTACCTTGCCTTACCCTGATGAGGGATCCCAGGATTGCGAGTTCCCCAGTCTATATCACCAGGCCCAGCCGGCCTCGACTCCCTCATCATGAAGCGGCAACCTCCTCCTCCCGCACTATAACCCATCCTGCGGCTTCACGGGCATCCACTACACGCTACCAACCATCATGAAGCTCCTCGCAGTGCTCACCACCGTGCTGCTCGGCACCTCCACGGCACTATCGCTGGCCCCTCCCCACAAAAACAGCCCACCAAGCCACCACCCGCGCCGCCACGCCCCGGCCCTCCCGCGCCCGGCAAACCACCGCCTCTCCCGCACGCCGCCACCACCACCACCACGACGCAGCCCCGGCTCCGCCTCGCGCCCTGGGTTAGGGTCGGGGTCGGCCATCTCTTCCCTCCACGCCGCGACGGCGACGGCGCCGGAGCCGGAGTCGGTCCAGGGCGGCGCAATAGTAGTACTCGGGGCCAAGGGCGACGGACGGCAGAAGCAGAAGCAGCAGCAGCGCGTCGGCCGCGCGTCCGGGACGTTCTCGATCCCGTCGGCGGAGATGCCGACCAGGGGACCGACGGCGGGGAACGAGGCGGGCCTGTACTCGGCGTCGTACTGGGTCGGGGTCGACGGGGCGGGTGGCGTCGGAGAAGGAGAGTGTGATGGCGGCGGCGGCGGGGCGTCGCTCCGGGCCGGGGTGGACACGTTCTGGGATGGGGGCCTGCGGTCGTGCAATGCGTGGTACCAGTGGGCGCCCGGGCCGGCGGTCGACTTTGCCGACTTCGCCGTCGGGCCGGGGGATGTGGTGCGGGTTACGGCCTCGGCGACGGGGGAGGGGGCCGGGTCGGTCACGGTCGAGAGGTTGGCTGGCTGGGGTTGCAACGGGAACGGGACCGTGGTGGAGGCGTCGGCGTCGATGGAATGGTCCGGCCGCGAGGCGTCGAGCCCGCTGTGTCTGGCCGAGGCGGCGTGGGTCGTCGAGGTCTTCACCCTCGCGGGGCTGCCGGACGTGCCGCTTGCGCTGGCAAACTTCTCGGCCGTGACGTTCGAGGACGTCGGCGCTGCCACGGTGGACGGAGAGGCGCTGGACTTGGCCGGGGCAAGGATCCTCAATATCGACCTCGAGGCGCAGGGCGGGCGGTTGACGGATTGTGCCATCGGGAGGGACGCGAGTGTTCGGTGCGAGAGAGTCGTGGGCGGTGTCTAAGTTGAAGGGACTTTGTTCCTGGAGCGTATGGCTCGACTTTTGACATTAGGGGGAGGAGGATCGCATGAGAAGATAATCTATTCAAAGCGTTCACACGCCGGTCCGGTGAGCAGAGCATATTCACCAAGCCTGGCAAACCACAGTTCGATAGTGGAGTCAACTGAGGCTTGCCGATAATATTTCCCATCACGTCTGAAATGCTGGCAACAGTGATCGCAGACGAAAGTGAGAGCATAATCATAACTACACAGGTACCTTCCAATAGCCACCCCTACCACCTGCCCAAGGCATATAATGCCCAATACCGTCATGCAATATCGGTCAACATACACCAGGCTGGCCACTTGGTGTAGTTGGCCCATCGGGCAGCCACCGGGCTGCCCGTTGTAACCCCCAGTCCCGCGGTCGACTCCCCCCCAAAGCAAAACCCCCGGGTTTTCGTAACCGGTGACCCCCTCGAGGGTTCACCGGCAAGCTTTTTGCTCGGTTCCTTTACCGAGCCGTTTCCTTTTTCTTCTTTTCCCGCGTCTTCTTACCCCTTCTGTTTATTTATTTGTATGGATGATGTGAGGATAGACTGTTGAGCACGGTGAACGAACGCGGCAGGCTGTGAGTTTGGGCTATGAGCTATTCATGTCATGGGGAGCCAAGAAACTTGAACAAGAAATAGCTGTGCGGAAGGACGTCTATATACATAGTACATAGCAAGGCCAGAGTGGAAATCCAACGCACTACTGACTTAGGTAGGGAGGCTCACAATATTTTCTCCACTGGCTGACGACTACAGCACACTGGAGTTGCTTGGCTATGGAAAGGGGCTAGAGGTAGAACTACTGCCATGTTTCCACTAAAATGGCCAACTTTTCGACTTGCCTAGGACGAATTGTAGCTGCTCAGGAGTTGCAACTTTGCCAGTCTCGACGAGTCCCACAAATTCAGGGGGAGGAAGCAAATGCTAGTAAACGTGGACTGGGCCCCTTATTTCCGTTTCTAGAACCGAGGAAGACAGCCAACAAGTAAAAGAGGGACGCAGTAGCGTCTCACTGGAAACGCAAGGGTTATTATTTCTGTATTTCGAAGATACTGTGTGCATGTATGCGGGACAGACAGACACGGGGAGATCGATTTCGGGGCAGATTCAGGGGAAATCATGACGTCAGTACTGCATGCCACCGACCGAATTAGTGCGATCGCCTGCCGCACTGCGGAGTACGCTACATGGCGTTGCGGCGCCCTATTCGTAGTGCATCCGTAGTTTCCGGAAACCCGGCAACTGCCCCTGCACGGCGGCTTGTTCGCTTGCCCTTCCATGTTCTGTAGCACATGCGGGTACACCGGTGGCTCTCGGGTCGAAACTGAGCATCAATTGACTCCACCAACCTACTCCAAGGCAAGTCCGCTATGCGTACGGATCACCAACACCCACCTATACGACGATGGTCCCTATCGGAGTCAAGTCAGGCAAGGCTACCTACTTAGGTTGCACCTAATCATAGCGCGGTCCAAGCTCAGGGCCAGACGCCCGCGAGTGGCGAGACCCTACTCTTTGGACAAACCTTACACCAAGCATTGGCGGTTCTGCCGATGGCGAATTGTCAAGATTTTCTCTGCCAATACTTTGCATGACACCACCACTTCGGATTCCAGGGACCTGCAGGCTCTGCAGGCTCCGCAGCACCGTACGAAAAGGTACCCAGCTGAGGAAATAACGCGGCAAGTGCGTGTGCCCCTCGATTAGGTGGTACCTGCCCAGGTGCCTACTTTTGACCAAACAGCAATCCAAGACTGCCGATTAGAAAGCAACCCATTCTCCATCCTCTCTTATCCCTTGGTTCTTCTGTCTTCTCCATATTCATTTCCCCCTCATGTGGGTCACACTGTGCAACAGTTCACTGAATGCCCGTTCAAGGCGGGCAGGCGGGGTGTGTGCCGTCGACGGATTAGGTTGAAAACACTGGCAAGTCGTTTGCTTGAACCTCGATATACATAGCCTAGCCCAGACGGTGTAAGTGGTTTTAGGGGGCAAGTGCCAACCAACTTCCACTTCGCGAATACACGACACAGCACGCCTCCGTTCTTTTTCTCGATCTTTTCAAAAAGCTCAGGCTGCCAATCGAGCGGGTCAGTCAGTATCCTTTCTTAAAACGCGGTAGGCCGAGCCGCGGCATCATTCTTTTGCTTGGCCATTTCGTCCTGCACCTTAGGGTTATCTCGGGCGTCGCGTAGCGGGACACCGTAAGGTTGCACCCCAGCACAGACGAGCCTCTGTCCAAGTCGCACAGTTCGGGCGACCATTGTTTAGGTTGTCCTGGGAGTAAATATGGCGTCGACCGCAAGTTCTGACCACTCGCCCACTCGACATCTCTCAAGCCCAACCATCGACGTCAATGTCCAGGAGCCGTCAAACATGACTACTCCCGGGCGAGTCGAGACCAACGAGAAGGTCGAATACGATCCCACCCATCTTGCGCCGGATCAAGCCCCCCTGGACCCCCTGGACTCCCGCGAGGCCGCGCATCGATTAACAGACGACCTGGAAATCCTGCGGGCGGAGCGCCTAGTCTCGAACCAGGAACATGAGAATGAGATCCGCAGATCAAGGTCCAGAAACCGCAGCCAACATGGCCAGGAGGAGGATACTTTTAACACGACAAGTCCTCCCGCCCCTCCCGTTCCTCAGACGCCCCAGAAGTCGACCGTCTTGATCCGATTCCTGGGACGGGTCAAGAAGTTCCCGCGCTTCATCCGCTACTTCACTTATCTCACACCCGTCGCCATCATCCTTCTGATTCCCATCCTGCTCGACATCTATGCCTATGACTACCATAGCAAGCCCGTCGGTGGTCGCAACGGCGTGCAGCTGCTGTGGTTCGGGATCTGGCTGGAGGTTGTATGGCTGACCCTATGGGGTGCTCGACTCCTGACGGGCCTGATGCCGTCCCTCTTCGGCTTTTTGGCTAGCAACAGCGGATCCAGCAATCACAACAAGTGGAAGGAGATCGGACATCAACTCGAGATACACACTTCCCTTTTTGTGTGGTTGCTGGTCGTCCTATCTTCGTTCCTGCCCATTGTCAACCACCACCGTGTACTCAGCGATGACGCCGATCCCAAGCATCTGCCACATGTCCGCTGGATCAGCATAGTCAATAAGGTGATTATCTCCTTGTTCGTCTTGGCGGCGCTCAACTTCGCCGAGAAGATCCTCATCCAGTGGATCGCCACTTCGTTCCATCTTCGGACCTACTCCCACCGGATCGCGCAGAACAGGATGGAGGCCAATTATCTGGTCCAGCTGTACACCTACGCAACGATGAAGCTCGAGGCTCAGGACCCCGTGTGGGATTCGAGCGGGAACGCCCTCTCTTCTGGCATGAGAACGCCGATGCGGCTGGTCCAGGATAACGCCCGCCATGCCTGGAGCAAGGTGGGCGATGTCGCCAACCGAATGGCCGGCGACTTTACGGGACGCAAGATCCTCAGGGGGAATCACCCACAGAAGGTGGTCATGGAGCTGCTCCGCACTACCGCGTCGAGCCACACCCTGGCCCGCGTCTTCTACCGCACATTTGTCCGCCCCGAACACGACACCATTACCCTCGAGGACCTGCAGCCCGCCTTCGCCGCGCAGGAGGACGCCGAGACCTGTTTCGCCGTCTTCGACAAGGATCTCAACGGCGACATCTCCATGGAGGAGTTAGAACTAGTATGCAACGAGATACACCTCGAGAAGAAGGCCATCGCTGCCTCGTTGAAGGACCTTGATTCTGTCGTGAAGAAGTTGGACAGGGTCTTCCTATTCATTATCTTCATCATCAGCGCCATCGTGTTTGCCAGCATCATCTCGGACTCGGCAGCTGCTGCGTTAACTTCGACCGGCACGGTGGTTTTGGGCCTCGCCTGGGTACTACAGGCAACAGCGCAGGAGTTCCTCCAGTCCATCATCTTCGTCTTCGTCAAGCATCCGTTCGACGTTGGCGATCGAGTCACCGTCTACGGCAACACGGGCAACATGATGAGGGGAGACGACTACTACGTCCAGGAGATCTCGCTACTCTACACCGAGTTCAAGAAGATGGAGGGCCACACCGTGCAGGCCCCGAACTCGGTCCTCAACTCTCTCTTCATCCTGAACCAGCGGCGCAGCAACGGGCTTGCCGACCCAGTCGAGCTCAAGCTACGCTTCGGGACGTCGGAGGAGACAATAGAGGAGCTGAAGGCGCGCATGCTAGCTTTCGTGACGGAGAATAAGCGCGACTACGCGCCACGAATCATCACCGAGGTGCGGACCATAGACGAGGTCTATAGCATGACCATGAACTTCATCTTCTTCCACAAGAGCAGCTTCCAGAACGAACTGCTGCGGCTGCAGAGACACAACAAATTCGCCGTCGAGCTGATGCGCCAGATCCGTGACCTAGGCATCGAGGGCCCCAGGGCCCAGCAGCCGGGCGGCGTGCGCGACTGGCCCATCTACCACCAGGTCGTGCAGCCCCCGTCGTACGAGACGACGGAGCGAGGAGGGGGAGACTTCACCCCGCACACCCCCAACGTCCCGCGACTCAACAGCCCCGCCGCCCTGCGCCGGAGGGCAGACAGCCGGGCGGCGGCAGTCAACGCAGTCCACGACTTTGGAGACGTGTACGACAACCGCCGGCCCGATAATACCATGACGAGGCTGGCGTCTATCCGGCAGGCGCCGGACCATGTGGTGGGGAGCAGCGCGCTGGACAGGGTCCAGAGCAGGGCCAGCGGGGCGGGGAGCGAGAGCACCCGGAGGAGGAATATGTGGGAGCGCTCTAGGAGCAGGTCTAATGCGATATTCCAGGGGCCGGGGCCGGGGCCGACGGCAAGCAATATGGTGTAGTGGACCACTGCTCGCCGGGGGTGAGTCGAGTCGATGAAGCGGTCATGATGCCATGATAATGATCATAATGTGTTGAGCGAGGTGATAGATGTTAGAATACATTGAGAACAAGACTGCCAAGAGAAAGCGTATAGATCAAGAGCAGCATGGTTGAATACCTATATTATTAATCTACCCCTGGTCGCTGAGGCGAACAATATTATCATCCAACGAAATATACGTAAGGACTGAGGACATGGCATAACTTCACAGGACAAGAATGAGGCAACACAGGCCCTGATTTTGTTCATATGCCAACCCATCGCGAGAAATGCCATCCGACCCCTCGATACCAACTGTCCGAATTACCGGGAACGTATGAAGAAACTTGAACTCGCCTTCCGCTGCCAATATCTATGCCGCTTCGACAAGCAAAGGGCCTTGGACGTGTCGCGTACGTGTACCCCGAAGTGGCATTGATGGGGAACGATGTAACCCGAGCCAATATGAGGTCGAACCTTGAAAATGTGAGCGCGGTTGTTTGGAGTTTTGGACTACCTAGGGTCTACAGGGGGTAATTGGGCACCCTCAGTGGTACGGCAATCCATGGATTTCTACACCATCAGCGTTGGAAGGCAACGGCAGCAGTGATGGAAGGCAACGGCAGCGGTGATGGAAGGCAACGGCAGCGGTGATGGAAGGCAATGGCAACGGCGATGGAAGGCAGCGGCAATGGCAACTGAAAGCAATAGAAATGGCAACTGACAGTAATGGCAACT